AGCGAGAATATACAAATAAAACGTACAATAAATAGGACAGAGAGTTATGGCACAACGAATATAGTTAGTACAATAGTAAGTTTATGGCAAGTTTGAAATCGTACCTCCGAAAATTAGATTCACGCGTTCTCATATGTGCCAAAACTCAACTTTGCGATCTGAAATGTTGTATTGAGTCGAATCAGTGTTCCGGCGACAATTGTCGATTACCCTAAGCTAATAATTCTTAAAGTTGATTGGTCGGGGCCAAAATTAGAAGCGGAAAGATATTTACGGGCCCCCGGGCGTGGGGAGCGCACGCAGGGGATAATACCGGTTTATATTATTGATATACTGGTATAATTGAAATGAATCTAAAACGCAGAAAGGTAAAAGTATAAAGTGTTTCATAAACTATTTCACTCAAGTTCGGCGGGCCAGGTGACCGTACATTTGAACTCATGTGTATATATGCGAGTTCAATCTATATGCGGGTGCTAAAACCCATGGGTTAGGGTTAGTATAGGTTCAAATATCCGTGAAACAAAAAACTTTCTATAGGTGCAATAGCACGCAGCTGCAATTGTGATGGTTTCAAATGTGCGTGGGTTCAAACGTAATGGAACCGGCGGGCCATATTAAATCGTTACGCGGGCCGTTATTGGGCCGCGGTTTGGTAACCATTGCCTCAGGTCTTTCTGAGCTCCCAAACGACTTGCGTTAACGTACGTACGGATGAGGGTTCCGCTTTAAGTTTCGAACTTGAGTTTCATATATCGTATTCCATTGGCATTCTATAAGTTTTAGTCCAACTTCACCCCTAATTATCTCTAGTGAAATCAGGTCAATCAGTCAGCAATTTCTATAATAGTGCCTGCATTAACAACAGTTAGCGATTTTATATACATAAATCAGTTAAGTCATTCAAAATTACTCAAAAGAGGCTAAAAATCGTTCGTTCTAAACTCAATAAAACAGTCAGAGCTGGCTGAGACGACTATGAACGCGCTCATTTTAATTCAATAAGCTCATATATAATACCTTTCCGGTTCTGCTCAGTAGCTGTCTCAGTGTGCTTTATTACAGCAATGACGGCTACTTTATATTCACAAATCACTTTTGGGCCATTCCATATTACTGAAAAATAGGCTAAGAATCGTGCGGCCTAAAACTCAGTAAGACATTCAGAGCCGACTAAGCATATGGGCAACCTCGACTTCACTTACCACACTCGTCTATGCCTGATATGTATAGTTTTATATCTGCATGTATCTGAAACAAATAACTGACTGGCTAACCCTATAATCCCATACCCGACAAGGACTGGTAAGCAGACAAGAGGCTGCGGTTCGCCATACGATTAATCCGTCTTATCGGCTTTCCCCTTCGGGTTAAATATGAAAATCCTATATATGTATTTATACTACTCGTAATATGCAGTTCTCTTGCTACGCTTTACCGATTGACAATATCAGTCATATTTACCTAACCGCCTAAACCTGGCAAAGCCCATTTTCTTTACGCTGTTCTCAGCTTATACTTGTAATCTCACTAGCAGGCGACATAACTCAGAAGTCTTTGTATTGATAAGGCAGGTCAACGAGCTGATACGTAATTTCCGGACTTCGTGAAACTGTTCGTTGCCTGATAATTGACATGCAAATACGTCGAGCAACGGGAAGCAATTGTAATCATCACCAGTGCGCGAATAGCTCGCGCTTGTTTTGTTAATATTATTATAGGGTGTCCATGAGGTCTTAAAAATTGCAAAGGAAATTTATCGGTACCATCATATATTGTTTAAGTCCTCACAGATGTATTAAATGAAGTAAAAATACTTAAACAATTACTGACTGTTTAAAAAACAACAAATCTGGTTAAGATATATTGAGAACTGACTTCATAACAAAATTGAAATCGTAAAGAGACTTTATGGACAGCATGTATTTTAACAAAACACGCAAATAACCTAACAAAACAGAGATACAGTGAGCTCTTGTTGTCAGGCCTATTTAAGGTAATATCTATACGCACAACTAACAACAAAAAAACGTTAGCCAACGTTTTAATTACCTATGCCCTACCAGCGTTTGTCAAACTTTTTTTTCCCACGGAACACCTTGGTGGGTGATTTCGAATACTATAAAGTTTGCTGTGGACTCCACAATTAAAAAATTAGGCCGACGGTTAACAATTGGGCACGAGGCCTATCTGCCTGTTCAGACAGCGAGGCCTGTTCACCTATTTGTCGCCAGTTCGAAGACAAATTTACGACCAAGGGTCTCCGAAGTAGGGCCGATATCGCCATAGCGACTAATTTAGTCGCCATCTCGACCCCTCTAATGCGGAACACTCCGAAAAATCTTGCGGAACACAGAATGAGAAACCTCGCCCCATGCAAACAACTTTAACCTGGACAAAGTGTTATATTTTCGCTTTATTATATTTCCACTGGTCCCGCAGGCTTGAAATCGGAATAACTTTTCGTGTTTTTCACTTTTAATCCCTCATCGCTGTATCTTTACGAGTGTTACGTCATGTGTCTGGATCGTGAGATCACAGTCAGTTATCAGAGCAAAAAATCTGGACAAAACTATAACTCGTGGCTCGGCTTTGTGGCGCATCGTGCTAAACATTAGGAATACGCTCGTCACCGCACCTCTGATTACCCTGCATGGGATCGAATCCCACGCAGGGATAGTTACGTGCGAGAGGTTGTCGTAGGGTTGTTCACGTAACAGATAGTCCAGGGGTGGGCAACATACAGCCCGCGGGCCGCATCCGGCCCGCGACGAGATTTTGACCGGCCCACTGACTGTATCCAACCACACTCTGTAATGTGGTCCGACGCGTCATTCATGAATGTTGTCGATCGCTCGACTCTCACCGCATTGTCAGTGCGTATTGCCTTAGTGAACAAACAATTGCGTTAGCACACTAACAAACAATATAAGTTCAAAGCAGAGAGCGTTGTAAACATTCCCCACTACTGTTATCAGTCATATTTATATTCTAAATATAAATAGATTTTATATTAAGTTTTATTAACCATGGAATATCCCAAGAAACGTAAAGTTGACAGGGAGTGTCGAGCATTTAACAAAGATTGGATACCGAAGTAATTTTTCTAATAATCTGGCCCGCCGAGGACTTCATTTTCACACATCTGGCCCGTCGACTAGAAAAGTTGGCCACCCCTGAGCTCGGTTGCGGCTAGTCGGTTGCGGCTTCCTTTGCTACAAAGTCCACGCATCTGACAGAAATTAACTGGCCAACTAATCCCATACCCGACATGGATTGATACCCGGACGATAGGCCATGGTTCGCCATATGATTAAGTCGTCCTAGCGGCTTTCTTCTTCCCGGATTAAATATGTAAATCGTAATCCCAATTGTGGAATACAATGTGGTCAAAATAACATTTCTCCAAAACAAGGAAAAAGAGCTGTACCGTGCGAATTAGTGCAGATCCATAATGCCAATGACCAATTATCGATTAAAAATAAAACTGCTCTACATGTGAGCGCTTTATTCAAATGTCGAACAATTTCAAATTAAATTAAGCATAAAATGAATAAATATATAACAAGTGAACAAGGTAAGCCCATAATTTTATAATTGCCCAACGAAATCATAAACTGTGATGAATCCAAAAATTCAACTATACAATAATTTAAAATGAAGTATACCCTGGATTCGTTCATTGGAAATCAATCGAAGTTTTATATACTACAATTTCAACATGAAAAGTTGGATTGATTAGGATTATACACAAGGAAATTGGAGCAGAAAAACTAGACAAGGAGTGGTTGCGCGGGTGCAAATTTGCACCCACTATTTAATTCAGTGTTTCCCAAACTGGAAGGTAATCACCCGCAAAAAGGTGATTTGGCAATTTTTAGAGCGTATATTTACTGTTTTAACAATTTATTTTGTAAGCCATGTTGTAGACGGTTCGCAGGGGCATATTAAAAATACGGCGCTCTGGGAGTATTCGTACCAAGATGACGCACAACCTGAATAACCCTTGCTGGTACACATATTATGTTCAGGTTGTGTGCCATCTTGGTACGAATACTTCGGGAGCACCAAAAATACCTCGCTACATATTGAAGGATAATAATATCAGAGCTAGCGCAAGTTCAGCATCTTCAATCTGATCTGAATGTGCAATAGGTGTCAGTATTATCGCCATGTTTGGCCAAAGAAAAAGTCATAACGGTATTTTTATGAAAGTGGTAATTGGGCTTTTGGTGATTCGATTTAGGGGTAACGATATTAAAAAGTTGGTGAACCACTGCCCTAAATGGTAATACAAAAAATAACAATATATAGTTTGTCAATAATAATAAGTCATAAATTAGCCGGTAAACTTGAGTAAAGTGTGACCATATAATATATTTAAGAAGACTGCACACACTCGCAGTCCCATATTATCACTGAACTATAACTTAATGAATTCTGAATCTTGCACATTGAATCGAAACACACAGTCACACATAAAAGCTTGAAACACATGAACTTTCTGCAGTAAAATCTTACATTTATGCACATAGAAAAAACACATAAAATGTTAAGGCATATAAATACACACATATAAAAACACATACAATGAAACATTGCACACAAACAAGCCACGTGAAAAGGTAAACCACACATACAGGGGGACACATGAACACAAAATCTTGAAACTGATATAAATCCTTCTTATGAAACATGGCACACAAAAAAGCCACATGAAATGGTAAGGCACACACACACATAAAATCATGCACACACATTGAACTAGAAACGATGCAAAACTGCACTTGCATAATAGTAACATTAATATAATTAGTAATCAAGAATATTTTAATATAATATTTTCAAACATGGAATATTGAGAAAACACATACAGATACACAAATAACACATTGAAATCAATGACTTTGAATTTGGAAACGCAAGAAAGTTATAAAATGTTCTGATTGGTTGAAAGTTTTTTAATTTCAGGAAATAGTTTTTCACCTCCTTGTTCTTCGAGCAATAGACAAAACCGTAATTAAATAAATTATGAGTTTAAAATTAAGTAACAGACAACTAATGCAGTGAGAACAAAAAAATGGAACTATACCTATTAAATGATCTTCTATGTACAGGAGTGGGATTTTAAAAAAGGGCTTGAACATTCTAGAAATCTATCTTGCCATTAATTTGCGGTAATTGTTTTGAAATTTGACCTAAAATTTCACTGCATAAAATAAAATTATGTAAAAAAATCTTCGAATATATATAATTTCAATTTTGTCCCTGTTATTTTTAGAAAAGCATCAACGAACTTTCATGAAAAAACACAAAAAGATGGTTAGAAGCACAAAAATTAAGAATAAAACGTAACAAGAATTGAACAAATCAAGAAAATGGAAGTTTCGAGATCGAATAAAACCAAGACTGGAAAAAATTTAGTAAAAAAACGAATGCGTTTCATTCGAGCAAAGCCAAATTGCTTACTGTAGCAAAAACATTTCGCAAAATATATCCAACATTGCACCGTACCTCTGTTACATCCCAAAACAGAGTTATAAGTCAAATTTCTGAGTTAAACGCCTCTTTTCTTTTTATTTTACTTCAATTAAACATGAACAATATTATCTATTTTATAAATGGTCACCCATCAATATGATGTTCCTTCTTAATACAGCCCAACTACAAAAGCATTTGCATTACAAAAAATGTAAAATGTCGTTAAATATCAGTAAATGCTGTTACAGAGCCTTGTTCAGAGTGCAACACATATCTTCTTATTTTTTTCCTTATATAAACGGCTACCCCACAGACGTTCTTCCTAATATGGCCCTAACTATTTCTCATCTAAGATACCTTTTCAGACAGCTCAGTGGCGTGGGTGGCGCATTGTGCCTCCTCCACCATCAAGTCCTTGCATCTGAAACAAATGACTGGCTAACTAATCCCATACCTGACACGGACTGGTAACCGAACGAGAGTCCGTGGTTCGCCATATGGTGAAGCCGATTTATCGACTTTCTTCTGCCGCAGGATAAATATGTAAATCCTATCTTATACATGTTTCTCTAATATTTTTCTAAATATCTTATACATGTTTCTCTAATATTTTTCTAAATATCTTATACATGTTTCTCTAATATTTTTCTAAATATCTTATACATGTTTCTTTAATCTACTTAGTATCTAAGATATTCAATATATCTCTATTTACAGTGTTCGCAATATTATATCCCCAAACAAAGTCTATATGATTAAAATCAGGAAAGATTTTTGTCCATTTTACATTAGGAAGATCTTTTACGACAGCTCGTCCATCCGGTGGTGCCACAAGCCAATCTAAATCTCCGAGAAAGACATACGTAGGAACAGTGAACTTTGATAAATCATACGCTGGAGGCTTAAACTGCAAAAAAGAAATTTTTAAGTTTGAATCAAAGCTTCCCTCATCCTGAAACTGGGCACAAAATTCTACCCTTTTCAACCTAGTAAAAAGTATGAGCCACAATTTTACTGTGGAAGAAAGACTGCACCAATTAATTGCATAGTTTGGCGAATAGGGTAATTAAACTCATGTTGATTGCTGGGTTCATGTCGCCGTAGGTAATTATCGGCTGGATACTGCTGCGATCGTGTGCATCCAGCAATTTGTCTCGCCCATGTGGTGCATGTTCGAAGCATTAGCAAACATCCCTGAGCAGAGTAAGCACCATATATATTTCCTATCTGGCATACTTAGAATGTAATGGTAATACTCTTATTACTTATCGATCTCGATCGGTAAGTATGTTGATAGGTATTTGTCTGTTTCACTTTCGTATGTTATGCGATATCTCACGAAAGGGATGTTGAATCTGCTCCAAATTTTGCATGTGCATTCATCATATCTCAGACCAGAATTCTATTGATTTTGGATGAAATTATGTCGTATAATTAGCGAGTTATTAATTAATTAGTGATGGAACACGCAGTGTCGCTATTGAGTCAGAGCGGAGAGACCATGCGGAAGATCAATAAGTCGGCGGTCTCTGATTGCTATCTAGTGTTTCATCTTAGGGGCTACTTGATCATAGCCTTGTTCAGACAGAATAGCATATTAATACATATGAAATTCAAAATAATAAATCATTCAATTTAGACATCCCTGTGCTATATACATTATCGCTTCAGTCAGATAATTGAAGCCATTCTCACCTTTTTATAATGTTGATAGTTTTTCCATCTGCTTCCATAATCATAATAAATAAGTTGATTTCCACCCTCGCATTGTTGCGACCAGTGAACCATGTTCTGAGTTGAGGTCCCAGCCGGGGCATGGGAGAGATACATGGGTGTACGAGACTGTAAAAAAAGAAATATGAACGACAATCAATACACCAAGACTGGCAAGAGAGCAATGCTCATTCACATGACGAATGTCAAGAATTGTAACCGATGTCAGGTGATGGTTTCCCATCATTTGGGGTGAACGCAAGGCCCTGTAAGACTGAAAAAAAGATGTACAACACATTATAAATAGGCAAGCAATGCTTAAATATATATTAACTAATACCTCAGCCTCAGCGAATCCTAGTAAAATGGTTTTGCAAATTAAAAAAATAAAAATAAAAGCAATAGCCTTATAGACACTTCTTCAATCCTTAAGTCTGAAATCAATTGCTCTATTAGTTGCAGGAAAAAGCGACAATCACCAAAAAAAGAAAATTTCTACAAAATGATTTATAGGTCTACTTTGAGTCCAAAATGAGACGAATTCCATCAATAACAATACGAATGCACATATCCAACATACCGTATTATAATGGCTTAGTCCGGTTCCCACCATTGCATGCAGTATAATAGAGCATGTATGTGGAATATCATAACAATATTTCTCCGCAAAATCTGCAACGTAGCCATTATGTGCAAACACATCTCCTTCACCAAAACAATTCCAGACTTTCTGAAAAATTGAAAAAATTTGTTGAGAGTCTGTAGGCTGATGTGCTGCAATAGTGACAGCAGGTCAAAAATAGGAAGAGTCCTACATCCTACACTGTTTGAATGACCTCCTCCATAAGGTACTATTGATCTGACATAGGTTAGAAATGGATTATGACACTAATTGCCTATTGAACGACACCCTCCATGGAGAAGTATTGGGCCGCCATCTACCGCGGGTTATGAATAAGGATGGATATATGGTTGCAATCGCCTTTTGAATGGCCTTCTAGTAGAGAGCACAACAACACTAGGAGCAGTAGTTCCCAAACTGGTAGTTGCAAAATATCAATCCTTACCTGGAATAAACTACTTTTTATTTGCCCTTGTTTAGAAGTTGATATAAAAAATTTGTTAAAATGAAAAAAAAGACATCCCCTTACCTGTATTATCTTTGCAAACTTTGCCAAAGCTTTCAATAAACCTTTAGAATGAGAGACATAAGCAGCCGGAGCCAAAGCAATGAACTTGTTTACTCTGTCTGACATTGGTTGACCTTGAGATACAACTGATGTGATGAGATTTGTGCAACCTGGATAAATGAAAAGAAAAATATTGAATTACATGAACTTTGAAACTGCTACAATCTCTTTGTATGGGGAAGGGTAAACCTTGAGGAGGGGAAATCTGGGGGGAGAGGAGAAATCTTAGGGGAGAGGAAGTCTGAGGAGAGGGGAAATCTGAAAAGGGAAATTTTAGAAGAGGGAAAATCTGAGGGGCGGAAAAATCTGAAAGAGAGGGGAAATCTGAGGAGAGGGGAAATCTTAGGAGAGGAGAAATCTGAGAGGAGAGGAAGTCTGAGGAGAGGGGAAATCTGAAAAGGGAAATTTTAGAAGAGGGAAAATCTGAGGGGCGGAAAAATCTGAAAGAGAGGGGAAAACTGAGGGGAGGGGAAGTCTGAGGGGAGAGGAAGTCTGAGAGGAGGGGCAGGGGCGTGATCAAAGGTAGGTAAGTAAAGTATAAGGTATTTATGCATTAACAATAATTTAGTCAATTAGAATAGCCAAACATGTGATTAAATTAAAAAATAATGCAATATTTCACTACAAACAGAGAACTTCCAAGGGTTCAGTAAGGAAATATAATGAGCATAATTGATAATCAGGGAGAAATGAACATTTTTGGAAAATATGAAAACCACTAAAAAATCTGAATTTCCTACGAACCCTACCTTCAGAATGGCCGATGAAGTCCAATTTCTTATGCCCAGTTTGAGACAAAACAAAATCCACCATAACAGGAACGTCATACTGCCCCATTTCATCAAAACTGTCAATTGAAATAGATTATCAAGTTAATTTACGAAGTGTTCACCTTCAATAACACTCATAGAGTGTTCACTTTAATGTAAGATCATAAAATTGGGCGCTTCAAAAGTGTGTGTACCAATACGGTGGTAACTAATTTTGTTCGCCTACGTTGTGTGAAGGGACTGAAACCTATGGGCAGGGGGTATATTCACTTGGCTAACAAAGGCAGTCCCCAAACTCGTAATAGAACTATAATAAGGAAAATTGGAATAAAATTATGACCGAACCCTAACCTGGTACACATAATATGGGAGTACCTAAATTTCTATGAAGAACATGATCCCATTTAAGAATACATTCAATATTATGTCTTCGAAAATATTATCTTGAATGAGCACAATGAAGCATGATATATTAGATAAAGTTTCAGGAGCTCTTGGTGTAACAGTGGTCAGAGATGATTCTCTATTACATTGAGCAATTTCACACTATAAACTTATCCAAAAGAACTATGTAAGTAATCAGACCTCCATTTCCAAAACTCTTTATCATTTGGATGCAAATGTTGATGTCTCGTTGTATATCTGTTGCCTCTGATATTTCCCAACCAAACCTAGATTGAAAAAAGTCAGATGTAATCTATTAAAATATATTGCAAAACATAAACAAAAAATACGAAGACATTTTAGGACAGACTGTGCAGTAGGCTACGCCTACGCCTATTCAATATATAGAAATTCCTGATTTTAGGATTATAATAGTTGAATATATTCAGCAATTGAAGCCTAACTATACTCCCAAAAAAGCTTTTAATGAAATTCTGAAAATTGAAAAATCAATCATATCACATTTGATCTCAACTTGCCTAAATTTCAGAAAAAAAACTCTGTAAGTTTTTAGCAAAGAAATTCAGAATGTTCATCATATATTAGAAACATTATTTCAGAATGTGTTTGAAAGTGTCGATTATTCAATTTCGGCCAGCTGACCCTGGATCATCTTAATCAACAAATTTTTTTAAACAAGACTAACATATGTCACTTTTTTCTCAGTGCACAGACACAGCAGAATAACCCAATATATTTATGTAAATTTAGATATTGTGCAATTCTACGATTGTTTATTTAAAAATTATGTCTTACATCATATCCCATGTCAGCGAGAATGAACGCAAGACTTTCATTTCGTAAATTGTTGATGTAACAATCACATGAACTCAACAGACCGTGAAGTAAAAATACTGGCAACTTGTCTGGGTCTGAAATAGGATTTCTATTTACTAATAGAAAATGAAAATCTAGTAGTACAGTTGGGCAATTCAATGGAACTACAGACAAACTAGAAAAAAATAGAAGTGATTTCAATATCATCATATATTTTGGAGTAAAACCATGCTTGGCAAAATAACTTAAATTCATTTTGATACCTTGTGGGTATATTTTAACTTGAAGTCCTGTATTATATATATATATATATACTTAGTGGTTGGTGCATCGATCTAAGCATTGGAAAACACTTGCCATTTTTGGTACTCCCGTAGTATGTGTACCAGGTTAGGGTTAGGCCATAATTTCATTCTGAATTTCCTTATTTTAGTTCTATTATGAGTTCGGGACTGTCTGTGTTAGCCAAGTGAATATAATATACCCCCTGCCCATAAGTTTCAGTCTCTTTATACAACTTGATGTAAAGTAGGCGAACAAAATTATTTACCTCCATATTGGTACATATACTTCTGGAGTGCCATTTGCTTCAAACAAGGCCCTATAGAAGCATTACAGTTTCAGCTACATTACTTTTCAAGATATTTCCAAATCGTGATCTCATAGCCTTCAATTCAAAACTATTTAAGTATTTTGATCACACTTACGTGGTTTGATTCTTGGCGATCTGACCCTGATTACAAGAAGTATAAATCCGTCTGCAGTTGTTACGTAATGCTCATCTGCTTCTAGTCCTTTATTTCGAATCAGTTCTGTCTGTTGGAGAATACAGAAATATTATTAACTGGGAAATAAGGAAAAGTTCTTAAGACTGAACAAAATGAGTCAAATATATTATAAGAGATTCAAGAGTCTTGCTGCACGCTAACACAAATATGTTTCTGTAATGTCTCGTCTGACCAAACTGGTAAGCCGAGGTGGAAAGGAGTCGCGAGAAACCAAGACTGGTTATCGAGCAGTGACACCCGTGAAAAAAACCTAACAGTAATTGATAATAGCATAAAAAAAATAGAACAACAAGCAAAAGAATATAGGAAGAAATTACAATCGGGGCGACCTGATTTTCTAGGAGGCGCCCGATACACAGAAAAAAAAAACGACTCCTAGCACAGATGTTCAAGTTACCATGGAAACAGCAGCAAGAGTGCAAGACGACGACAAAGTATTACTCATTGCCGTTACTGCGTTGCTCATAATGGATCGTGACGCCGGTGGTTGGTGGATGGAAATTTTCATATATATATATATATATTTTCATATACAGAAACATATTTGTGTTAGAGTACAGCAAGACTCTTGAATCACTTGGATAGATATCTTTACTCTTGCTACAGCATCCTTGCATTATATGCATACGGATCCGCCGACACAAAAGCATAGAGGAAGGATAAGTAGTTAGTCCCGCAGGAACCAAATATATTACATACATGAAATTGTGCTGTTTTTTTGTGAACAAGTCCTATTGACTGATTTAACTATGCCATTGTATAAGTATATTAGAATACACAAGGCAAACTCACAGGAGAGGAAATTTAAAAAAGTTTCTAAAATATCAAATGAGGTTTAAAACTGACTGAAAAGTAACACATGCTGACATGGGCATTTTCTCATCCTGTGAATTAGAATATAGGTGAAAAACATGACTATGTACTCTCTAATCAAAAGCTTGTGATACTGTGATAATACATGATTATGAATGAAAAAAACATGATTAAAGGCCCTCTAATTAAACTTTAAATTAAAGCTGGAAGGCATAGCTGCATTGCGAAAGCCGGCAAATTTTATTTCAAAAAAACTAATTCACTATCTAGTGAGTTTCCCATTTTCTGAGTTTATTTTCTTAGATTTCAGTATTTATGAAGAAATAAAACTTACTGCATTTCTCTTTGCATCTGGGTCAGGAGGTAATTTCCCAATATGTTGATAATTTTGTCCAAATTGTGACAATATTTCTTCAAAAAGATGAGAAACGTTTCCCCATGTTTCGGATATTTCTTGTTTGTGAAGTTTTGAAGCGTTAAATTTCTTTAGAAACGTCGTAAATTCATTTTGTAGTTCCAAAAAAGCTTCTTTTTGTCCAGAAAATTGTCCTTTTTCAACAGTGAAACCATAAAGAGTAACAAATAATGCGGTCAAAATTACGATAACTTCGCCGCAACTCATTGTAAATCCTTTAATCTACATAAAGCAGAAAGAAATGCCAAATAAGCTATATCAACTTATCTATTATAAAGTCACATCGCTCGCTAAACTAAGCAAGCAGTAACTCTCGAGTTTACTCGCGGTCGTCACCTAAACTGACCAGCTGATCGACGATTGACCTGAAGTTACCTCATTTAGTCTTTGTTGCGCAACAGACCGTGACCAGGAATGCCTAATCAGCGATTCCACCGATATTAACCCCGTTCCCGCGCATAATCATATATGGCGCTAATCAAACTTCTTTGTTATGTAACAAAATTTTTGACGGAACTAACGTCTATTCCCTGTGTGATGTCACTATTTTGACAAAGTATCCTGAAAAACGGTTTCATTACATTTGAACCCACGTACATTTGAACCCATGACAATTGCACCTGTATGCTATTGCACCCATGGAATTTTTTTTGTTTCACGGATAGTTAAACCCATACTAACCCTAACCCATGGGTTTTAGCACCCGCATATAGATTGAACCCGTGGATATACGCATGGGTTCAAATGTACGGTCACCCTGAAAAACATTAAATGACATCATAATACTACCATCATTAAACTTTTTTCCGTTTGCGCGCATTACAGATCGAGATGTGTGACTGAATAGAATAGGTTTTCAAATTTTTCCCGGGGAGGAGTGAGAAGACGATGACTCAGAGATGAGTCTGCATTACATCTAAGTGATTGCGCGTTACCTTGCTTTCAGCAAATAGTGTTAAAAATATGGTTTATTCACACGTTGGTTCGTGTCCACTCTGATTACCAGGTCAATAACGTAGTTCAGTAGTTGTAAAATGGCTAATTAGAATTTGAAATAGTTCTTATGAAAGAATTATGATTTCAATATCACTTTGGCTCGGCGGTGTGGCGCTTTGTGCTAAGCGTTAGGAATACGTATGCATAGAACTATATTTTAATATTGTGAACGATTGCAGCTACCGTGTTTCCCTGAAAAACAGGCCTAGCCCAAAAATACGACCTAGCTAGCCTGACATTTGAAATGATTTTAATATAAGCCCTCCTCTGAAATAAGACCTAGTAAAGAGATGGTGACACAGCCATGTTAGTAACGACAACTTAGTATTCCGCATGCGACTAGTTGACCAGGCAATTGTTTCGCATGCATGGAATTCTCTTTTATATAATATTGACAGTTGCAGCTTTCTTATTCCCGACCATTGCTTCTTCCAGGTCTCCACTCTTAGAAAACACAGAAGCTGAAGGGATATAAAATCAATGAAAACATCTTGGATGAACTTGACAAGATATGAATTAATATAATCTTACTCTGATATTTTGAGCCAGCGATACGAATTGAATGATGTACAATGTACATAATCCGCTAGTCAAAGAATCTAGTTACGTAACTGTCCTGTAACAGCTGGTAAGATAATCCAAAGTTATTCGAGAATCATCCTTATTTTTACTGCGTCGTAGCAAATATGCGATAGAAGTTCCACATCCAGCACTTATTATGATTCAAAACAAATCGTTTTTCCGCCTTGTTAGTATGACAAGGGCTACATCTATTTGTTGAATTCCTTCACACCGATTCGTTTCTTGATCTGTAGCTTCAAATTCCTCAAGGCCACTTTCTACTGTCATATTAGACACAAACCTAAAACTGCGAATACCTCCATGCGAGTCAGTAGTCGCTTACTACTCTTCCATCCTCTCTGACTTTAGGTGAAGGCTCGCGACCTTATTTTGAACAACTTAGTATGACGATATATCGTAGTCGAGGAAGGTCACAAAACTTGCTAGACTTGTGTTTGACTTTTGCTACAGGCTCCATTCTACTTAGCTATATAAAGTACTCAAACTTGAAGAATTTCTGCATCGATCTATATTTAGCCTGGTAGTCTGTCGGACCATATTCGCGCGCTTTTTGTTCACCGTGTCCTTACGAACAATTGGGGGTATTTAGTGGGCGTGGTTCTTTAAATGACCAGTCATTATCCTAAAGAATCGTATCTCATGACAATTTCCTTTTCCACCCTTTGTGCGACTGCTGTAGAGATATCATGTTGCAATGGTCACATTCTATATAAAGATCTCTGGCTATTATTAGATTTACAAATCGAGTACCCTTTTAAAAACTAGAATTTCTTTGTCCAGTTGGTCAGTAACTCAAGAGTCTTTTGTTTGAACAAGTTGCAACTCGAGTCGTCGAGTGCTGATTGACTGACCGATAGTGACCCGCACGGAATTAGGAAACGTACGGAGCTCAAATCAAACAGCTCATTCAAAATAACAAGCTTCCAAATCAGAGGTGTGCAACAGGCGTCCTGCGGGCCACACCCGGCATGCCAAGCCACTTGTTGTGGCCCATGTCAATACCTCTCTTGCCTAGTAATAGCTGACTCAGATGACTGTGAATCGTCGTATCGTACCGCCCAGTCATCTTTAGAGAACTTAATTTTCTCATTTTGCTATCATATATATTTTATGTGTTTTCTGGGTTGACGAAATAAATAAACTCTCTCACTATCCCGCTGAATTTTTTGTGTTGCCCTGCTAAATGTCTGAAGTTAGTTATAAGGCCCATCGACAAAATGTCGCACAACCTGTTCTTAATGCTGTTAGCTTGACCACTATACAACAGTGATTAGTGATTACAGTTTAATAACTCTCGTTCGTTGTGGAGTCGGCTTTATCCTGATATTGTTTCACCAGTAATCAACTGTTCTGTTACTCATTCCGTTTATTTTCGATTATGATAAGTTGGAATAAGTCCTAACATATTCTTGTAAGATAAACGGAACGAATGTAACATTTCAAAAAATGCATTGTGGGCCATAAATAGGATAGTACGGAAGAGAATAAATATTTTTAGTTTGTATACACGTTTTAAACTTTTACTTATTACAAAACTAAATCTGCAAGGAGAATGATCAAATACACCTGACGTGCAATTAAATCTAAAAGCATAGATCTTCAATAAAAACCCATAACTGCAAGCAGTAGCGTGTCAAACTTTTCTGCCGTGTTTCTGATAATGATGCTTCTTATACCCAACTTCAAAAATTATTTGTGGGATAAACAACTTATAGATGTTGTTATATGAAAAACAAATTGAAGGTCAAGCAAGAGTGAAATGTTTGTATTACTATCATTATTTAAATTATTAAACCTAGCCACAAACTCCCCCCTATAACGTTCTACCCGGGGCGGCTGCCCTTTTGGCCCCTCTAGACAAGCCACTGACTGCTGTAAAATATCGAAAGCACAAATTGCAGATATAAACCCCCGGTTTGACAGCCTTGCTGGAAACCAATTCAACATTCTAACACACATTCATGGGTGTATCTACATAAAATTGCACTCATGGCAAAGTTTGAAATTGCGCCTCCTTGGCCCTTGACAGACAATTTTAAAGAACTGTTTTTGAAATAGATACTTGTACGTTATTATATGAATAAAAAAACGAGTTTCAATTATTTGCAATTTAAAATTATTTTATTGAAACATTCTACGATGAAAACCTTTTTGCGCCCTGTCCGAACGGTGCTTGTTTCAATTTAAAATTATTTTTACGATTGAGACATTTTGTCTATTTTTGCGCCCCTTTGAACATCATGTAACTATGATGCAACAATAGCGTTCTCGTTAGTTGCATAACAATGACTAAAGTGACGCAACAATTGAAAATATTTCTGTTTTGTCTATTAACTGCACTGGCACTGTGACTAAACCTCCTGTTTAACGAACTGGCCGACTTGGAGTTTGAATAAGACACGGTGGTCTAAGAATATTTATAATAAAGCATCAACATGCTGAAGCAAGGAATGATTTCCCCTGAAAAAGAAAAAAACGCGGAACCCCTGAGGAACCCATAAACTCACGGAACCCCACTGCATGTATTGTGGAACCCTAGGGTTCCGCGGAACCCCTGTTGAGCACTGGTCTACATGCAATTGCTTTTTCGCGTCAATCAACAATATCCTTCAACTATCACATGCAATAATAAATTTGCACAGTGACTCTATTTGGTTCATTTGTTAGCTTACTCATAGTCATACCGGAAACACGTGATGTCAAAGAGACCTCTTTTGAGCTGGTTAGATTTACAGAAAAACAAATGTGTCAGTAAAAACGGTGAGTAACCCGATTGAAAGTATCAACTTTTAAAGCCTCTTTAAGCAAGAATCTTACTCGATCTCGTTTTGACCGTGACTCACCAATGGGACTGAACAATACAATTCTGTTTACTAGAATCTGACATAATAAAGTCGAATGGAATTTTGCGCCAAGGGAAAACAAAAAGGCGATATTCAAACTCAACCAAAGTAATCACGCTATAAACTAAATGTAAGCTTAATTAATACAACCTGCTCTATTTGTGTTGCAGATCACAACACGGGTCGCGTAACGCGTTGTTGTATGATACAATTTCTTTGTTCTGAATCCCGACGAGCGGGATATCTTGCGTTGTTTACTTTTCCCTGCAATAACTACAGCGTCGATTTTTGTTTGTCCATGCCACGCAGTAAATGATTTGGATTAAATTTAACCACCATGTTGCAACTGCAATACTTTGCAAACTTGTATCTGTTTTCTGTTATAACTCATCAAGTATTTGAAGCAGTGTTTCTCAAACGAGGGGGGGGGGGGCGCCCCACAAGGTGGACGTAGACAATTTTTGAGGGCGTGGAGGGAATCAAATAAAAAATACGTGTCCGATTTGATCTTACCCGCCCTATTTTGAATATTTACGTCCCATCTACGTATTTGCAACGTGTTTTTTAAATAAAATATATTCTCGCCTTACTATATCTGTTATTTGTAGCTAGTTATTTTTGAGGTGGGGCGCGCGACTTGACAAATTCTAAAAGGAGTCCGCGAATTAAAAAAGTTTGAGAACCGCTGATTTAGAGCGTTTGATCTATTCATATTGACCACGCCAGTTTTAAAGATATCTGATTTAAACTCCATGCCCCTAATCTAATCCGGGGTGTAATAAATTTGGCGAAAAAAATGCCGTTTTTCCCGAAAAATACTATCTCCATGTTTGTTAATGACTTGATGTTACAGAGTGTCGTTGGGAATTGAGGTGTAAAGCGCCCAATAAAACAGTAAATGTACAGTTCAGGAAAATTTGTAACGTATTATTCCGATTGTCGTGAATAAATCCATTAAAACGGCTGAATGACTTATTCTGCTTTTACATTTTATTTCTTCATATAGTTTTGTTCGTATTTCATTGCTGATGCTATATATACCTGTTGACTTCTTGGCTTCTACATAGCATGAGACAGGAGCCTTGGTGACCTAACTGGTCTTGCCCCCCTCCCCCTCTATGGAGAGCATACGAAACGTGAGTCATATATTTCGGACCCAGGTTCGTATCGACGCAAACACCCTTCAAGTTCGGTACCCCCGTAGTATGTGTACCAGGTTAGTGTTAGACCATAATTTTATCCTGGTTTTTTCTTATTAGTGTGTTAGCAAGGTCAGTATACCCCCTGCCCATAGGTTTCAATTCCTTTACACAACTTGGTGTGAGGTAGGCGAACGAAATTAGTTACCTCCATATATACTTCTGGAGCGTCGTTCTATTGTGAGGGAAGTTCTGCATTTTGGATTCATAGAAAAACTAATAAATTTAGTTGCACATTGGTTTATTTATCATCTTTCTATACAAAACTGTATTTTCTGTATTCCAAGTTAAGAAAAAAGAATGATATTCAAATAATATCATCATGCCAGAAAACACGCCTAAAATCGGTGTTCCCAAATATATTCAACTTATAGTGTTCCCAAATATAATTTATTCAAAAATGCTCGGCGGAAAACCCCATCTCGACATAACTGATCTTTTCCCTCTATTTCTCCGCCGTGGTGTTGCTGTCAATGGATCTCTTCTTTTTCTTATTTCTTGGTTCACACATTCTTCCTTCATCAGGTCAAAAGTTGAATAATTGTTGCAACAACCCTTTTCTCGCTTCTTGTAAGAGATTCGACCCCGACAGCATCCGTAATCATTAATTCTGTGAAGTGAATTCAAAATATGATCGTTTATTTCTGAATACCAACAACATAATGACAATCCACACTTCGTTGGCAATAAGACTAAGTTATTCTATTTCTACCAAATAGCAAGGGCACTCCCGTAGTATGTGAACCAAGATGGCGGACAACGGAACGTAGTATGTGTACCAGGTTAGAGTCAGGCCATTACTTTTCTTCTATATTTCTTTATTTTAGTTCTATCACAAGTTTGGGGACTAACCAAGTGACTCCCGTAGTATTTGTACCTGAAATTATGGCCCAACCCAAACCTGGTACACATACTACGTTCCGATGTCAGCCATCTTGTTTCATATACTACGGGAATACCCTGAAATTATGAGGTATCTCCACTTGGCTAACACAGACAGTTCCCATCCTCGTAATAGAACTAAAATAGGGTAAAATTATGGCCTAACTCTAACTTGGTATAGGCTACATACCACGGGAGTGCCTTCAAATCCACGCAGGGTAATCAGAGGTGCGGTGGCGAACGTATTCCTAACGCTTAGCACGATGTGTCGAGTCAGATACACATAAAATACGAGAGTTTCAGATAAAAATATACTTACGATCTGCCAACTCCGCCACAGCATACTTCCATTATGTTATGGTAAGTCCTCTCCCCACAACATCGAGTACCCCTGTTCAATCTAGGCCTGCAAAAAAAGCATAATAATTCAATTCAGAATCCACTTATTGTCATACCCGATTTGGTGGCCGGATAAAAGTCGGAATTTGGCATGTCGGATCTCTCGAAGTATGTGCACCAAGATGGCGCACAACCTGAACAAAGTATGTGTACCAGGTTAGGGTTCAGGTCGTGCGCTATCTCGGTGCACATTCTTCGGGAGCTCCGGTATGTCTTCACTAGAGTCAAAAATGGGGTCGTATTTTAAATACCCCTGGGTCGGAGTCGAAATTATTAACAGGGGTTAACCCCACTCCCCTTTTAAAATGTGAAAAAAATATTTTCAGTATCATACATTTTTCGTTGTTTGAAACGCTTTTCAGACCAACCAAAACCCAGACCAGGTGGATGTTACGGTTTAACTTGGCAATTAGAAATTTCAGAATCCCTCCTTTGAAAATCCCTGGCTACGACTAGGGCTGGGCATTTCGAATCGAATATTCGAATCGAATCGAATAGTAAATTATTCGAATCGGTTCAGAGCTAAATTTTGAATCGCCGCCATCTTGTTTTCTTCTTTTCGCCAATGGTGGAGGTGAATTCCCCAATTTTTTTTTCATTGAAGTCATATTTTTTCAACGCAATTCTGACGTATGACTATTTTCTGTAGTGAGTTATTGATAAAACGTGTTTGTTATTGTGTGTGAACGCTCAGTAATCTATCTGAGTGATTTATTATATGTCTTCAGTAATTCATTTGTTGAGAGGACCAATTATTATAAAAAGTCGCTTACAAATATATATTTCCAAGTATTCGAGATTCGATTCGAAAAAATTATTCGATTCGATTCTGAAATCACAAGGTATTCGAAAATGCCCAGCCCTAGCTACTACCCTGATTATGAATCTGGTCAGCCTCTGATGTCAATGGTAATAAAATAAGTCTCAATTTTTTACAGAGCTTTAAAGTGATTAGATTGTTTACTAAGCGTTATTAGCTGTCTATTAAAAAGCTTCCATACGTCGATCAAAATTCGATTTTCCTAGAGGGCTGTGGTAGGAGTCTAAATATTTAACAGCCCGAAGTATCCGATATCCGTTACTTCTATTTCCGTAATATACAGGGTGTCCAAAAAGTTTCGCCGATCACAAAGTCTTTATAATCAAATGTTATTTTATTTTTATTTTAAAAAAGATTTGTAGTCAACCTGTTTCTAATTGGATGTTATAGATGTTAAATGTTGTAGTCTCCACATTTATCATACAACCAAACTTATTCAAATTTGCAATTGGTAATGCTATGAAATCGAGCGGAACTTTTCGGACACCTTGTGTATATATATTAACAAAAGATCTAAACATAGATATATGATTATGAACATGGAAATACGCTTACCGGTAACTGACAGTTCACGCGAAATCAATAAACACAAATCAGGCTGAATTTGGGGTTAAATGGCGGGCTTTATGAACTAGCTTGATAGCGCCGAAGCGTCAATTTTTCTCGATAAAACTCCTAATAAGATCAAAAAACGGTATTCCCGAAGTATGTGAACCGAGATGGCGGACACCGGAACGTAGGTACGTGTACCAGGTTAGGGTTAGGCCATAATTTCATTTCAATTTTCCTCATTTTAGTTCTATGACGACACGAATTTGGGGACTAGCCAAGTGACTCTAGTAGTATTTGTACCTGAAATTATGGCCTAATCCTAACCTGGTACAGATACTAATTTCCGGTGTTCGCCATCTTAGTTCAAATACTTCGGGAGAACCCAAAAATCCGTAAAAATAATCCATAGGTCCACCTCGCGTATAATGATATATATTTCACCTTTTTACATTATTGCAACAGAGTTGTTTTTTAATGTTGGCATAATCGTCCCCACACTTGATATAATCGGGATCCGAAGCTTTCCACGATTCTGTTGTTGTTGTTAGGGGTGCTGGTGTCGTCATAATCCCTCTCATCGTCATAGTGGTTGCTAGGATACAAAATTATTTTCGAAATGAAGTCGAGTGCCCTACTGATATTTTGTTATCCGTTATATGCCTTAGGATATGTTTTCTGTTTGATCTGCCTTTTGCAGCAGTGATCTAAGGCAGGGGTGTGCAACCTGCGGCTCGCGGGCCAAATGCGGCCCGCGGAGCAGTGCCAATTTGGAATAGTGTGCGGCTCACAAAATGAGTTTTTAATTCAGTTTAATCTGGTAAGTGCGACTATTTCCAATGCCTTTGCGTTGCAAAGCCTATACCGGAGTCCAACTTATTATCTATGACGTTACAATTCCTTTCTGGTGCGTGCAACTACTGGAAAGCCTATTTTAAATAAAGGTGCGGCCCGCAAGTTCATCCAGTTATTTGTGACTGGCTCTCCTGTATTGTAAAGGTAGTACACCCCAGATCTAAGAGTTACCTACAGCCTTCATTCAACAACTGTTTTGTTATCTGAATATTACCGGAAGGTTGTCTAAAATTGAATTAGGTTGTCCTGGATTAGGTATCTGGCCATCCTGTATTAAAGGTTGTACACCCCTGATTTAGATAATGAAATGAACTCGTGACAAAACTTCTAAGCGCTCACCAGTTCTAGAAAGTTTCCTAGCTTCGCATTTTCCTGGAAGCAATAGAATGTCGTCAATTGCAATGTCTGATTTATAGCTGGTTCCTCGGATTCCACGAAATTCGAACTGAAAAAAGAAAGTAAAGGATAATTATATAAATACGAAGCTACCCTCATAGGCAGACATGGGCAAAGTGAGGCCCGCGGGCCAAATCCGGCCCGCTAACTAATTCAATCTGGCCCGCCTGAATGTGCCACAACCAAACTGAAACAAAATTTTGATGTTTTAATTGAATATAGCTCAAAGAATTTGTTGAGATTGCGGTTAAACTTAGTTTTGGCACGAGGCTTATTGTTTTCCACTGTTGCTTTTGTAACACTGTAAATATTGTTCATAAATTGTAACTTTTTACGTGTCACTTACATTGCCCACCAGGGGGCTCCCGAAGTATGCGAACCAAGATGGCGGACATCGGAATATAATATGTGTACTAGGTTAGGGTTAGGCCATAATTTTAGGTATAAATACTACGGGAGGCTCTTGGCTAGTCTTCGAACTGATAATAGGACTAATATAAGAAAAATTGGAAAAAAATTATCGCCTAACCCTAACCTGTTACCCATGTTACGTTCCGATGTCCGCCATCTTGGTTCGCATACTTCGGGAGCACCCCCACCATTCTAAGTTTGACCCCTGGTTTAAAAACCATGCCCTGTTCTATGCGTTCTCTTACCACGACAGGTCTATAGTGTTTCTGTATAGTCGTCGACCGCAAGGTTGTTGTGCTTTCCTTCCATTCATTCCCGTCTTTGCTCAGCTGACCTAGATTAAAATTCGCAAAGTTACGCTGGAAATACAGTAAGTTTTACTTCTTTTTAAGCAGCGAGTTACATGAAAAACCTAATGTATTTCTGAGGACTGGGTCAGGCCGACATTACAAATAAATTTTATCACAATGAGTGCGAGATGGCCGCTATGAACTTAGCAACCGAGATTTTTACTTAGTAAAGCCCAGTGTGATAACAACTCAACCATCGCACTAATGAACAACAGTATGATACAGTGAGCATATGTTTAAGATGGTTCCATTACATTTGAACCCATGACAATTGCACCTGTATGCTATTGCACCTATGGAATTTGTTTTGTATCACGGATAGTTAAACCCATACTAACCCTAACCCATGGGTTTTAGCACCCGCATATAGATTGAACCCGTGGATATACGCATGGGTTCAAATGTACATGGGTTCAAATGTACGGTCACCGTATAACAGGGGTTCTCAAACTTTTGGTGTTGCGGAGCCCCTGAAAAGGTTGACTATTATTCGCGGAGCCCCCAAAAAAATGTTAAAATTGTAGCTTTCCGATAAATATTCCTGAGTAAGTTAAAAGTACTTAACTTAATTTAAATGCTAAACCTTTTTTTAATGGGGTTAATGCAAGTCATAAATAAATCAAAATTTCAAAGATAAATTATATATACTATTACTAAACTGTAAATTTGACACTTGACAAACATATTAATAAACTAGGGGTCGAATCTTTTCCCTTTTGACATTTTCGGAAGACTTAAACGAATGCTAATAACGTGCGCGATTGCATTTTGTTACAATCACCGATAGTTTTCGTCAGCATGGCATGTTTTTGAACATCTTTACGCCGGTGTTTATTCTCCCTAAATCATAAATTTTCTTCGGCATATACATGTATTGTTCCACAATGACGACGATAAGTGCTTTTTTGTTCTCGTGGGGAATTATGAGTTCAATGTGAAAAACATGTTACCATATAGTCATCGGCGACGAAATGCTAAAAATAATAATTGATAATAAAGAGGTAAATCCGCAACTCAAATTTCTTGATTGAAAAACGGCATTCTAAAATATTAAAACTTAAAATAAAAGATCACACTATAAGTTTGGTTTTAGCAGACTCACGTCAGATTAAAAACGCTTTTATAGGCATTGTAAATCACAAAATTTGGTGTAATGTTAGGTTTTCTTTGGGTATTCATCGTATAGTAACTGCGAAATCGAAACACAGTCAATTGTGTGCGCGATTTCCTTTTTTTTTATTCTGAAACTACCGACGGAGACGCATTGCATTAAAATAAATTTCAATCGTATTTTGCCCAGATTTTGTGATTTTTTAAACGGCGATATCTTGCTTAATAATAAGAACAAAAAAGAACAAATCAAGTTTGACAAATTCCAAGATCGCAAAAATACGCAACAGAAATCTCCTTATCCGCTTTTTATAATCGCAAAGAATGTTGCACGGAAATTTCCGATTCAAATCCCCACCTCTCGAGAATCCTGGCTTCGCTCCAGCTCATAAATAATGTCATTTTTCAATTCCGCCTCTTTGCCATATTTCGAGGCTATATTGTTGTCAAATTTTATCAAAGCTGTTATTGTTTCTTTGAACAGTTACAAAACTAGTCATTATTTTGAAAAGTAATCGGATAGCTCGCGGAGCCCCTGGGTTTCTCTCGCGGAGCCCTGGGGCTCCGTACGGAGCACTTTGAGAACCTATGCCGTATAAGATACCTTAATAAAGGGGTGTGCAACCTGCGGGCCAAATGTGACCAACAAGAAAAAAGTTTGCGGCCCGCGGAGAAGTGACAATTTTGAATGATGTGCGACCCGCGTAAAGAGTTTTTATTTTAATCTGGTACGTGCGAGTAATTTTAATTCCTTTGCGTTGCAAAGCTTGTGCAAAGCGAACATCCCATGTCATAAAATCAATAACAAAATTTCGGTACTCCTTCAGTATTCGCATCAAGATGTCGCACAACCTGAACCCTGACTCGGTACACCACCTGAGTTCAGGTTGTGCGCCATCTTGGTGCGCATACTTCAGGAGGTCCCAAATTTCTTTGCTTGCAACTACTGGAAAGATTATGTTAAACAAATGCGTGACCCGCGGTTTCACCCAGTTATTTGTATCTGGCCCTTCTGTACTGAAGGTTGCCCATCCCTGCTTTAATATATTGAGAGTGTCTTAGGAAAACATCCAAAAGCTTCAAATACCTGAATTTTAGATACTGTTATGTACTATGCAATACATAAGAATCGTCTATGGCAGGGGTGTGCAAAGTGCGGCCCGCGGGCCAAATGTGGCCCGCAAGCAAAAATTGTGCGGCCGCGGAGGCAAATGGAGAGCAGTTCGAAAAAAATTAATATTAAAAGATACAAAAGCTAAATGAGTTTTGGTTCCAGCTTATCAATTGATTTGTCTAAATCTCACCTAGAATAGGATTTGACAGCAAATTATTTGGAAATCAATCTTGACGTATTTTACTGAAAACATCTCAACCAAGATAACCATCGACATTTGAAAAAAATCACGGCTTCAAATATGGCACTTTTCGCACTTCCATAATAACAAAAAGGCACCATTTCGTGCCTGCAACTAATAAAAAGCCTGAGTTAAATGTAGGTGCCGCCCGCGGTTTCAGCCGGTTATTGATATTTGGCCCGCCTGCAAAAAAGGGTGCACACCCCTAGTCTATGGTACAAAATTATTCGCCAGATTAAGTTAAGTATGGTGAGATAGTTTCAAGGCATGACTTTTATGAGACACTGACAAATAGCTGATCGAGATGACGCGAAAGACTTGTTACTTCATAATAATACCTGCAAGCTTGTCCACAACTTTTCTTAGTTGTGCCTCCCCGGCTGCGTTCCAATATATCCAAATAGCTCCGCTTCCTGATCCGTACATATTATACCTGAAGAAATTAACATAGGATAGCATTTTCATATTTATTTTATTTTTATTTATCAAAAACAAGATTGCAAAGTAGAAAATTACGAGATTTTCAAATCTATATATATATACAAAATGGTGACCGTACATTTGAACCCACGTACATTTGAACCCATGTGTATATCCACGGGTTCAATCTATATGCGGGTGCTAAAACCCATGGGTTAGGGTTAGTATGGGTTCAACTATCCGAAAAACAAAAAAAATTCCATAGGTGCAATAGCATACAGGTGCAATTGTCATGGGTTCAAATGTACGTGGGATCAAATGTAATGGAACCATACAAAATATGAAAACTGATATCCATTTGCATATGTGCATATTTCGTGTCATAGTAGTAAAATGCTTGTCTTAAGAAGTCTGACCTCGGTCAGACGAAACGTTACAGAAATATTTTTGTGTTAGTGTGTAGCAAGACTCTTGAATTAAATAGAATAGTCATTACTTATCGATTTTAATCGGTAAGTATGTTGATAGGTATTTGTCTGTATGTATGTCTGTCTGTCTGTTAGATGCACGCGATATCTCACGAAAGCGAGATTCAATCTGCTCCAGATTTTGCATGTCCGTTTATCATATCTCGGACCAGAAGCCTATTGATTTTGGGCGAATTATGTCGTTTAATTACCGAGTTATTAATTAATTAGTGATGGGACACAAGGTGTCACTATGGAGTAAGAGCTCTGTTTTGAGGGATTCCCTAACTTTCGATCGATAAGTCTTCGGTCTCTGACCGATATTCTCGTTTTCACTCTTGCTATAGCATCATTGCGTTATACGCATATACGAATCCACCTGAGCAAAGGCATAGAGCAAGGAAAGGTAGTTAGTTTCACCCCAACTGTTAGTTATGATATCCATTTACTTATAAATGACGTTTTTTAAGAAATAAATTTGCGCTATCGAATTGGGCTTATTTTTAGAGAAGGGCTAGGGTAAAAATCATTTTTAAAGTTCAGGCTAGGTCTTTTTTGGGGGGAGACGGTATAGAGCTCTTCTGGCATTCCGTAATGTATCGGTGTAAAGGCTCGGCGGCGTGGCGCATCGTGCTAAGCGTTAGGAATACGCTCGCCACCGCATCTTTGATAATCCTTCGTGGGTTCGAATCCCATGCGGGGATGATCATGTGCGAGAGGATTGCTGGACTCCTCGCCGCCGTAGGGGCTTCCTCCACCCTCAAGTCCATGATTCCAAAAATAACGGGCTAACTAATCTCATACCCGACGTGGAATGGTAACCAGACGAGAGGCCGTGGTTCGCCATATGATTAAGCCGTCTTATCGGCTTTCCTCTCCCCCGGGATAAATATGTAAATCCTATCCTATCCTAAATCGGCGTTGAAAGCTCTTTCGAGCATAACGTATACTAACCAGTAACGCAGGCAATAATGAGGTTCAGCCATCATCATGACTGGCGGAGTAGTAAACACAGCTGTCTCTCCTGATCTTGAGCCGCTTGCTTCAACGTAGGCATAAGTCCCATCTGTTTGAATATGTAACAAATTACCCAATGATTTTGGAAATAATGACATCAAGACTAAAAATAATTCATAAATAAGTCATGAATATTGGAGAATAGTCAAGAACATTCTAAATATGATATTTCAACATAACGTGCAAAATAGCGAATAATTTCCCATGTGATATGTTGAATGACCTTGTTTTACATGAATAATCAGTGTAAGAACGGTCTTGAATAATCGAGAAAATTGTGTATCCCTTTAAATGCGATCTCAAACATTTCAAGCGATCGTCGTCTTTATCGTCCAATATAAATAATTCTGATGATCGCTACACTACTGTTATAAATAATAACTTGAAATTGTAAGTTGGTTTATTTGATTTCGAGGGAAATAAAATCTATACAGGCAATTGTCTAGATCAGTGGTCGGCAACCACCGGGCCGCGGCCCATCACCGGTCCGCAGAAAGGTTACTGCCGGTCCGCAGAGAGGTGACACAAAAACGGACAAGGCCGTAATAAAACCTTCACAATCTCACCACAAACCCCACGACTAAAAAACAGCACCCAACAGTAAACCAGACAAACACAACACCAGGGTTCGGAAAAAATGCGGCCCGCGAGCTAATTTGTTGCGGCCCTTGAACGACCCGACATTTAATAAATAAAACAAAAATTAATTCCAAATTTAATATTGTCTCTACACGGATTTATGCGGTGACAAGTGCTGATGTACGGCGCTTCTTATGTAACAAGTAGCGTCGGCTGTTTGTCGTTCGAGTTAATTATAATTTTTTTTTAAATTTGAAAATGTCTGGAAAACGGAGCGACGCGGGTCGACCATTCCAAAGTGCTTGAACGGACAAATATTTTTTTTTCTTGCGCATTTCAAAACCAGTTTGCTCGATATGCCCAGTTAGCATCGCAGTTGTTAAGAGTTTCAATGGTAAACTCGTTACGAAACGAGTCGTCGAAAATTCGACCCCGACACCCGGGACTGCGCCACAGATCATCACAGTGCAAAACGTGTAATGTGCACGTTCGGAAGAACATATGACCTTGAGCAGCTTTATCTAAAATGCATTACACTTAGATTAAATTTCGAACTCGCTTGTCAGATCATCATTTGGACGACGAGTTGCCATAAAAACATCATCTTTCACATTGATAATAAGTATATATATATAAACAATGTATTGTTGGATAATAAAAAAACGCCACATATACATCTCATTGGGACAGACTTTCAACTCAGCAATAGAAGGGTAGGACGCGGATGCGCCATAATTTGAAGTTTAATTATGGTAGCGATTGTTCGAAGGCGGAAATATTGCGGTCCGCGCGCTACCAGAAATGTTTATATTTGGCCCGCAAGTACATTTAATTAAAACTCTCTGACAGCTGTTGACCCAATTTATTTGACATGGTCTTTTTAAAGTTATTTTTTTTGTCAACCACTAAGCCCTAAAGCTTCTCTTATGGATTTTTAAAAGCGTGTGCTAGAGTTCTATTCAGCAATATATCTTTAAATTACACTCCGAAAAAAAAATTTTTTTGCAAAAATATCTCAAAAATTTCTAAAAATAAATTAGACTTTTAGAAATTCTGTGTACAGTAGAGGGTTAATAATTAATTCCTAATTAATTAATTTTTTTTTCAACGTTTTCGTCAAGTTTTTCCTAACACAACATCACCGAAACGCCTATTATAGCATAAATGGTTATTACTCTGAAATTCACAATTGTATCTACAGGTGTATCAAGTTCAAGGCTAAAATTACTGATTTTGATGACGTCACAGCTCTTATTATTACTGCACAGACCACCCCCAACGCAAAAAAATTAAATTTTTTCGACGGAAATGCGCGTAGAACGGCGTAAACAATCCCATACGCGCATTTACGCGTTAAAATTACCATTAATTTTACGTTTTTTTTAACTACAAAAAATCTCCATACTTCTGCCAACTATGGAGCAGTCAAAATCATATTTATCAAAACAACACAGCGCCAGGGATGGTCAGGGATAGTATATATGTCTGAAAATACATGCTAAACCAACAATAAGTCATTATAAAGGAGTATTTCCTGTCTGAGCTGAGTCGACATTTTCAGACGTCTGACAGGCGATTTTGAAATCCACGCTATTTATAGAATTCGCACGATGCGTCACGGCTGGAAGGTTCCATCGCTTCTCTCATATCAGGCGATAAAGTCAACAAAGAGCTAAGAGCGATATTAACAGTAGTTTACCGAGCACAAAATTAAGCGTAAATATTCTCTCATATGAGCTTAGCCGCTGGAAAAGGGTGGATAATAAAAAAACGCCACATATACATCTCATTGGGACAGACTTTCAACTCAGCAATAGAAGGGTAGGACGCGGATGCGCCATAATTTGAAGTTTAATTATGGTAGCGATTGTTCGAAGGCGGAAATATTGCGGTCCGCGCGCTACCAGAAATGTTTATATTTGGCCCGCAAGTACATTAAGTTTGCCGACCACTGCATAACACTATTGAGCAACATGTCTGATTTCATAAACAATTGCCATGTCAGTATGTCGCAATAATGCTGGGTCAATTGTTTTCTCTACGCCCCGAATAAGAATGTCTCTCATCAGTCCGACTAAGATCTCCCCAACAAAACATTGTTAACTTTATCGAAATCTTAATGTGAGGCCTGGTTTTCAATATTGATAACTACAAAAACGAAATAGGCTGGAAGTAAGAAACACGATACGTGTGTCAATGTCGACCATATCTCGAACATGGGAACAGTTAATGGCCATCAAACAAATACAGACATCACATTAAATAGCATCACCGTCATTTTTAGTATATTGTCAACATAAATTTCCTAATGCGTATAATTTATTGCATAGGCTTAGTTCGTTTGTATAAAGGTGGTCCGCGAGAAAGTTTGGTCAGGCTTTACCGGTCCGTCACTTGAAAAAGGTTGCCGACCACTGGTCTAGATCCTTGCTGTTATATCAAATTAACAGACGTCTCGACTTGAACAAGTAACAACCGATTATATTCTGTTTGGAGTCAGTTTAATATCTAACTAGTTTAATCAGCCTAATTAGCAACTACAACAGAAGTCGTCTCAAATAAAGAAAAAATCAATTATGCATACAGAGATAAACTTTGCATCTATAGCAGTGGTTCTCAAACCTTTTAAGCCGCTTCCCCTACTTATAATTTGTCAAGTCTCGCGCCATACCTCAAAAATAACCAACTTACAATAAGCTACAAATAACAAACAGGAAGGAGGAATTATGTTTATTCAAAAAACACGTTGGAAATACGTGTTATGCGCAAGAAATGCACGCATAAAACATATCACATAAAAAACATGTACACGCCAAATCAAGTACAAACACAATTAACTCCAGTGAGAATTTTGCTACTGTTCCGTTTCCAATATAGGATTACAAAAGAAGGCTCAAAGAAGTTTCTGCAACACGCAGCTCTGCAGCGGCGTGCAGCCGATTTCTTTGCTTCGTTTTAATTAAAGCTAATGATGAAAATGTTTTTTTTGCATAACGCAGTCACTGGTTGAAAATACAGACAACAGTTTGGTTGTTCGATTACTTAGCGATGGGTATGCATTATCAAGAGATATCCAAAATTGTGACAGTGATTCTTTTTTTAAATCTGGACTGTAAAGTAGAATCACAATTTTAATCCAGCTTTTACTTTTTCATAGTGTTCATCATATTAAATACCGCAGTTGATCGACGCCTCAAACGAAATGAATTTACATTATAATGACAAAGTCGTCGGTAACTTGCCACAGGCTCAAAATACTACAGTGTCTGCTCAAAATACTGGGGAAGATCTCTGCGGCCCATGCTTTTTTGCGTGTCTCGTGATCACATGCAGGGTCGTAATTAGTTCTTAAATTACTGGAATATTATACTGTTCTTGACTGTTTTCTGTTTTCAAACAAAGATATATATCATAACGTTTTATATGGATGAACATATTATTCAGGAAAAGCATGCAGAACAGAAAAATCACGCGTGTCGATTTTTAGGTTTCTGAATCTTCGCATTTGCGATCAATCGGAGGCGAAAAGTGTAATTACTCAAGATGACGCGAAATACGTCGCAATATGACGACGGGGGACAAATTGCGTAACCAAAGCAACCTCGTCTTCGGTAAAGAGATGCAGGCGGCATCAAAACAACGAAATTTCTCGCAGACCGACAAAAAAGCTTCACGGACCGGCGGTTGGGAACCACTGGATAGTTAAACGACTATTGTCTTGTTATATTATCTTATCGCACATTTGTGTTTTAGGCCAGTACGGTCTTGTGCATGCATCCCGTCTTACATAATAATAATTGTTCATTTATTTTTTTATCACTATTACGAGACGAATAAACATACATACATACATACTATAGGTAGAGAGAGATTATTATTTGAGATTATAACGGAGAGACATCAAACCATCATCATTTTTTCGTAAACACAATATAAATGTATCACAACAAATATTACAAATAACGAAAGAAAACTAACTTAAATTGTGTTACAAAAGTCGTGAGGGAGATCAAAAAGTCGTCTGGTCGCGACACCTACGAAAAAACATTTGCACATCATTCGTAAATTGAAACGCTTTTTAGACCCTAAAGACCCACGTTTTCCGGTCTCTCAGTCAGGCCCGCTTTCTTTTATTTTATTACTTACAACGCTGATTCAGGTTAGTGAGTGCAAAAAGCACTCTTCAGCTGCATTGTTCAAAGCAGGGGTTCTCAACCTTTTTTTTCTGTCAAGTCACCCCGTGTCACGAAACAATAAATGCTAACCCCCGGTTCGGACACCGAACAAAGTTGTGATATATTGACTAACAATTTGTTGCAACTTGCAACACCAATTTATTGACCTTATTGACCCGTTGCGCCACAATAACAACAACGCAACATCAGGGAAAATCTACGTTTCAATTGGCGTCTAGTTTCAATGGACACGCATTTTGCTAAGGTAGTAATGAAGGATATTAAAAAAGATCACCACACAAAAACTTGACTGCCTTCCAAGTACCCCTGGAAATTTTCTCGTGAACACCTGGGGGTTCGCGAACCCCAGGTTTAAAGCATAAGTGCTTCAGTTGTGGAAAATAGTTTGAGGATTTTAAAGGTGACCTAAGGTAGCATCCAGTCAGTGGCGTATCTACGTAAAATGAGGCCCATGGCAATTCAAAAATGCACCCCCTTGATAGTTGGTTGACATGGTTTAACGACTGTTGTTGAAATGAGATATACACCTGTACGTTATTATTTAAGTAAAAATACGAGTTTTAATTATTTCAAGTATGAAATTATTTTATCGAAACATTTCACGATTGGATCCCTTTGCCGTTTTGCGCTCCTGTCAAAACGGCGCCATGGCGGTACTCCCGAAATATGTGAACCAAGATGGCAGATACGCCACTACGATCTACATGTACTCACATTCATTAAATCTTGTATGGTCTGCATTAGGTCCAGTTTCATTTGACGGTGTATTTCCTTTCCATAAATTCCACGGAATGTCACTTGTATTCGTCGGCACAAACCCTGGGCACCTGAACAATATGGAATTATAGTTATAAAGCAGTGGTTCTCAAACTTTTTAATATATCATCCCCCCTGAACCGAATCACCAAAATCTCATTTACCCTTTTCTTTAAAACACAGTAGCCATATCGTTATCACTTCACTTTGAACAAAAATGGCGATAACACTAACACCAAATGCATCCTCCGATCCAACTTTAAGATGCTAAACTTGCGCTAGCTCATCATTTTAGTCTACAATCTGTACGGCGAAGTATTGTTATTATGTCCCTACGAACCGTGTTACTAAATGACTAGGCTCATTGACTAGATGCGAGAGTTGAATTCTAGCTTTGCAAATGCTTTGGTTGATCATATGGACTGGTGGCCAAGTCCATGCATCTGAAATATTTAACTGGGTGGCTGATCCCATACCCGACATGAACTGGTAACCGCACGAGAGGCCATGACTCGTTTTATCGGCTTTCCTCTCCCCTGGGTAAATATGAATATCCTATCCTGGTAAAATGGATTTTTCGCGCAGAAAGTTTTCTCGCAAACGACACCAATCTAAACTTACCATCCCTCCTCAAAATCGCAATGAAGAAGTGCTTTCGGGTATGACGGTCTACCAGTAAACGATGCCAACATGACGAAAAGTGCCAGTGACATATCTCTTGCTACTACGGAAGCAATACCGTACGCATTATCATACGGGACAGATAAACCATTGTTGATGATAGATCCATATTGGACTGGAGCGACCTGAAATAAGAGAGAAGATCGTTATAGTTAAGTTTAATCACTGCAACCAGTGAGAATTGCGAGTGAATGTGTATACCCACAGATTTACTGGAGAAATAAAGTTTTTCATTAAACTAATAGGCTAAAATTGTTCGCTATTATTTTTGGTGAATATTTTTAGGATTCAAAGCAGTGGTGTGCAATAGGCGGCCCTGGTCACCCGGCCCGCCAAGACATTTAGTGTGGCCCTTGTAAACGCTCAGATTCCGGACAATGATGTTTAAAAAGATGCTTACATGGGTGAAAATACACATTAATTTTAGCTCGCTGCGTTGCATCTTTTGCAATATTACAATTTTTATTTCGTTGTATACATTGAAAACATAAATTTTTTGTGTGGCCTGGCTAGATGTCTGAAGTTGGTTACATGCCGACAAAAAAAATGTTGCACACCCCTGATCTAAGGTAAGTCTAGCATAATTCTCCTCTATTTTTCGAAATGCTGTGCAGGTAACTTTGATATCTTAACTATTTAACCTATTCAGAATCACATTGTTGTAAACATTTACCAAAAATTGTGACCTCGTAATATATAGGAGACAAGAAGAGATTCATGATGGAATACCCCACCCCCTGCCACGCCTGTCTTAACAGCGGGTGCTCAACGCGTTTGACCTGAGTTGGCGCGTTCTCAGGTTCAAAACCCATGTTCGCAACCTCACACATACAATGCAATGAATTTGGTTTGCATTTGAACAACATATATATACATGTTTCTGTCGTTGGTCCCTTTCAAATCCTAAATCAGTAATTTATTTGTCGGCAAGCGAGAGCATGCGGATTTACTTCGAGAAATTTCGCATATGAAAGTTAAAAAAGATGGAAATCCTGTTGTATACTCACCGTTGTTGTCGTTGTTTGTGTGTTAAATAGTAAATCCATGACTGATTATAATAGATTTTTAACAAGTAAATAAATTTATCTGAAAATAGTCACATAAAAATATTTCTCAATAAAGGTGAGCAGAAACTTTTATGATTTTTGAATGATGATGATTTTTAAATTTATCCTCAAATGACTCTTGTGAAATTACTCCAATGATGCGTGTAAACCGGGCGCGACATTATTGATTAAAGGAACTGAAATTGGCCATTCGTATTACTAACTAACACGATTCGCCACACCGTCGCTGTATTGTAATAGCGAGGGAAATGTGATCATTCAACTCTCATATAATTTGAATACACCGTGCCGAGTTGAATTATAATTTAGGCCTCTGTTCATCTCGCTTGTTAAGGAAGTTGTAAAAAGATTATTACAAATGCATTTTCTCGTCCACGTGATCATTGCTTTCGCACAGTTTGGAATTGGTATTTTAATTTTACAGTCAGACGATTGTGAATTAGAGATGCGCGTATATTAGGATGCGATCAATTGTTAGCCCACGGTTTCGTCGCGCTCATTCTGACTGGGGCCTAGCGTGGATAATTACATCGTATGACCCTTCTGACGTGAACCCACATAAATATTATTGCAAATTAATATTCTAATTTTTACTACTCGAGATAAAAATGCGGGCATCTGCAATTTATCCACTCCAACTGCGCTTCCACACTTAGATATATTCTCTGTCAACACGCTCTCCGCGAGAGTTCGTTCGAAAAGCATTCTCACTTATTCTCTTCTTAAAATAAAATATTTTCAAAATAATGTACTGGATTATGCTCGATATTTTAAAGTAATTCACTGCAACTATCTATCTAATTAATTTCACAAATTCAGCTGTCCAAACTGACAATATTTCAAGTTATCTACGAAGTTGAGTCATGCGTCTCAGTGTAATATTTCGCCTCCAGCAATCAAATACTTGGAATATTCTGCCGTTGGCGACTTGATACGATAACAGGTTGAGCGACGACGACATGGTTTAAGTTGCGTCATAATACATTCACAAACAAACCGCCATTTCTTCGATTTAGACTTAATTTTAGAAGTAGGCCTACCACTTGGCTTACACTTTACATTAACTTATTAATTGTGATCGAAATATTCAATTTGCCATTTGTAATATAAGTGGGCCAAAGGAAGCAGCGTTAGTGCGGGCGATTTTCTTGCATTTCAGGACCATCTTACCAGGCCCCTAATAATGTTTTAGATATTTCGAATCGTCCAAATCTGGAGTGCCCTTTTGTCACTTTATGTGGCTTCCTTAAGAAAATTAATGATATATTGACCGCTTGAAATTTGAAAACATTCCACTTTCAACACGCGTATGTTTATATACATATGTAGGCTAATTATTATTCGCTGTGAGTGGATAGCAATTTAATTGAAGATGGCAATCGGGGTAAATTTGTCGGCATAACACCGTAAATTTCACAAGATATCAATGTCAATGAGAATATGATCCGACGAATTAAAACCAATATGACATTTGTTAGAATTATGTGCCTTATTAATCGTGATTTGGACATTCGTTGACCATGCGCTGAGAACGTGATTTTGGTTTGAATATATGGGGTTATTTAGAACAATGATTCTCAACCATTTATTGCTTCTACAATCAAAATTATTTTCATAATCAATAAATAATTCATCAATCAATCACCCAAGCAATTTTTACTAAGTTTATGGCCCACCTTGAAATGTTTTTACGACCCAGCGGGGGCCATAGCCCACTGGTTGAGATCCGGGGATTTGAAAACCGAATACTATATCTTCACATAAGTTTAATTTAACTTTAATATGAAGCATATTTAAAATGAACCTAAATCAAATACAGCATAATTAATGGCTGCTAACTAAATGGTAAAAGTAAATATATATGCAGTTGATCGCCGACGATGGCATTATTTGAGCACCACTTTGGAGCACAGAACTATTGTTGTTATTTTTATACTTATGAGCAAATTATATTACAATACATATTATGACTTTCAACTTCTCATATGTGGTTTTTAGAATTGTAACGTTTACGAAATAGAAATGGATTTTAAGTTTTTTCAATGACTGGAACCCAAAACTGAAAATCAGTATCTCAGCAACTCGTGACGGGTCACATGATTTGTGATTGACGGCAAAGCATATCCGGCACAAACATCAGTTCATTGCTAGCTTGCTTGTCTGTTGACAGTTTAGAACCGGAAATAATGAAGTAATGAGGCACATTTAGCGTGATTTAAACGAAATAAACTATGGAAAAGTGTATGGGATGTCTTGGGCTAGCCTTTGGTAGCAGAAGACGAAAAAATAGACTCCGTTACCGTGTGAATTATGGAAATAATCCCGGTGGAAGCTCGGGAATTGAATTTGACAATTTGATTTTAAATGATGACGATCAACAAATGAATTATGGGACTACTTGTCACTTTGTCAGTCAAGAAGAAAAAGAAATCATTGCGAAAAGGGAATATGATAAAATTTTGGAACAACAAAGAAAGATTGATGAACAGATCAGCAAGTGAGATTTTATTGGTTTTCATATAATGAGTGTAATAACGTGTTGAAATGGACTTGGAAGATTTGAATATTTGGTCTTTTCTTTTCTTTATAAGATAAAATTTTTATATGTAACCCTGTGGAGCGCTGTTGGCCAACTTGCTTTCGACCGCGATCGACTAAAATCTTCAAAATAGCTTGCGATCGACTGATCGGAAGGTCACACACAAAAACAAATGAGTAGGGTGGTCTGCGGACGATTTCATTCAAACCGCTATAAAACAAAAACCAATATTTCTAACCCGTTAATTTTTTCACCGTAGGTGCATGGGCATTTCTTCTACACGCTAAATCTCAAATTAACTTTATACGACCAGGGGTTAAAGCTATACAAACTACCGAAGTACGACACTCGGAAGACGTATTTGCGAGCGAACGACCAGTGTGCGACCACGAATTTCAAGCTTTGAACGTCGTTTCTGCTGCGTCGAGACTAGAGCATACGCAGCCATGCGTGAAAAAATTGGGCTTCTAATTGCATTTCTGATTGTCATATATTCTAAGAACACGGTCATTCTGAACAAAACTCGTCAAATTATATCCAAAGCACCGCATCACTACAATCAAACAGACAAAAACATGGTGGTCGCAAATTGCTCGACAAAGATATTATCGACGAATTGGAAATGCGCACCCCCCTATTCCCCTTCCTTTAAATGTAAAAACGCGAAAATTTAAAGATGGTTGAAAGAAACACAACTCTACCCTCTTGCCAAGTTTCATCTTTTTATCTCGTATATTTGTATGAATTTTCAAGTTTTTTTAATGGGACACTGGGTAGTTGGCGACATGAAAAAATGGTCCGTTGTTCTTCTTCGGTCGGGTTTTCGGTCGTAACTTTTTTGTTTGTGGCCGCATTTTAGTGAAATTTCGCAGAGCTATGAGGGACAAGTGGACGATAACGCGTGAGAAATATCGTCGCGGTTTGTTAATTTTTTCGGCATTAATTAGATCGATGAAGTTGATGGCCGCAAATAGGTTGTGACCACAAAGTGGGTAAGCCACCCTACCGGTACTGAATATGCAGATACCTACACACACGCATATATGAATTTCACTGCTGCCAATAAGCTCGGTTCTGTAAGGGCATTCCTAATGAAATTTCCACAAAAATTTGTATTTTTTTTAAGTTCTATTTAATTTAATTATGTAATTCTACCCAGGGTAGGTAAATGTTTCATAAGATCTAAAGCCTGTCTAATTTTTAGTCGTAAGTGTTGAAACTTTCTAAAAATACTTTGCCAAGTATTATTATCTAAACAGCTGAAAACATATATTCTCAAATTATATATTATTATATATTAATAATTATATATAATTATAATATAATTATAATAATTATATATTACATATATTCTCGCATACTGCAGAAGTTATTGCCGGATTATTTCTCAGTCAAAACAAGATATTCGAACATGTTCATTCTTAAACCTTGGCAGCAGCCAAACTTGCATTTGTTACATAATAATATGCTCTATCGGGCTTTCTCAGACTCATACTGTAGCCTGTTCTGTGTGTGTATATCGTATTTTGCGCATGTACGGTACTGTACTGTATTCTTCCTTTTTTTAAAACACACAACAGGCGCTTCGTGAAACTGGTTCAAGGCCATTATTTGGGATATGTTATTTAATTCACCCAACATCAGACGCGATCGACCACGCGAGACGTGACGATCGACGGGTTGGCCTCCTCTGCTGTAGAGAAACGCCTAACAAAGACTACTTGATCATAATTCTATAATTATGGCGAACCAACCTCTCGTCTAGTCCATGTATATAACTGGCTAACTAATCCCGTACCCGACATGGAATGGTAACCAGACGAGAGACTGTGGTTTCCCATATGATTAAGCCATCTTATTGACTCTCGTCTCGCCCAGGATAAATATATAAACCCTATCCTATCTAATGAGCAAATATATTACTTGAATAGAACTACTGACTTTCCAAGAGCTGCATTTGAACCCAGTATGGCTGTGATATTGTCATTAGATATCATAATTATAGAGAAATCTTTATTTCAAATATTTTTTTAGATATATCTCTTTGAAAGATTGTCACTTGTCATTATGATTTACAAAATGGCTAAGAAAATTCCAATTGCATATTAAAAAATAGAATAAGAATGAGTCCAGTTTATTCTGCTCTATTTCTGATTCTTTTAAATATCAGTCAGGAGCATCGTCTGTTACTGCGAATTTCAGTCAATTAATAGATACCTAGGCGAACACAGGAACGTAGTATGTGTACCAGGTTAGGGTTAGCCCATAATTTCAGGCACAAATACCACGGGAGTCACTTGACTAGTCCCCTAATTCGTAATAGAATTAATATAAAAAAAATTGGAATAATATTATGGCCTAACCTGGTACACATGCATACTACGTTCCGGTTTCCACCATCATGGTTCACATACTTCGGGGGTACCCAATTACCAGTCCGCGGCACGCCTGACTGTTTTTTGCAGCCCACCCCATAAAGTTGTAAGCAGAATTTTGATGATTTTACTATGTTCCATATCAATATATACGTTAAGTATGTTTCGTGATTTTGGTGTGATAATTGCTGTCATCTATCTGCATTCAAATGCCGGTTCTTATTATTACGTATGTGTCAAGTCTTGCACCCTGGTGGACATCGACGTCAGTTTTTTTTATTTCTCGCAGAACTGAGCGTTCTGTTCGGCGAACTCGAAAGATATTGTGCGACCATTGAGGTCGAACGCTGAGCGCAATTATTGGAATGAATTTGGAGCTTAAATTTGCAAATTAATTTCATTCTGATTGTTTTCACGTGTCTGCTTTGATCGTCTTTATCGCCAACGTAAAATGAAAAATGAACAATATCTTTGATACTGGTCCCGGGACTCGTCCTTTTATGTGTTTTTTTATCAAATGTTTGGGTCAAATTACATTTCAGGAGTGTTGTCACTGCGTATCCGTCAATAATTCTGATGAAATTGACATTGCTGCATATTGGTCACGAATCAGTATATGTAGGATATTTGTCTGGAAATCTTCTAATATTACTTTATTAAATATTTGTATTGGTGTCAAATATTACGAAACGGCCAACTTAAACTTGATATTCCCGCGACATTTGCCCACATTATGCTCATTTCAACATTGAGACAGTATCATAGGCATAGCTACTGAAAATGAATGAATAAAAACACCATACAATGCAAAGATAACACTCAATTTCGACTTGATTTGTGTGTTCTCGTGTGGTCAGCAAAGAACCACAAGTGTCATGTCCACGCCCAGTGTTACCAGATATTCGAATTAGCTAGTAAACTGCTATTCTAATATTCGACTTGATATTCGAATAATTTGCCATCCCTACTCAGTAACTAGAAAGCAATTATTAAATTGATTGATTTGATGTTAATTAACTTGCCTTTTATGTATTTTGTAAATTACCTACACCGAAATCAGGGCCAAGCTGGTAATAATGATTGGTACAATGAACGTTTGCGGCCCGCAACGAATTTCGTAACTTGAAAGTGGCCCGCGAGATGAAAAAGGTTGGGCAGGCCTGATGTACAGTATGGTAATATATAGGTAATATATATTACCAGAATCACCTCGGATTTGTAAACTGTCAGGTTTTGGCATGAATGGTTACGTGCATTATTTGCAAGCATATTTCAGTATTTAGGAGAACATCGTTGTGACATTATCTAACACATTTTCTAATTTAGACAAACCTTTGAAGAGGAAGAACGACTTCGTATTGAAGAGGAAAGATTTCGAGAAGCACAGCTGGAGGCATCGAAAGCCGTTAGTGCTGCGTTAAAAGTTCAGCAATATAGCAAGACTGGTGTGAGCCCAAAAAACCAACCTGATCCTAGTTTATATTCAATTGGTGACTCAGATGAAAGCGACGATGACTTTGAATTATTTTTAGAGAGCGTAAAAGTTCGCTCTGACGCTTTCCGTAGCGATAAAACTGCGTATTGTGATAGTATCGAACCTGGGATTGATAACAATAATAAATCTGAAATAAAGGTCGTGTCATCTCAACCGCGAAAATTGACCCCAGGAAGTCCACTTTCAGGAAGTTTTGATCCGGAAAGGCCACGTGAAATTGATGGTATTGCGGACGGAATGTCAAGCGATGGATCATTCACGTACGATAATGATGACAATTCTGCAGAGTTAGGACTCGATAATCCCGAAATGGAATGGGATAAGTTTGTCGATGGATTAGAAAGCAAAAAAGTTTCAAATCAAGACACTGTTGATCATGAGGTAGCTGAGGTTTCATGAGGATTTTGATTTAAAATCGGAAACCTAAAAGTTGACTGAGTGAACCTAATATCATATTTCAGAACCTAAATCAACTTTAAAAATCTTTTGCTCATTTTTTTTTAAATTCACATATTCAGAATTACTATTTACCTTTTTAAATTTGTCATTTTTGCAGTAAAATCATGAAATATGTTAAATTTTATATTAAAAATTAGATATACAGGGTGTCCATAAAGTTCTTATGGAGTCAGTTCTCAATAAATCTTAACCAGGTTTGTTGTTTTTTGATCAATAATTGTTAAGTATTTTGACTTCATTCAGCACATCTGTGAGGGTAAAACATTATATGGTATCGATAAATGCCTTTTGTGATTTTAAACAATTTCAAGATCTTGTGGACACCCTATATGTCATAATTTGGCTGAAAATTAATCTATCAAAAGAATTCAAAATGAATTCAAATTTAGAATCCTGACATCGACTTCCAAAGTGCCTTTCGTGATGTGCAATAGCTCTTAAAGTTCATTCATTAACCTTTGGTTAGGGAAATTCACATTTCTCCTATGAGAAATGAAAGTCGATAAGACGACTTCATCATGTGGCGAATTATGGCAACTTATTCGTTTAGCAGTCCATGTCGGGTATGCGGATAGTTTATTGACAAGTTAACTGCCCCATATGCATTGACAATAGTGGCTGAGGAAGCCATAATTGACAGGTGGAAGGTGATTACATGTGATTGCGAGGTGTGCAGTAGTGCTTAAAAACAGGGATGCACAACACAGGGCACAGTGTCTAATATTTTGTTTCATAAGCTCGAACATGGCACACTATTGGTTTGGTAAAAAGCAATTCCTCAATTCTATAATAAATCCAAATACCGGTAACGTGAACCACCCTACAGTGACGAGGAGTCCAGCAATCCTCTCACACATAACTATCCCTGCATGGAATTTGAATCTGCGAAACCACGGAGGATAATCAGAGGTTCAGTGGCTAGCATATTCTAAACGCTTAGCACGATGTGCAACACCACTGAGTTGAGCTTTATCAAAAGGACTGACATGGCATGCGACAAGATTTTTAAGAAACTTTGGCATGTCAGCTCATTTGAGTTGTGTATCTCTGTTCTAGTACATACCGGTGATCATCCTCATGATTGTTAGCATGATATTATCTTTATACCCTAATGGTTAAAATTCGATAGCCTATATCCTGGGTAAAGCTGAATTGTATATAATGGTAGAATTTATAATATAAAAAAACTGCAGTAATACATCCATATATGCATTCAATTTTATTATCATCTTCTAAAATCGATAATTCATTGTTCATCTAGTATAAAGATATATTTTCTATTTTAATATCATATCTGTCCCGTTCTTTTTTGTGATATTGGAAATTACTTTTTTCATGAGTACAGAAGTTTTTTATATTATAAATTCCTCATAAGACCACCCGATTAATGTATATTGATATCATGGTTCCACATATTTTCTGGCGCTACAGAAGTGTGTGTAACAATATGGAGGTGACTAATTTTGTTCTCCTACTTTACATTAAGTTGTGTAAAGGGACTGAAACTTATAGGCTGGGATATATTCACTTGGCTAACACAGACAGTCCCCGAACTCATAATATAACTAAAATAAGAAAAATCGGAATAAATTATGCCCTTAAGCTAACCTGGTGCAGTGGTACACACACAACGGGAGTACCTATCCTCTTTGATTATTTTTAGTTTAATGAAATGCCTATCCCACATTGACTGTTATTTGTTTCAATATTCAATACTTGATGCCGATTTTGTACATTCCTTTGCTCATAACATGAGATATCGTGTCTTACAAACAAAGACATGTTTCTTGCTGTTGTGACTCATAACATGGTCTCTCTGTTAGTCATGGAAATTCCCATTTTATAAATAAAATTGCTAACAAAGCATGAAACTCAATTGTATATAATTTGAAATATATCAATTAAGATTGCGTATTTTCATATTTATGCTGAGAGAAGAAATAGATAAGAAGTGTTAATCGTATGGTAAATCCTGAATGTCAATAGCTCAAAAAGCAATTATTGAAATTTGTTGTAGATTCTTTTCAATATTAGGAATAACTATGCCTGATAAAACCAATTGGAATATATTTTAACATTTCTTTCATTTTGGATATCCCTGCAAGATAAGCGCATATTTACCAATTATTTTTTAAAAAAACTGTGAGGCCGTAGCAAAAGTAGACACACAAATGCTTAAAATGGCAATTATTGGAATGTCAATATTGTAAATTATTATTCCTAAGTTGAAATGAGCTATGCTCAATAAAACCTATTTCGAATGTATTTGAATTTTTAATTCGCTTTGGATATTCTTCTGAATGCCTGCTAGATAAAGCATCGCTTGTTTTTTATTAAATTCAAAATGACAATGTTCTATTCATAAATACATTAATGTAACGCTCCATTTCTTATGTAACCCTATTCATAAGTAGGAACCGTTAATTTAATTTGTGTATATTTCATTTCCTGCGATTGATTGAATGCTTTGAGGGCTTTTGCTTTGAAAGAATTATCGTATTACCACGAATACCGCTTCTTATGTTTACTTTAACCCAGTGGTTCGCAACCTTTTTTTTTAAATACCTGTTTTTGCCTATTTTTCGACTCTTTATTCGGTACTCCAGAAGTATGTGTACCAATATGGAGGTAACTAATTTTGTTCGCCTACTTTACATCAAGTTGTGTGAAGGGACTGAAACCTATGGGCTGGCAGATATTCACTTGGCTAACACAGACAGTCCCCGAACTCGTAATAGAACCAAAATGATGAAAATCGGAATAAAATTATGGCCTAACCTGGTACACACACTACGGGAGTATTTTATACATCAGAGGAAATACTATTAAGAAATGCAGTAAAATCGAAACAAAGCAAGTTCATTCCAATACATTTAGCAGACGCACAACTTCATTGCTTAATGCTATTATGTGGTTCCCGTACATTTGAACCCACGTACATTTGAACCCACGACAATTGCATCTGCATACTATTGCACCTACAGAAAATTTTTTGTTTTACGGATATTTGAACCCATACTAACCCTAACCCATGGGTTTTAGCACCCGCATATAGATTGAACCCGCAGATATACGCATGGGTTCAAATGTACGTGGGTTCAAATGTACGGTCACCCTATTATGTATATATTTGCAGTACGCTTTCTAAAGAAGCATTCAATATATTGTAGAAATTTTGTCCTGTTATAACATTTTTACTTTTTTTTAATAATTCATTACCAAGTGCTCTATGCTAAATATAATACTTGCTTGCCTTCAATTTTCAATTTTTCTTTTAAACCGAATGTGTTCCTAATTTGGAGAGAGAAAAGCCTGTTATTAGATCAAGATTAACCTTGCTGGCGACTAGTCGAACAATCCTATCCCACAATAAATGTTTAAATGAAATTGTAAAAGTGGTGTTGAAATTACACCCTGTTAACGTTGATCAGATTACACCCTGTTAACGTTGATCAAAGATGAGTTTCTTTTACTTCTTAGCACAGCAGTTCCCAACCTTGGGCCAGACAGCAGTTGGAGGGGGGGGGACAATGCTAGCCTCAAAACTAGATTTACTATTCCCTCCACAAAAAAATTTTCCAATCCTCCCAGTTTCATTGCTCGACTAGGTTATTTATTTCACTTTGTTGAGCATGAACTGTTTGAACCTAATTGGATTCGGAGTCTACCAATAAAAATACCACTATGTTATTATGGTATACTATATTATACCACAAATATTACTGTAATGACTAACGGGGGGCCATGAGCCATAAAAGGTTGGGAAAATTGTTTTAACACATCACCTTGGTGTAAACACATTATCTAATAAATTAAAATTTGATTTAACAAGGTTCAAACCTGGGCTTTTAACTTGCAATGCCATTATAACTATACCTAGCTTTCAACTGCGATGCTCCCTTTTCAAAATTAATTTCTAGGACTGGAACAAAAGAATTGTAGTTTGGCCCGACTATTGTTTAATTTCCCCCCAAATTTGAAGTCCCTTGGAAACACCCTTACTCATGTTCCAAAATTTGCTCAGGCCTAGTCCAATGCTTTATTATTAAATGCAATAAGATTGTTCAGTGAATGCTTTTTTGCTTATATTTTGTATGTAAATACTATCGATTAATCACCTTTTTGCTATTTCATAAATAAATCTATTCGCTGTCTGATAAAAATGTTGGGTGTATCTGGTATGCAGTTTTTCATACTTATTCAAGGGGAGGAGATTCATTATTTGTCAGTCAGAAAAAACATAAATACAATGTAATAAATTTAAAGCAGTAGGAATAACGTTAATTCGGTATGGACTGGAGGAAGCGATAGGACCATGCGGTCGTCGGAGTCAGCTCCCACCGTGTTCTCACCAATTGGAATAATGTCACGGTAAAAATAGGATTTACATATTTATCTCGGGGGAGAGGGAAGCCGATAAGACGGTTTAACCATATGGCGAACCACGGCCTCTCGTCCGGTTTCCATGTCGGGTATGGAGTTAGTAAGTTACATGTTTTCGAAAGCATGGACTTGATGGTGGAGGAAGCCGTAACCGACCAGCGGTTACGTGAACCACCCTACGACGGCGAGGAGTCCAGCAATTCTCTCGCACATAATCCTCCCCGCATGGGATTCGAACCTGCCAATCCACGCAGAGTAATCAGACAGAGGTGCGGCGGCGAGCGTATTCCTAACGCTTAGCACGGTGAACCACACCGCAGCGCTTAAATAGTTAATATATTAAAGCGGTTGTAATGAATGAGAAATTGAGTTCCTCGATACGAGGTTTGTTCAACTTAAATCTAAAGCACACTTAGAATGAATCTAAAGTAAAATATAACACAAATGTTAATGAAGAAGAAAGGCAAATACATAGCGAATTGCTGATGCTAACAGAAAGCGGCCCAATAGTTAAATGAATAAAAGTGAAAGAATTAACACCTCACAGCAGGGCTACTCAACTGGTGGACCGCGGTCCGAATCCGGACCTTTTGACCATAAAATTTGGACCGCGTCTGCTTGTTTATTTTGGCAGCATAAGCATCGTTTTATAGATTCAGATGATTTTGATACAATTTAAATACTATACAGCTAAACAGTTTGTCGTACTGGTACCAATGTGGTGCGATATTTGTGTCCATGTTTGCGAGCCATTCATTTCTCTTGTATTAAAGTAATATTGCATCTGACGTTTCGTTTATTTAATGAAATAAACGTTCTGTAATGTAATTTTGAAGTTTCGTAAACGGACCTTTGGTGAAAATAGTTGAGTAGCCCTGCTCTACAGCACAGCGATGATTAATGATTAATCTCTAAATTAAAACGCTCTAGCAATCATCGCTGGACTGTAGCTGTATAAACAAATAGGTATATTGAGTTACATTTACAAGTTATTAAGCGTTTATAAATTCTAGAATTCTGCATCTTGGAAAAAAACGATCATACTTTATTTACTGAATCTTCCGTTCCCACGTACTTTTTAGTTCCCAAATTGTTTTAATTATTTTTGCTGATTTACTTCTGTATTGTTCGACTTAATCTGCTTCTATAACGGTGTCGCTGACATGATGACTTTTGATAGTCTTTTGGAGACCCCTCGTCCATTGCAGTTCAAATATTGTACGTTTTTTCTATCAATGAATTTATTCAATTTTCACCATTTGTTTAAATGTACAATGTTTTTGCACGACGAAAAATAAATATCTGAATCTCGAGCGAGAAGGAGTTCAGGATGTAGCCTGTTCATAACTGAAAAATTGATATTTGCATACACAAGTTGACAATATATATGGGAGCGGGAATTCAATAGAGAGAGAGAGAGAGTTTATTTCATTTTGTCAACCAAGAAAACAATTTATGCACACAAACAAATATAGAAAAAATAGTTTTCGGTATATGACTGGGGGGCAACGATACGACCTTTGGGGGTCATCAGAGTCAGTTGCCACCCAATTATATTAAATAAGCATAAAAATAACAGGTTCGTGTCAATATATCAATGTCTCTCACGATTTATACTATGTACAATATTTACATGAATTTACTATTTTCAATTATGGAAGCATTCTTTTAAATAATGGGATTTTGAACAAATTGAAATTATATTTAAAATATAAAATGATCGAAACGAAAAAAGTGGGAAAGCAGGTCAGACAAGTTTCCCCGTTATTATAGGTCCAACAATTCATTTCTCACATGACTGCCTTGAAATTACCCGCGCAATTTAATCATAGACGGGATAGCATGATGTTTCTTCTGCTTGTTTATGCGACAACCTCTGCTCTGATCAGTGGGTGTATCTTAGATATAAGATATACAATACAATTGTATTCCGATCTTTCGTCTACAACACAAAACACGAACAAAAAAATTAATAAAAAAAACACAAAAGAAGGGCGACGCAAAGATCGGGAAAATAGGACGAACCTAAAGAAAGGTTTATAACAAGTGCTGTAAGCAGCACTTGCGCCAATTCACCCACTGGTATGCTGAATTTACGATCCTACGCGACGAATAAAAAATGCTGATCGCATTAGTGCCACTGCAGTCAATGGCTTAACTGGGTGTCAATGTACCACGGGCTGTCCACGGTCATCATAATTGCAAGTGATGAAAAGACAGTCTTTAGGACGGCTAGAGCATAATATGGCGAAGCCGACATAAGTCCGTAACGGGTATTGGCATAGTTTGTCAGATTTTGGTTTCAGATGCATGAATTTAATGCAAACTAACCTCATCGGCGACGCGTCTAGCAATCCTCTCGTATTTTAGTCAGGGATGTTTAACCTCTGTGAGCCGAACCCCTGTGCTATTCTACAAGTTTCCGTCGAACCCCAGTCGTACTGAACGGTTGAAATTAGGAGCCAAACCCTAATTTTATAAGGCGGAAGCTAATTTCTTGCAAGGCTATAGGAAATGAACATTGCAATGAAAACTTATATATCAACAACCATGTGGAAATAGCTACTGTTTTGTCACAATAGTGCCGGCGGCAGGGAGAGCAGATGTTTTTTTTGTTGTATAAGTTATGTAAAAGCGAAAAACTGCTAAAAAAAAATAGCAACTTTGAAAATTCGAAAGATGATAATATGTTTCATAAACATTGGTAGTTTAAGTAATTTGTTCTCGAAATTCGAACTGCATTGCAAGGCGGATAAAAGCGTTTGTCTATTGGTTTATTTTACAGAAATAGAGATAGGATATGACTCGGCGCCATAACGAGGTTGTCCTGAATGAATCACTATAATTTTGGGCAAAGTTCTGCAATGAAGTATTCCTTGTCGCACATCTATCACCTAGTGAAATTCGAACACGCTCTGATTTTGCATTCATCCATGTACAATTACTGCCTATTTTCGATTAATCGTAAAACTGAGTCACTAAGATATTTGGAAGCCATATTATAGATATTATCATAGATAAGTACACACACCCAAGCATACGACATCTGTGGAGATTTGAGTTTTTGATGGAATACTGGAATATAAGGCGTAACAACGACCGGTCCTAAAACATATATCTGCGGAAGCTATTCACACAAAAACGCTATTGAGTAGTTGTTGAACGTGTAATTTTGAATATTCGAGATGACCTATAGCCTAAGCTTACCATACGTCCCGCTTTAGGCGGGAAAGTCCCGCTTTTTAGCGTCTTGTCCCACCGTTCCGACAAGTCAGCTAAAAGTCCCGCTTTTGCGTTCAGCCATCTAGCATAATAAACGAACATGTTCTCGTTATTGTTGTTGCTGTGTAGCGCAACGCTAGCGTACTTACAAGAGATGAATGATGTATTTTGTTTGTTTCGTTGTTTCCCGCTAACATTGTTAGCAAACGTATCACATGTAAAATCAATTCTAATTGGTCCTGTTCGGACGTTCACGTGAATGTAACATTGAACAACGTTTTTTTAAAGGTGTTATCTACAGAAAAGCATGCTTGGGCGAATAAGTAAATTCTCAATGCTTGAAAACGGCAGACTATTTCATTATTCTTTATTCTATTTGCTGTACATAAAAAAATCTAAATTCGAATAATTTGTATCGTTAGCGTTTATTCCTTTCTATTTTTCGAACTGAACCCGATATTTAGACAGAGAATATGCGCAGGAACTCTCGATGACAATATGGCCAATGAAGACAGCCGGGATGGCTTAAATGTAGCCTATGTAGTAAAATCGGAAACTGTAAAGTTACAGGAGGCGTCCCGCTTCGAAGTCAAAAAAATATGGCAACTCTACCTACCAACTCTAGGTATTTTTGCATAATTAGTAGGCAAGATGATAAAAAAGTCTCATAATATGCAACTGTTTCAGACGGCATTCCTCGAACCCCTGGAACAGCTTCACCGAAACCCAGGGGTTCGATCAAACCCAGATTAAGAACCACCGTTCTCGCCGCCGTATGATGGTTCACGTAATCCCTAGTTCAGTGGTTCTTAAACTTTTCGAGTCGCGCCCTCCTTTGAAAAATTTTACGAACTTCGCGCCCCCCCCCCCCCCCCATTTCCTTTTTGCTTTGAAAAAATGCTATTTTGGTGGGCAGGTCGCTATGTATTGAAATGCTCAGATTGTTTAGACATAAAACGCTTCGTAGTACAACTTCGCCGTTCACTGTCGTATGTATAAAACCAAGTAATGCTTGGTCATCATACATTCTCGTTTTCCCCCTCAGTTTGCAATACCTGGTAAAGCCAAATTAATTCTTTAGTAAAACTAAACACGCAATAAACCTATGCGTTAATGTATTTTCTGTTTAAACGTTTACATAAGACATGTAAAATTTCAATCAATTGTTTACTTCATCACTATTGAACGATGCCAAAATTATTTAATGTGTGTTAAAAATAAGCAACAATTACAGACTTCTTGGCGTGCCTAACGTTGCAAACAAAATGGAGAAGTACAAATGAATTTATGTAAATTTCATTCACTTTTTAATAGTTATTATGCATGTGGACGTTTCCCCGGCCCTTGACCACTGAAAAATAAAGTCGCCAAGGCGTTTGCGATTGCATTTTGTTTAAATCTCGATTGTTTTCGTAAGCGTGGCGTGCTATTTACCGTAAGCTGTAAAAATCTTGATTTCGCAGTTTATTCTCCCTAAATCAGAAATTCCCCTCGACATATTCTTGTGTCGCAAAGACGATTAAATAATTACTTTGTTTGTTCTCGAATGGAACCATGACACCTATTTCTTTATGGTAAAAGCGAGATTATAGTATACGGCACACCAGTAGTGATCTAAAACTACCGACTTGGAATAAATTTTACTCCGTGGGATTTTATCGCAGACTAAAGAATTTCTGTAACGGTGATATCTTAAAATTAATCGAGCATGGCAATAGAGCGGAGCAATAGTTGCAGGGACAGCTCATAATGATGAAATCGGCAAGAATACAAATCAAAACAAAATGTAATCGGGCATTTTGCCACACATTTTTAGGGTTGCGGATTACCGTGTTATTTTGGAGTAGTGGTGCTTTTATTTTATCAACGCAATCGCAGATTTAATTTATCACAATTAAATATGAATACAGCAACCATTTTAAATAAGTATATCGGTCATGGATTGATATTTTATTCAACAGGAAAACCGTTACATATCTGTTGACAAAGTCGGCTTTTATAACGACTGGCGTAATCTCGAGGACTGACTCAGGATCCGTACCGCGGGGATTTCGAGTCGATGAATATGTAATTTTCATCTACTAATATACTTTATATGTATTTTAATTGTACTAAATCAAATATACTTTCTGGGATATTATGCCAGATCTTTCTAATGAAGACAACGAATTCGCACGAGTGCAATAAATATCGGTAATGAGTTTATTTTGACATGAGTCGCCGCAACCGCGAGTTCCCTTGAACACAAATGAATTAAAATAGAGAGACATTTTGAATTCTTGTATTTATTACGAGACAGACAAATTTATTATACCACGAAAAAGCTGGTATTTTTAACGAACGCGGAGACCATTTCAGGAGCCGTTACATGTAAATTTTCGATTCCATCTTGTGACCTCTCGCGCCCCCCAGTTTAAGAACCACTGCCCTAGTCGATTACGGCTTCCTCCACCATCGAGTCAATGTTTCCGAAAACAAATAACTAACTAATCCCATATCCGACATGAAATGGTAATCGGACGAGAGGCCGTGGTTTGTCATATGGTTGAGCCATTTTATCTATTTTCCTTTCCCCCGGATAAATATGTAGCCTAAATGTAAATTTATTATACCACGAAAAAGCTGGTAATTTTTACTCCGTGGGATTTTATCGCAGACTAAAGAATTTCTGTAACGGTGATATCTTAAAATTAATCGAGCATGGCAATAGAGCGGAGCAATAGTTGCAGGGACAGCTCATAATGATGAAATTGGCAAGAATACAAATCAAAACAAAATGTAATCGGGCACTTTGCCACACATTTTTAGGGTTGCGGATTACCGTGTTATTTTGGAGTAGTGGTGCTTTTATTTTATCAACGCAATCGCAGATTTAATTTATCACAATTAAATATGAATACAGCAACCATTTTAAATAAGTATATCGGTCATGGATTGATATTTTATTCAACAGGAAAACCGTTACATAACTGTTGACAAAGTCGGCTTTTATAACGACTGGCGTAATCTCGAGGACTGACTCAGGATCCGTACCGCGGGGATTTCGAGTCGATGAATATGTAATTTTCATCTACTAATATACTTTTTATGTAATTAAATTCCATCCTAAATTCGCTCAGAGATGAATCTTCTTCATTTCCATTTGAGTGTGCGAGGCCTTGCTTTCTTTGCTTTGAGTAAATTTCCTTAAAATTGCAATACCATGGTAAAACTAGTACTCTCACACAAACAATTCATTTCTAGTGTTAACCCGAAGAGTTCCCATTGGCATCATTGCTACGAGGTATATTCGTTTTAAGAAAATTTTGAGTACAACCGATATTCGCAAAACGATGAAATTTGCCGACGTTTCGAATTTCTGCACAGAACAACTTCTCTGTTCTTGTGAAACGTCAACAATTTACATTGTTTTGTTAACACCGGATGTACTCTATATATGATTTCAAACCGAAGTTAAACACGCTGGCTATATCATCGACTCGCAGAGGGTAACAGAAGAAACGTCACAACAGGTGAAATGGCAGTCACAGCGAATTTGCTTACCATCTCGTATGTTGGGCTGTTGGTGCGTTCGACGTACGTGCTATCATTGCTATTATTACTCTCGAGGAAAAATTGTAGGATTCGCAATTCTGTGGCTTTATTTGAGGGCATATCAGAATGTTTCATTGAGCCGGTTTTTGACTGGTGTGTGTGCCTATATCGACATCTACCGGATGTGTTCCGAAGTTATTCAAGCATTGGTCGTGTGTCATATCGGAAGACTGGCAAAGATCGTAGAAAAAAAAACAATAGTAAACAAAATTAAAATCTAAAATTCCACCCCAAACGTATACAGTATACTCATACTTGGAAATAAAAATCAAAAAAAGCTGGTCGAATCTATCCACAACACATATTTATCATAACGAAATGTTCCGGCGAAGGTAGTTACATTTACTTGCGCATATACGTCCTTTATAAATGTTTGCTCTTTTGATTCTATGAAAAAAATGCACAATAGGATATATTTAATAATTTTTCAAGTCAAAACATGAGCCCCAACAAGAAATATACCACCTGTACCACCAGAAATTACCCTGCAGTGAAAAATCACCTATTTTTTTTGGTTTTTGTTTTACTTAGTCATGCTTGAATAGTTTTATTGAGTTACAGGGATCTTACGACAATACATGACAGAAAAATATATTTTATATAAATATTATGATGAAATTCAACATTTAAAATTTTGAAAATACACCAGGAACATGCAAATTTGAAAAATATTTCCCAAAAATTTTGACACGTAGAAGAGTGATGACGTCATACACCGGTTGATGTGGCATGTCTGCGACGTGGATTGTTTGGTTCTTGGACTTCGTTGGTGCTTTAGGTTTTGTTTGTTTTTAATGTGAATTTTGGAACGAATTAGGGATTTTCGTTGGATGTTCTTTTGCGGATAGCGGGGAAATAATAAATAAAAGGTATGTACAAATGAATATAGCCTGTTGAAGTGTTGTCGTAGTTTTGCTATTATTGAATGAAGATGAGACACTTTGCAAGTCTCTTGAGTCTTCAAGCAAACGAATACCGGTACATAAATAAGCGATTGCAGTAGAAAGTGGTGCGCTGTAGTCCATTGCACACTACTGCCATACACATCTGTATCCTATGCTGGTTGCACTTTAGGCTTTTTACGTACTCAATAATGCACATTGAAATAGGCTAGGCTAGGCCTATATGAAAATGTCAGTTCAGTTGTCTGGTTGTAGAGGAAATATGGATAACCTCATCCTGCAGTCCTGTCATCTGCAAGTCATAACCTGATTACTACTGTACTCGCTTTCGTTGCTGCCTTGTTACAGCGTTTTTGTGTTATGGTGTTTGGGTCAGCCAAATTTAAAAATGTGGGGTCTCTTGTAGTTTCGTACCTCAAGTGCTTCTAGTGCAGTAGTGGGCGTAGCGTAACAATTTTTGCACATCAATCCTAACCCCCTTCAGCGCTTCCTTTTAGTTTATTGCTGATATGGAGGCCTGGACTGTCTCGTAGAAGAGGGGTATGCACTGCTGACTGTTATAATTGATGTCTTTCAATGTCAGAATGTGGGGGCTATTCTTAGAATCAGAGCCGTACTGAATATATAAAATACTATTGAAAATCTTTACACAGGCTAAACAGTCTTTTAATTTTTAGTTAAGATGGGTCGTTCAGGATTCCTTCGAATGTCTCTTGATAAGCAAGACACTTTGCTGAAGATGATGGTACTGGCAGTATGTTGTATTTTATGTAAGTGCATATGTTTATCTTCATTAACCTGTTCTATGCGAATCGGTGCATTAGCGCAATTTCAGACGCTGTGTGTAAACCATGAGGTCTGGAATGTTTGTTATGGTCTTGTTTGGAAGAATAGCTCATTTCCTACCCAGCAATATAAGAATGAACGTTATATGACATTTGGAAGTAATAAAATATCGCTTACATTTCACGAGTGTACTTCCCGCTGCGATAGAAAAACTCGCACAACAAGAAAATAATTCAATAAACCTTGGCGTTGCGCGCTAATCAATAACAAAAGCTAGTATGATAAGGTCTTATTTTGAAGGTCCTTTTATATGCTACATAACATAGGAGAGTGGACATCTCACAACGTCAGGAAGTTATAAAAATATCGAGTCGTTTGATCGCAGCTGCCTCACCGAAAAAAAGTTAGTTCACATAGGCGTTTTATCTCGCAAATCCTCTCCTTGTCTCACGATTATACGGTCCTCCAGTGACATCTAGCGTATAGTACTCTAAAAGACCTTTGCAATGGTATATAATTATTGTATATTGGGTAAATTTTGGGGGTCGTTTGACATGAATAAAAATTGGTATACAAAATTGGGCTCGATAAGGAGTGTCGAACAGGTTAAACATTAGGGATCTTTTTTTTTAATTCTGTTTATTTCAAGTTAGGAAGGTGTAATAAAAGCCTAACCCAGGGGCTAACCCAGGTGGGGTGATTTTGCGGGTCGAAACCCCTCACGTGAAATGTAGAAAGAAAATTTTCTGCATCATACGTTTTTAGACCCTCAAAGACTTCTGAATACCCACGTTTTCCGATCTTCTGCTGGACCCGGTCTGACTTATCATCTAACTTGGCAGTTAGAAATTTCAGAATCCACCCTTTATTGTCTGTGCGAACCCGGCCTAAAGTTGATCAATTTAAAGAAAACTGGTTAAAAATAAGATTGACAATAATGCTATATTTCCCCAAGTTGCAACAATTTGATTTTGGCTCATTCCTAGAAGCGATTGATCATACTCCAACGTTGACTCTGACTCTTTTTAACCCAGCCACCTGTACCTATAATCCCATCTACCCATGATCATGGATCATTATGTCTATTCAGCTAGGGCAGGGCTACTCAACTATTTTTACCGAAGATCCGCATACACAACTTTAAAATTATATGGGTCCGGCCTTTTCAAAAATTATATTTCGGCATCCTTAAACACGCACTAGCTCAGCCGGCTAATGATTATTAGCCAATCAAGATTGTTTATTATGGCGTTATAGTTCTTTTCATAAAAAAAAACTTCAAAAGTGGTGCTAATGATCTGAAATAAATAATTAAATGCGGTCCAAATCAATGACTCAAAAGGTCCGGATTCGGCCCGCGGTCCGCCAGTTGAGTAGCCCTGAGATTGGGCCTATATTGATCTCAACCTAATCTGACAAACAGAGCGAGAGAGACATCAGCACTATGTTTGATTTTGAGATCAAACTATTAAAGATGTGATGGCTAAAGTAAAATTTCATAAATAGGGCAACTTAGTCTTAAGAGGGGGCTCCCGAAGTATGCGAACCAAGATGGCGGACATCGGAATGTAACATGTGTACTAGGTTAGAGTTGGGCCATAATTTTAGGTATGAATACTACGGGAGGCTCTTGGCTAGTCTTCGAACTGATAATAGGATTAAAATAAGGAAAATTGGAAAAAAATTATCGCCTAACCCTAACCTGTTACCCATGTTACGTTCCGATGTCCGCCATCTTGGTTCGCATACTTCGGGAGCACCCTTAAGAGTTTCCTGCTTACTTATTTCAAGTATACATGTCAGTTGTTGCTTGTCTGAGTCATTTTCCTAAGCAAACACATCGATCATAAATTTTCTTTCTATAGCATTCTCTGTGAGACATACATATGAGTACCGGTACATATTTCTTATTGCTGGTTGTCTAATGCATTTTTCATAGCAAAAATTAAATCTATCATTAGTCTCTGCCAATTTATATTTAAAGTGTGAAAATGTTTGACTGTTACTCCCTCTGAGCAAACAGACTATTTATTACTAATCATGGATTTTCTTTTTATAGCATTTTCTGTTAGACTGTTCTCTGTTCTTCGTTTTGAGTCTGTTATTCACGAATTTGATCCGTACTTCAACTATCGAACAACAAGGTATTTGACAGAAGAAGGTTTCTACAAGTTCCATAACTGGTTTGACGATACGGCCTGGTATCCTCTTGGAAGGATTATCGGTGGAACCATATATCCTGGTTTGTATTCGACTATTTGAATGATATCATTACTTATCAATTTTAATCGGTAAGTATGTTGATAGGTATTTGTCTGTATGTCTGTTAGATGCACGCCATATCTCACGAAAGCGAGATTGAATCTGCTCCAGATTTTGCATGTGCATTCATCTTATCTCGGACCAGAAGCCTATTGATTTTGGGCGAATTATGTCGTATAATTAGCGAGTTATCAATCAATTATTGATGAAGTGATCTAGATTTTTGTAAAGCGAGAGAATTTTGAGACCCGCCGAGTGTGTGTGTGCGATGCGCAGTGCGCAAGTTACAAGAGCGGATGAATCGAAACTGCATTTTCTGTTTTGGGGGATCCCCCAACTATCGATCGATAAGTCTTCGGTTTCCAACCGATATTCTCGTTTATTAGTTGGTATATTCGTGATGGTCTGTGGGTGGGGTTCCCAAACTGTAGGGGCGCCCACAAGGGGGCATAGGCAATTTTTTGAGAAAGCGTAAAGCTAATTAAAAATAAAATTATTTGTTAGATTTCGTCTTGCCTGACTTATTCTGGATGTGTTTTTTGAATTAAACATACTTTCATCTTACTATCTGTTATTTGTAGCTTATTGTTAGCTAGTTATTTTTGAGGTGGGGCACGGGACTTGCACAAATTCTAAAAAGGGAGCGTGGCTTAAAAAAGGTTTGAGAACCACTAGTCATGGGTAGAGATGGCGGAATCGAGTTCGAATACAGAATCGATTCTTCGCGGAATCGACTAGAATCGATTCTGATGCATTGAAATCGATTCTTGAGGTTAAAACTTGGATTGCTAATAATGTGTAACGTTTTGTGGCAATTCTTTCACATATATGTATAAACTGCCTTACTGCTATGTTGAGTTGCTTGGACGCCGCAAACTTCACTATATATATACTTCGCTAGAAGGTTTTTACGTTTATTTATTTCTAGAATCCCTTTGGGTTCTGAGGGATTATTTTTTTTTTCGTGCGATTTTGTCTCTTGTGACAGATTGGATACCCATACTACTCAGTTTTGGCTTTCTTTTCCATCCATATATTTAAACATAGCTCTTTTGTTTGATTTTATATAGTATTGCTTAGATGGGTATGTTTCTCTCGGTAAAATATGTCGAGGAATCGAGATTCGGAATCAAGAATCGGACTCGAAAATTTAGGAATCGGATAAGAATCGAATACTTGTGGGTAGTCTTACTTAGCATCCTTAGTCATGGGTGTGCTTTTGTATTAGTGGTGCCATATGCGCTGGCTGTGAGGATCTACCGGTAATATAAATCAAAAGGCTGTACTCGGTGATACAAAAGTCTTGCATCCAAATAATGTTTATTAAATTTTCAAAGTTGCGTAAATAAAGTCCCAATTGCCTTTTAAAAAATAGCCTTCTCTATGAGAGTCTCATTGAGCTGCCATATAGACAGTAAGTTGGGATTAGGGGTGGATATGATCCCAATCTCCGTTTGAATGGTTTCATTCGTAGAAGGATATCGGGCCGTCATATAGACAGTACATAGGTATTAAGAAATGGTCCCATTTGCCATTTAATATTGATGTTTCGGGGCTCCCGTTATATGCGAACCAAGATGGCGGACATCGGAATGTAATATGTGTACTAGGTTAGGGTTAGGCCATAATTTTAGCTATAAATACTACGGGAGGCTCTTGGCTAGTTTTAGAACTGATGATAAGACTAAAATAAGGAAAATTGGAAAAAAATTATCGCCTAACCCTAACCTGTTACCCATGTTACGTTCCGATGTCCGCCATCTTGGTTCGCATACTCGGGAGCACCGATGTTTCAATATACAAGGGTATGGTTTGCTTATTTATTGCCAGAATATATAAAAATTTATTTATTTCAACTTTTATTTTCAGGCCTTATGGTGGCATCAGTATCAGCAGTACTAGTGTACTGCTTGGATATAAGAATACTTGCCCTTGCTGAAGTTCCATTGTATTTACCTGTCTGAAGCCTTATTGAGAGCAAACCACATTAATTTCACTAACATAATATTTTTCAGGTCTTATGGTGACATCAGCTGCCCTTTATCACGCTCTGAATTTCTTCCATATCACGATTGATATCAGAAACGTATGTGTGTTTCTGGCACCTCTCTTCTCATCCTTCACCACCATAGTAACTTACCATCTTACGAAGGAGCTTGCAAACCCAGGGGCTGGTTTGGCCGCAGCTGCTTTTGTCTCGGTAGTTCCGGGTTATATCTCAAGATCTGTAGCAGGTATGAATTCAACGTTATTTAGAAGATGCTCTTTTAGAATAGGATGATATGTTTTGATTTTTATCCGAAGGAGGAGAGGAAATTAGATGATAGACGGTGGCCTGGCCCCTTTCATATTATTACTAGTTCATATCAGACGGAGTTTTATTGGCCAGCGAAATGTTGGTTTACTATGTTCTGCAAATTGTAACAAAGTTTGATATAGGTATGAAAGCTGCCATGTTCTGTTGGCTGTGAGCTTTCATTCTTTGCTTATGCTGTATGACCCATGAACTGATGTGGTTAAGGCTACCAATGGTTGTTTATGGATGGCTTCCTCCATCAAATATTCTTCAAACCCATGGTTCTCAATCCTTTAGGAATATTTCAGCGTTAAACAGTTTGTCCCCTCAACTTTCCGAGGTGGTCGTAGCTACCACTGTCTAAACGTTATCCATCAAACCCATTCATATCATACTTCTGCACCAACACCATTTTTTCATTTCCAATCTTTTTCATTTTCTATTCTAGGTTCTTATGATAATGAAGGAATTGCTATATTCTGTATGTTGTTCACTTATTTCCTCTGGATAAAAGCAGTTAAGACTGGAAGCGTGTTCTGGGGAATCTTGTGCTCTCTTGCATATTTTTACATGGTAAGTTTTTTATGAAAATGCTGTGAAAATAGCTCACAGGTCGCTACAGACCTGCTATTTGTCGAGCGTCAGAATCTTTCATTGGCATCGCCTATCAAATTGTGTGCATCCTGTGTGAGCTGGCTGAGAGGTTAAATTCAAGGATTTCATCCCGTTGACTTAGTTAGGTCTAATGCTATGGTGGTAACTCTATCCAAGAGGACCATGGCTATTCTTAACTAACCTGACTAATCTTTTAGCTGTTTATGCTAATTTGAAGCAGTTCTAGTTAATGAACTATTGCTAGACTATAGCATGATATTACCAGTTTTACCACCATAAATCATCATGGTTTCTGCAGTCCTTAGTATTTCAGCAGTCGTCTGTAGCTTTGTTTAGGGCGAAGTCAGTCTCTGTTACTTCCGACTGAGTGCCTGTTTTGCTTCGCTTTGATTAAATTCTCTTTAAATATAAACTCCATGATTGTTGTATACTGCTTGTCTGAAGAAGTCCCAATTTGGTCAGACGTAACGTTACAGAAATACATTTGTGTTAGTCTGCAGTAGTACTCTTGAATTGCAAAGTAGACAACTTGAAATTGACTTGACAGACGTTAAAACTTTATATCACTCTAAAATAAAATATTTATTCAGGTAATGCATCGCCAAAATTTACATGGTCAGCTTGTAACTTTCCTTTTCATAGATGACTCTCTTTATCTTTGATTGAGTGTGTGGACTCCCAAAGTTACTCATAGATGCATCTTTTTGGTTCCTGAACGAGTGTATCTGAGCTTATAAAAATCGTGACTATTGTAAATTGACCTATTTTCTAGGTATAGTGGCCGCCCGTAAATTCGCTCAGTGATCAGTCAGTCTCCTTGACTTGTACTTGAGTGCCCGTAACTTTGCTTTGATCAAATTCTTTCGAAAAGAAGAAAATAATCCATAATAATTGTAAACTGCTTGTCTGAGGAAGTCTGATTTTGGTCAGACGAAATGTCACAGAAATACATTTGTGTCAGTCTGCAGCAGAATTCTTGAATTGCATAGTAAACAACGTCGATAACTTGTCAAATTGTCAGCGATTAAAACTTTATATCACATTCAAATAAACTAATTTTCCAGGTATCGTCGTGGGGAGGCTACGTTTTTCTGATCAACTTGATTCCAATCCATGTGTTGGTTTGTATAATAACTGGAAGGTTTTCTCATCGAATGTATGTTGCTTATACAACTGTGTATTGTGTCGGAACTATTCTGTCAATGCAAATCTCATTCGTAGGGTTTATGGTGAGTTATTGTTTTTTATCTGTTATTTTTTGCAAGTTCTTCACAAGCTCTCTAAAGCAGCGTTCCTCAAACTGTGCTCCGCGGAACATTACTGTTCCTGCATAGTTAGGTCCATCACACTGACCATAAACGATAAAGGAATATTATTGAAATAATCTCATGTTTTTACCTTTTTTTTATAATTACTCTTTATCTTGCCTATCTCGCATTGCGATTTTGGCGCTCCAGAAGTGTGTGTACCAGTATTTTCGCCTACTTTACATCAAGTTGTGTAAAGGGACTGGAACATAGGGGTATATTCACTTGGCTAGGCTAACACAGACAGTCCCCGAACTCATAGGGAAAATCGGAATTAAAACTATGGCCTTAACCCTAAGCTGGTACACACACTACGGGAGTACCACGATTTTTATTTCTCCTATATACAGCCCGTACAAACATCTGAACACATGGGGGCATTGGGAGTCTTTGGATTATGTCAGATCGTAGCATTCGTAACGTATGTCCGCAGCAGGCTTTCAACAGCACAATTTGAAGTCTTATGGCGATTCATGGTTTATTTGATCGGTACTGTTGTAGCTGGCATTGTTGCTTTCTTGACATTGGCAGGTTTGTTAACTTTATTTTCTTTAGAATGTTCATGATGTCCATAAAGTTCTAAAATTTTTCACCGGGCTTATAAGATTCGCAGGAGTGCGGTTACGTTTATTTCTCTTCGAAAAATAGCTAGCTCATTTGTGAAAAGGATGAACAGCGAACAACGCGACATGGTTGATATCAACTATTCTACGAATTAATTGTTGACGATTAGTAGATGTTTGAAATAAGTCATATTCGTCGAACAATGTCTGGCAAAGGGAGGCAAGCTATACTAAGGAATTTTGCTGTACACACAATTTTTAGTTTTTTAAACACCCTTGCGGTGTTGTGAATTGCATTTTTGACGCACTGTTTCAATTTTACCGTAACCCCCCCCCCCCATTAAAAAAATCCTGACTGTGCCACTGGTACGACATACTAATTCATTTCTTATTTCAGGCAAAGTTGCTCCCTGGACCGGCAGGTTCTACTCCCTCCTGGATCCAAGTTACGCGAAGAATAATATTCCAATCATTGCATCAGTCTCTGAACATCAACCGACAGCCTGGTCTTCCTTCTACTTTGATTTACAATTGCTGGTATTTTTCTTCCCCGGTAAGTTATTTAGTGTTTATGTCTGGCTTGTAGTGGTAAGCCTTGGGGTTGGGAGAAGCTTTTTAGATTCTAATTGTCTTCTGGCAGGATTGTCCATGACCACTTTGCTATGGCTTATTCTGCCAAGAATTTTTATGCACAAACTAACTTCAGCTGTTGGTGTGTATCTAGAGCTTGTTTATTGTACTAAGTGTTAGGCTTGCTTGAATACTCTGCTGGAGAGGATGCAGGCTTGGATTTCATTGTGGGTACTGCAGAAGGTATCAATGACTGACTTCTTTTACCATTCAAGTTCATGCTTCTGGAATGATTTACCTCATAAATATTTCTCTGCCCAAACTGACTTCTCTGCTAAGTAATTTGGTGTCTATAGTTGGTTTATTGTCCTATATATTAGTATACTTATGCTCGATTATGCTTGAGGTTCAAAATCCATAGCAATAGTTCATGTGACCATCGGTGGTATGGTAGTTAGAGGGCAAAATGTGGGATACATCTCTCATCTGATATCCCTCGACTTAGGGATGTGCAACCTTTATTTCTGGAGGGGCAGATAAAATAAATGGGTGAAACCGCGAGATGCACCATTAACATAGGTTTTTTAGTAGTTGCAGGCACAAATATTTTGGTTATTAATCTGATGATATGCGACTGCACAATTTTTTCCAGTTGTCTGCATTTGCCCCGCGGGCCGAAGGTTGAATACCCTTGCTTTTAAGTCGTCCATTTTTTCATACTAATTAAGGCAATTATTCATTTGCTCAATACTAAGAAGACGTTAAGCCTTGACTATAATTTGTTTATTGCAGTTGGATTGTACGTTTGCTTCAAGAAATTGACAGATCACAATATTTTCATCATCATGTATGGAATAACAAGCATGTACTTTGCTGCTGTCATGGTATGTATTTCATGCACTGAAGCGTATCTGGGCAGAATAATCCCTCAAACCGAAATGAATTTCTGTCTGTTCTCAACTGGTTTAAATTTTTTCCTAAAATCCTTATAAGTCACTGAGTGTGTACCCAGGGATGGCCAATACCGAATAGTTCACTATTTCGAATACATTCGAAATTATTATTTTCGAATATGAAATTTCGAATACTTCGAAAATAAAATCCAGTAATAGAATCTAAGTGTATGAAGGAATTTTCATACAATAAACAATGGAATAACTTCTATCTACAACCTGGCTATATTACCAGGCATTTCATGTTTGCGGATTATTGCGATATATATTTTATATAACATGAGTTATGTTAATTAACAGAATTAAAATAATACGACAAGGCATTTTAAATAGTGGTATCGGTGATGGATTTGAATGCTTGCGCAACACAAAATCATCCTAGTAAAACGCTCATACTTTTAAATACCAACCATTATCCAAATTATTTGTCAAAAAGCGGGATAAAGTATGAGTTCTTTTTCAGACTTGTGACAATTTTTTCGTGAGTACAAAAATACGAATCAAAAAGTAATTATATTCGGGAACTTTACCACACATTTTAAGTCCGCAGATCGCCGTTGTATGTTTGTGTAATAATACTTTTATTATTTCATAAATACGAAAATAGGGTTCAAAAACTATTTATAATCGGGTAGTTTACCACACATTCAATGTCCACAGATCACCGTTGTATTTTGTAAATACGAAAATAGGAATCAAAAATTAATATCATTCGCGAGTTTGCCTCACAATTTATGTCCACAAAATGCAGTGATATTGTGCCCGAATATAATTAATTTTTGATTCTTATTTTCGTACTCACGAAAAAATTGTCGGAAGTCGGAACAAGTCGGAAAAATAATTTATACTTTATTACACATTCAAGTCCACAAATCGCCGTTGTATTTTTGAGTTATAATAGTTTTAATATTTTGTAAATACGAATCCGAAATTAATTATAATTGGGCAGTTTACCACACATTTCATGCCCACAAATACCTGTGGTATTTGGTATTAATACTTTCATTATCGATACTTTTGACCATCATTATCAAAATTATTTGCCAGAAAGCGGGTGAAAGTATCTTTCTAATAAACCAACTTGTTTCCCAACTTGTGACAATTTATTGGATATCGTAACAATTACGGCTATGAATACCGTATTTCCCGGCTAATAAGTCTAGCAAGAAGACGGGTAGAAAAATTGTTCCCTGTTGTTCAGTTATGCTAATATGCGCTAATAATAATGTTTAGAACCAGATCACGTATGTTTAGTGGAATCATACTCACAGAATTAACTATTTTTAACAATAAAGCGGTAATTTTAAGTTAAAAATCACAATCATTTTGAACAATCTATAATTTTATTGGGTCAGAACAGAACCAGATCATGTTTGTTTGGTAGAATCATACTCACGGAATTATCTATTCTCAACAATGAAGCGGTAAATTTAAATTATAAAGCGGCAATCATTTTGGACAACCTATCAACCCGAATGTTGAAATAATTTTGGAATGTGATAAGTACCACGCGGTACGTCCACGGGTTATTTCACAGCTGTGTTTCATGTCCCTGTTGTTTTCTGCTGAATCGGCAAAACCAAAGGGTCATAAATCACTTACTTTATCTCGGTGGCCGTGTTTTCTCTTTTGAGTAACGATAACCGGCCTACGATTAAATATCATGATTGGCAGACCCATAAGAACCAAATATAAGGTTAACACAAATTATGCATTAGAAGACTAAAGCGAAAAATAAGCAGGCCACATAGAAATAAAATAAACATACTTTCTCAATAAGGCGCCCCTCCCCCCAAAAAATCAAGCCAAAATTGGGTCTAGAAAAGCGACTTATTATCCGGGAAATACGGTGATTGTCGATTTTTCGACTAATGGAAATGATTTTGTGAATTGAAAGACAAATGTCGGCAATGTCCACCAACGCAAACGTGTCGAAACACTATGCGTACATTCGCGCTGAATATAAACAATCAAAATGCCGATTCTATTTCATCGTCATTACAATACGTGAGAAAGCGTAAAAAGTCGTTTGAGGATTCCGGTAAAACGAAACACCGTGTTTACGGCGGAAAGTGACTACTATTCGTAATTATTCGGAAATGAGCCGAAAAGGTATTCGAATACTTTGATATTCGAATAATTTCGAATATTCGATTCGTTTTGGACAACCCTGTGTGTACTTATGGATTACTTTGCTAAATTGCTGTTCATTGCGACTAATGTGGCATTCAAAATTATCAATGCTCAAATATAGAAAGTGCAATATTCCACCTCAAATTTTGCGGCATTTTTGTAAGTTGATAGCCACACCATCAGGCAAGATGAAAAATTGATCAATGATCTAAAACAGTAGTTCCCAAACTTATTAAGCTGCGCCTTATAAATAACACGTTGAAAATACAAGGATGGAACCTAAATAATGAAATAAATAAGTTATGAAATGCAAATATCCAATATCCAAAGGCTGGCAAGATCAAATCGAAAAAATATTTTTATTTTTAATTGCAGCCACGCCCCTCAAAAAATTGTCTACGCCCCCTTTGTGGGGTGCGCCTCACCCCCCAGGTTGAGAACCACTGCATCAAAGTATTCCAAATCCAACCTAGTCTCAGTCCTCTGCTACACAGTATTGGAATCAATTTTGCAACAAAAACCTCTATAATATTCACAGGTCCGTCTTATGTTAGTTCTGGCACCAGTGATGTGTATTCTTGCTGGTATTGGAGCCAATCATATTTTATGTGCCTACATGAAAAATCTTGATTCTGTGCAAGCAAAGGAGAAGAAAGCTAAGAAGCCAGATTCTACTTATCCTATCAAGAATGAGGTTGGATTTTTATTGATTTGATTCCTTGTTTTAATCCGTATTCAAGGTATTTTGATATCGTAGTTTCGCTTCAAAAAAATAATTGTTTTTGACGATGTAGGATTTTTGTCATGATTCATTCATATGCTCTAAAGCAGTGGCTCTCGAACTTTTTAAACTGCGGCTCCTGCGGTTTCACGAATTAGTTATTTGCTGCATGCCTAGTGCATTGTTTGGAGTGAATCTGTGAATTGTGGATACAATGTACTATTGGTTAAAGTGTTGAATTAATAGTGTTAACTTTGCAAATTGAATTAGAATTTGCTCCAAAATCCAAACACCATTCTCATCACCACCTCACTGGCTAAACTGGAAGGCCCTTCCAAAGTATGTGTGTGCCAAGTTTTGTTGGCAGCGATAAATTGTATACCCCAGGGATGGCCGGGGTTGTGCCGCATGGCCACCTGTTGCACCTGCATAACCTGAGACAAACTGAATCTGATCGTATATTCAAAGCCCCCGCCAAAAAACACTCCTGCCATTGCACAAAATAAAAAAATTAGGGGGCTCCCGAAGTATGCGAACCAAGATGGTGGACATCGGTATGTAATATGTGTACTAGGTTGGGGTTAGGCCATAATTTTAGGTATAAATACTACGGGAGGCTCTTGGCTAGTCTTCGAACTGATAATAGGACTAAAATAAGGAAAATTGGAAAAATATGATCGCCTAACCCTAACCTGTTACCCATGTTACGTTCCGATGTCCACCATCTTGGTTCGAACGGGAGCACCAAAATTAGTAATTATTCAGGTAGGATGAGAGCTAGTAAGACAGATTGCACTGGTGGCGGTGTATGTTTACAAAGGATCCCTAATCTGAATTATGATGAACAGAAACACTTCTATTATAGTCAAAGCGGAATATTCTGGTCCTTACAAAATGTAGTGGTTCCTTATGAAGGCAGTGGCTGCTTGTACAGGGCCTTGTTCAGAGCGAAAAACACATAAAAATAACTCCTATTTAATTCTCTTTTCAGATTGCAACTGGCGTAGTCTTCATGATGACATTATTCCTATCAATGTACGCATTGCACTCGGTGTGGGTGACATCTGAAGCCTACTCTTCCCCGTCTATTGTACTTTCTGCAAAAGGTCACGACGGGGGTCGTGTGATATTTGATGACTTCCGGGAAGCTTATTACTGGCTGAGACATAACACTCCTGAGGTAGGATAAGATTTTGATATTTTGTTTTGATTTTGAATGATTTTGAGATGTTGTTGCAAGTAAAAGACAAAACTTATTTAGAACCCCTGCTCAAACCTGTTTAAAAAAGCAATTGTAGAGGTTGCTAAAAATTTCGGTGTTTAGATAAATTATGTCCGATTCCTCCGAACCCCAAGAAAATATATTCTTGATATGGAAACTTGGCGCTCTCGAAGTATGTGCACCAAGATGGCGCACATCCTGAACCCTAACCTGGTTAGTAACACATACTATGTTCAGGTTGTGCGCCGTCTTGGTGTAAATACTTCGGTAGCTCTGGAAGCTTTGGCATGTTCAAGCGTTTTTTTTATTAGAATGCCGAGAACACTAGGCAAAACTTAATGCGTTTTAAGTTTCTTCAAAAACAATTTTTGTAGTATTGTAAGTATGGGATTCTGACTCGAGCCCCCGACTCTGACAGAATATGCATCCCTGGCAAGAGGGCGTGGCGCAGTAAAGATTATTGTTTATCTCCTAAATATAAGAATTCTATCATTTTCACGGGAAATCGAGTTATGCCCTCAGCTTTGAGAAATTGTTTTGAGTAGTAGTTATTCTAGATTAACCATAAATGGTAGCTTAAATGATATAGACTTGAATTGGAATGAAATCGCCATCTCATTGCCTATGATGACAAATAATTCAGCGGACTAGAACAAATCGTGTTGACACTAGGTGCTCTATTTGCTGAGGCAATGTCATATTCTTACTGTTTTACTAGTTTTTCCCGTGACAGTGGTAAAGGTAAATTGTAACCAAGCACAGACATTTGTATAGCCTCTTAAGCTGGTAGATAATATGGTACTTCTGCAGTATGTGTACCAGGTTAGGGTTGGGCCATAATTTATTTTTTATTTTAGTTCTATTACGATTTCGAGACTGTCTGTGTTAGTCAATTAAATACACCCCCTGTCCATAGATTTCAGTCCCTTTACACAACTTGATATAAAATACGCGAACAACATTAGTTACTTCCATATGGTACACACACTTCTGGAGTGTCAAAAAAAAGGTTTCCAGTCATCGAACTCGATTGGCTGTGAGCTCTCACTCATTCACTGTCAGTAAATCCATTACACACAAAAACTATGCATGGAGCATTCAGTCGTGCGAAGATAAGAGATGAGTCTCCTTCACCTGTTAATAATTCAGTGTTCGAGGCCTTTCTATGAGCAAATCCGCTAAACTAGAAATAATTTTTTCCTATTCAGGATGCAAAAGTGATGTCATGGTGGGATTATGGATACCAGATAACAGCGATGGCGAACCGGACAATTCTTGTTGATAATAACACATGGAATAACACACATATATCAAGAGTAGGACAGGTATGTAGCATTGACTCCACAAAACATGCCAAAACATGAGACGACTGTCAAAAAACATGCAAAAACACACAAAAACATTTTCCTGCATATTTCATGGCAAGTTTTAGTAGCTTGAAACGCATTTTAAACCCCCAAAACTCTGAAGACGCATGCTAGTTGACACAGTCTAACTCTGCAATTGAAAATGTCAGAACGTCTCCTTAGAAAATTCCTGGACATGCCTCTGCTCTGAGAGGAGCTCTGTTCTAAAAGGACAAGAAAAACACTTAGAAATTCATGTATATTGGATGAGAGATTTGGACTGTCTGTGTTAGCCAAGTGAAAATACCCCCTGTCCATAGGTTTCAGTCTCTTTACACAACTTGATGTGAAGTAGACGAACAAAATTATTTACCCCCATATTGGTACACAGTACACACACTTCCAATGATACTATCCTTAGTTTTTCCCAAACTCAAGAATATAAAATATCAAATGTAATTTGTTTTGGATTGATTCGAATATTAAATTTAATATATGGACTTCCTTAATTACAAATTGTGATCTAAGTTTGATTATTTATTAAAAAACATTTTTTCAGGCTATGGCATCCACAGAGGAACATGCCTATGAAATCATGAGAGAGTTGGATGTGAATTACGTGCTGGTTATATTTGGTGGATTGACTGGATACTCTTCTGATGGTAAGTCTTGTTTGGTCTCGTATAGCAGTCATTCTTGAACTTTCCTGGCTCCTTTTTTCAAAAATCTCGACACTCATGGCCCTCCTGCTCTTGTATTTAATTTCCATGAGTTTATATCAGTGACAAGCAATTACTTTCCTGAATGGGCCAGTTACAGATAATAGACTCGGTTACTGGGACGGAGACCCGGAACTCGATATAAAAAAATGACATCATTTGACCAATCAGTTTTCGATTAAGCCTATCTGAATAATTACAAAAACGAGATTGCGATCAGACATCGTCGACTTATCGATCTAGCGGCGTGCATTTCAATCCCGGCGCAGACAATGTCAAAGTGTCAAGAGGGATATAGACATTGCTTAAAAAGAGTAATCACGAGATACGATCTAGCGGCGTATAACTTGCGCATCGCGCACACACACACACACTCAGCGTATCTCAAAAATCTCTCGCTTTGCAAAAATTATTTTTCGCTATGCAAAAATCTAAATTTCTTCATCACTAATTAATCTATAACTCGCTAATTATACGACATAATTCATCAAAGATCAATACCTATCTGGTCTGAGATATGATGAATGCACATGCAAAGTTTGGAGCAGGTTTAACCTCGCTTTCGTGAGATATCTGTATCTAACAGATAGACAGACAAATACCTAACAGCATATATACCGATCAAGATAGATAGTAATTATCACTTTTTTATCCGTCGTGTGATGCAAAAACTTCTGGGATGATGACAACTGGAAGTGCCGTCTGATACCAGCTGATGTATGTTCTTGTGCTGACCAGAAATGATTGATTCTTGTTAATTAAATCTTTCATAATTTAATAAGATATAGGCATTTGTCATGGTTATCACAAGTATTCGGTTCGAATATTGCGTTTGAACTAACAAGACGACTGTTAACTTGATTGCATAAGTGAAAGTTCTCCATTGCTGATTCAAGGTTTGACAAAAACTTTGGTGCATGTTGAAGTATATTTAGGCTTGACGCTCTGATCTGTGCCTTGCACGCTGGCGTACTTAGATACGCACAAACTGAATATTATTCAAAATATAGAAGAGAAGATATATTTTTTTTTTCATTTTGTCACAGATATCAATAAATTCTTGTGGATGGTTCGTATCGGGGGTTCAACAGATCGTGGGGCTCACATAAAGGAATCTGATTACTACACTCCTACAGGTATGTACATTTAACTCTCCTAATTCAATTTCTGGTTATCTCTGGTTACATTTTTGTTTTCAAAACGACTTTAGGATAGCAAGCTTACTACTACGATCTCAAATAACGTTAGACAAAGAACAACTTTTTTGATGTTTTTTTTTGAGGATATCTTTGCTCTGTATAAGCGCCACTGAAAAGTAAGAATCACTGGGATCTTCAAAATTTCACCCCATGTGAGGTGTAAGGGTGGTTCGTTTGGCGCTCCTGATGTGTATGTACCAATATGGGGGTAACTAATTTTGTTCACCTATTTACATCAAGTTTTTAAAGGGACTGAAACCTATAAGCAGACAGCCTTCGAACCAGTAATAGAACTGAAATTAGAAAAATAAAATTATGGCCTAACCCTAACCTGGTGCACACACGGTTACCCATTTACCTGCCCCAGTTATTAGTATCCTCATAGATATCATTAGATATTAGTAGATGCTTCTACAGGGCCTTGTTCAGAGCTAGGTGCTTCCCCCTCCCTACTAAAACTTATATTTTGTTCTCCACAGGTGAATTCCGTGTTGATTCTGAAGGATCTCCTACTCTCCTCAACTGCTTGATGTACAAGATGTGTTATTACAGATTTGGACAAGTCTATACAGAGCAGAGTGAGTTTGTTACTTTCTTATAAGGGTAGAGAGAGGAAATCGAAACTATAGCATTTTTATCATGTCATTCATATGAAAACTAGATATGTACCGATACCACTTCCGTCGCCGATACCGATCCCATACCAGTTAAAAAATCTGATATCGATACCGATGTTCGAAAACGACCGATATTCCGGGCTGGCTGCCAGCCCCTCGAGCCAAACTTTCTTAAATTGTCTCTTGAGCATGCCTAATAAATTACTTTCCGAGTTTCTGGCGTAAATTTTGACTGCGGATTTTTTATATCAACTGTCACGGTAGTCCAACTTAGTTCAGAAGCCCCGCAAATAGTCTATGACTGCAATGCATTTATACGCGCTCCCAAAACCTGTCTTGCTGTCTATGATACACCGGAAATATGCAGCTCTGATATTGTTGTTTAAAATGATATTTTAATCCAAGTAAATCCACAGTTCAACAGAATATCCAGTTAGTTAATGTAATCCAATATAGCAGCCAACTATACAGGAATTGATTGCGGTAAATGACAATTGCGTCTATCCAGCCAATAGTTCAACGATAAACAGATGAAGTAGATGAGCGAATTTACTATGTGCGCTCCCGGTTTCAGGTTCTTGCCGAAGAGGCCTAACTAAGAATATACGTCAGTGAACCACTGCCCACCAGAAGTAATACACAAGAGCTAACTTTGAAAGGGGTACACACAATACAATAACTAACTATCGGCCCCAGTAACATCAACTTCAAATCCTGCCCCTAGATCGCGACTTGAAAAAAAGATTTTTTAACCCCAAAAATTTTGGCTCACCTAAGCAAGTCTTTTTTAGTTGTCTGTTAGCTTAATCCTTAAATTATTTGTGGAAATTTTGATCGCCAATAGCAACTAATTTTTATTTTTTAAATTCCAGGCAAACCAACTGGTTACGACAGGGTGAGAAATGCAGAGATTGGTAACAAGGATTTTGAACTTGACGTTTTAGAAGAAGCATATACAACAGAACATTGGATTGTCAGAATATATAAGGTAACTTTGATGCTTATTTAGACACTACATTGGGTAATGCTGATCGACTACTCAACATTGGCATATTCAATTACTATATAACGTGAGGGATTGGAGGGGGCCCACAATGCTAGGCGCAGAACTGATTTTACTTTTCTCCTCACAAGAAAACTCCCTGTTCTTCCTAGTTTCACTGCTTGATAAGGTTATTTCACAGAGTGTTTCCACTTTGTTGAGCATTTATTGTTTGATCATATTTGTTTACATCAGGGGTCGGCAACCTACGGCCCGCGGAGTTTTATAATCCGGCCCGCGACACTTCATTGAATTATAGTAACAAAACAGCCGTTTTGACAATTATATTCTTTAGACTAAATTGTATTATAACCTAACAAGTATCTAATTCACAATTACTCGTTTAATGAGCATATAATTAGATTATAATTAGACAAATGGCAACAAAACTCAGAAAAGTTGATGCTAAGTGCAAAGGATTCAACGGCGCTGAAAATATTCAAATGGAATTTTATCAGATTCAATGAGGAAATAAATCTATATTGTATTAGAGACACGTATCACTGCTTGATTTTCAATACAAAAAATAACATCCGTTCGGTTTTCAACTTTCTGACAATATATGCAGCCCACCAATAACATACAACCTTTAATTTTGGCCCGCGAACGACAAAAGGTTGCCGACCCCTGGTTTACAAGAAACTTTCCGTTCCTAGTTTCATTGCTTGATAAGGTTATTTCACAGGGTGTTTACACTTTGTTGGGCATGAATTGTTTGAACATAATGGGATTTTGAATCTACCAATCAAATAAACACCTTAAATACCAATGGAATGATAAACGGGCCCATGAGTGCTTCTTTCTAAAAAAAACTTATACATACAGGGTGGCCCAAAAGTAGGTATACAGTTATTAAACTATTTTATATGTTTTGAAGCTACTTGCAATTCACTTTATGTTACTTGTTAATTACAACAAAAATTGCTTATTTTTTAGATAATAAATCTAATGTGAATTTTAGATTAGTTTTCTAGCTGCTTGGAAGGTAATGGTTTTAGTTTGGTTGTGGCAGCATCAGGCGGGCCAGATTGAATTACCCAACGGGTAGGATTTAACCCGCGGGCCGCAGTTGACCCATGAAAGTCCTAGACCCTTGCTAAGCCCTCCTAACATCTTTCTCGTCTATTTCAGGTTAAAGATCTTGAAAATAGAGGCAACAGTAGAACATAATACGGTCACATGAGGCAGCACTTTTTTGAAGCATGAATAACGAATCAAATTTCTTCCAACTGAGAAAAACATTTAATTTCAAACATAAAAGATTAGTTTACATTTCTATATTACGGCAAGAGTGTTTTTGAGCACATACAGCAGCATGTATGTAATATGATTCGGAATTATTTTTTAAGATATGCATGCTTTGATTGGGGGATAAAATGTTTTTTGATTTTTATATTCAAGTGAAGAAATGATTATCAATTGAAGCGACTATTTTTTTTTTCTGGTGCCTTTTTTCCTAACCCCATTCCCCATCAGACCTAATAACTAATTATATAATTTGATGTGAAAAGTTGGACAATTTTTTGCATATACATTCGATGTCATCTCAACAAAATATTCATTACCTAGATAATTTATTTTATCTTGTTAAGAAAAATTATAACACACTTGTCAGAAATAAGCAAAGTTGCCAAAATTTCAATCGTTTAAGAATTTAAATAGTTTAAAGGAGAGATATAAAAGCCCTACTTGAGAAATCTCCCATTGTGACATAGAATATAACTGATATGTTATTTGTTTTGTCGAAAGCATTCCTAAAAATCATTTCAGCTCCCTTCAATTACCATTTCATAAAAGTAGCAAAAAAGATCTGAAGCAAATTCTGTTATGGAAGCAACCTTAAAAGTTTCATTTATTATTTTTTAAGTTCAAAGGTCAATAATTACCATTTATTATTTAACAGTTTCAACAACCAACATTTTTTTGCAGTGTTTGATATAAGTCCCAGGTATTTCTGGGTTCAAATCTTAGGCTTTCTCAAGTCTCGGGAGTGTGACGTCTGAGTTATGTCTCTCTAACACTGGTAGTTAGTCTTGACTGGGTCTTGGAATTTTGAAATTATTTTTCTCTGGCGTTGAATTTTTTGTGTTTTCTCTTGTGGGAAAAGAATCCCTATAGGACGGTGTCTCTATATTTAATAATTACTTGATTATGTGTATGCTCGGTTGGAAGTGTTTCAAATTTAAGATATTTTCACACTCTGTTATATCTTCTATGCCGATGAACTCTACTTTGTGCTGTATTGTTGAAAAATTATGTGAAGGTTTTGCAAATGTTCCTAAATAAAATCAAAGATTCCTGTTTTCTGTAGCCTGTACTGCTTCATTTTACCTTGAGAAAAATTTTAGTTTGTTCATTGTTGGCTCGGTGGTGTGGCACATCGACTAAGCGTTAGGAATACCATCACTACCGCACCTCTGATTACCTACAACACCTACTTCTTTGTCTCGCCTTACGGAACACCAAGCAAGTAGAAGGTAAAATTTATAATAAAATTGTGTAATGGATTTACTTTATGCATCAACTTGCACAACCGACTTATCGCGTCATCTTTTTGAGGCAATTTCAAACAATCCGTAGTAAGGATGGTTTCCAAAAAATTTAGCCTGTTAAAATTAAAAACGTGGCTGTAAACTTGACAATTAAAATAAATTAGGCCGACGGGGAACGATACTGAACGGTAAACAAAACGCCAGGCTGGCACGAGGCCTATCCGCCTGCTTAGATAACGAGGCTCATCTGGGTGCTCCTGAAGTATTTCTACCAAGATGGCGCACAACCTAAATATACTATTGTACCAGGTTAGGATTCAGGTTGTGAGTCATCTTTGTACGAATACTTCCGGAGCGCCTGTCGCCAGCTGGGAGACAAATTTGCGACCGAGGCATAGAAGTACAGTCGAGATCACCATGGCGACCAATTTAGTCGCAATTTCGATCATTGCCCCGCGGAACACTCCAAAGAAGTGAGCGGAACAGCAGCATTCCGAGGAACACGGCTTGAGAAACGCTGCTTTAACCCAACGTGTAACAACGGAGAGGAATTTTGTCTTTAGCGAGGAATTTTGCTCTAGTACAACTACTAGTATTATTGGACACATATAGATCGTTTTGTATGTGTGACTCACTTTTTTTCACATGAATCGTTTCGGTGTTATGTTGTTGTTGGTATTGTTTTTTTTCTTCGTATTGTTTTAAAAAAATCGCCTTTTTCTTTGGCTACTGGACTACTACTCGATTGCTTTGAAATTTTCAGTGGCTAAATATTGTATCTTTCGCTAGAAGGCTATCACTTTTTTTTTTATTTCCATACTACTCCGCGTCCATATATCTCAGCATCGCTCTCTTATTATTGGACACTTTAGTAGACATAACGATCGTTTTGCATTTCATGCTGGCACTCTTCTTGTTCTTTGGAACGTTTTTAAAAAATCGCTTTTTTCATTAACTACGGCTCAATTGCTTTGAAATTTTCAGTGGTTAAAGATTGTACTTTTTGCTAGAAGGCTACTACTTTTTTATTTCTATACTACTCCGCGTCCATATATCTCAGCATTGCTCTCTTATTATTACTATTAGGATTTAGGATTTACATATTTATCCCGGGGAGAGGAAAGCCGATAAGACGGCTTATCCATATGGCGAACCACGTCCGGTTATCATTCCAAGTCGGGTATGGGATTAGTTATATTGTTTGTTTTCGGAAGCATGGACTTGGTGGTGGAGGAAGCCGTAACCGACCAGCGGTTACGTGAACCATCCAACGACGGCGAGGAGTCCAGCAATCCTCTCGCACATAACCATCCCTGCATGGGATTCGAACCTGCGAACCCACGCAGAGTAATTAGAGGTGCGGTGGCGAGCGTATTCCTAACGCTGTAGCCCGTTGAGCCACACCGCCGCGCCGATATAATGGTTGTTTGTGTATTTAGCGATAATCTTCTGAGAATTTCAACTTAACACAATGTTTCTTCAACAAACACAATACAAAACATCTTTTATCACACGAATTTATTTGACATCAAAATGAATAAACACTGAATGTCTAGATATCATGCACACAATTTTTTATTCTTTCTCAGCTCTGAGTAAATACGTTTGATTTTGTTAAAAAATAAATTACAACATATCATAATGCAGCGGTTCCGAAGCGGGGTTCCGTGGCCCCCAGAGTGATTGGAAGGCCCAGGATGCTTTTACATTTACAGTTATAAGAAAACTAGAGTCAAGAGTCTTGTTGCACACTAACACAAATATATTTCTGTAACGTTTCGTCTGACCAAGGTCAGACTTCTTCAGACATACATAGGTCAACTATGATTATATGCATACAGATCCGCCGGCACAAAAGCATAGAAGAAGGATAATTAGTTAGTCTCGCAGAAACCAATTCATTGCTTGATAAGGTTATTTCACAGGGTGTTGATCATCTCTTATTTTTAACATAATTTGAGTTAGAATCTACCAATCATGATACTTTGAATACCACTGGAATGATTAACGAGGCCATGAGTGCTAAAAGCCTACGGAAGAAAACCACAGTCATAAAGACTACAAACTGTTGAAGATTATGACAATATATAATAAAGTGAGAAACAAAATTTTTTCCGATTACAATATTTCTGAATACATAAATTTCTTTGTCTGATCAAAACGATGTTTTCTGAAAAAAAGAAAAATAAGATACAATTTGCGTCAAAAAATGAAGCTTTGTAACAAAGGGTTCGAATCCAATGCCCACCCATGGTGCAACAATTAGCCAGCATTGATTTCTTTACCCCTGTCTAAAATTTCAAACGCCCCCTAATTTGGGCCGTGACACCACTTAATTAATAATTTTTAACGTTAATAAACTTATATTGTTAAAATTTTAGACTATCCAGAAAGTGGCTCATATGCCAGTGCACACGAACATTTAAATACACAAGAGAAATATGCTCAAATATATGGACACGTAACGCCACATGGTGGCAAGTTTCGGTGACGAAAAAATGAATCCCATACAGCTCACCGGATTGGTCCAGTAATCAAAGAGAAAAGCGAAAACGAAAATTTTTTTTTCTATGACAAAGAACAACATAATAACAAAACGATAGTAGTTATTAATAGTTTAATCACTAACATCTACCATCCCATAAATTTGCTGGGGAACATACTGGGCCGGGCAATGCTGAGCCAAGACAATTTCAGTTTCAACATAAATAGTGGTTTCTTGTATATAAGTCGCCCTTCGAACGGGCATTATTCAGGACGAGAAGCGGGAATAAAAAATACCCACAAGAAATCATGAACCTTACCCTACACACAACATTGACGCGCTGGAAAACCAGCACAATGTGCGGGATTGCCGTTGTAGGCCCCGGCACAGAAGTTTGAAAAATGGCGACACCCTCCTCCAGCAGCAGTACACAGTCCGTCAGCAGCGCTGGCTGTGTCCGTCAGATGTTGTTGCAAATCTTTTTTTTTTTTTTATGAAAATATATGATTTTTGTTATAAAATGATTATATAGGATATTCATAAAATAAAAATTTTGTTGTGGCGGTTGGCGACGCACAGGCGTTAGGCTCGGCGGTGTGGCGCATTGCCTAAGCGTTAGGGATACGCTCGCCACCACACCTCTGATTACCCTGCATGGGTTCGAATCCCATGCGGGGTTGGTTATGTGCAAGAGGATTGCTGGACTCCTCGCTGCAGTAGGGTGGTTCACGTAAACGCTTGTCGGTTACGGATTCTTCAACCATCAAGTCCATGCTTCCGAAAACAAATAACGGGTTAACTAATCCGATACCCGACATGGACTGGTAATAGGACGAGAGCCGGTGCTCGCAATATGATTGAACCTGCTCATCGGATTTCCTCTCTCGTGGGATAAATATGTAAATCCTATCCTACTAAGAATACGATTACAATCGTACCTATCATTATCCCGTGTGGGTTCGCTGGTTCGAGTCCCCGGGGAGATGATTATGTGCGCGAGGATTGCTGGACTGCTCGCCGCCTTAGAGTGATTTGTTACGGCTTTCAAATCTTTTGTACAAAGCCCCGCCACTAATGCAAAAATGTGAGATTTAAGAAAAACACGCCCGCCAAGTTTTAAAGCGAGAATATCGGTCGAAAGTTAGGGATCCTCAAAACAGCGCTTTGTCCCATCACTAATTAATTAATAACTCGCTAATTATACGAGATAATTTATCCAAAATCAATAGGCTTCTGGTACGACATATGATGAATGCACATGCAAAATCTTGAGCAGATTCAATCTTGCTTTCGTGAGATATCGAGTGCGTCTAACAGACAAATACCTATCAACATACTTACCGATTAAAATCGATAAGTAATGACAAATTAGTATCCAGTTAGAGTTGGGGTCAGGGATAATTTTAACATTTAAATTTCTAGCGCAATTCGCATTCTTAACCCAAGGACTAACTGGATAAATTACTAATTACTTATCGATCTTGATCGGTAAGTATGTTGATAGGTGTTTGTCTGTTAGATGCACGCGATATCTCACGAAAGCGCGGTTGAATCTTCTCCAAATTTTGCATGTGCATTAATCATATCTCGGACCAGAAGCCTATTGATTTTGGGCGAATTATGTCGTATAATTAGCGAGTTATTAATCAATTAGTGATAGGACACGCGGTGTCACTATAGAGTCATAAATCGAAACCGCAGTTTCGATCGATAAGTCTCCGACCGATATTCTCGTTTTCTTATTTAGAGCCGCGACAGGGGTGTTTTTGTGAAGTGGACTTTAAACAAAAGATCCCAGCTTCCTTCACTGTCAACTCCTTCACTGTTAACTGCTTCCGAAAGCAAATAACCGGGCGAGAAGTTGTAGTTTTCCGTATAAATAAGCCTATCATCAGCTTTCCTTGGAATAAATCTCTAAAAATCCTACCTGCGTTGTCATATGATTGACAGCATTGGGCACCAGCGGTATTGCAAGCAGCAGCCGCAACACCAGCACCGAAGTAGCCGTTAATACAATCAGTAACCTCTTGCCATATGTAGCAGTCGCCCATACCGTTCTCCTTACAAGGAGACGCTCCTGTAATTAAACATTTGGATATTTAAAAAGTCTTATGGACAATTGAAGTACCAAATTATAAAAAAAATTTATGTGTTCCTAAATAGAAAGTTTTTTTGAAAATATTATTGACATTACGACTCAAATTTTTGTTCGAAGAAACAGAGAACCTGCCTTTGTTTCACAAAAGAGACTCCTAAAATCCTTGGTTATATTTACGAAAATAAACATCATTTATTCAACACTTGAACTTCTGTTTGGCTACAATTGTACCCCAAAGATTGGTACTCCCGTAGTATGTATATCAGGTTAGGCCATAATTATATTCCTATTTTCTTTATTTTAGTTCTATTACAAGTTCGGTGACTTTCTGTGTTTGTGTTAGCCAAGTGAATATACCCTCTGCCCATAGGCTTCTGTCTCTTTACACAACTCGATGTAAAATAGGCAAACACAATTAGTTACCTCCATATTGGTACACATATATACTTCTGGTGCTCCCAAAAAGCAATGTTACAACTTACCTTGGATTGATGGTGTCATCATCAGAGCCAGTACCGAAACTATCAAAACTTGAAACAAAGATTTCGCCATTTTTTTCTGTTTGAAGTGCTGTGATAATTAACTGATGAATTTCGCTTTATTTATAGGGTTCATAGCGTTTCATAAAATATCCAATTTTATTTTTTTGCCTCATATTGAATGAGCATATTGTAATTGTTCGCGTGCTAAAAACATCTTGGCCGGCCGGCTGGCTGGTAAACCATTCAAATAGATACACATCTGTCCCTGATTATCAAAACAATGGCCATATGTAAATGCTTCAATAGTCGTATTATTAAACAGCATTGCTGTGTAAAATTTCAAAGGGCGTGGGGTAGAAAATTTCTAAAATGCACTTCAAGATACGAAAAATTGTTGTATGTATGTATCTAAGAATTCTACATGCCGAAATGTTCTTATGATTAGTGCTGAAAATTTTTGAATACCTGATGATTTTTTATCAATTCGCATATTTTTTGAATCGATTCGATTCTCGATACTATGTAATTCAAATGTGATTTTTTTTCATTGCAATGTGTCCTCCAGACACATTAATTACTGAACTCATCGAACTCTCCCGAAGTATGTGCACTAAAATGGCGCACAGCCTGAACCCTAACCTGGTACACATACTATGTTCAGGTTGTACCAAAAAAGTCGTATGTCAAAATTGCACTGTTAAAGTAGAGCTTCAATAAAAAATGAGAAATTCATATCGACCTTTGGCGGATAAAAACAATATGACGGGGATTCGAAACTTTCGTCTAAAGTTCTTCACCGAATCGAATAATTTACTAGACCAGTGGTTCCCAAACTTTTTAGAGTTGGGACCCACTATTTAGTACCACTGCTTATGGCGACCCACTTAACTTCAATTTCATTTTTTTTTTTTTTATGAGACATAACACAGAACACAGCAATGGCTAATCATCGCAAAACTACCGTGTTTCCTCGAAAATAAGACCTGGCCTAAAATAGAATAATAATTTGAATTTTCAAAATGATTTTAAATAAACCCTACCCTTAAAATGAATTTAAAATGTGTGAGAAGGAGATAAATCACACCACTATTCAAGATTGTGTGATATCACAATTATTTGTCACTTAATTTTCGTATAGGAAATACAAAAAAAAAATGGATGTCGGTTTTTATATAATGTTTAGTGAAAAATCTTGTGATTTTCTACAATGTAATTTCGTTTTTAATTGATGAACACAAAAACTCTCTTCCAAAAAAATAACCATAGTGGTATTCTTCAAAAGAAAATAAATCTAAATCCTGTCTAAATTTCGGGGAAACATGGTAAGAAGTGCTGTACAGTGTACAAAACTGCTATGCGTAAAAAAGCCACATGGTTATTTTTTGAGTAATTCAATAAATAGTCTTGCTGCACACTAACACAAATATATTTCTGTAACGTTTCGTCTGACCACGGTCAAACTTCCTCAGACATACATATTTCAACTAAAGCAAGAACAGCAATTGCAAGCATATTTATACAATGGGTGCCATGGCAACAAAACAATATCATAACAATGTGAGTTAACGAACTCATGTAGGTGGTGATTGAAAATTTACATTTGTACATTTGTGTAGCAAATTTTTGTTCCTTTGAGAAGATCGTAGAAAGAAACTTTCACAGATTAGAATTTCAATTTAATTTTCTTTTGAAGATTTACGTATTTGAGTCGCCACCGATCCTAATAACCAGTATAATTAATCAAAGCTTTCTACATCTTTTCACGACCCTTTAGGATTCCCTTTGCGACCCACCAGTGGGTCGCGACACATAGTTTGGGAACCGCTGTACTATACGATTCAAAATACTCAGCCTTAATCGTATTATTTCTTGACCAAGCAAGGAGCAATTTAATAAATGGCAATAGCACTGATTCATCTGTAAATTTTAAGAAAAAAAAAATACGAAATGCAGCTGTTCATTCCATCTGTTGCAAACAATGGGAATCTTTCAATATGAACAATCCAATATGCTTGAAATACCTGTTCCGGAAACAAATGTTGTGGTATGATTGCTTGAACAATGAAATCTTGGCGCATTGTGCATCGAGGTTGAAAAAAAACTTGACTTGTGCTAAGCGTTAGGAATACGCGCGCAATCGCACCTCCGATATTTATGTGCAAAAATTGCCGGTCGGTTGCGGTATGCTTCTACCATCAAGTCCATGCTTCTGAAAAAGCAATTAACTGGCTAACTAATCTCACAACAGACATGAATTGATTAACCGGACGAGAGGCCGTGGTTCGCCATATGATGAAGCCGTTATATCGGCTTTCCTTCCCCCGGGATAAATAGGTAAATCCTATTCTATCTAATATGAATTTCGTTATTACCAACGACTAACATACGGTTATTACTGACAGCAAATGATCCAATGGACCTTTCCCCGACCTTTGACCCCCAAAAAATTTTTCCTATACTTTACCATTGCAAAATTTTCGGGGCCATTTTAAGAGTGCTTTTGCGGGTTGGCGCCTGTAAAATGGGGTATTTGTTTCAAACCATCATTACGATTTATCGAATACAACAATCTGTTTTTTGAAAGTACCAGTAAAAAATTTCAGGCTAGTCTATCACAGCTATTTCTACACTAATTTTTATTACTGCAATCAAATTAAAACTCCTAGGAAGACAGAGTGATCATTGAATTATCTGATTTATATTTAATTTTCCGAAACACAACTGAAAACTAACTAATAAAGTTCAAAAACGCGAAAACGAGGTAATGTGTACAACCACACTTGAAAATCTGTCTGAGTGAGAAAAGTGTCTGAGCGGATGCGAAAAGGGGGGCATTGTTACGTCATCTTTTGCATCTTGCTGATTGGCCAATGTCACGAAGTAAACAAGGAAAACGATGCTTGGGGAAAGGTCCATAGACCCCCAAAGTTCATGTCATTGGAACTTCTTGCTTTTTATTATAGAAAGCGTTGTGTTCAGTTAGATAATTTAATATAGCTGAGGGAACTTTGGCACTAAATATATTTATTTTGCTGTTTCGTTGGTATCCAATAAAAAATCTTCCTTCAGCTCGCCATGGATCTTTCCCCGACCCTTGACCCCAGAAAATTTTCCCTGTTATGATTACAGGATTATGGAGTCGAAATAAATCAATACAATTTTATTTTGGTCTTTCGTCTACAACTTGACAACACCGAACACAAAATAACACAGACAAGGGCGACGAAAAGATCGGGAAACTTATACTATACTTTTGATATTCATTTGGAGAGTGTTATAAAAAGTTGGCGCTTACCGACTGGTTTACTTGTTCAAAATCATCAGTTTTAGTTATTATTAAAGGCCTATTTAGTTGCATCGTAATGCAATAATTTTTAAAAATGTCACACTTCAAAATGTAGAAATAAAATAGAGCAATTTAGAAAATTACCGTACCTAATTTTACAAGACAGCAAGAGGGCTAAGTTTATTATGTAACGGTGTATAAAGCCTGTTATCTTATGTATATATAGTATACAAAAGTTTATATATTAGTATGTAATTAGAAGATCAATAATAATTGGGAAATCTTGTTTTTACATGCTCATCTTGAAAATAATAATATCTGAATATTGTAGGATGGAAGGATTTACATATTTATCCCGGGGGATCGTATGTTGGCCTATTGTATCGTTTTGTAATCGTATAAATGAGGAATATGGAATAAATGGAAGGTGGTAAATACGAATTCTTTCATGGATGTATAACCATGTATATCCTATTAATATGGTACTGTTGGTAATAATTTTTGATAATAATATTTTATTTATGGTATTTTTCATTAAAATGAATTTAACCCTTTCCATGCGATTTTTATTTTTTATTAAATAATCATATTTGCTACGCCGACTTTATGCATTTGTACCCCCACAACTAATCGATCGACTAACGAAAAAGTAATGATCCTCTGCTGCCCACTGACGGCTCGTTGGAAAGCTTATTTAAAGAGCTTGCAATTGGCGATTAAAAAATGTTTTTTTTTAAAAGGGGTGGTCTGAGTCACAAACCGGATAGAAAAAGGGCATTTTTTTCTTCTTGGGTGTTGAAACTTCAAACCGTGATAAAAAATAGAAATATTTGCTAAATCCTTTACTGTTACCGCTTCTTGGTTGGCAAACAATAGCATAATATTGCTGTAGCAATTTCGTTATCTAACTCAAAATACTTTGGTAGATGGAAGGGATAATATGTCTTCTATTACCACCCAAAAAACACCGAAATTTGCATAAATTTCAAAAACACTCCCTCGTTCCGCCGCAAATAAAATTCCCATGGTAAACGAAAGCGAGATTTACCGTCGCTTATGTTAATCTCGAAGAAGACTTCTTATCAATAAACTAAAACCCGGAAAAACTAGACCAACAGTTTGCGACCGATTGCTAAATAAAACAGTGGAGTACATCAACGTACCCGCCGCAATCTAGCGAGTTTTGTCGTGGGTACCTATACGTGCCCACCGCACGGAAAGGGTTAATTTTAAATATTTAACCGCTTACTTACAGTTTGGCTACTAATATAGTAATACAGTAATAGTCTAGCTAATTTTTATCTAATCCAGTAATTTATCGCAGCTTTTTTGGGTCTAATTTTTTGTCATTGCACCTAAACTAAAGCTCCTCGGAAGGCATAATGACAATTCAATCGGTTGATTAACTAATTTTTGAATACACAACAGAAAACTGACAAATTTGGCAATCCTCATAAAATTATTAATTTGGTGTGGCAAAAGAATTTATTCATTTTTATTTTATTTGTTTGTATATTTTCCTTCCTTTTTACTTTCAAGTCTCGCTTTTTTCGCTTCCGACGGTATCATGTCTCGATGATTGTGTGTGTGTGTGTGTGCGTGCGTGCCTTAATTAGTTTTTTTTTTACTTTTGGGTGAGCGAACACGTACTACTTCTTTTATCAATACCTTTCCATCTGAAATCTGTACGTTTCAAACCTTACTCTAGGTTTTGTCCGCTTTCCCGATTCTATAATCAGTTACTTTTACTTTTGTTTTTATCTATTTTTTTATCGTCTATTGCTGATTATGGAGTCGAAATAAACTTATACTTATACTAACACACTCAAACAAAGCAATGTTTACAACCATGCTTGAATATCTTTCCAACATAAGACATGTGAGAAGTGTCCCAAAGCCAAAAAGTACACAAAGGTACACTGTCTCTGTTATTATGTCTATATTATTTCAATTTTTAGAATATCTAAAAATCTAAGTTTTATGAATTTAATTATGTGTTGATCTGTCTACAGAATTATGGCTGTATGGACATGGTGGCTACAGATTTAGCAGGTTGGCCTTGCAGCCTTGAGAAATAAGAAAAAATTATTTGTTATATTTTCTGTCGGTATGAAAAAATAAGTCATAGAACTGAATATATTTCATGGATTTGCCAAGGAATTTATCATCCAGTACACCTAAATCATTATGCAATATTAACAACAAAATGCCTCCTTCAAAAAGAAGAGCCTTCGAGTCTCCTTTGTCAAGTTATACTGGCGTTGTACCGATCACACCCATGCCAGATTTTAATGAGATGAACACACCTGAAATTCAACGGCGTGCAGAGAAGTTTGGAATTAAAAAACGTTTGGCAAAAACTAAATTAAGAACTAAGTTGAAAGAAGCATACCTTTACACACATCAAATCTATTCACCTACTGAAAATACGGTTAATCAAAAGACTGGTAATTGTGATGGTAGTTCCACACCAATAAGTTCAAAGTCAAGAGCTCAAAATGAATATATTATTCCTATCATAAACAAATCTGCGAAAACCCAAGCAAATGGCAAATCGTCTGCCAGTGATTCTTTAATAGTATTGGATGAAAGTGGTGACTTGGAATCGGAGAATATAAATCATGATCCTGGCGACGATGGTGAAAATTCCATATTGCATTGTATTTCTTCTAGTCCTTCCATCAGTAACCCACTTCCAAGTCCAGTGGTTAACCAAAAGTTTAATAATTCCGTTGCAAATCCTTCAAACGACTTTACAAATAACATTGAAGCTGGCCAAATTGGTAAAAGCCATAGAGCTAGTTTTGATTTAGCGACAAATGAAAATTTTAATGACAGTCGTTCTGACTTTCCTAATATCGGAAATGATTCGTATGATTTAAACTTGTCTGGAGTTGTGCAGATGGGGCATGATTTTCCACATGAAGATTCTGGCTGTAATTTAAAGAAGAAATCAAACGACAATTTTAGTGACTTTGCAAGCAGTTCTCAATTGCAAGAAAGTTATGTTGTTTCTCCATTGAAATACACACCGATAAAAAACAGTGTTCCCTCTGAACCATGTGCGATTATTTCATTACTTGATTCCAGTAGAGAAAGTGAACATACAGAAAGTACTAGTATGCTTGTGATTGACAGAATAAAGTGCAATGAAGTGGAAAATATCACAGACAGAAAACGTTTTCCTTTTGCTCTACGGCATAATAACATAAATAAAGCAGAAATTCTGGCCAATGATTCTGATGATGTATCTACATTGGATGATAATCCTGATGCCAGTGGAGTAATGTGTTATAATGATGGAAATTCACAAACAAACTTTGACCTTAAAGTGAATGCAAAAGGTAAATCACCTCATGTTTTCCTATTTTGTATGGATCATTAAAAATGTAGTCAATTTTAAATTTCAACTAATTTTTTGGGGTGTAGTGTAGTTTCGTACCTCAAGTACTTTTGTATCAATCAATCAATCAATCAATTTTATTTGGTCACTCTGATACAAACAAAACACAAAAACAACAACAAAAGGACAAACAAAATACAGAGGACCTGGAGGACGGGCATAACTTAATAAAAAAGTTAAATACGTACAAGCCCGTCCCCCAAAAACAGAATAAAACAAAAACACGATGTGACATCGGGCAATATCTTATAAATTCAAATTAAAATGTGAGACGTGTATGTGCTTTTCCTATACAGATATATGGATTAAAGAACACTCGCTGACGAAAAATGGTGATGTTGTGGGCCTACTTCTAACGATTTATGTCGATCCTAACTCCTACCTGACTACGCCATCCAAAACATATGCCACTTAGCTGTCACAATTACATCATAGAGCTTGCCAAAGTGTTCCTACTCCTTGCCATGCAGGATGATCAGATTTGCTTATTTCTAATGCTTTTCAAGTCAAAATGGCGCTCTTGGTGTCACAAACATTTTCAATTATTTTTCATCAGATTCAAACAGCAATCTCATCATAGATGTCAACAGGGATGAAGTCATTTCTCTTCCAAGTGATGAAAGTGTAACTGAACGTGATGATGCAATGCCTGATGAGAACCATGAGCTGGACGCATATACAAGCCAAGGTTTGAGATAGAAAAGGGAGTTTTATGTTCTATATATACATTCAGCCAGGATTTTCAAAAGAAAGGGTTTCAAAATTAGAAATTTGTGATGGCTTTTAAAATAGTCTCACTCGCAGCGATTATGCTGTTCGCTAGAAGAGTCATCTTTTCAGGAACAATTTTTCTGTTGCTTGAAATTTTCAATCAATATTTATTCTTGTTTTTTTGTGCGGCATCCTTATATGTTTCTCGGTCCAGGCCAAAAATGTGGGTTTTCAAGAACAATCAATTTTAATAGGTGGGTAATAGGTTTTTAATAGGTTTGTCCACTGCTTGAGTAGCAAGAGTAAAGATAACTATTCTGGGCTATACAACACTCTAATAATATTATTTTAGATTCACCAAATTCTTCGATGAAACATGAATATTTTGACTCTCAGGAAGACGTTGGAAGTGATCAAGATGAATTGCATCGATCATTATTTCAATCAGTTTACAATGAATTGTCTTCTGAGAGCGGAGAAGAAGAAGAATGTATGAGCTTGATGCAGAGAATTATGAAAAAGAACCAGCCTGAGAATTCATATCTTGGGAATTCGGAGAAAACTGGAGACAAGGATTTTATTCATCAGTCACCTATGCCACTACAACAAAATAGTTCTGTTGATTCAGGAACTTTGCCTGAATCGATGATAAAAACAAAAGACTCAATCAATACGAATGTTTCATGTTCATTGGATTATCCAAGGCAGAAAGAATTTGATAAGATGGATGAGAATTTGTCAACGAAAAGATCGAAACCTAAAAAAGTTGACTTTGTCAGTACGAAGACTGGAAAAATATTGTCTGAAAAGCAACCAAAACCTGGTAAAAAGATTAAACTTACTGATGAAGAAAGAACTTCAGCGATATTAAAAGCAATTCGCTCGAATAAAGAAATATATCATTCAATATTGCAATATACACCTGTGTATTTAAGCCAGTTTAAACAACTGATGGTGGAAAATAACATTAAAGTGAAATCATCCGATTTGTATGATTTTCTTGATAGTCGTGGAATTACTTTTTCTACTGCGGATGAGAATAAAACTAAGGCTGTAAGGATTCCTAAAAAGAAGAAAAAGGCTTGATTCAGCATGTTGATATTTATCCTGGAAAAAGGAAGGGCGATATGATCCTAGTCTGTGTAAGTTGTATTTTAGGTTGCCACGCCACAGACTTTTATGATATGGGGACGTCAACGAATCTTTACGTTTTCTCGCTCACTCGATTTGACGGCATGCTTTTTGCGCTTGTCCTGTGCGGTCAAGTGTAACATTGTGTGTAACACTTACATGACTGCCAGTCTAGGTGGGAAAAAATTTTGGGCCCTGGCCCGTAAACGATCAGTGGTTATATAGATCACCTTTAGCCCACTAGTATTTCTCTCAGATTCCAAAATATGCTATGCCTCGTATCCTCGTTTATGAAGAATTCGTATAAAATGTAATACAACTAGTACATGGCTCTGTACTAGAGCTGCTAATACATAAGGAGTTATTATAGTTTTAAAGCGACAGAATCTTTCAAGTTTGGCTCGATTTATTACACACTGTATAACAGTGGTTCTCAAACTTTTCAAGTTGCGCCTCATTACTTATCGATCTTGATCGGTAAGTATGTTGATAGGTATTTGTCTGTCTGTAAGATGCACGTGATATCTCACGGAAGCGAGGTTGAATCTGCTCCAAATTTTGCATGTGAAATCGTCATACTCCGGACCAGAAGCCTATTGATTTTGGATGAATTATGTCGTATAATTCGCGAGTTATTAATTAATTAGTGATGGGACACACGGTGTCACTATGAAGTAAGAGCGAGTGAATCAAAACCACAGTTTCTGTTTTTGGAGATCCCCTAACTTTCGATTGAAAAGTCTTCGGCCTCCGACCGATATTCTCGTTTTTAGAATTTGTCAAATCGTGCTTCCACACTCAAAAATAACTAGTTAACAATAAGCTACAAATGACAGAAAGTAAAGTATGTTTTATTGGAAAACACGCTGAAAATATGTGGATTGAACTTAAATTATGAACTAAATGAAAACTTTTCAAATGTAAATAACTAAATATCCAAAATAAGGTGGGAAAGATCAAATCTGACAAATATTTTTATTTTTAATTAGCTTCGTGCCCCCTCAAAAAACTGTCTACGCCCTCTTGAGAACCACTGCTGTATAAGGTAGTGGTCATGTTATTTGAACCAGAGATGTCTAACCTGAGAGGCTGAGATCGTTGTGTTGAACGCCCAATAGGACACAAATGCACTATGACAAATAAACGCTTGTTTGGAGCCTGATTCAGAATATATTTCCTTTTGTTGGTCCAGACCCGTTGAAGGTCTGTCTATGTCTCTATGATGATAACATTCCACTTTATATATTTTTAAATTGGACTTGTACTATTAATAAACATTATCAGTATTTTACAGGTCCTAGTTTGCTAAGCGCTTGTCATAAATTATTTTAGAAGTTTGTTGTATGTGCATTGCCAATGCCGTTGATTAATTTATTTATGAGATGCTTTTTCATGCCGTTCACTTGAACAAGAGCCACTGATATATAAGGAGATGCTATTTTTAAGAGGCCAATTCATTTCTCCTAGGTGAGGGGGTGGTCATGAGATATTATGAACTTCTTAACCTTGTCCAACGCTTTAAACCAGGGGTGTGCAGCCTTCAGTACAGTAGTTGCAGGCACAAAAATTTTAGTTGTTGATCATATTATGACATACGTTGTTCGTTTCACACAAGCTAGCTGTTAATGCATTGTAACATCAAAGGCATGGATAATGAATTGGATTCAGGTATAGACTTTGTAGCGCAAAGAGATTGGAATTACTCGCTCGTACCAAATTAAACTAAATTAAAAACTCGTTTTGTGGGCCATACATCATCCAAAATTGGCACTTCTGTGTGGGCCGCACAACTTTTCCTTGTGGGCGCATTTGGCCCGCAGGTTGCACACCCATGCTTTAAACCAGCGGTGTGCAAACTGTGGCCCGTGGGCCAAATGCGGCCCGCAAGGTAATATTGTGCGGCCCGCGGAGAAGTGCCAATTTTGAATGGTGCGCCCGCGAAACGAGTTTTTAGTTTGATTATTTTGGCACGTGCGAGCAATTACAATCACTTTGCGTGGCAAAGCTTGTACCAGTACGCGATTGCCACAGCCATATTAGCAAAACTAGCGAAAACAATTTTTGTGCCTGAAACTACTATAAATTATATCTTAAATAAAAGTGCGGCCCGTGGCTTCACCCAAATACTTGAATCTGGCCCTTCTGTAATAAAGGTTGCACACCCCTGCTTTGAACCACCAGAACATCATGTCCATAATGCTTGTGATGTATTGTAGCCAAAAAAGAATCTCTCTTTTTAAATGCATGTTTGGAGTATTATTATTTTGTCAATCTGGACTGTTGAAGGTTTTCGGTAATATTGCTTGACTTCATTTACTTTAACAATTGCACTAATACTCTACTCTTATCAATATTTTCACAGGTTTTAGGTCGCTAGTTAATTGTAATTACTTATTGTTAAAATGGTTGATTTACTTCAGGTAGACAAAGTTCAATATGTTTGGAATGAAGAGACTGGAGAGAAGCTACCGTTATGTTACTTATATTTCTGCAAATATTGTCTCGATATTCGTTCTGCTGATAACCTGCACCACGAGGTCGATTCCCATTTCTGTTCTCAGTCACTGGATGGTGTACCGAGCACTGAAGCAGTTTTGAAGAAAAATAAATCTACTAATTGTTGGCAATGTCCTGCTTGTCCGCATACTTTATCCACAAGGGCTACTACACTGCTGATTCCAGACCCTGATGACCCTTCTAAGCAGTTGTCTAAGAAATCTTACTACCAGACTTGTTCGTTTTGTCGCTGGATATCCAGAGATGTCGGAATTGAAGATAAAATATCAGCAAGTGGGGGTTGGATTGAAAAAGAGCCTCCAAATTTAGGTAGAATCAATGAAGTAATGGAATATTATAAATATATTGCACAAAAAGAAGCCCAAGACAATAAGAATGCTAAAAAACGTGGATATAAAACTCTGACCATGCAGTTACAGCAACGTTATGGCAGCACAAAAACTGGTCGAAAACCCCATCCAGCAAGCCCGATGAATGCCGTCATGTCACGCATGAAAGAACATCAAGAACTAAAAGAAGTTAAAATCGTTCCTTCCTCGACATTTTCGATCCAAGATGTCGAACCCCTGTCAGAAGATACGTACTCCAAGCAAATTGATTTCACAAAAGTTTCTTCAATTGAAAAACGGATAAGTCAGCCTGACCATCAACCAATCAGAGTTGAAGATTATTATCCGAAGCGATCTACTATGTTCATAAAGCGTTCGTTACGTTGCAAACAATGCGAGCATAATTTAATCAAACCTGAATATCATCCTTCGTCAATTAAATTCAAAATGCAGCTCGTTGCTATCCACTACATACCTGAGATTCGATTTCACTCTCAGCCAGAGTTGAAGCCAGGAGAGAGAGTTCGAGTAACTTTCGTTGTTATCAATCGTACTGACAACACGTCTCATGTTACATTGACGCCATTGGTTGCTGAAAATTTGAATTATCCAATTGGAAACTCAAAATGTGATTTGCCACAACAAGAATTAGTAGTTGCACCATTTCAAGAAGCGGAATTCGATGCTGTCGAAGACCCAAACAAATCTAAAGATGATCCCGATGTCATAGCTTTCAGACAAGCAAACAAATTGGGATTTTATATTTGGTGCACACCTGATCCAGATTTGAAAGAAGGTAGGAATTATCTTTGATTATTTTGATGAGTAGGCGAGGCTGAACTGTTTTAAAAATAGTACGTCGATACATATCAGTGCTGATTGTACAGGGATTTGTTCGGAGTGAATGGTGTGAAATAAGCATTGTATAAAAGAACTTTCTTTTTTTATACTTTTTCATAAATAAGGATTGGGAAATTCAATATAGAATTGTATTTAAGGTAATAAGATACAAAGATAGTTTTCTTAGAACTGTATGGTCACAAGCACAAACAAGGTGGTAATTTGACAATGTATTTTCATGCTTTCATGCTCATGATAAGACACATCAAACATACGGAGAACCATGGCTTCTCGTCCGGTCACCATTCCATGTCGGATATGGGATTAGTTAGTTATTTGTTTTTGAAAGCTGTAACCGACCAGCGGTTACGTGAACCACCCTAGGCGGCAAAGAGTCCAGCAATCCTCTCGCACATAACTATCCCTGCATGGTATGTGAAACCCACGCAGAGTAATCAGAGGTGCAGTGGCGAGCCCTACACTTAGCACTATGGGCCTCACCACCAAGTCGCGTCAATCAAATTCAGGCAATTCAAGTCAATGATATTTCCTCTGAAATAAACACTTATTCATGCCAAATAATATACAATTATTATTCCTTGCAGGTGATGATGTTTGGATTTCTTTTTCGATGAAGTACGATCATCATAGCAATGTTGCTTTTCTGCTTCAACAAGCAATTGATTCTTCTGCAGAGCCCGAAATCAACTGGCTTTGTCACAGAGTATTTGTCAACTTGGGAAAGATTTAACGATTGTTTTATGCTTTATATTTGCATGGATGTACTAGTGTTTGATGTAATGTGATGGATGTTTCCCCGACCCGTGACACCAGAAAAATTTTCCCTCTACTTTACTATTGCAAGTTTTGGACGCCTATTTTGCGAGTGTTTTGAAGAGTTATTAACACTTACAAACTGATACAAACGAGGCAATGTTTACAACCTTGCTCAAAAACCTCTTTAAATCAACTGCTGCAAAAAATTCCAATAGTACATCATTATTGACCTTTTGCTGATTGGTCATTGTTACGGCAATACATACATTGATATTGAGTACTCGTGAATATGATGCAGCTGAAGTTCCAACCAAAGTTTTGACAATAGAAGAGAACTTTATCAAATAATAGCGAAAACTCTTATGCTGGGGTGTTATGCTAACATATGATCTTTTATGGACCCCAATATATTTTTAATAATTCAAAAATAAACTAGCATATCTCTGGCTAATTAAAACTATAAATGTTTTTGTGAAATTGAGTAAGATTTTATGTTTAAATTCGGTCACCATTCCCCTCTCTCTATACATCATTATCACTCAACTGCCAAAACAAGGGCAATTCTAAAAACATTAATTAAGTTGCAAGGAAATTAAAAGCTTTAAAGTTTAAATTATTATTTGCTATGGTACTCATGAAAATCTGCTTTTTTGTATTTGTTACCTTTATTTTCATTCATTGCTATGATGAAGTTCGTCTGTATAGACCAATAACGGGCCAATTATGGCATAGTGATTTAATATGGCCCACCGAACTTTATGTTTATTTCTTTGTGTGCTCCAGATATCGCCAATTGTTACCCGATTATTACAATTCAAGCATGTGTGTATTAGTAACATTTCAATGGTACTCCTCAAGTATGCGCACCAAAATGTCGCATAACCTGAACCCTAACCCGGTACACAACCTGAGTTCAGGTTGTGCGCCATCTTGGTGCGCATACTTCAAGAGGTCCATTTCAATTTTACTAGTATCTTACTTGTATGTACCAGGATCGGCCCCTTGTGGGCGCTCCTGGCCCGAGAATATCCTGCTTCTAATTTTGGCCTTCGGTTAATCGACTTTGGGAACCACTGATATAGACATTCGAAACCTTGCTTAAAGTACACTTATTGCCTGTTACCAGATGTGCATGTTTCAATATTAATTTGCCTGTTCCAATAAATTCATATCATGTCTAATATTGTTGTTCTTTTATTTTAGAATTCAAATATCCTAGTTTTATAATAGTTAACTTAGATAAAAATGTTATTCAGCTTGGAAACTAGAAAACAAAGGTTATTGACTACTGAATACTGATATTAATGTGGCGTTGAGTCCAAATCCCTTTTATCAGGATTTTTAAATAGGCCTGGAGTTTTCAATGGGCCTGCATGCAGTAGGTCTCAAGGTAACGTCATCAATTTCCTTTTTTGGGCTGAAAATGGACCACAAAGAATAGGGGTTAAGAACCGTTCCAGACTGCCACAACTGTCAGTGATGGAATATCTGAATGAATGTTGAATCTGTCAACATTAGTATGATTGAATTCAGGGATGGCGAATCCTTTTCACCAATTGAGTCACATTATATTTTTATCACTGAAAAAGGTCACAGATTTGATTTTTTGGTCTCTAGGATCTGACCTCCTGTAGTATGCACACCAAGATGGCGCACAACCTGAACTCAGGTTGTGTACCAGCTTAGGGTTCAGGTTATGCGACATCTTGGTGCGCATACTTCAGGAGCACCCTAGGGTCAATGGGAAGCTCTTGTTGTTTCTTTTCAAAAGTCTTATAACCTAAATTGGTTTGTGTAGTGTTAATCATAACTCAAGCAGTGCTTGTATCTTGACTTGACGGGTCACCGAAGAAAAATGGCGGCCCACTTTTGATTCGTATGTCATTGGTTTGCCATTCCTGCTCCATACCAATAGGATATCAAGCATGGCACAAGATCAAAGCTTAGTTATCTAGACAAGATATTTTCGGTTGCCCTCTGGCTATGATCCTGCGATGTTGCACAACAGCCAATAGAACAAAGGATAGATTAAGATAGTATGATAAATTTTCTCTAAATACAAAGAACTGGTGTTGGACCGTTTTACGACTGATGAAATTATTTTTGTTAAAACAGAATTATTACACAATTGCCTAGTAGATAAAATGTCAAGACTTGGCGATGATGCCGTTACAGGTTAATATTTCAGTTTCAAATCCCATGCCCACCACTTCACACTTGCGAGGGAAATAAATCAGATAGGCAATGCTGGACTGAGAGATTCTAGTTCTTCCAAACTATAGCAGCTGCTTTTTCCCAGCAGTGGCTACCTTTGCAGAGCCTTATTTGGAGTGTAAGGCATACTCATGAGTGAAAAACCAATAAGGATGTACCAATACCACAGCATAATTGCTCCCAAGGGCAGAATAAATGTCATAATAATTATTTAAAACAAGACTTATACCCATTATATCAGCAAAAATTGAGTGTTGTGGATTCTGTCATTCCATGATTTGATCTTCTTCTGACGCATAAATCAACAAGAAACGAAAGCAGAATCGCCAACCCCTTGTTGCAGTGATAATATTCCGACCAATTTTATTTCAACGATTTTTTATAACAGTGTAGTTTGAATTATTCTAAATTCACTTGTCTTATTTACTGCTGTCTTATAGATAAAATGCTAAGATTAATAGTCGGTCGATTGATTAATAATAGACGTTGTCTTCATCTAATGACAACCAGAACGGCAAGAGGAATGTCAACTGGCATATCAGAATACAGGCAAGTCGTACCTTTTATATATATTTATCCTGGCCATATTTTAGGGTGCTCCAAAAGTATGTGTACCAATATGGAGAAGAGAACTAGTTTTGGGACTGTACTAGCAGGGACTGATTACTATGGGTACTCGTAATAGAACTAAAATAAGATAAATCGGAATAAAATTATAGCCTAACCTGGTACACATACTACGGGAGTACCCATTTTAGAGATTTTTTTGCACAATGAAGATAAAGGTAACTTGACTTGCAAATTCTCTTCTACACAGTAACTGAGAGTGCTGCATTTCCAATGAGCCATTACATGCATTCCTCCAGTATTGTAACTAAGGGTACTGCCGTAGTGTGTGTACCAGGTGAGGGTTCGGCCATAATTTTTTTCCAATTTTCCTTATTTTAGTTCTATTACGAGTTCGGGGACTGTCTGCTTTAGCCATGTGAATATCCCCCTTGCCCATAGGTCCAAGTCCCTTTACACAACTTGATGTAAAGTAGGCGAACAAAATTACACACATATTGTAAATTGGTACACTTCTGGAGCGCCTAACTAAGGACATCATGCCAAATTCAAACATTTGTTACATTTGTTTTCGTGTAGCTAGATATGAGGATTTTGAAATAATCAAATAAAGCATTCCAGCATGGCAAGACACAAGTATATGTTAGATGAAAATACAGATCTTGAAGAGACAGTTTTACATTGACCAGATTATATGTTTTACTCAAAAATACATGTTTAAAGAAAGTGTACATAATAAAAAAATGTAAACAATGAAGAAATGTAAATATGCAAAATAGATCAAATCTAACAAATATTTTTATTTTTAATCAGCTTCATGCCCTCATAAAACTTGTCCATGCCCGTGGGGCACGCCCTACGGTTTAAGAACCATTGTTTTAGTGTCTCCAATTCTCTTCATTTAACTCTGCTTTTTTTAGATATTTTCTTCCCATACAGACAAGATTACATGACAATGACTTTTATAACCATGTCAACAACTCTGTCTACTCTTTCTACATGGACACTCTCATCAATAATTATTTGCTATGGTAAGTTTTGTTTTTGATTATTACTTATCGATCTTAAGATCGGTAATTATGTTGATAGGTATTTGTCTGTCTGTATGTCTGTTTGTTTGTCTGTTAGATGAACGCGATATCTCAAGAAGGTGAGGTTGAATCTGCTCCAAATTTTGCATGTGCATTCATCATATCTCGGACCCGAAGCCTATAGATTTTGGATGAATTATGTCGTATAATTAGCGAGTTATTAATTAATTAGTGATGGGACACGTGGTGTCACTATAGAGTCATGAATCGAATCCGTAGTTTCGATCGATAAGTCTTCGGTCTCCGACTGATATTCTCGTTACTGTTTCAGTTGAATTTTCTGACCAGTACTCAAATATGGTTTAAGTTTTAACTTTATTTGCGATATATTTCTTCCACAGCAAACGGACTGTCTGAGGTAAAGATATAGTTCTGAAGGTCTTAGCATGCACACTTCGCTTTGAATGAAATGTCATTGGCCACTTAATAAACAATATATGGTTGTGCATAAGATGAAAATAAAATTCTGTCACAATATCCAGTGTTATATTGTTGTTCAGAAATGAAACTTATCACCAATGATACGCCAAGAACATCTTACACAATATATATGGTTGTGCATAAGATGATATATCCATTGTTATATTGTTGTAAATTTTTCATCAGGTATTGTGGATTTGACAACACAAAGTACAAAAGATTGATGGTGCACTCAAGTTTTGAATTCAAGTCAGTGAGAGTCCTATGTGTTTGTTTGATAAAAAATGTGATTTACCTTGATAAATTAATGTTTTTTTTTAGTTTTGAATATTTTAAATTTTGTGATACAGAAAAAATGATTATGAATAAAATTTTATACAAAAATTTTGGAGCTTTAGAAGTAGGTGCACCAAGATGACGCACAACCTGAACATAGTAATTGTACCAGGTTATGGTTCAGGTTGTGCGCCATCTTGGTGCGCATACTTCCGGAGCGCCAAAATTTTAAACAAGTGGGCGACAAAGTCTTTTTGAACATCTCTAATTATTCGTTGCTTCTATAATCTTTTCTAGATTCAAGGTTTGTCAAAAAAAATAACACACTTTTCCAATTTCAGATCTGAGATACAATACCCAGAAATCCTTCTTGGGGCATTCAAAGTGGACAAAATTGGCAAATCGAGCGTCTCATATAGATGTGCATTATACAGCCCCAAACTTGACTACACTCAGGCACTTCCAGATGGACATAAAGATCCATTTTTTGATCTTGGTATCGGGTTCCATGGGATTGTTGTCGATAAAAACTCTTTAATTTTTGATAACATTGTGAAGTATTATCACAGAGAACCATGTATGTTGGCCAACTTAGTTCATGTATTTGTTAAAAAGGAAGATAAAAGACTGAAAGAGATGCCAACTAGTGTAATGAGAGGGATGTCAAAATTATTGGTTGATCAAGCCAAACTTTAATTTTCAAAACTCGTACTTTTTTGTTCAAATATATGGGTGACCGTACATTTGAACCCATGTACATTTGAACCCATGCGTATATCCACGGGTTCAATCTATATGCGGGTGCTAAAACCCATGGGTTAGGGTTAGTATGGGTTTAACTATCTGTGAAACAAAAAAAATTTCATAGGTGCAATAGCATACAGGTGCAATTGTCATGGGTTCAAATGTAATGGAACCAAATATATGATATGATGCTACTTTTTATAACAGAATAATTAATATTAAGAATTTTTTCTAGTGGTGCCGGTGTCCCAAAAATGTAATGTCTCACATTGCCACACTCATCTCTGAGTCAGTTTGAATAATTCAGTTGTTCCAACTTGTGTCCCAAAAATGTAATGTCTCACTTTGCCACACTCATCTCTGAGTCAGTTTGATAATTCAGTTGTTCCAACTTGTGTCCCAAAAAGTAAGCTCTTCACTTTCCACACTCATCTCCTGAGGTCAGTTTGAATAATTCAGTTGTTCATAGTGCCCAAAAAATGTAATGTCTTCACTTTGCACACTCATCTCTGAGTCAGTGTTGATAAATTCAGTTGTTTCCACTGTCTGTCCCAAAAATGTAATGTCTCACATTGCCCACACTCAATCTCTGAGTCAGTCTTGAATATTCAGTTGTTCCAACTTGTGTCCCAAAAATGTTTATTCTCACTTTGCACATACATCTTCTGAGTCAGTTTTTAGAATAATTCAGTTGCTCAACTTGTTTGCTCGCAGGAATGTAATGTCTTAACTTATAGTACAGCTATATCATTCTCACTTTTGTCACACTTGATACAAACCACATATATTGGAATAAAAGGTAATTGCAGACCCATGAAATACCAAGAGCTTTTTGAACATTAGATTTATGGCAGTGCATCCCCACTATCCATGGAGTAAAGAAGACTTATCAGTCATCTATAAGCAAAGTTACGGGCAGAACTGAAATTCCGAAAGCCGAGAATTAACATGGTGCACCATAGAAGAGTTTGAATAACAAAAATATAACTTCAAACCTCAGAACTATGACAAGTTCAAATATTTGAAGTATGAGATTTTGTTGGTATCAAATCAATACTTTTACATGATGTATGCACTAAATAAATTGGCAACCGCTAATAAAAGACGATTTCTTAGATTTTGCTTCACTTACTATTTATATTACTATCTGCCTAAATTTTTAAGGAAAATTATCACAATAATTATTTGTATATCATTTTAAAATGAATTGTTGCAACACTGATCTGTTGTTGATATTTTTCCATTCTACTCTGGTATAATGGCAAAATGGTTTTGTTGCTATGCTGATCTATGGTGTATATTCTCCATTTTATTCACCATGAGGAAGAATACCAGAAGTTATTAATTTGATTGAAATTCTATATCAAATCCATTGGTTTTCAACCCTTTTTGATATATCTCCCCCCCCTTTGCCCTTTTTGGGATTCTTTTATACCTTCCTCACTATGCAGCAAAATCCCATTGTTGGTTCAATTTTCGTTGCTCCCGTAGTATGTGCACCAAGATGGCGCACGACCTGAACACAGTATGTGTACTAGGTTTGGGTTCAGGTTGTGCGCCATCTTGGTGCCATACTACTGGGGTGCCCAATCTTCAATGGAACTTAAGCTAGTGATACCTGCAACTCCCATTCTTACCTTTTCCCTGTTTGAGTAATTTATAATCCTCCATGATGAAAGTTCTTCTCTGGTTGGGAAACCTAGATTTATTGTATTAAAAGAAAATGTATTTCGAGAACTCTGATGTTCAGAATTATTGATTTTTGTGAAATTTTTTTATGAAGTCTGTTTTCAATATATCTCAACCAGGTTTGTTTATTTTTTTCAGTGTTCGTTTACGATTTTTTAATTTGTTGAATATATAGTTGTATGAAGCATATAAATGGGTTTCACTTAATTTTAAAACATGACTTTATGAACATCCTTTATCTATGTAAAATTCCCTTTATTAGCTACCTCAACAGCAGTTTACTTTGATGAAAATTTTGTCCACTAATATGTGGGAATTGACAAGTTTTGCAAAAAAACAATTTGATTGTTGCATTGCTTACTCAATTTATTACTGAAATATATTCGAAGATTTTTTCTCCATAACTTACAGTCTGTAATCGAATGATATTTGAATTTGGCTATCGGGTGAAAACAGACTCTGATGACAATGGTTTCTTCACACAACCAAATCATTTACCGAAAATTTTTATTTATGTTTGTATATTTTAGTGCAGAGTACTTAAACCCTGAGTCCTAGTCTCATCACGAGTCTTAGGTCAGTTAGTTCAGTCCGAGTCATTTCTCTTAGTTGCTTAGTCGACTTAATTTATCTGAGTTTTCAATAAATGTTAACTCGACTCCCAAATCCAGTCAAAGGCCTCACATTGGGATAATGTGTGTTCGATTAAAAAATTCTATCTTCCAATCAATTGTTTAACATCATCAGATTACTGTTTCATTCATACTGTTCACTGTTCATTCATCTCATTGCTTAATATTTTTCTGTAATATTTTATATGCAGGGTACCCAATAACAACAATTGTAAGTTTAAATAAATTTTATTGTATGATAAATGAGAACTAAAGGCACAATAAGAAAACTCTTAATAAACAAAAACAAAGATATCTTCAATTGTTATTATAAAATTGGGTGAAATGTTTTTGGATACCCTGTCTATGTGTATGTTGCAGTGTCGGATAAGTCCTTAATACCCAAATTCAAGGTCATCAGGGCCTCGAGTTCGAAGTACAGTTAATTCTCACTGGTGGTTAGTTGAGCTTGAGTCACTTCATTTAGTTCCGAGTCACTTTCAGTGGTTCCAAAACTTTTTTCAACATACTCGTCAAAATTATGGAGATTACAAAAGGAATTGTCAAAACATTGAACGTCTGGATTACCCCCCAAAATTGCCAAATTACCCCTTTGGCGGTATATTCTCCAATTTTGCAACCACTGACTTGAGTCTTTGATAAATGGTAACTCATGTCCCCAACACCATTATACTTAGTTAAATCAAAAAAATTCTCTTTACGAATTTTAAACATGAATAGCTATCTGACCTAATCCACATTCTCAATCCATAATATGCATTTTTCTTTATAGCGTTGTAGCTAATAAGTTTAGAATGTTTTCTTCGCTTAGGCAAACGTTATTTAAAGTCAAAAAGTGTGATTTAATCTGGTCAAGATTGTCCAGTTCATCATCAACTGGGACTGCAATATCTGACTACAGGTGAGAAATTGTGTTTTTTCATATAAGTTGGCCTTCAAGTAAAAGTGGACCGGTAAAAGACATGTTGTTTATATTGCATATTCATTTCAGATTTTTTCTTCCAATACAGACTCGAGCGAACGACAATGATGCTTATTCCCACGTTAACAACACAATTTACAATTTATATGTCGACACAATTATTAATAATTACATAAATTGGTGAGTAGATATTTGAACTAAAAAAACTGTGGGTGCTCTTGTAGTATGTGCACCAAGATGGCCTGAACAACCAACATGAACATGGTATGTGTTTCGGGTTAGTGTTCAGGTTGTGCGCCATCTTGGTGCACATACTACGGGAGTGCAAAACTGTGAGTCTACTAGGGCTGGGAAATATAAAGAAGAATTAAGATTGTTGCATTACTGTTTAGGATAGGATTTACATATTTATCCCAGAGGAGAGAAAAGACGATAACACGGCTTAACCATAATATAGCGAACCATGTCCGATCACCATTCTATGTCGGGTATTGGATCGGTTAGTTATTTGTTTTCGGAGGCATGGACTTGATGGTGAAGGAGGCCGTAATCTACCAGCAGTTAGGTGAACCACCCTACGACGGCGAGGAGTCCAGCAATCCTCTCACACAAAACTATCCCCGCATGGGATTCGCACCTGCAAAATCCACGCAGAGTAATCAGAAGTGCGGTGACGAGCTTATACCTAACGCTTAGCACGATGAACCACACCGCCATGCAATGTTATAGACATATGTATCAAAAACATGGGAAGAATCTTAATTTTATTTTTAATGAACAGGTATGGATTTCCTAACCAGAAAGAAACAAACTGCAAAAGATTGGTTGCCCATGCAAGTTTTGATTACAAGTAAGTTTATTCTTTCGGTACTCCCGTAGTATGTGTATCAGGTTAGGGTTAGGCCATAATTTTATTCCGATTTTCCTTATTTTAGTTCTATTACGAGTTTGGGGACTGTTTGTGTTAGCTTAGTGAATATATCTCTGCCCATAGGCTTCAGTCCCTTCACACAACTTGATGTAAAGTAGGCAAACAAAATTAGTTCTCTCCATATTAATTCACATATTTCTGGAGCACCATTCTTTCTGTGTTCTATTGTGAGTGGATCCGGACCTTCTCAATGCTGTATTAGACTTGATAAAGTCGGCATTGCACATTTAAGATCACGGGGTTCCACACAGCGACCATACCCATTACCTTTTCAATATTGATATAGATTTCATAATGCCAAGCCGGAGAGATTGCTTATACCAGAGGTTTCTTTTTGTCTTTCGTGGTCCGTTTTCTTTGCATAAAAATCTTGTGGACCATTTCTTTTTTTATGCAAGTGAAAAACTACAAGAAAAGCAAAACTATGTTCACAAAAATAGGCATTTTCACCTGTATAGTTAGAATGGAAATTGCCCCTCAGTTGCAAAAAAGTGTATCATCATTCATTACCACAAAAATCAAATTTCAACTATAGTGACACAAATAAAACTGAAATATCAATATCTCTAGCAATTTTAAATACCTAGGTTTGTGGCCCACCTGAGAATGTTGATGTGAACCAGCAGTGGGCCATGGCCCACTGGTTGAGGACCGGTGGCTTATACAAAGCTTTGTTTGAAGTAAAGGTGTGGAGATGCCTCATTAAAAATTATCATTGTAAACCATGGATATGATTTTTATATGAAAACCGAATATACAATGCTTATCTTGCACATAGTTGGCTGTGTATGGAAACTAGGGCTATAGGGTCAGGGAAAATTTATCGACCGCACTCTTCTTAAAAAAAATTCAGATCAACTTAATGCTTTTTTATTTCCTGTCAGAAATTTATACTTGATTAACACCATAAGCAGTCTGGAATTTCGGTTCCCTATTCTGAAAAATTGAAGTCCGACTGTTCGAGTTTAAAAATAAGACTGCTTTATCCAGTGGCGTAGCATCCACCCCCGCGGTCGCGGGAGGGCCCACAGCGAAAAAGGGGCCCAAGCAGTTAGAATTAGGAAATTTAAGCCGCAAAACCAAAAGCTGCATTGCAAAACCTATAATGCACATCTTATAACGTTGATGTTAGTTCTGCTCAAATCGTTTTGTTACGTAACAATGCCAAGGAGTCGTCGATTTTCGGCGTCTTGTGGTTTGATCGCACCGGCAAAATCACGAAGGCTGTCAGAATGTCGAAAGCAAAACCTCTCAGTGGCGCACAGAAACACAGAAAAAGGGCAGAAGAGGAAGCACGTATGGAAAAAATTAAAGTAACCAAGATAAACGGCAAATTTTAGGTTACCATTGCCTTTTAATAGCGACATGTTAAGCTTTTTGATGAAATAAAAAAAGGGTTGTTTTAGCTTATGTCGGTATGTTAGTCGTTACTTATGTCCAAGAATTTTTAGGGTCATTCCCACGAAATATTTTTGCGGGGGGGGGCCCACGAGAATCTTGCTACGCCACTGGCTTTATCCCATAAAACATGTCAAACTCATAATTGTTTCTTCAGGTCTTCAGCCGTCTATCCAGAAATACTCCTCGGAGCGCTGAGAGTGGACAGGATAGGACGATCTAGTGTGCAATATGGATCAGCTGTTTTTACTCCAAAAAAGCAGTATTTAACTTTTCTGGGTGACGATTCACAAGACCCTCTGATGGAAATCGGAATAGGGGTTCAAGGGCTCATCACCAATAGCGACGATAGTGATGTAATAATGAAGTTAATGATGCATTACAATCCTAATCCTTGTCTTCTTTCTAAATACATTCATGTGTTTGTTGATGGCGCTGATGGTAAACCAGTGCAAAAGCTGCCAACTAATATACAGACAGGAATGGAAAAGATATCTCTCTAACCCTATCTTATTTACTAACATCACCCGAATCATCACTAAATGATAGCTAGCGCACTGCAAGTTACTAAACAAAAGATCCGTGATTTCCATACACCCCTACCCCCCCCCCCCCCCCCCATCCCATATTTTAATCTCTAACTTGGTTATAATTATATGTAAATATTCAGAAAGTAGCATATATACCAGTGCAGATGATCAGTAGAATATATAACACATTTTAAAAGTGTAAAATAGTTTTCTCACTGATAGCAAAATATCTACCACCGCCTCAATTTGACCACACCACTAAAATGAAAAGCTTGGGAGCACACTACACAAGAAATGTGGATGAATCGCCAAACCGCCGGTCAATTCGAATCGTGTCACCTCTCATAAGAGAATTAAACTGGGGAATCAAACCTATAGGATTGGATTTACACATTCATCCCCGGGGAGAGGAAAACCGATAAGGCGGCTTAATCTTATGGCGAACTAAGGCCTCTCGTCCGGTTACCAGTCCATGTCGGGTATGGAATTAGTTAGCCAGCGTGATTCGTGCGAGAAGCTATGGTTCGCCATATAGAATATATAGTGTTATCGACTTTCCTTACATGCTCATATCAATTTAACATTGATACGGACTCAATTTCAGTCCCATGTAATTCTATTGTAATTTAATTAATGTTATCGTTGCGATATCAATATACTTATCATTCTTTAATTTGTTTTATATTTTATTTATATGCAATTTCTTATAAAATCAAGCTTATAATGCGTTAATTCTGCTATATTTTTCCTATAAAATTGCCAAAATAGAATTTAATTAAAGCAACATATTTCGTTTTTAAGCTATCAAGGCCATCTGGTGAAAATATCAGGTTGTAGTGTTAAAATATGTACAACAATTAACGGTCAATAGGGAATTGTGGCTGTGAGACGTCGGTTACCCGATAAACCACGGCGACAAATTTTCTCTGCAGGTTGTGGTGAGCTTATTCACGCCTTTTTATCCGAATAAGGACCTGTCCACTGATATCTGACATTTTTGGAAGGACAAAAAATTTCTTATTCTGCGTTGCGAACTCATTGATTACACACAAGGTTAGGGATGGTCAATATAGAATAATTCACTATTCTAGAATAGTTAAATCGAACCCAGAATACCGAATCCTATTCTATTTTCATACTTATTCAAATAGTGGGAATTTCTACATTGCTCGATTGTAAACATTGCTCGATTGTAAATGTATTACCGGTGATATAATTGTATTATTCATTTGGAAATGTCCTGGATGTAAATGTCATTGGATTTTTATTTGATACTAAACAGGCATATCCCAGGACAATAAAATTTACGAATATTACAATATATTTTGCCTTCAATTGTTCCAAATGTATGTAATCCCTAAATACTGATATGCTAAATTAAGACACGCTTTACACACTTTAATAGTAAGCGGTTAAATACAAAAATATATATGAACGGCGTTAAAATCATTTTTATTATTATTAATGTTAGTCTGCCCAGCGTACTAAAACTGACCCGCTGAGAATTAATTAGATGCACGACCAGCGTGTGGCCACTGCAACCTATGCGGCCGTTGTAAAATATTAAATTTAACCACTATCAATTGAAATCAACTTTTTATTCTGTGCGAGCAAGACTCGTAAAACCAAGTTCCCGTAAACGCGATTTCGTACTTAGGTATTGGGTAATAACATCTGAAGAAGAATTCATTTTCTATAATTATCGTTACATATCATTATCTACCCAGACTTGGCCCTACTCAAACTCAATGCGTCACTATCTTCGCCAGATGCGGCAACTCTTTTTTAATTTATCGGCGACTTAAATAATACAGACACTCGATCAAACGTGCGTCTATCTTGAACGATAAAAACGGACTGAAAAATATGTAATCTTTTGAGAGTGAAATTTAAATGTGCGTTTCGCGTTTTGCGATATAACTTTGTATTTCGGAAAATGCCAATGGTATAATAAAATTATTCGTAAATAATATTTGATCTAAATTAATTGCAACTAACATTTAACACCTTGCTTCTGGTTTACAAGCTTTACATGCATCGTTTTTTGAAAAACTCGCAGGTCACGAAAATCATTTAATATAAATCGAAGCAAGGCACGTCTGTAAAAATCGTTGCAGTCAGTTTATCGGAATGTTACGAGTCGGCACAAATAAATATTATTATACGCTAACTAGATAGTAAAGCGGAAGTGCAAAAATGGTGCGGAAATGCAAAAATGGTGCAATAACGACTATTAGCCGTGATGTGTGCATCGCCGTTGTCTTGTTATGAATACGCCGGGTTAGATTACCGTTATTTGATGTTTACCGATTTTGCGGGTTCTTTACGAGTAAACGCAAGTATAATTAAACGAGAGAGATTTCCACGCAAGAGAAAACGCTCATCTTTGATTAATAAATCAGAAACAGGAAATACAAAATTGACGCCGAAGAGGCGGAAACCGAATCCTGTTATCGGATCCTTGTGGATTCGAATACTTTGGGATTCGAATCCTCCGGATTCGGTGTTCTATATTGCCCATGCCTACCCGAGATGAAAAATACACGATGTTAGCGGTGGGGTGCATCGCGCTAAGCGTTAGGAATACGCTCGCCACCGCACCTCCGATTACCCTACGTGGGTTCGAATTTCATGCGGGAATAAATATGTGCAAGAGGATTGCTGGGCACGTAACCGCTGGACAGTTATGACTTCCTCCACCATCAAGTTCATGCATCTGAAAACAAATAACTGACTAAATAATCCTACACTTGACATGGACTGGTAACTAGACGTTAGGCCGTGGTTCGCTATATGATTAGACCGTATTATCGACTTTCGTCTCCCCTAGGATGATAAGTAGACCCTACCCTAGTAACGGCTAATGCTTTGATCGCTAGGCCACAAAAACGATAACTTGGGAGGAATTTACCATATTCGTCCCAGGATAGAAACCCTACGTTCCAATGTGTTCACGTGACCTCATCGGCTTTTCTAAAATCTATATAAAAGTCTAGCCCAGCGGTTCTCAACCGGGGGCCCTCGACTTTCACTTTAAAAGAAATCTCACAGTTTTTCCTAGTTTGCTGCTCAACAAGGTTATTTCGCAGGGTGTTTTCGCTCTCTTTTGTGCAAATTGTTTTAACATAATGCGATTTGGAATCTATCAATGAAAATAACCCTACTAATACCTCTGGAATATTAAAGTGGGGGCCACGAGTGCTAAAAGCCTCCGAAAGGGGGCCATAAGTCATAAAAGGTTGAGAACCACTGGTCTAGTCCCCCACTAAATTTTTAATGGCTATTGGGAAGGTAGATAATGATAAGGAATTAATCGGTAGATAGTCTTTTTAGCATTTTGGGTGTTGTTGCTTGATAAACAGCTTTGGTTCCCCGCGGCTTCTCTTCGTCAGTAAATCGGTGTGCTTATTCTTTTCTCGTAATTTTGAATTAGTTCATATTCACTGACTGGAAAAAATAAACTTGGCTATTGCTATTCTTCGTCAATTGTGATCAATGCAGTCATGTTTAATTATATAATGTATTTATTTTTACTTTTAAAACGTGAAAATGACATGTCTAATGTTGAAATATATACAGCAGGGGTTATCAGCCAGGGCTAAATTTGCACTTTGAAATTTGCAATCCATAAACAGCAGAACAAAGATTGAAAACACCTGATATACAATCTACCGCAAATAAAATCTATTTCAGAATCTGCCATCTCATGGGAATTCAATCTGCAATCTTGAGTAAGTTATGGTGACTTCATTTTGATGTTGTCCGGATGACAGCATTTTCACTGCTGAGTGGTTATCGGTAAGGTTGTAAACGTGGCAACCATTATCTTGTTTCGGTCCATGGTGGGTCGCAATTAAATTATCATTGAATTGCATATGGCTTCCGCTCAGCACGAACAGTTTATCATATAATGTGTTCCCATTTTCTTTAAGCAGTTCGTAATCAATGGTGTTCCCTTCGTCTTTATCAGTGTGACTCATGGAATACCCATCAAAATTTTCATTTTGACTCAATGATCCTTCGTTCGGCACTTTGCTCATGCTATTGATCGATCTTTCGTTTTGTGTATCCGCAGTAACTCCAATATTCAAGGAACTGAGCGTAACTCGTGAAGGGTAAAAGACAGAAAATGTGCAGTTTCGCATTTCATTCCCGGCATAGCGCATTATATATTGTCCATATGCAGAAGGTGAGATAGCATTACAAGGTGAATCAGTTTTGACCTTGTCAAATTTCAAGGTCAAACGTTTACCGACCTCCAACCACAATTGTACGAGAGCAAAATTCTGCGATGTTTTCATGGTTAAACTTTGTAAACTTTCACCATCGTTGCAAGCTTGTGCCAGCCTCTCATGCATCATTTTCTCGTGGTCATATTCGCTGGGCATGACTTGGCCACCACTCAGCCACCCATCAAAAACTTCAACGAATTCTCCACCCAAACAATCGACTTCGAAATCTGTGATTGTCACTATAATTACTTCATCTGGGTCGGCGATCAGATACACCGCGCACATTTCGCTTTCGACTTCTGTCTGCTCAAACGTCCAAAACCCAGGTGTCCTGATCATGTCTACACATTCCAAAAACCTTCTTGGCATGTTATCTTCAGTCGAATTTGATTCGATTACTCCATTTACAACACAAACGTTGATTAAAGCTAAAATCAGCAATGTAGCGCCAGGTAATTTGGTGATTGTCATCATTTTAAAAACGCAGGCAGAGCATTTACCGTAGCAAAACTTAGAAAGATCTCAGGACCGAATTTTATCAAATCGATAATTCACGAATAAGTGCGACTTTCGTATTTCTTTGCTGAATATACCAAGTTGCAACAAAGTGAGAAAATTTTGTAATAATAACACAATGGATTGGTATGAAATACCAACCACCGGATAATAGCACCGATCTCGATCGGGCGCAGATAATACAATGTTAAATACATTTAAATATTACTAAAGATAGATGTGGAATCTTCAAATGTTATTAAAATTAGGGGTCGGCAACTGTTTCTGCATCGCAAATGGGTTAAAACTGGAATTTTATTCTGCTGATCTGCGTTCAAAATAAATCTCTCATTACTCGCTAAGCTGAACTAACCTAATTCTATGAAGGCATGAAATTTAGACGTCGATTGGCAATAAATTTGCAATGTTCTTTGTATTATTTCGTGTTAACTTGCAATATTTCATCAAAAGACGTTAATTTCCAAAAACAGAGTTCCTTCACATTCACCCTTGCGTCTAACATTGCAGAAACGCTTTTACGCACAACTCAGTAACGAACTTTCAATGGATTGGCGCTGGGCCTACGCCAGGTTTATCCACCCTCCGTCGCCAGGAAAATAAAGAATTCACACCGGAACTTCGCTCTCAAAAACTACAATGTCCAAGTCTTATATTGAGAATGCTCAATCATCCTGTGAATTCCTTTTTTCTCAATTTTTAATTTTGTTCCAAGAATTGTGAACACTGTCGTATTGGGTGCTCCCTAAGTATATGAATCAAGATGGCGGACACCGGAACATAGCTTACCAGGTTAGGCAATAATTTCAGGTAAAAATATTACGGGAGTCACTTGGTTAGTCCCCGAACTCGTAATGAAACTAAAATAAGGAAAATTGAAATCATGGCCAAACTCTAATCTGGTACACATACTACGTTCCGGTGCCCGCCATCTTGGTTTACATACTTCAGGAGCATCTCGTATCTACTGTAAACTCATCGGCGCGAAACTGGGGGAGCGGACCTTGATGACATTGCCGTATCTCTCCCTCCGGCTTATACCGAAAAAAACTTTGTTCTAGCTATTAGCCCAATGTATATATTTGTATTGTTATGAATGACAAATGATTAATCTCTTACCTTAAAAAATATTTCGACATTGATCAATGTTCACCCCATCTGACGAAGACATTTTCTACTTAAGCTGCGCCCCGAGAGAGCAAAATGCAGACCCAATATCAAATAGAAACACGCACAAACTCCAACTACATAACCCTGGATTCTACCATTATACCTAACACACATGTTTTGAGAATGTAACCACAGTAACAGCAATCTTGAAATGCAAGAACTCCACCAAACTAAGTGAATGTACAAGATACCAAATGCATATTTTTAATACATTTATTCTTGTGGAATGAGGATATTTATTCCATACCATGTAATATTGCTTATTTTTGCCGTGGTCTTCATTTTATATAAGTTTCAGAATAACACGTTAGATTCGCAACATTAAATTGCATTACGAAGCCGGAGCAATTTTTAAGCAACCAATATTTTTTTCTGGTATTAAATGTGGAAGGAGTCTCGAATATTAAATCATCTCCTCCTTCCACCACGACCTCCTCCTCCACCACGCCCCCGTGAGCCACCTCTAAAACCTCCTCTAGAAGGTCTACCATGTCCAAATTGTTGTCCTCTCGGTGCACCAAAACCCTTTTTATTCCCAAACGAGGGTCCACCCCGAGAAGGCCCCCTTGAGCGTCCACCACCCCGAGAAGGCCCTCCATGGCCCCTCGAGCTTCCACCACCCCGAGAAGGCCCTCCCCGTCCCCTTGACGATCCACCACCTCGTCCACGTTGCATTTTACGTTCTCTCTCTTTTCTTTCTTTTAATATTTCATCAGGGCGTTTGAGTTCTGATTTCACTCGAGGGCCTGATTGTCCTCTTCTACCAACTTTATTGAACTTGAACCCTGGAATAAAATGTTTTTATTTCCATCAAATGAATACATTGAAAAATACAAGCAATGAAAATGATCGATGCTATATGAAATTTCATAAAAACACTTTTCTCGTATTAGAACTAACAAGGCTGCCACAGGGAGGCTTACCGGTATGTCTGTCATGCTTGTTAAAGATGTAGGTTGGCTGAACTTGCAAAATGTCTAAAAATTATTGGAATACCATATCACACTCAAAATCTGTTGCATGAAGAATATAATTAGGCTTATGGCCAACTCGACCTAGCCATCTCAGTGCTGTCTCCTTCTCCTTACTGTGAGAATAGGATATGCATACGATAGATTCACATAACTGTCCCAATGTGAGAGGAAAGCCGATTAAACACACAACTTAAACATATAACGAACCACGGCCTCTCGTATGGTTACCAGTCCATGTCGGGTATGGGATTAGGTATTTGTAAGGAAAATAAGTAATAAATATGATTAATTACCTCGTCTATTAGTAGCCCCACCGCCATCCTCTCCCGTCATCTCATCCTGTTCTTCCTGTTTTGTTTTATCTTTCCATTCCTGGTAAATGTTCTTTTTATATGATTTCTTGATTATGGCTCCACTTTCTGTGTGGATTTTCCCGTTCTTTATTGACATGTTGGATTGCAGCTGAATATGGGTATTTTGAAAATATTAAAGGTTAATGTATTGGTTGGAGGTATAGTGCATGATTGTGTGTTAGTAAATACTGACTGATGCGAGGTGAAGTGTGTAGATGTGTTGAGGGCGTTTTTAGTAGTTTGAAGAGAAATGTTTATAAGAAAAAAACGGTACTCCTGAAGTATGCGCCCCAAAATGTCGCACAACATGAATGACAACCTTCAGATTGTGCGCCATTTTGGTGCGCATACTTTGGGAGGTCCAGGACTTTGACTCGATAGTCTGAAAGAAAACTTCATTTTTGATTTGACTTTATTAGTTACTGCCGAAGATCTTGGCTTCGATCATCACCATGAAAAGTCTAGAAACATGAATGGACTCTACAGCCTTGCTTTCGAACTTCTGCACATACCTGAACAAATTTTTTCTTTTTTCTGTCCCAAACCTTGCGCTGTCCTTTTTGTTTTCGAATCTGAATAAAAACACAGAATTATAGAACGCAATAATTTTATTGAATTAAAACTTCATCATAATATCACACACCAGCGGTTCCCAAACTATGGGTCGCAAAAGGAATCTTAGTGGGTCATGAAAAGATGTAGAAAGCTTATAAATGTGAATCTGGATTTTCAGCAATGGTTGGGATTAAAAGCAAATTTCGAAATAAACAGCAACTTTCGAATTCTTCACGTCTAAAACTATCTGAAATTGAAATAAATGTCAAGTCTATTATGGAAAGTAGCAAGAAACAGGCTCATCCTTCTCACTAGCTTCACTGGAAATTTAGTTTGGAAAAATAAATTTGTTTCCTCCATCAATGTTTTATTAATTTATTAAAGTTAAATGGGTCGCCATAAGCCATGGTAATAAATAGTGGGTCCCAACTCTAGCAAGTTTGGGAACCACTGGTCTAGACAGAAAAGTCAATAAAATGAGCAGAGTCCCCCACACCTGTTAATCAGTTCTAGCCAAGACAAAAAGGAGGTGCTACAACCTTATGATGATGAGCAAAATGCAACAAACATCAGGCCAAATATTTCAATTTCCATAATCACTGAACAACACAGAGCACTATTTTAACAACATAAAGTCTTAACTTCCACGCTCCCCCACCTCACTTATGGTGTAGTGCAGTGGCTCCCGAACTTTTAAAAAAAAATTCCATGGCAGACCCCTTGCAATTTTTTGATGATAAACAACCTTGTGCACTTATTAAAGGATCTAAACAAAAAATTAATGCGCCGCATGATGGAAAACAATAAAACACCTCTGCAGTTAGTTAACTTGTAATGACAGCAATTGAACTCTCTCTGTGACATCACAATAGGGCAGCCTTGTCAAAACCGAAAGTGAAAAATCAGCGTCTCCAGCAATGATTGCGATGCAGCAAAAGGCGACAAATGTGAATTTGCAAATTTAAGCACATAATTTTTGTATTATCAAGCTATGAGCCATATAACAGATTTGTTTCCCAGACCCTCCGAAAGTGCTTCACAGACCCAAAAGGTCTGCGGGCCCCAGTTTGGGAACCACTGGTGCAGTGTAATGAATTAGGTACCAACGCCATACTGAAGAGATCCCGCTGTTTCGGATAATAATAGAGGCTGGGGAGTTGCTCAAAGAAAAATAACTGATGCAAAAAATCGAGCACTCACAGATTTATCGTCGTCTCCCATCAGATCCAACACAGCTCCTGATGCTTCATGTTCAAACGAAGATTTTGAGATATCAAGACTGAGCCTGGAGTTGAATAAAAAAATGTGTATTGCAAAGGACAGTCAGTAAATTACACTACAAATTACAAAACTAGGACCTCCTGAAGTATGCGCACCAAGATGGCGCACAACCTGAACTCAGGTTGTGTACCAGGTTAGGGTTCAGGTTAGGCGACATCTTGGTGCGCATACTTCAGGAGTACCCAAAACTATATAGGGTGTCCATGAAATCTTGAATTTTTTTAAATTGCAAATGGAATTTATCAATACTATTTATTGTTTTGGCCATCACAGATGTATTAAATGTAAAGTAAAAATACTTAAACAATTACTGATTAAAAAACAACAAACCTGGTTAAGATATATTGAGGAGTGACTTCATAAGAATTTGTAAAGACTTTATGGACACCCTCTATATACTCAACGTGTTTTTTTATCATAGTGCCTCGTTCGTAAATCGCTCAAGAATTGAAATTAAAAAGGAACTAGTGATTTTTGGTAAATGGTGAAAAACCAGAGAACGTTACTGCAAAACTCACAAATATAAGTATCAGTGGTAACCTGCCAAAGGCTATGTTCGGGTCAAAATAAGTAAAAAGAATTCCATGAAAAATCAATTGAGTCGTACCCAGATTCTGTGTGATGATCCTTCGGTTTATAATTAATATAATGCTCTTCATCTTTGGCAGAATGAGAAAGTTTTTTCATCTTTTTATTTGAAAGTTCTGAATTAAATCGAGACAAAGATTCTTTATTGAAAATATTTCCACCAAAAAAATACTGTAATGCTAATGAAGCGCTGTGGAGTCAAAGAAAAAATTACACCGAACTCGGAGCTATTGAAAAGCCGGTGCTCCCGAAGTATGCGAACCAAGATGGCAGACATCGGAACGTAACATGGGTAACAGGTTAGGGTTAGCGGTTAGGCGATAAATTTTTTCTAATTTTCCTTATTTTAGTCCTATTATCAGTTCGAAGACTAGCCAAGAGCCTCCCGTAGTATTTATACCTAAAATTATGGCCTAACCCTAACCTAGTACACATATTACATTCCGATGTCCGCCATCTTGGTTCGCATACTTCGGGAGCCCCGAAAAGCCTCTTGATTGACAAAAATCTTGACTGTCTGGCCTCTCCGATGCGTGAGGGCATAACAACAGGTTGTGAAGTGGCGATGTTTACACTGAGTGAGAGCTGGGGCCTTGTTTATGCCGAAGATTTACAAGAGTTAGTTTTCTCAATCATTATGCATATAATGCAAGGATGCTGTAGCAAGAGTGAAGTTGACTATCTTATATGACCCAATGGATAATTGAAGTCTCAGCTTACCAAAGACGCCTTCGTCATTTTTTCTTTTCCTTATACTGCCAGCAAAATCACCAATTGAAACCTGAAGTAAAAATTTTATACATTTGCACATTTTCACCCAGAAAAAGAAATTGAAAAAGATGGCTCAACAATCTCACATCTGAACCATCTAGTTTGTGGTTAGTGATGGCAGCGGCGTAGCCAGGGGGGGGGGGGGGGAGGGGGGGGTTGCGGGTCGAAACCCCCCCTTTCGAAATGTAAAAAAATTAAATCAATTTTCTGTATCATAGATAGCAATTTTCCGTAGCTTGAAATGCTTTTTAGACCTCAAGACTGATGAAAACACGCGTATTCCAGCGTCCGATCGGACCCGCTAGCTGTTTCGATCTAACTTGGCAAAAAAAAATTTCAGAACCCCCCAGGGACTCCAGCAGTTAGAAGTGACAAGTGGTTGCTTGAACTACAATACATAAGTGAGGAGTCCAGTGATTGCCTTTCACAAACTTTAACTTCCTTAAACTCAGAGGTATGTTGTGTTTCTAACTCGCTACGCCAACAATTGAAGTTGAAACGAGATAGTGATCGAAGAGCGCCGACTTATCGATCTGGCAGTGTATTCTTCACTCTGACTCAATAGCAACACCGTATGTCCAATCACTAATTAAATAATAACTCACTATTTATAGGGCATAATACATCAAAAATCGATAGGCCTCTGGTCCCAGATATTATGGATGCACATGCAAAATTTGGAGCAGATTCAACCTCGCTTTCGTGAGATATCGCGTAACATACGAAAGTGTCTAACAGGCAAATACCTACAGACTAATACCTACAGATCGAGATCGATGAGTAATTACCTTATCAGTATTGTCTTCTTTCCCCATAAGTGAATGGTACTCTTCTGTTGTTACGCTGCTACTTGATGGAATTTGAACTCTGGAATAATGTGGTAAAATATAAAACTTATAAGTCCTCCTTTGCCTATTTTGGAACTCTTTATTCCTTCCTAAGCATAAAAACTAGGGTCCTCCAGAAGTATGTGCACCAAGATGGCACACAACCTGAACATATTATGTGTACAAGGTTAGGGTTCCGGTTGTGTGCCATCTCGGTGCACATACTTCGGGAGCGCCAAAACTAGTTTATTTATTCGATTTTTGATGTATCCTTAGTTGTGTTACGCACAAGTTGTTATCCCGCTTTTGTGCAGTTCGAGTAGTTTATAATGTGAGCATAAGTAGGTATTTTTGTGATAATAAGGAACTGAAGAATGATAAAATCGTAATACAACGAATTCCCTCTCAAGAATGACTCTAGTGGGAAATTCCATTCGGGTTGGGCAAATTGTATGGAACGTGGGGACATAGGTTCGGACACAAACCAGGTCAGACAGCAATATCAATACAAGAATACCGGTCGAAGACCGAAGACTTATGAATCAAAAATTAGACTATTCCCCAAAACAGAAACTGCGATTCCGATTCATCCGCTCTTACTCCATAGTGACACTGTGTCCCATCACTAATTAATTAATAACTCGCTAATTATATGACATAATTCATCCAAAATCAATAGGCTTCTGGTCCGGGATATGATGAATGCACTATGAACATGCAAAATTTAGAGCAGATTTAACCTCGCTTTCGTGAAATATTGCGTGTATCTAACAGACAAATATCTATCATTTAGGCCAGGGGTGTGCAACCTTTATTACAGAAGGGCCAGATTCAAGAAATTGGGTGAAGCCACGGGCCGCACTTTTTCCTTTAAGGTATAATTTATAGTAGTTTCAAGCACAAAATATATTTTTGCTAGCTAGTTTTACTAATATGACAATGGCACTCGGGTACTTGTACTGGCTTTGCGACGCAAAGTGATTGGAATTGCTCGCACTCAAAACTCGTTTCGGGGGCACACCATTCAAAATTGGCACATCTCCGCGGGCCGCACAATATTTCCTTGCGGGCCGCAGTTTGCACACCCCTGATTTAGGCTATCAACATACTTACCGATCAAGATTGATAACTAGTGAGAGGTCCGAGCTATATTGTGAACTTAGCTAATCTTAAGATATTTTCAAAGCAAAAGTCTTGAAATTAGGTAAGAATACCCACTTTGAACATCCATCTTTTTCTTCTTCATGAAGTTTCTGTTTCTTGTTCTGATATTTCTCGATATATTTTTCATTCTGTTTTCTCGTTGCCTGCATAGCTTTGAATCCTGAAGATTTCCCAGTCGAACCAATCTCAAATATTGTCTGAAAAAATAGGAGAGATTTTTAACTGAATCAATTTTTGATTTTCGATTTTGATTATTTTGAGCAATTGAAGCTTCCCTGTATCCGATATTTGAAATGTTATTTAAGAATTTATTCGAAAAAGTAAATTATTTAATTTTAGCCTTTTCTGCCATATTTTCTCATAGGATCACAGAATACAGCATAGTGATGGATGTTAACTGTATTTCTGGCAACTAGCAGTTTCCCAGATGGTTGTGCATGACCTTTGATGTCATCAGTTGCAGGTGACTGATCATGACCAACCACCTGTGAAGGTGATGTGGCCATGTGCACTGAGTAGTCTGTTGGTGTTGCTTATGTCTGTATGTGTTACTTTGGTTATTGCTTTGGGCATTTACTGCTGTTTTATTGAGATATTTAATAAATATACTTTTAGAGTCACTTTAACAATGGAGCCAACAGGAAATATATTCTGGCCATCTCAGCAATATTTGCTCACATAATTACAGCATCCATTGTCAAATTCAAACCTTGAATTTTCTGTGCTAGGGAAACAACAGCTAGACAGTGATAAAGGATCCACTCACGATAAACCATTCAACAGCAAAGATACAAGTTGTATGCTCCGTATCTGTCCCGTTTATCAGTTCTTAAGATGTCAGGGTATTCAGAAAGCATGTTAATGTAGGGAGACAAAGTGTCAGTGCAGTAATAATACTCTCATGCACTGAGTATCATGCTCCCATCAAAGTGAATGGTACAGGACTGGACAATGGTTAACACTTTATGCTACAAAAGGGTCTGTCTTCAACGGGTGGACCTCGGTCCGAATCCGGACCTTTTGAGTGCTAAATTTGGACCGCGGCTACTTCTTGACGTTTTGTAAAGCATTTACAAGATTCTCAGAGCATCGACTCACTCACTCATCAAGAAGATGTCAATGCCGGCATAAAAACTGAAGTTTTAGTAGCTTCTTCATACATTTTTCACTGATTTTTAGACATGGTGGTGAACATTAACTTGTTTTTGTAGTATATATAGTCAAACCCCGGTGATTTTAAAAGTTTGTGTACGAACCTTTGATGAAAATAGTTGAGTAGCCCTGGTCTAGACCAGAGGTGACAAACATGCGGCCCACTAAAAAATTTTGTGTGGCCCTCGAAGCATTCAAGCGATTCAGTGCACATTAGGAGTGAAGTCATAAATCTGGGTGTTGAATGTTTTTTGTATTTTTTTAATTTTATGCGGCAATTTATCATTACATAACGTCAGCTATATGTTCGTTTGTGGATGAAAATTAGCAGTTATCATAGTATGACTGAAAAGTTGTGTGGCCCACTCACTCAGCAGTGACTGATGACTGATAAAATGGCCCGCGATAGCAAATAGGTTCGTCACCCCTGGTCTAATCCCTTGTTCAGGTTAAATTATCGAAATTTTACATAAAAAATGTATGCAGCTGACTAACTATTATGTGCGGAAAAGTCACTGGAGTCCTCGCCTTCGCAGCGTCACATAGCGGCTATACCATCCGATTCCATCTATAACTATAAACTAGGACAACCGATAAATTGAATACACATTCCCCACAATTTAAACATTATTACCAGATACTTACACTGTTTGGCTTATATGATTTCATGCTTGTTAACAATTGTTGTCTGAGTTCTTCAGAAGAATCTATTGCGTTTCCTGAAAAAATAAATAAATATTAATGAAATGAATATAATAGACTTAATTGTAGTAGTAAGTGTAGACTTAATCTAGATTTTCTGTGTCATACAATAACATGGATAGGAAAGGATAGGATTTACATATTTATCTCGGGGGAAAAGAAAGCCTATAAGACGGCTTAACAATAGGGCAAATCACGGCCTCTCGTCCGGTTACCAGTCCAGGTCGAGTATGGGATTAGTTAGCCAGTTATTTGTTTTCGGAAGCATGGACTTGATGGTGGAGGAAGCCGTAACCGACCAGCAGTTACGTGAACCACCCTACGACGACGAGGAGTCCAGCAATACTCTCGCACATGATCAACCCCACATGAAATCATCCATTGCAACTCTTAACTTTATAGTACTATTATTTATTATAGATCTTTGTCTCTTGGATATAAAACTACAAATACTTGATGGTTTGGCATCATATCCCGCAAGAATTTGATTCCAATCTCGATATTTTTATTACTTCACTGCAATATAGTATTTTCCAGTTATTTTTTTACTTCTAATTAAGCAAAAAATAAATTCTATTGAAAAACAGAAAAAATGAAATTTCATCTCACTTTCTCAACTTCAAAAAGGAAATAACAGCTTTAGTTTAACAGGTTCTCATAACTCAAAATAAACATAAAAAAAATAATGCTTCAATCAGAATGCCCACATTATACAGACTTTGATTCTCAAAGTTCATGCTCTGAAACCCTTCAGATATACATAGAATTTTTCTATTCATCCAGAAGAGTGAAGCCAATAGGACAGCTGAATAATATCACATACCCTCAGGTATACATAGGATAGGATTTTCCTATCTATCCAGATGGGAGAGGAAAGCTGATGAGGCATCTTAATCATATAGCATACGACAACCTCTCGACCAGCAGTTAAGTGTACCACTCTATGGCGATGAGGAGCCGAGCATTATACATCAATTGGCGACATCAAGCTTCTACCAAAACAACTTATAACTATTAATTAAAAATTAGGAACTCACTATAAGCTGGATGTATTCCAATTTTTTTATCTTCCAGAATTGCTTTGGCTCGTTTTATGGACTCAGAAGAAGCAACAGGTCGAGACCGAATATATTGCCTGAAATTTGAAATGCAAAAGAGTCAAGAGCAGTGGGGTATATAAGTTAGGCATGTCAGACCCCCCCTCCTATCAAAACATGAGAAATTTTTTTTCCCTATCATACGTGGCAATTTTTTTTAGCTTGAAACGCCTCCTAGGACCTCTAGACCAGAGTTTCCCAAACTTTTTGGGCCACGAACCCCTATTTGAGAATCCTAATTTTGACGTACCCCCACGCTCTGCCGTATCAATTTCAGTGCCTAACCAACGAGTAAAGATAACGACGAGTTTCATCCACAACACAACACAAACGACATCAATGCGATGAATTAGCTTGCTTTTCACTGCACAATTTATCTCGGAGAAATTTGTGACAAGCGAGTAAAGATAATGTTTTATCCACAACACAAACGACATCAATGCCATGAATTAGCTTGCTTTTCACTGCACAATTTATCTCGGAGAAATTTGTGACAAGCGAGTAAAGATAATGTTTTATCCACAACACAAACGACATCAATGCGATGAATTAGCTTGCTTTTCACTGCACAATTTATCTCGGAGAAATTTGTGACAAGCGAGTAAAGATAATGTTTCATCCACAACACAAACGACATCAATGCGATGAATTAGCTTGCTTTTCACTGCACAATTTATCTCGCAGAAATTTGTGACAAGCGAGTAAAGATAATGTTTCATCCACAACACAAACGACATCAATGCGATGAATTAGCTTGCTTTTCACTGCACAATTTATCTCCGAGAAATTTGTGACAAGCGAGTAAAGATAATGTTTTATCCACAACACAAACGACATCAATGCGATGAATTAGCTTGCTTTTCACTGCACAATTTATCTCGGAGAAATTTGTGACAAGCGAGTAAAGATAATGTTTCATCCACAACACAAACGACATCAATGTGATGAATTAGCTTGCTTTTCACTGCACAATTTATCTCGGAGAAATTTGTGACAAGCGTACCTATAGACCGGGCGGCAAGTCTCGACCTGTATTTTGTCATCATATTTATAGAAGTGAAAATAATGCCTCACGAAAGTAGGTTGTTGCTAAAGGATTTTAATTGACTTTTCTGACATGGATATTCGTCCGCAAAGCTCAACCAAAAATCTGCAATTTCTCTTTAATTGAAATCAATCATTAAATATCGAACAGACTTTTGAAGGTGCTCCCGAAGTATGCGAACCAAGATGGCGGACATCGGAACCTAACATGGGTAACAGGTTAGGGTTAGGCGATAATTTTTTTCCAATTTTTCTTATTTTAGTCCTATTATCAGTTCGAAGACTAGCCAAGCGCCTCCCGTAGTATTTATACTTAAAATTATGGCCTAACCCTAACCCTAGTACACATATTACATTCCGATGTCCGCCATCTTGGTTCGCATACTTCGGGAGCCCCCTTTTGAATATGTTGCGGACCTCCTCTGCAGTTGTCACGGACCCTCGGGGACCCCAAGTTTGGGAAACCCTGCTTTAGACTACTAAAAACCCGTGTTTTCTGGCTTCCGGCCGTACCCACTAGCTGTTACGGTCTAACTGGGCAATAAGGAATTTCAGAACCCCCCCCCTTTGAAAATTCCTGTCTACGCTCCTAGTCAAGAAGACTACAAATTTATACGGGACTTATTCACGACAACATATGTATCCATGTTGCTCCAAAAAAAAAACCTCACAAGCAGTCAGAGATATATTGCAGGATACTCAATCAATTTCAAGTTAAACCATATTGTCTATCACCCCACACGAGGTGCGATATATTGGGTAAGCAATAAAGAGATATAAAGTTTTCGGTCCTCCAGAACAGTGTTTCTCGACCTGAAAATATTCTTTGGTCGTTTATTTCCTCGAAATCTTATAAAAGTTGACAATTTCATTTCTAGTAAATTTTATTGTTCATATCATATTTTTGGATTGAAGTGTTGCTTAGTAGGAATTGTATATGTGAGTATCACAGCATAAAAACTTGACAGCATCTGTGTTAGTGAACCATAGTCACAAATTCAAAAACCTGCTGATTGCAAACAAGCACTGCTTTCTCAATTTGAGGTAATTTCTGTGGAATTCAATTTTGCGGCCATAAAGGCACTACCTGTCGTTTAGTATGTGGGCATATCCTTGGATCGCAGAATTTATTTAATAATAAAATATGAGTCGCCTCGAAAAAAGGTCGGAAACCACTGCTCCATCATATAGTAGGATTCTATGTATCATTGGATGATTACATATAGCCTTCAGTTCAGAGTGAATAGAATAAAGTAGTTTTGAATGTGAATTATTGTCAATGGTTTGTTTTGCTTACAGTGAAGATAAAACCCAGTTTGGAGCAAAATTAGGATATAAGACAAATTAAAAAAAAATAATAATGATTATTAAGCTCGCATTTTACCTCAGGTGTTCTTAACCTATAATGAAGAACAAATTAATCCACCAGTGTTTCACTAAAAAATCAGCACTACCCCTTATTTAGCTTTAATTTTTATCTAAAATAACTCGTTTTATAAAGAAGGCACTTACTTATAGGCATTGGTAGATACTTTTAATAAATTAGCGATTTCGTTTTCTTCAGAAAATATCCGCAGAGTTGTGTTTTCGTCGTCGATGACAACTTGAGGAGCTCGACCAAATAAATCTTCCCAGTCTATAAAACAGATCATTTTTATCGAGGCTGTGGAGTCATATATTTATTGGTGATAGATGTTTTTAGATAGAAGGATATGATAGGATTTACATTGAGGAGAGTTGATAAGACGATTTTATCATATGACGAACCACGGCCTATCGTCTGGTTACCAGTCCATGTCGGGTATGCAATCATTAGTCAGCAAGTTATTTGTTTCCAGATGCATTGACTTGATGGTGGAGGAAGCCGTAACCGACCAGCGGTTACGTGAACCACCCTACGGCGGCGAGGAGTCCAGCAATCCTTTTGCAAATAATAACCAAAATTCAAACCTGCGAACCCACTCAGGGTAATCAGAGATGCAGTGGCGAGCGTATTTCTAACGCTTAGCACAATGCGCCACACAGCCGAGCCCAAATAGAAATATTACTGGCTTGGCATATTCTTGTCTAACCAACAATTCCAGAAGTGTATAAATAAGCAGATGTTTTTCTTTTCTGGATTTAAAATATCTCACAAAGAGATTCCAGTGTTGATTGATTTACACTTGTGCATGCACAAAACACAAATATATTATGTGCATAACCCTATCGTAGTGATATTAACTGTAAATCCTACAAAACTAAGCTGTCTGCTCCGTAACTGCCCTTTCTGTCGATACTTCATCAGTAGGGCCATCAAAAAGCAAGTTTGATTTGAGGAGATATAGTGGCAAAGATATAACATGCTTATATACATTGAGTAACTTTCCCCCTATCTGTGGCATTCTGAGTGTAACTTTTCCAGTGTCTTGGGCTAGAGATCTTGCCAATCAACATCATATATAACTGTCTTAAACAGGAATATTCGAAACAAATCAAAATAATGAATTAAAACATTTTAATCTAATATTAGTTCGTTTCGTTTTTGAATTCTATTAAATCGTGATAAACAAAATTTACGATTGAGTTCAAAATGAAAAAAATTGTTATTTGGAGAAGCACAATTCAACCAAAATTAGGCTTCATTAGTCATGTAATGATTAAATAAAAGAAAACACAATCAAAACTATGTTTAACTACTTTTTATGCATCGTTTTATACTTGACCTCTCGAATATACAATGATTTGTGAATGTATCTTCGTTGAACGAGACTCAATTACCAATATAGTGGTAATTCTATAATATTAAAAAAATGCTTTTTAAATAATAAATTATTCAGTCTTGTTAGAAAAGTTATTTCAAAATGTATTTAAAATAGAAGATTATTTAGTAACTGAAACCCTACTTTTTATGCATCGTTTTATACTTGACCTCTCAAATATACAATGATTTGTGAATGTATCTTTGTTGAACGAGACTCAATTAATAATATAGTGGTAATTCCATATTAAAAAATATGCTTTTTAAATAATAAATTATTCAGTCTTGTTAGAAAAGTTATTTCAAAATGTATTTAAAATAGAAGATTATTTAGTAACTGAAACCCTACTTTTTATGCATCGTTTTATACTTGACCTCTCAAATATACAATGATTTGTGAATGTATCTTTGTTGAACGAGACTCAATTAATAATATAGTGGTAATTCCATATTAAAAAATATGCTTTTTAAATAATAAATTATTCAGTCTTGTTAGAAAAGTTATTTCAAAATGTATTTAAAATAGAAGATTATTTAGTAACTGAAACCCTACTTTTTATGCATCGTTTTATACTTGACCTCTCAAATATACAATGATTTGTGAATGTATCTTTGTTGAACGAGACTCAATTAATAATATAGTGGTAATTCCATATTAAAAAATATGCTTTTTAAATAATAAATTATTCAGTCTTGTTAGAAAAGTTATTTCAAAATGTATTTAAAATAGAAGATTATTTAGTAACTGAAACCCAACTTTTTATGCATCGTTTTATACTTCACCTCTCGAATATACAATGATTTGTGAATGTATCTTCGTTGAACGAGACTCAATTAATAATATAGTGGTAATTCCATATTAAAAAATATGCTTTTTAAATAATAAATTATTCAGTCTTGTTAGAGAAGTTATTTTAAAAATATTTAGTAACTGATCATTCAAATCAGTGAATCTCAAACTTTTTAAGCCGCGCCCCCTTCTTAGGATTTGTCAAGTTTCACGCCCCATCTCAAAAATAACTAGCTAGCAATAAGCTACAAATAACAGATAGTATGGCGAAAGTATGTTTATTCATAAAACACATTAAAAATACATGAATGGAACATAAATAATTAAATAAATGAAGTTTTGAAACGTAAATATCCAAAATAAAGCGGGCAAGATCAAATCTAACAATAATTTTCATTTTTTATTAGCTTCAAGCCCCCTCAAAAAATTGTCTACGCCCCACCACCGTTTGAAAACAACTGATAGGAATCAAAAAAAAAATATCCTTACTTTCATACTGTTTTCCTGATCTTGCAATATTTAATGATCGGCCCAAGAATAAATGGAGATCAATCAAGTAAGCGACTTCGTCAGGTGATATAAGAGAATACGCAGTTCCTGTCCTCCCTGCTCTCGCTACTCGACCTGTTTTAAAGATGAAGAATATTAAATGAAGTTATTTCACATCAATGTCAATTTTTATTATACATAATATACAGGGTAGTAGGCTTGCACGTAATTGACAAAAATCAATTCCGTAATTACGGCAAAATCGATTACGTAATGACCCCGTAATTGCGATATTTTTTCACACATTTAAACCTATCATAACAACCAATTGAATCCACTTCATTTTCGATTGGGACATCGAGTTTGGGTTTTCATATTCCTGGCAGTACTACACGCCGGCGACAGATGTTAAGACAAGAGTGAATTCAAATTAATTTTATTCTGATTTTTATCTTTTGTGCTAGCTTTGATTTCCTTTATCACCTTCGCAAATTAACCGTCCCAATTTTATGCGATCAATTTTATCATTACCGACACTGGTATACGGATATTTATGAAACGATAGTTGACTTTTTTAAAATCGTATTAAAAATAAATGTCGGGTTTCCAATTTATCAATGCCACGACGATCGTATTCTCTCGTTTGATTATACTTGCGCTTGCCTCGCGACGAAGACTTGTTATTGCACCGTTTTTAACATTATTCGACTTTACTATTGACGTTATTCCGATTACCAATTCCGAAAATTCCAATTCCGAAAATGGTTCTCGCACAGAATAAACACACTGGCTCATACTTGATATTTGATAGTAGTTAAATTGAGAATATTGAACTGTTGAAACAAAAAAACGATTGTCGAAATTCTTAAATCTCGTTGCCTTGGTTAAATATAATCCAATGATCAGGACATTTTCAATTAAATACTGCACAAAGATAGTTATACATTAAACATTTAGGCTACAATTTAGCTTTTTTTTTTAAATTTCAATCATGCATTGTGGTGGAGAAATCCCATTATTTAAATACGGGTAACTATAAAAATAGAATAGGATTCTGGATTCGATTTGAGTATTCTAAAACAGTGGTTCCCAACCGCCGGTCCGCGGACTGTTCACGGTCCGCAAAGGATTTTTACCGGATCGTGGGAAATCCCGTCATATTGTTGTTTCTCTGCCGTCTCAATCGCTTTACCGATGTCGAAAAGACGAAGTTGCGATGGTTCATTACGCAATTTCTTTCCCGTCGTCATATTGCTGTTTGATAAGCGCGACATTAGTTATCACGGTGACGTATTGGCAAGAGAGAGAAAAGTGAGAAAAACGGCTGCAAATACCGAAGCTTTAACTTCTTTTTAAAACTTTCATTTTCTACAATCGACGGAATTGACTGCTTTGAAGAGAGCTCGTTTCAATCGTGAAAGTGCTCGACCAATATTTACGACTTTACGTAATTCGTAACTTCCCTTCCGTAACTCGAAATAATTCCGTAATTCCGTAAATTACGTGCAAGCCTACAGGGTAAGATGTCCATAAAGTCCCTTCACAAATTTGTTATGAAGTAAGTTCTCAATATCTTCCAGGTTTGTTGTTTTTTATTCAGTAATTGTTTAACCCTTCCCATGCGATTTTTATTTTTTATTAAATAATCGTATTTGCTACGCCGATTTTATGCATTTGTACCCCCACAACTAATCGATCGACTAACGAAAAACTAATGATCCTCTGCTGCCCACTGACAACTCGTTGGAAAGCGTATTTAAAGAGCTTGCAATTGGCAATTAAAAAAAAAGTTTTTTTAAAAGTGGTGGTCACAAACCGGATAGAAAAAAGGCATTTTTTTCTTCTTAGAAGTTGAAACTTCAAACCGTGATAAAAAATAGAAATATTCGCTAAATCCTTTACTGATACCGCTTCGTGGTTGGCAAACAATAGCATAATATTGCTGTAGCAATTTCGTGATCTAACTCAAAATACTTTGGTAGATGGAAGGGATAATAAAACTCCTATTACCACCCAAAAAACACCGAAATTTGCATAAATTTCAAAAACATTCCCTCGTTCCGCCGCAAATAAAATTCCTGTCGTAAACGAAAGCGAGATTTACCGCCGCTTATGGTTAATCTCGAAGAAGACTTCTTATTAATAAACTAAAACCCGGAAAACTAGACCAACAGTTTGCGACCGATTGCTAAATAAAACAGTGGAGTACATCAACGTACCCGCCGCAATCTAGCGACTTTTGTCGTTAGACGTGCCCACCGCACAGAAATGGTTAAGTTTGTTTACTTCATTTAATACATCTTTGAGGTCCAAAACAATATATGGTATCGAGAAACTCTCTTCGCAATTTAAAAAAAATTGTGATACTTTATGGACACCCTATATATTAAATGCGGTATGCAGAATGGGAAAAACTTAGAAATCTATCAAGAATTGTAATTGACATCTGGAACGATCACAATTAATTAAATAGATTTCAAATCAATAATATTCAATATCTAAAATTAGGCAATATTTCAGATTGGAAAATTTTTTATTTTCAGCAATGGAACCATTTGATTTCTGAGAACTATAAAAAATATTGAATAGTCTAGTAGTCAAAGCACAGGATGAAATTATGGTATAGACGTATCAGTGAATACTTGGCTACAGCCAATCCCAATAAAAAAAAACGCCTCTCAAAAATCAAAGACACCTAGTAAGCACCAGTTTTGTTCGTGCTGGTTACTTATCGATCCTAAGATCGGTAAGTATGTTGATAGGTATTAGTCTGTCTGTATGTCTGTGTGTTAGATGCACGCGATATCTCACGAAAGCGAGGATGAATCTGCTTCAAATTTCTAAGTTTTTCTCATGCTGCATACTGCATTTAATATATAGGGTGTCCATAAAGTATCACAATTTTTTTTAAATTGCGAAGAGAGTTTCTCGATACCATATATTGTTTTGGCCCTCAAAAATGCATGTGCATTCATCATAGCTCGAATCAGAAGCCTATTGATTTTGGATGGATTATGTCTTATAATTAGCGAGTTATTAATTAATTAGTGATGGGACACACTGTGTCACTATGGAGTAAGACCACTGTTTAGGGGGATCCCCTAACCTTCGATCGATAAGTCTTCGGTTTCTAACCGATATTCTAGTTTATACCTTACCTACTCTATGAACAAATAGTTTCGACTTGGCAGGGAAATTATAATTGATAGCGTTGTCCAACATTGGGATATCGAGCCCACGAGCTGCGACATCTGTTACTAGTAGGACCATGGTCTTCTTGTTTCTGAACTTGCCAATGTTAATTTTCCGTTCTGTTTGATCCAAACTACTGTATACATATGAACAATCGATTCCGCATCGAGAAAGAAGCTGTGATTGAAAATAAAGAGTCTAACAGATTAAAACAAAATAAACAAAATGCACAGGGAATGCTGTTTCATCCAGATTAATGTACAATCATCATTTTGTGAAAATTGGAGTATCACACTATGAGCCATATTTTAGGTTTGTCAAATTATTATCTCAATTTTCCTACATTTGCATATTCAAACTCATTAAATGTACACTTCCCAATTTAGAACATATTCCATTCAGAAGAGCAGGTGCTCCAGAAGTATGCGAACCAAGATGGCGGACATCGGAACGTAACATGGGTAACAGGTTAGGGTTAGGCGATAATTTTTTTCCAATTTTCCTTATTTTAGTCCTATTATTAGTTCGGAGACTAGCCAAGAGCCTCCCGTAGTATTTATACCTAAAATTATGGCCTAACCCTAACCTAGTACACATATTACATTCCGATGTCCGCCATCTTGGTTCGCATACCTCGGGAGCCCCGAAGAGCAGATTGTTTGATTTCGAATTGTCGAGACAGGGGCCAAAATTTCGGACTCTCAATGGCAATAATCAATGTGCAAGAAAGACTGATTCATCCAGATCAGGGGTTCCCAAGCTTTTTTCAGGACGACCCCAAAGACAACTTTCAAGTGTCCAGTGCGACCCCAGGTCAATATCTATATATTTCATAAAACTTTAAGAGCTTCTTTCACTGAACTTTTGAGTTTGGTCATGTGGTGGTATTAAGTAAAATAAGCTAAAACCTAACAGTGATGTCACAATAAACACCTACATTTTCAATAACAAAAGCATAGAGTGATGCCTATGGGCCTGTTTTACATTAAGCCATGGTACAAACTGCTAAATTTAACATGGTTTGTTAAATCTTAAATGAGTTGTACATCCATCCTCTACCATACCTCAGCGACCCCACGACCTGGTTGCGACCCTACCTATTTATCACTCCGACCCAATTTGGGGTCGCGACCCCTGGTTTGGGAACCCCTGATTCAGATTAACGTACAATTATCACTTTGTGAAAATTGAAGTCTCACAATGAGCTGTATTGTACACAATTTAGAACATATTCAATATTTAACTTAAAAGAGTAGGATTATTTATTTTGAACTGTGGTGTCAAGAGTCAAAATTTCTGATTCTCAATGGCAATTTTTTTCTACATAAAACCCGTAAAGCATAGAGTTTACTAAACGCTCTTAGCAGTGCATTAAAAAGGGTTTGCACATACGTGCAGTTGTGGAGTCAGAATCTCTCTCAACTCTGAGTGTGGGGACAGGAGTCAGAATAACGTTGAGGTGCGATTTAATATTTTTCCAGAATCCACAGCACGGTTTTGACCGTCCTGATATTAAAACATCATTCAGCATACCAGTCTTATATACTCCACATGATGTTTAGTAGCTGCAAACACAACAGTCTGCTCATGAGGTTTGACGATGTTGCGCAACATATGAACCAAGACCGCTGGTTTGTCTTCACATCTCGCAAAGAGAAATGTCAGCTGGAAAAAAAAATTTGATGAATATTTTACAAATCAGGTAAATTTTAGAACAGAAATATCTTAAGAGGTTGTCATTGGTTAAGAATCTCCAGACTTCAAATCTAGAACAACGCATGAGGAATTATGTACGATATTACTTTATAAAAGAAATATGGGTACCCCCGTAGTGTGTGCACCAGGTTAGGGTTAGGCCATAATTTTATTCCGATTTTCCATATTTCAGTTCTGTTACGAGTTCGGGAACTGTCTGTGTTAGCCAAGTGAATATACCGCATGCCCATAGGTTTCAGTTCCTTTACACAACTTGATGTAAAGTAGGCGAACAAAATTGGTTAGGTACCTCCATATTGGTACACACACTTCTGGAGCGCCCAAATATGAGGTAAGGCTTCTTAAGTTAATATAGATATGTCTATCCTGTGTTCAAAAATACATCATAACAGAACAACAAACAACGAAATGGGCTCGTAATCTAAGAGTCTCGTTGCAGATCGATTAGTCAACAAACAATCCTGAATATTTTATGCTAATTCAGCGCTAGCACATCACAAGTAGTAGACAAGAGCCTAACACTTAGAGCCTTAGAGCCCAAGACAAGAGCCTTACACTAAATGTGTGGCTCAGTGGTTGAAGCGTTAGTCTTAACTATGATGTTATCACATGCTAAAATCTAGATTTCAAATCCCATGTCACCCAAGTAAATTAGATATGCAATGTTGAACTGAAAATGATATCAGTCCCTTCACAATATAGCACCTCAATACGTGCGTAGCAGTGGCTCCTTGTTAAGAGTGAAAGACACTCCTTAACAAGATAGCTATGCTTAAATATATGGACACATAGCTCCAGCTAGTGGCAAATGTCGATGCCGTCAGCCCGTCATGACACACAAAAAAAAATAACGAATCCCATGCAGCGCACCGGAATATTTGAAATAAATAGAAGTAATAGCCTTCTAGCGAAAAATTCAATCTTTGAGCAAAATTTTAAAGCGATTGGTCCAGAAATCAAAGAAAAAAGCGATTTTTTCTGTGGCAAAGAACAACAAGAACAAGAGTGCCAGCATAAAATGCAAAACGATCGCTATGTCCACTAACGTGTCCAATAAACCTACCTTTAGCTGTTCACTGAGCTTTGAGTCGACGTCCAACCTAATCAAAGTAGGGTCATTTAGTCCTGCTTTTGCGAATTCGACAAGTTGTTTTGGTAAAGTTGCAGAAAATAACAAAGTTTGTCTCTCTGATGGAAGACGGGAAATAATTTCTTGAAGTTGCTCTTGAAATCCAAGCTCAAATAATCTAAAGTAAAAAAAAATTAAAGAACCTAAGGAGTATCAAAATAATTTTGTGTTCTAGGATTTATAAATTCCAATCAAGTTTTATTATTAGTGGGCGTTCTCGCCTAGTTATTAAGAGCATTGGACTCAACGTTGTTGGCATCACAGGTAACGGATTTCAGGTTCAAGACTTAACGTCCATAACCTAATCTAGGATGTAATGGATTGTGTAAGCCAACTTTTTTGAGGAGATCTAATAAAATATTTTTATCGGTTGTGCGGACCTTTTGCCGATGGCAATACCCCAAAAAAAATTTCGTCATTTATTTATTTCGTCATTTATTGTTGCCACACCGGCTGTTACGGTTCCCACATCTCTAACTGCGGTCGTTTCCTTCGACACCAATAACACGTGACTAAGCAGTGCCAAAACAATATTGAATATTTTTATACGGTGACGCTATTCAGTTATAAGTATTTAAGAAATGTGTATTAATTTTATTCCAAAGTTGATCACATTTTCTGATACTCAAACGTAAGTTGCCAATTGAGATAATTAAACTACAGAAGCGTGTGACTGTACCTATACAACAGATGTACCCCCAAAGATAATATTCCTTACATCGTTATTACAGCGATGGGGCCGGCCGTACTGGTGTGTTCTGTGCAATTTTCAACCTTATTGCAAGAGTCAAGAACGAAAACAAAATTGACGTGTTTCGGGCGGTGAAAGATTTGAGGGACTGTAGACCCGGCATGGTTCAGACCTTGGTAAGTTACTATTTTATCTGTGACACGAAGTGACAAACATGACGTGAAATGAATGAAGGACAAAATTTTTATGACAGATCCCAAATGGAACAGCTAAAATAGATGAAACCAAGCGAAAGCAAAAACATCAGGTATCTTTTAGGAAAGTTTTTTCAATTCCTAACACTCCCTTAAAACCATTTCCCTGCGGAAATCCCTCGGGGCCCCTGGACCCCATTTTGAGAACCCCTGGTGTCAGCGATGTCGAACCAGAAATATTTTGAGTATCACATTTACATAAAATCCCTATATATCAACCTCCGTTATCAATGTTCACCCACCTGTCTGCTTCATCAAAAACAACATATTCAACACTTGATAATCTCAGATCCATTTCCATCAATACATGCATTAACCTTCCTGGTGTGGCAACTATAATGTCAGGATTGCCGTGCAACGCTTCAAATTGATCGTCTATCTTTGATCCACCGAGTATACAGGCTGATTTGAGACTTGTGAACTTCCCCAACTAAAAGTTAATAACTACCAGTTAATGATTTAGAACGAACTTTTGGAAGAATCATTATCTTTCTGGATCAAATTTACCTAAATAATTTATTACAACCTGGATGAGATGGAGGGAATGAGGATTGAACATCAAGATATTTAAAAGTGATCCCAATATATTTCCTAGACTCTAAATCAAAGTTGATTGACCGGAGGCCAAAATTAGAAGCTGAAGGATATTCACAGGTTGGAAGAGGAGAGCGCGACCCATAAGTTGTACCAACAATGGTTCGTATAATTGAAATACCGGAATTGTTACGAATATACACATGCCCAAACTGTAATAATGATGTAACAATTGGCAATATCTAGAACGCAAAAACATAAAGTGTTCAATCATCTCACTTAAGCCACTGCTCTAAATAATACATCGTCATTTGATATCTGATACCAGAGCATGTGCTCTGAGTATTTCTAGTTCACTATTCTTCTGTTGTCAATAGTGGAATACATTCATACTAAACACAGTCATATATTTGTTTGATTGCTGTTAAATCAAAAGCACAATTGAGATGCTCTGAGTTTGGTTTAGCAATTAAATTAATATTGGGAAGTTTCAGTACTGTTGCCACTACCGCCAAGTAACATCAGCTATCTAATTCCCTTGCAAATCAAATAAAGAAAGAACGAACTTCATAGAAAATGCCAGTTTGTGCAATTGAAAATCCAAAAAGATAGGAATTTCAAACTTATCCCAGTGATGAGAAAGATAAAACAGTTTGACCAAATGGCAAATCACTGCCTCAGTCATTTTACAGGTTCATGTTGAGTATGGGAATATGTTGGCCAGATATTCATTTTAGATGCACAAACTGGGGTATCATAACCAACTGCGTATACCAGGGGTCTCGAACTCGCGGACTGCGGGCCATTTGCGGCCCGCAGGACAATAGTTTGCGGCCCCCGCCTTGGTATAAAATGTTTAATGTTAGTGCGGCCCGCAAGTCACTCAACTCAGTTAGAATGATTGATGCATTTAATATATGATCAGGACAAGTAGAGCAAAACAAAATATTTTATAATCTATCCCCGGAAAGGAATATGCGGTACGGGGTTCCATTACATTTGAACCCACGTACATTTGAACCCATGACAATTGCACCTGTATGCTATTGCACCTATGGAATTTTTTTTGTTTCACGGATAGTTAAACCCATACTAACCCTAACCCATGGGTTTTAGCACCCGCATATAGATTGAACCCGTGGATATACGCATGGGTTCAAATGTACGGTCACCGCGGTACGGTAACCTACTAGTATCAGATGCGGCCCAGACTCACTGAGGCTCCGTCACGGCGGCCCCCAGGTAAATTGAGTTTGAGACCCCTGGCGTATACCCTCACAATGACATGCAAAAAAATGATAGTATGGATAGCACATTGCCAATAAAACAAATACTTTGAAATTGCACACAAACGAATAAATTCACAAGACCATCAAACTGAAAAAAACTTAATACATGATTTTTCATCTTCATTTTAAACAAATTTTTGAAAACTTTCAACTCCTGACCGACCTCTTTTATGAACTGCAATGTCTGAAGAGCCAGCTCTCTAGTTGGTGAGAGAAGCAATCCTCGGGCTCCAGCCTTGCTGCTTCTAGTTTGCAATTTCTCAAACAACGGAATCAGAAATGCAGCCGTCTTTCCACTTCCAGTCCGTGCCATTGCAACTACATCTCTGCCACCCATGATTACTGGAACGCACTAAAAATAAAGGAGAAAATTAGCATCTTAGGTTATTATTCATTGATCTTGAGATCGGTAAGTATGTTGATAGGTATTTGTCTGCTTGTGTGTTTGTCTGTTAGACACTTTCGTATTTTACGCGATATCTCAAGAAAGCAAAGTTGAATCTCCTCCAAATTTTGCATGTGCATTCATCCTATCTCGGACCAGAAGCCTATTGATTTTGGATGAATTTTGTCGTATAATTAGCGAGTTATTGATTAATTAGTGAAGGGACACACGGTGTCGCTGTGGAGTAAGAGCGATGAATCGAAACCGCAGTTTCTGTTTTTGGGGATTCCGTCTCTGACCGATATTCTCGTTTTTTTTGTGGTCCATTTTTGTTGCACAGAAGATCTGTGGTCCATTAGCTATTCATGCAAGGGAAAAGCTACAATAAAAAACAACCTTTCGGCAAATATAGACACTCTTTTCTATGAAAATTGCCACTCAGTAGCAAAAACAGCATCATCAATCATTGGTACTACAATCAAAATCAACTATAGTAACACAAATACAACTAGCAATTTTTATAAGGTCTGTGGCACATTTCAAAATGTCTTTGAGGCCCAGCAGTGAGCCATGGCCCCCTGGTTGAGAACCTGTGCCTTAGAGTTTATCACATGTGGCCACTGATATATAATGACCTACTGTGCTTTTAAGGATCATATTTTTTTTATTAATCTGCATTGCCGAAAGAATTCAATTGCACTCTGCATTAGTTGGTGGGCATGTATTTCATATCTAACGTCCTTAGCTAGCAACGCCACTAACAGCAATCAGTAGTCCTCTGTCCACTGTGTATAATATTCCCTGGGATGGTAACATTTGACACAGGTCGGGATTTCTATCTGGCCCACCTGATGCTGCCACAACCAAACTAAAACTAAATTTTGATGTATATTAATTAAGCTGAAAAATATCTCAAGGAATTTGTTGAGATTGGGATTAAATTTAGTTTTGGCACGAGGTTTATTGTTTTCCACTTTTGCTTTTGTAAAACTGTAAATATTGTTCATAAAATGTAACTTTTACGTCACACTTACCTGGCCCGCCAGTCTAGGTCCAAAAACCTTGCCCCACCCCTGATCCAATCTATAGTCAAAGTTCTCGCACAGTGATGAGGTGGTTCTGTCTCATAATATGGCTGTATGCATTTAGCTACTGATATATATTTTCGAGAATATCGGCCGAAGTCTTATCGATCGAAAGTTAGGGGATCCCTCAAAACAATGCTCTTACTCCATAGTGACACCTTGTGTCCCATCACTAATTAATTAATAACTCGCTAATAATATGACATAATTCGCCCAAAATCAATAGGCTTCTGGTCCAAAATAAGATAAATGCATTTGCAAAATCTGGAGCAGATTCAATCTCGCTTTCGTGAGATATCGCATGCATCTAACAGACATGCAGACAGACAAATACCTATCAACATCCTTACTGATTAAAATCGATGAGTAAAAAGTTGATAACCATTGCTCTATGCAAAAAGAATAAAATTCCTCAATTACTGTGCGACTACATACATCATTCTTTGTTCTCACTAAGAGCAACCATGCAGATACAATACATCTTATTTTATATCAGTAAAAATCACAATTTATGTCGAATGTTACAAAATGAGTCTTACTTTTCTCTGTATGGGTGTTGGAACTTTGTATCCTTTCCTAATGACTCCTTTGAATACAGGATGAGATAGACCTGAAAAATAAAAAAATAGATAAATCAGGATTCCTTATAAAGAGTTGTGCTAAACATTCATACGGCTGGGCTCAAATATATCATGAATAGGGATGGCGGAATTGAGTCCAGATTCGATTATAGAATTGATTCTTCGCGGAATCGACTAGAATCTCGAGGTTAAAACCTGGATTGCAAACAATGTGTAACGTTTTGTTGCAATTTCTTCACATATATGTATAAACTGCTTCACTGCTATATGTTGATTTGCTATGACGCCGCAAAGAACGCTAGAACGCTTTAACGCCTATTTATTTTTAAAATCTGTGGGTTTCGAGGAATTCGTTTTTTTGGGCGATTTTGTCTCCTGTGACAGATTGGATAGCCATACTACTTAGTTTCGGCCTTTTTGTCCTTCCAAAATTTGAACATCGTTCTCTTGTTTGATTTCTCTTGTTTGATATGGTATTGTTTAGGTGGGTATGTTTTTCGGTAAGATATGTCGAGGAATCGAGAATCGGAATCGAAAATTTAGGAATCGGATAAGAATTGAATACTTGTAAGTACTCATACTTGGCATCCTTAATCATGAACTATATCAGCGTCCCACCGAAGTGTTTCATCAGACCCATTTGTGTCTGGTGAAACTACAACAATAGTTTTTATGAATATCGATGAAAATAATGTCATCATGACCATGATCCTATATTGCGCTTATTTTTATTGTATAAACGTTAGCCTAGCTGTTGGACTAGTTTTTGTAAATTTTTATTCATAATTTTTCATATCGAGTTTGAGACTCCGACCCAGTAACCAAGTCTATCAAGTGTAACTGGCCCAGTCAGAAAAGTAATTGCCCACGCCTAGGTTAGATTTAACTTGCAAGATAGTTGCTTGATTAAATAAATAAAATTCGAGAAATCCAAAAGTTTCTTCATTAAACCAGCCAATAGATTGAAACAGTCATTACTTATCGATCTTTAGATAGGTAAGTATTTTGATAGGTATTTGTCTGTCTGTTAGATGCACGCGATATTTCACGAAGGCGTGGTTGAATCTGCTCCAAATTTTGCATGTGCATTCATCATATCTTAGATTAGAAGCCTATTGATTTTGGATGAATTATGTAGTATAACTAGCGAGGTATTAATTAATTAGTGATGGGACACGCGGTGTCACTATAGAGTCATGAATCGAACCTGCAGTTTCGATCGATAAGTCTTCTGTCTCCGACCGATATTCTCATATATTTGTTTGATTGCTGTTAAATCAAAAGCACACTTGAGATGCCCTGAGTTTGGTTTAGCAATTAAATTAATATTGGGAAGTTTCAGTACTGTTGCCACTACTGCAAAGTAACATCAGCTATCTAATTCCCTTGCAGAGCAATCAATGAACTAAACCAACCCATAGATTGAAATCCTCCAGATTTCTTTTTCTTTCTATTCATTTGAGCGACGAGTTTCCTCGTGTTCAGCTCCCCTTCGGATTCATAACCATGATCAAGAAAAGAAACAAGATCATTTACAGAATCCATTCCTTGAGATTCAACTTCTCCTATTTCATCCTGTAATGTGAATTAGTTATAAATAAACTGGTTTACTCCTTCAGTAATGATAAGGATTGAGATTTGACCGAGTGAGTCCTTGTAAAAAAAATAGCATAATAATATTTATTGCGAGTATATGATTGACAGTAAGGCGGCTTGGTCAGATGTCAAACTGCGATTTCTAGTCTTCAGTATGGCACACTATCCAAATTCCAAGAATTTCCCTCCATTTGGTTCAATAAAACAAACAAGGGGCGTCTGGCACGACGACAGATGCGTCATATCGCGCCATGCTTGTCTGAGTAATAATCTAAATCAGCCGTCACAATACCAAAATCGCCGTTTTTTGCTAAAAACTCTTGAATGCCAAGAATAAAATATTTTTCCTTCATTAAATCGGATTCTTTTTCCCAGAGAAATTCAATGATAATGTTTTAGATTGCGCTTTTTTGTAGTATTTTGCGCAACTTCATTATAGTCTACTGTATTTTCACAGATATTGAGGGACAAGAATGTCCAGACGTCTCCGAATGGAGTAATCGGTAAAATCGGTTACTCTGAAACGAGACAATGTCGCTCGATCTGTATAGTGTGCCATATACTTGCATGCATTAACCACCTAATTGACTACCAGTAATAAAAAAAAGAAAAAATCAAGGCCCTGACATAATGAGGAAGCTGGCGATTGATATGCCACCGAAGTGATGAAATTTAATTTTCCAAATCAAGAAAAATAAAAGAAATTTGTTGCTGATATGCATACCAGCATAAGGCACATATTTCAGGAGATGTTAAGTATAATTCGGTTAATAATATTTAATACGGATTTAATATTTTAATTCGGTTTCCTCCGATAAAATGTACACAAAACATTGGTAATATCGGAAAAACTGCAAAACCTCCACTAACATTAAATACATATAAAAACGCATGTGCCAGTTTATCAATAGGGTGGCTTAGCCACTTTGCGGCCATCGATTAAATTAATTCCAAAAAAAATTAACAAACCGCGACGATATTTCTCACGCTTTATCGTTCACTTATCCCCCCTAGCACTGCAAAATTACACTAAAATGGGGCCACAAACAAAAAAGTTACGACCGAATACCCGACCGAAGAAAAAAAATGGACCATTTTTTCATGAAGCCAACCACCCATCGTCTCTTTAAAAAAGCTTGATAATCCATACAAATATAAGAGATGAAAAGATGAAACCTGGCAGGTGGGTAGAGTTGTGTTTCTTTTACCCATCTTCAAAGTTTGCGTTTCTACATTTAAAGGAGGTCGAATAGCGGGGTGCGCATTTCTAATACCTCAATAATATCTTTGTTGACCAATTTGCGACCACCGTGTTTTTGTCCGTTTGATTGCTGTGATGCGGTGCTTTGTTCATAATTTGACGAGTTTTGTTCGAACTAACCGTGTTCTTAAAATATATGACGGTCAAAAATGCAATTAGTGCATTTTTGCGGAGCGCTAGCAACCTTGGGCGCGCACCTGCCATGGAATCAAGTCTGGAATGAACCTATGATGAAAAAATTAACGGGTTAGAAATATTGGTTTTTGTTTTATAGCGGTTTGAATGAAATTGTCCGCAGACTGGCTCTCCCCTATGTACAAACAGACAAGTGTTTATAGTGTGTACCCATACTGCTTAATGGAAACTGTGTCAGCAAATTGACAAAAGTATGTAAGTACGGTACCGTACCGTACACTATATCTGCGTTGACAGGTTGAACTACAGATATACAAGATACCAGGTACGGTACCAGGCTACGAAAACAAGTAGCTTGATCTATCGCCTCTAATTGCAAAAATACCCCTAACTTACCTCCATTTCTTCAACTTCCTTCCTTCTAATTTGTACTTCCACGGATACAGCACGTAGCGATCTTCAAAACGCAAAACAGTGACTTAGCCTGGGCAATTTACTCTCATAAAATTCAGTCTGTTTCTCCCAGCACAACCATCACCACATCAACACATGGGTGTTGAACTACATGCCAGATTCAAATGGTCACTCCCCGGATTTGTGCATTTTATTTTGAATTTCGGACAAGAGCACATGAGTGAAAGAATGATGAGCTAAATAATCAATATCCAATCATAGAATACGGTACCTAAACATTGTAAATGTGAAATTATATTCTAATCGTACTGTGTTATGCAATAATGCTAACACGCGCTCGACCACCACATCACATAATTCTATTCAGCCGGACTACGACAAACGAAAACCAACATTAAGTTACAAATGTTTAATCAGAAAAAAATTTAGACATTCAAAATAAAGCACGCAAAAGCTTTAATCAAATATAAATTACAAAATGTTCAATATCAATAACCCATCACCCAACGGGCATTTCAGAAACGGGCTAATATGAATGGCAGGCAAAAATGTTCCCGACAGAAAACAAAAATTCAATAAAAATTCAAGTTATGTTTTTTTATATATTATCACATAATGTTAGTAAGAGCCTGGCTGTTCAAAAGCTCTTCGCGGGACATGAATCACCACATATATAAATATATATGACCTCGAGGGAAGTTTAGCATTTTTTAACAAGCGATTTGAGCAAAATTATTGAGTTTATGTACTGTGTCTCAAGTACATCACTGTAGCGAAATTGAAAGAAATATGCTAGCATTCGAATACAATTATCCATTTGGCCACCAGAGTCAATGTTTGTTATAAGAGAAGCCCCCGGCCTCAGTTTGTTGAGTCAACTTACTTAGGACAACATTCTTGTATCCTCAGTCCTGAGAACGTTAGTCGTTGCCTGAGAACGACTAAAAAGTTTCAACATAGTAATAATCAAGTTTATTTTTTCCATTCAGTAAAAAATAACATACGAAAATAGAGAATCAAATAAATAAAATTGAACACTCATTTTTACTGGAAAAAAAGAGGTCGCGGGGAACCAAAACTGGTCATCGAGCACCGACACCCAAGGTGCAATATTTAATTAAGTTTGGAGTTTAAGTCAACAATTTAGAATTAGGAGTATTAAACAAAATACTGCAATCAATTACAATTGTCAAATACATTTTAAATCTAACCATTCAAAAAACTTAGACTCCGACTGCATCTATCACCTGCGCATGATATGAATTTGCTTACTAAAACGTTTACTTTCAAGCTTTTGCTTAGCTTCAGTTTCTGTTAATAATTTCGATTCCAAAATATGAAACTCTCCCTTTGATTAGCCGAAATATCGACTGCGGAGAATAAAAATCCGACTCCATTTCCAACAAAAAAAAAAAAAAAGAATAAAATTTACCCTCGTATTTATGCAAAAATATGTCCTCTGCACCAAGAAAAATAACTCACATGTTTACACTTGGGATGAAGAACCCCGTCGCGACCTGTGGAAACACGATGTCAAAACCATTGACTCCGCAAATAGCCCGAAGGGATAGAAAGTCTCCCGGCAAACGATCAGAATCTTTTGTAGAAAACCCTGCCACGAATGCAAAATTGTGAGATTTGAAGTAAATCCCCGCCACGTTTTAGTCACTGCAGATTGCGCTTACCACGTTAGCGTTGGTGTGGTGCAATTTTCGGCGGTGGCCTTCTACAAAAGATCTAACGCTTGTGTATACTGTGCAAAGTAGGATAATTATATTCGCTTGCTTTATCATTTCTTCCCTGATGGTCTTTGCTCCACAGTCAGTATTTTTTTTTTATAAATTTTTATTATCTTTAGAAGTTTAGAACATACAAACACAAAATTGATATTATGTCTGTTGTTGCGCTAGAAGTTGTATATTGTTATTTATTAATTTATTCGTCAATTCCAGAAGTAATATAAATGTTAAGCATTTGATTCTATAGTCGAATTACGGGTTACAAAGCTTGGCTGTTGTTTAGTAGGAAGTTTCGTCGCCATGTTGAATGGAAAAAGTCTTTGTCTCCAGTTGGAAAAAGAACATATAATACAGACTAAGTTAATCGCTATATCAAAAGTGTAGGCAAGACTTTTGATTTCTCCAGTTGGTCTTTTAATTAATGACGCAACAGCGGCAACGATTACATCACTAACAATGCATATTATTGCTGTAACGAGTACTCTTTTCAACAGCGCTCTCAATGACGTCACTGGTCGATTGATATTTGCGTCTTTCATTTTCTTTTCATGAGCGCATAATGGATACATAAATAATCCCAATAAAATCGATTGAAACGTCACAGAAGAAGCAGCAAGAACAGCCCATTTTATCGTTGCCAAGTTATCTTTTCCAAATTCGCATTTATAGTCTTCAGTTTCCTGATATTCGATGGGAAGTACGACAAAAAACACAAAATTTACCACTACTGTTAGTAACAAAAACACTAGAGTTAGCCAACTCAAGATATTCACGATAGGAGATGCCAATGACATCATAGATTTATGCGCGTATAGGAAGCGTTGTCTTCGCCATAGCATAAGATACACGCTTGATAGGCAACAACCTCCAAGACCAAGGTTTACTTTTAATGACACCTCGCAGTTCACCTCGGTCCAGAAGTCTAGTATAAGTCTTACAATACTCCCAAGGATGCTAAGCAACAGCACAATGTCAATAAATCGCGAACCTTTGACGTCGCGTTCATGTCCCTTATCTGCAAATCTAGTTTTCTTTTGGTAGACGACAAATGCAATTAGGAGGTAGAAGGTGATCGCAAGAAAAACTGCTGTCATTGAGTAACAAAACAGCCATTCTCCATAACTATCACCAATGGCATACTTCCCAGAAAAAGATGATATGGTGGTATTAATTCGACTCAATAAAGATTCATTATCCGTCGTTGTGACGCGGTTGTCCTCCATTATTTCTGGCATGTGAGTTCTATTTTCCAGTATATGTGGCAACTGTGTTGCTGTTGACAAATTAGTAGTGTGGCTTGAATATTCTTTATGATGTAACAAGTCCTCGGTTGTCGTCATTGTTCGGTAATCGTATTTAACAAACGGAAAAGTTTTGCTTGCCGTACTGGTTGTTGTGCCGTCATTGTGCGTGTCTGATGTTGACGAGTTTGTCTGATCTGTCGTGTTGAATGCAGTTACAATTTGCATTCTCGTCGAGAAGATTTGCAAAGTTATTCGTAGACTGTGAGTGTATTTTTTCCCTTTTCTGAGTTTCTGTAAAAAGTAAAATATATTATCGCAGTCAGTTAACCACTTCAGCTTCAGTATTCAGACTTAATCAAGGCAAGATTTGGGGTTCAAATTCTTTTAGTTTGGTGTCCAGAAACAGTCTGCATAAAAGGGACTGTCCTTTTTTAGGCACTTCAGAGCTTTAATTAAAAAAACCTTTAAGGGTAAGGACATGATTGGGCATATAATTTCGATTGAAAATCGATTCCGCTTTCTAATCTATTCAAGTAGGGTATAATTTTTATTCGCAATTATTTTGATTAATTAATTTAATGCTGTTCATGCCACTTCTTACAATATTTTCTTGAGGTAGAATTTTAGAAACGCATTCAAAGCATTACTGAAATATATTTTCAAAATGTCTTTTACTAATTTCATTGGTCATATATGGGCCGATTAGAGCATATACGGCCGAACACAATTCATATGTAACCAGACTATGCGACTAAGTATAGGCATATCCGATCTTGTATAATGGATATATAATCGGGTTTCGTTTGTATGCGAGGAAAGCTGATATTAACTTGTGTAAGCCCTGGCTATATACAACTCAAAACGTACATATATCACGAACAAATATGGGACATACATAACGGACTTTAGTTCACATATAAGTTAATAACCAAGCATAGGTCATGCAGACCAAACGTACCTCAATTGTGTGCCATTAAACCAGGCCAAAGTGTGCGGCAAACGTTTTGCGCTTATATTTGAATTAAACTTATATTGGTCATCCTTGTTGTTGACCATTAATTTACTTAATTTTGAGCCGCTCGGGACGTACAACATAACGTGACATTGCGACATCAATGCTGTCCGTAATCTTTTCGTCTAAGATCAAAAACGGAAACTAGTTCAACTTTTTATTAGAACAATATGCACAGTCACGTGCCCTCTCAATAATTACAGCGATCCTCAATTTTGAATGTCAATTATTACATCCGGTATATTAACTTGCAATTTTTTTCAAGTGCCTTCCTATAATAATAAATGCTTGTTAACACGCGTCTTTATTACGCTTGTCGCGAGAACTTTAGATGTGCCAAAACACAAAACGTTTAAAAACTACTGATATAACCAAGTAAGTATATTTACGAGATACCAGCGAGTATAGGACATACACGACCGTAAATGAACCATACTTGACAAAGCAACGGTCATTTATGTGGCTGAATATGGATTATAAATGATTGGTAGGGACCACGAACGCTCTAATACCTGTATACAACTCAAGCGTCTGTTTACACCAGCATTTCTCAACTGTGTGCCGTGCGAGATTCTCAGGTGTGTCGCGACGCTTTATTGAAATTCAGAAGATAAGCTATTCTAAGGCATGCACGCAAGCTTATGGGACTTAGCGCACACTATACAATATAACTGATAATATTTTTGCATTCGCCTTATCGATGTAGTAAGGGTAAATATTACGTTATAATTGTATTGAATTATGAAGTCATAATGTATTCGTAAACAAGGCGTCCACCTCCAACCACGTTGACTTGCGTGCTTAGTTAGGCTAACAGTAAAGGATGTTTAGACGAGTTTTTGCTATTTGCTTACAAATGCTATCCAATAATCGGTGCACAAGCCATCAAAATAATATTCCAATTTGCATTTTCATGGGTCTATAAACACGGGTTCTCCACTCTGACTGAAATTACGGTAAACAAAAAAGGTTAAAGACGAAAAGCGGATGTGCTTTGCAACGACGGAAGATCGTTTCAATCTTATTTGTTCCTCAAAACAAGCACACTCATCGCATTAACATTTGCAGAATAAAATAGTTTAACATTTATAGCAACTAATCCCTTTTTAAGTGTGCCGCAAATTGTTTTTTAATTGCTTAATGCGCCGCAATCAAAAAAAGTTTGAGAACCACTGGTTTATACGCAAATACAATCGACTGCGCAGGAATAAAAACATGCTGTTATTTAAGTTCTTTTCTATCTAAACTAAATAATCTTGATATTGGTGTTTTTCTAAACAGAGTCATGGTCGTATTTTTGCTTTACTTCAATAATAACTTCAACAAAAAGACACAAAAAAGAAAAATCTTTGTTCAGATTAAATTTACTATCTTTTACAGCTAAAACTAAGTCCCTTAAAATACATCACTATAAACAAACTATATAAACTTCTACCATATATTGCTCTTTTATAAGTAGTTTGCCCTGAAGGGAAATTTTTAATGACCAGGAAAATTGATCGTGTCGATGATTATTGGAATGGGTCAACCTTACAAACGATTAAATCGCCGAATTTCAGGTAAGAAATAATTGTTTACGTACGTCATACGACGGACACATACGATGGAATATGACCTCATGCGACCAAGCATGGGTCATAGTTTACAGGGTGTAGGTTTTATGAAACATATATGAAAAGACAGGAAAAATTTGCTTGTAAAAAATTTAGACTCCAGCTGCGAGAAAATCATATTTTGATAACAAAAACTCTGGCGTATACTTTATTTAAACTGCTTAGAACGCTCAGTAAACTTGATACTTCAATTGCTGCCGAATATTTTGGATACTAATATGCTTATCAGAAGAATTCTGGCTACAGGGAATTAAAAACTTTGACTCCGTTAAAAAACGACTCTGGCTCCTACTCAGTAAAAACTAAACGATCTCCGACTGCACAGACCTGATTAGCAGAGGCCATTTTCGATCGTGTATGGGACAAATAAGATAAAGTACGATTTATTTAATCATACTAAATGGATATCGATCAGGTAATATGGGTTTTATACGTTCGAAACTGGGTAATATACGAAGGACTGTGTTATACATACGAGGCAATACATTCTTGCCTGGCCGGTCGAGTGGGCGGATATGATAACATGCGATCTAACGAATGTATCACTAAGAAGTCAGCATCGGCGATCACACATCGCATCGGTAATTAGCTACACGCCGAGCTTGAAATTCGATGAACCAAACTTCGAAGAGTACTCCCGTAGTGTGTGTACCAGGTTAGGGTTAGGCCATAATTTTATTCCGATTTTCATCATTTTGGTTCTATTACGAGTTCGGGGACTGTCTGTATTAGCCAAGTGAATATACCTCCTGCCCATAGGTTTCGGTCCTTTTATACAACTTGATGTAAAGTAGGCGAACAAAATTAGTTGCCTCTATATTGGTACACACACTTCTGGAGCGCTTTTTGAAGACATAAATACAACTCGGCCAAACCTATGTCTACCATACTTGTACGTTTTCTTGAGTGAGGCAATTATCGAATAACATTTAAAGTTTGCAGAAACATAGAAAGCCCCGATCTCGAATCTGGCTGTACTAACAACTCCGTCTCGTTTTTATTTCTCGACTTAGACTTAACATAGGAATTCTTATTACCCTAAAATCGACAAATATTTGCATTTAAAACTCGATCACCCCAACTATATCTGAACATTTAAGCCACGGTAAACACGTAACCTAGCATCGAGATAATCGCTGTTTTCAATCAAAACAATCGGTATATCTACATGGTAGGCACATACAAAAAAATGGTTTCTCGCTATGACTATTTCTCGTTGTTTGTTTGGAGGTCCTATCTGGCTGAGTGTATAACCTTAAAATTTAAAAAGTTTGTGTCTTTTTTAAATGTCCAAATTAGAAAAAATTGTTTTCGGAAGTATTTCTAAAATTAAAATTTGCTTTGCGAAATTCATTGGAGCAATCATGAAATTATAAAGATTGATCGCAGTTAAATTGGCCAAATCCATCGAAAATGTTTTTGATAAAATATATAATCTCATTTCCGTTGTTGACTTTAAACTTTCAAACATGGTTTGGCATTATTTCCACAGAAAATTCAGCAGTTTCAATATAACGACAACATGTGCGCTGGTTAGCGATTTGTGTAAGCATGTGTTGACATCGAAAGTAAAACATTTTTGAATTAAAGTCCACTAAATGATTTTATTGAAGTACAAAGACTTCAAAAATATAGTCCCTACTCGCGTATAGATGACTTCTTATCTATAAATACATCATTATTTTCATAATTTGTTACAGATATACATTTCTTACAATAAATCGTGACCTATATTGAAAATGAAATGAAAAATTAAAACATAATTCGATATCTGTTCCATCTACCCAGTTACCTCGGAATCTCACGCACTCTTGTTCTTATTCAGGTCATCGCAGACATATATTAATCAATCGTATTATTAGTTAAAAGCGTTTGACACGGAAACGTGTCCGCGCGGGATGGATTCCCCCAAAATTTTGAGGACAAGTTATTTTTGGTATCGAAATTACTAACAATGGGATTCCTGTAATTTCCATGAAATGTTGCTGTATTTTGTGCCTTATATTTTCCCAGACGTAATAATATTAGGGCATCTGGTGAATAGGTTTTGGCCACGCCAGGGATATTCTAGAACCAAACTTTGTGCCAGACGTGTGTTGTAGTTCTATAATTACTTTCATTCAATATATATTCTGTGACCAATTGAAACCTATGCTACTTGGATTCAAGTCCTTGAATAATACATTTCCTCGTTAAAAAATGTCTTTAAATGACACGCTTTAAATAAGTCTAACATATAACTAACACAAAAAAAAGAACGCTTCGCATATCACTACATTCCAAGAACGGGATCCCGCGAACCACCTGAATCAAACCCCTGTGTTCAATATATAAGGGTTTGCTGTTTTAGGTGTGGGGTTTATCAGATCCCCCCCCCCCCCCCATACTATTTATACCTTTGTGTAATTAAGCGGGAATACCTAATCTTAAACTTTAAAAATTTCCTGTCGATTGAAATAGTTCCACTTATTAGATACTAATTAATTGGTGCCGGCGTAATAATTATCATTTTGTTAATTAGATTGATTTCGTTAGTTCGTAATTCCCCTTTCCAGCCAGAACAAGACAGAAGAGTATTGTATTATTCATGGTATAAACGTCTACACTCAATCATTTTTTATATATTTATTTTTCTGTTTCAAGGTAGATCTACTGAAGGAGTTGACATTTTATCTTGGATGATGTTTTTGTAAAGTAGTCCCAAACATAGTCCCGCGATGAACGAACTTTATTGTTGCAATGGGGTTTTGTGATTATACATTTCAGCTTTTTTTCATTTAACGATTAAAGATTAATGTGCAAACACTTTTCACAGGAGACCTTTCTGGCCTTATTAGTGTCATGCTATATTCAACTTCCAGTGTTTTCATTTCACGCCCTTGACAACGTCTGATTATCGCTTCCAACCCAGTTGGCGTATATACACGAATAGTAAATAAGTAGTTTAAAGCAATGTGAGTCTCGTTGGAGACATTCAAAACAAGATGTCTAGCCATAGTCAAGTTTATTTTTACCATCCAATAAAAAAATACCTTACGAAAGTAAAACTCAACACACATTTTTGCTGGGGAAGGGAAGCCGTGGGGAACCTAAACTGGTTATCAAGCAGCGACACCCAAGGTTCGATATTTAATTAAGTTAGTGAGGCCGTAAATTATGTGTAAGCTAACAAATAACGATAACGATAGCAGCTACAAATAAAAGAATCAATCGACCAAGAGCGCCTCCATCCACCCGACATACATTGGGCTCGGCGCTTCAACAGCTCAGCTTCAGAACCTCGCTAGTCAACTCTCTAACTCCCTCATCTGTTTCATAGTGTATTGCATAGAATACTGCAAAATATAGAATTTCGAAATAATTTTTTTGATAGTGAAATAAATTTTCTTTCAATGGGCTCGGTATACATGCTTGAAGCAATGACAACAGTATTTCACCATAGTACATATCTGGGAATAAATGTTCAAAAGTAATGCAGGGATGACAAAAGTTTACAAAATCTAAATATTGTTCAGGTTTTCTAATTCAGACATTCAAATTTATTTTAATTCGTCTATGAAAATAAGTGAGTTGAATGTGTGTAAATAGGCCTTTAAATGGACCACAAATATTTGTACAAATTCACGATAAAAGAATATGCTATTGTAAAATATATCCAGATACTTTACCGTCAAAAACGATAATCAGAAGTAATGTTTATGTTGTTCTGTTCATATATTCTGTCTAAATAATGAGTTATTCATAAACGTGTGCAAAGGTCGTTTTAATTACGCATAAAAAATGATTATTTTCCGGTATATGTCAAGTTGAATAAAATTAAGAAATACATTTTGAAAAATACATGATGATTAAACGATGTAAACAACAATTTCCGATGTGAAACCTTCACATGAGATTTAAGTCTTTTTTAAGATTTTATTTTACAAAAATAGCACTTGTAAATAAACGGAAGCATAAACTTCCTATTGAATAATGAATATTTATATAATATATAAATATCAACTAAAAATTACTTGTTGAAAATTATTCATACATTTCGTCATCTCCCGGCTGAAATAGCATTTAATATAATTAAAAATATAAGTTCAAAAAATTTAAACGGAATAGACAGAAAAATTTGAAAACACAAGTATGATTTAAACATCCTATTAGAAAGCAATAAATTAGAGATGGTGATGGCTTTGAAAGTATTCTGGCCTAGAACCAGATCAGTTGTTTTGAAATTTCAAATATCAATAAGAGTATCGAAAAGTAAATCAAGAAAAGAGGGAAGATTTGAAGATGAAATTTTTTCTTGCTATCGGTTTGCCGATACTCGTCTTCGTACTAGAGACCAATTGTAAGTAATGCAATCGTTTGTTTTTGAATATTGGATTGAATTATGCAGTAGAAAATCAATTTGTAACTCGACTATACTAAACCAAAATTTCGAAGCGATCGAAGGTAATAGTTTATGCCATTGCAAAAATAATCGGATTTGCCTCTCACATAGTAAAAATTTTGGTATTCTTGTTCATGATTAAAGAAATTTTTCCTATATTTTTACACACTCTTGGACATATTTTCTGCAAGCATACTTGTCACCCAGGTCTGGTCACAATCAACATTGCAAAACCCTGAAATTTTGAAGGTTCGAAGTAGCAAAACTTGCTTTATATATTTATTGTACATACCGTATTTCCCGGCTGATAAGTCGCTTTTCTATACCCAATTTTTCGGCCTGATTTTGGGGATTTTTCGCAGGAGTCTTCTCAAACATGATTTGTGATAACCTTATATTTAATTCAATATATTTTATCATGTACTCATGACGCCAAAGGGTCTGCCAATCATGATATTTGATTAACTTTGCACTGGCAGCTATTATTTGTCATATTCTTTTTAAAAACTCTCTTGTTGTAATCACAACTGGCTGGTGTCATGAAGCACTCCCTATTTACGCCCGCCCGTTATTATCGGTACTTTAAAGAGAGAACAAGGCCACCGAGATAAAAAGATTTATTCCGTTTCGCTGATTCCACGGAATACGACACGACAAGAAAACACAGCTGTTAACAAACCCATGGAGTGTACCTATTACACCCTATTCAAAGGCTATTCCAACGTTCGGGTTAATAGTTTGTTCAAAATGATTGCTTTTTAACTTAAAATTACCACTTCATTATTAAGAATAGTTAATTCTGTGAGTATGATTCTACCAAATAAATATGATCTGGTTCTTACCATATAAAATTATTAGCGCATATTAGTGTTCAACTGACCAACAGAGAAGCAATTTTCCAACCCGTCTTATTGGAGGGCTATATAGAAAAACCCTCTTTTTTATTGCTAAAAATAGACATCGTCTTATTTGCCGGGTAGACTAATTAGCCGGGAAATATGGTATATAGAATGCTATATCATAAATAGATTGTGTAAGTGATAAGATCTTACCCGCTCGTGCTAAAAAAAGGCAATATCATTTTTTTGACAAACTAAGCCAATAACTTGTGAATTTATATTTCAAAGACTTGCAGCACACTGAAACGAAGTTCCTAAATGTAGTATTGCATGCGTTGAATGCTGTTTTCGACAAAGAATAATTGCCGTGTTTTTGCAACAATTTCCGTTATTATTAAATGATGCGGATGTAATGTAACATATAGACAGCGTTGTCCGTAAAAACATGCCAATGTAGTTTGAGAAGCCAATGCGAAGCAAACTTCAACCTCAAGATAGAGGAATGCGAGAGATATGCCGGCCTAACTTGGATAGCTGTGTAGGTCGAAGTGGTTTCCGTACATTTGAACCCACGTACATCTGAACCCATGACAATTGCACCTGTATACTATTGCACCGATGGAAGTTTTTTTGTTTCACGGATATTTGAACCCATACTGCCCCATGGGTTTTAGCACCCTCTTATAGATTGAACACGCGGATATACACATGGGTTCAAATGTACGGTCAACGTCGAAATATATAGTTTGCAAATCCGGCGCTCGGAGATGAGCGATAACTGAAGAGTTCTAGTCTACCAGAAGTTCCTGTCCTAATTTTTTTTTGCTCTGCCTTAGACCAATGGTCGGCTGAGCGTAATAGTAAAATTCGCACCGAAAGAGTAATTATTGAAGGCTTGTTATCGTGGAGTTATTTACGCAGGCGCTTGAATGTTGTTACAGTTTTTCGCCCTACGCCTTATTCTATTTAAATTTAACTTCTGAAATGATTTGGGGCTTTTTTTATATATCGTCACGCTAATAACCGAATTGCGTAAGTCATTTTTAGCAGTTTTGAGAAAAACGTAAAAAACTTCCTAATGATTTTGTTATGCAATTGAGAGTCTATAATTTGCCATGGTTCAATTTTTTGATCGTAGCCGGATTTAAGTTAATTTGTATGACGCAGTTAAGTGACGTCATAATGGCGCACTGTGACTTAGGCAGAAATGTGTCTATGACTTGGTGACATACGCAATTTGCAACTTCACTATATACACCAGTCCTGAAAACTAAACATTCCAAAAACGAATGTAATTCTCAGTATCTACAATGTCTAATCCCCAAAATAGCTAATCAGTTTCAATTAAATCATTTTTTATGTTTAAAAATATATATTTCATCAATATAACACGTTCTGCACACCCACCGAAATAAGACTAAGATTAAATATAAAGAATAAAACAGCAATGCACCTAATATAAAAGCCAACCAAGGTAAATTTGACTCGGACAGTGAATATCACAAGTGTACGTCTTCCTATACTGTAGTAAAAATTCAAATTAATACGCGCTAAGCTAGAATCCGAGATGCAAAAACTCGAAAATACTTCGCCGAGGTTATTTTGCCTTTGTGACGTCACAATAGTACTGCGATAACAAGGATAATTCATTATGACGAAACAATTGCACAAATGTGCATGTCATACTAAATCTCCATTTTTATGGGTTTCGGAATTCCTAAAATAAAATCTGAGTTAACAGACAGATGCCCAGCATTACATAAATACCTATTTTATAAAAAACTCAAAATCGCCAAAAATGACTTACGCAATTCGGTTATTAGCGTGACGATATGTGATACTTATGGGCGTATGTTCTCTCATCATATTAAATAGAAACGATTATTTCAACGCTTTACTTTCATTATGTATTTCAGGCGAAGAAGCGTCGAACAAACTGACATTAACCGAACACGATGAATTTGATGATCTCGAAGGTCAGAAAAATTATATATGCACTTGTTAAAATATGTTAATGAACTTTCAAACAAATTGATTCCTGTGATGGCACGTACAACCGATTGAAGTTCCCGGATTAACACGGGAATATAATAGGAGTCATTCGGCCGCAAATACCGCAATCTCCACTTATTATTGTCAATTAGAACTCCTGTTCAGCAAGTTGCAAATTTTGCCTTCATCGGCTTCAAAGCTGTGAAAATCAAGTCGGTTTCATCGCAATTCGTAGTCCTGCCGCTGGTCTGTGTAATATATTTTTATTTATACAAATCACAGATAACAATTTTAATGAATTGCGGCCAAAATTTTAAACAAATATATATTACTATGCATTTTTGACCACGACCAGAAATAAAATAACGTATGTAAGTTCAAATGCACACTTTAAACAGAAATCGATTAGTAATCAATTAAATTTGCGTAATATGATAATAATGTGTAAATAGTTAATGATAAAGTCAATGTCATTTTTGGATTTTCCTATATATTTTGTCCCTAGTTTTCGATATGTTTTGGAATAAGAATTTATGTTTTGTTTCGTTTTAAATTTTACAGAATCTCGTGAAAAGCGCTGTGAGTATTAACGTCTATACCTGAAAAATGTTTTAGATTATTTCTTTATTTCATTTTATTATAAGTTGGTTAAGGTATACTTAAATACTCAGTGTTTACTAAAAACTGCCAAAGATGAAGCTTACTGCGAAAAAAACTTATTGTGATTTCTATAACCTTTTGGACATTTCTTGGCTGTAAACTACAATCGACTATTCAACAAATTAAACTTGATGTTGTTTTTTAAATGTTATTAAAAGTGTTCGAAAATATACGACTAATTTCTATTTATGAGTTTACTTTTAATAATTTTTACATTTAATACTTTAAATTAATTTCATAATTTGTGCCGCAAACATATCGATTGCACATAAGCAACATATGCAATGACCATCCACTGTTGTGCTTCACAACATTCATCCATAACAGAATTTTTAGTTTTTTTTTTTTCAAAATGCGTTTGATTTATTTTCACTCAAAGGCTACGTGTCTTAGGCATTCAAATAATAATGTATAATTGCGAAAAATAATGTAGGGTGGCGGCAAGTATTATTGCTTGCATCATAAATTAGCCATAATATGTACAAATTATTTATATATATCTTATTAGATAAATTCTCCCTCTTTTCATTATTTTGGAATTTTAGAAATATATATATATGATATATTATGGTCAATCCAATATATGTTGAACACAATGGTGGAATTCAATTTTTTGTTAGCCGATTCCATCACAAAAGTCCTATTTTTCAGTCGGTTCTGTTACAAACATCCAACAGAGCATTGGCGGTAACCAGTAATGCTAACCGGTTCGCTGATCTCATAAAATTCCGTGAGACGGTTCTATAGAACCGGTGCAAACACAACGAAAGCTAGCAGCAGTAATTTAAAAAAAGTGTATTTTGTGCCTGTATCTATACTAGCATACATCTATAGCATCTTGATGAACGATAGTTGAAAAGTTTACAGAATGCTGCAAACTTTCTATCTATGGAACAGCGCTCTGCAGACTACACAACATGCAGTTGTCGTCTCTATCGGCTCTGATAAATTATTCTAACCTATATTTTAGCTGCATTTGCATACAATTCGATCGGCTGCTTTAAAGATACAGGACGCAGAGCAATACCCCAGGCTGATGGTCGTTTTCCAACATTGAAAGGAAACTATCAAAGACGTTCAAATGCGATTCAGAAATGTGCAAAGGTCGCTTCAGATAAAGGATACAAAGTCTTCTCAGTTCAGAATGGAGGATGGTAAGATTAAAAATTGGCTTTATTATAGAAATGACTTCTTGTTGGGCACGAAATGGAACTGAGCACTGCTTTGTTAAATTCTCATTGTTGCTGTCAAAAATGCGTTTCTCTCCAACTACAGACTATTTGCTTTAAAATTTTCAGTGGTTAAAGATTGTTGTTGTCGCTAGAAGACTACTACCGATAATTATTTCAAAACTTTCTGTGGGCTTTATAGGATTCGTTTTTCCAATTTGAAGTTTTGTAGGATGACGTCATCGAAATTAAGAATTGCGCTTGGTGTGGCGGTTCCGCGATAGCATTTCAGCAAACTGGTGGCCAGTGAAGTTAAGAGTTCTTGATAAGGTTCTGTGAAAAATTTAGTATTACTTCGTATTAGCCTTCGTGTCCATATGTTTGAGTATTGCTTTTCTTGTTAAACTTATGAATTTATTATAAGGTGTGCAACTGGCCCTAACGCTCATACAACATATAACAAATACGGACCTTCAAATGCTTGCAAAGGTGATGGTAAAGGCGGACCTTGGGCGAACCAAGTTTACGGAGTGAATGGATGGAGGCCAGGTATGATGTTACGCGGTCCATAAACACAGAAGATGTCGAAATAGTAAACACTAATGAAAACATTATATCCATTGTTAAAGTCTGTTTATTTATGCAATCTAAAAATCTAGTTATCTTATTACAAAACAATCATTGACAAAATTGATCATGAACTTTGTATTTATTTGCAGGAGAAAAGATATCTCATGAAACAAGTAAGTGACTCCTCAAAATATTCCAAGTTTAACCAAAAGTTTAACTCCTATCACTTGATAAAATTCGTTGTTTCCATGTTATAGAGTACAACTAATTTAAGTTGATTTTCAAGAAAACACATAGTATGTTATGATAATATTTTGCCTTTTGGATTTTCTTAATAATGATTTTTGCAAAAGGTCAACGCATTACACGAGTCTCATACTTTATTTTAATTCTTGATGCAAAACGAACGTAAATTGCTCTTACTCATTAATGATTTTGTGGTTTAAATCCAACTAAGAGTGTCGTTTGGGAAATATCATTGGCAATATGGGAGCTGCACTGATTTTGAATTATAATTTTTTCATTCCGCAGGCTCTTCATTCAAGTTTGCATCAATCGGTTGCTTCAAAGATACAGGACGCAGAGCAATACCACAGGCTGATGGTCGTTTTCCAACATTGAAAGGAAACTATCAAAGACGTTCAAATGCAATTCAGAAATGTGCAAAGGTCGCTTCAGATAAAGGATACAAAGTCTTCTCAGTTCAGAATGGTGGATGGTGAGATTTAAAGTTGGATTTATTTTAGAAATGGCTTCTCGTTTATATTTCAAAATGCACGTTGTTGTATTTTAATAATTGACTTCTCAATATCGGAATAGATGAATAATCATATCGTACAAATTTTATTAAGTTTTATTGGCTGTCTGTACTTATATGGTACTCTATACAAAGATGATAAAAAAGGATTATTATAATAATGAATGAATTTTGCAGGTGCGCCACTGGCCCTAACGCTCATACAACCTATAAGAAATACGGACCTTCAAACGCTTGCAAAGGTGATGGTAAAGGCGGACCTTGGGCGAATCAAGTCTACGGAGTGAATGGATGGAGGCCAGGTAAAATGTCACATAGTTTATAAACATATATTTCGGAATATGAAAAAGTGTGACATAAATATTTTATTTGTTATTAAAGTCATGCAATCTATACAGGATAAACACAAATAAACATTAAATTTATTTTTCATATTCATTCACAGGCGGACAGATATCTTTTGAAACGAGTAAGTAAAGTCTTTATTGTTGACTTTGTTGTTATATTATATTTTCTTCTCTAATAAATTAAGGAATATATGAAACTTTTACATACATTTACAATGTCCATTATGTATATAACTACGCTTCATTGTTATATTATATTACTTGCAATAATTAAAACTTTGATGCGGTCTCAATATATATTAATCATCAAACGTAAATCAGTCGATCAAGTTATTCACTGTAGATTGTTTTTATCCACATTTTCTTAACAAAAGAAAAGTTAGTTTATTTTCAAAATAAATCATTTACAATGGCCCTGAATTCAGTCGGATTATAATTGACGAGTATGAATTAGATGAGAGTAGCATAATCTGTTTCCACAAAGTAGCTAATTTATCTAGAATTAGAACAGACCGGAAAAATTCATATTTTATACCACATGTGTATTTCGATGGCGTCTGTTTAAAAACGAAGTATAATCATACATATCATGCTGAACTCTCAAAATTTCGATGTCAATATGTTTGAAAGTCCGATTGCAATTAGTTTAAGAAGACCACCGCAAATAACTTTAAGTTGAATAAAATTGTTCATGTATTTAGTAGGGGATTTTATATAATGAATCTGTTACATTTCACAGGCTCCTCATTCAAGTATGCATCGATCGGTTGCTTCAAAGATACAGGACGCAGAGCAATACCACAGGCTGATGGTCGTTTTCCAACATTGAAAGGAAACTATCAAAGACGTTCAAATGCGATTCAGAAATGTGCAAAGGTCGCTTCAGATAAAGGATACAAAGTCTTCTCAGTTCAGAATGGTGGATGGTGAGATTTAAAGTTGGCTTTATTTTAAAAATGGCTTCTCGTTTATATTTCAAAATGCACGTCGTTTTATTTTTAAAATTAACTTCTCAATATCGGAAAAGATGAATAATCATATCGCACAAATTTTATTAAGTTCTATTGAGTCTCTCTATTTTTGTGGTATTCTATACAAAGAGGGTAGAAATGGATTATTATAAATATGAATGTATTTTTCAGGTGCGCCACTGGCCCTAACGCTCACACAACCTATAAGAAATACGGACCTTCAAATGCTTGCAAAGGTGATGGTAAAGGCGGACCTTGGGCAAACCAAGTGTACGGAGTGAATGGATGGAGGCCAGGTAAGATATCACATAGTTTATCAACATATATTTCGGAATATGAAAAAGTGTAACATAAATATTTTATTTGTTATTAAAGTCATGCAATCTATACAAGATAAACACAAATAAACATGAAATTTATTATTCATATTCATTCACAGGCGGACAGATATCTTTTGAAACGAGTAAGTAAAGTCTTTATTGTTGACTTTGTTGTTATATTATATTTTCTTCTCTAATAAATTAAGGAATATATGAAACTTTTACATACATTTACAATGTCCATTATGTATATAACTACGCTTCATTGTTATATTATATTACTTGCAATAATTAAAACTTTGATGCGGTCTCAATATATATTAATCATCAAACGTAAATCAGTCGATCAAGTTATTCACTGTAGATTGTTTTTATCCACTTTTCTTAACAAAAGAAAAGTTAGTTTATTTTCAAAATAAATCATTTACAATGGCCCTGAATTCAGTCGGATTATAATTGACGAGTATGAGTTAGATGAGAGTAGCATAATCTGTTTCCACAGAGTAGCTAGTTTATGTAGAATTAGAGCAGACCGGAAAAATTCATATTTCATACCACATGTGTATTTCGATGGCGTCTGTTTAAAAACGAAGTATAATCATACATATCCTGCTGTTATGTATTGCCAAGAGTAAATTAATAAAACTCTCAAGATTTTGATGTCAATATGTTTGAAAGTCCGATTGCAATTAGTTAAGGAGGACCACTGCAAATAACTTTAAGTTGAATAAAATTGTGCATGTATTTAGTAGGGGATGTTATATAATGAATCTGTTACTTTTCACAGGCTCCTCATTCAAGTATGCATCGATCGGTTGCTTCAAAGATACAGGACGCAGAGCAATACCACAGGCTGATGGTCGTTTTCCAACATTGAAAGGAAACTATCAAAGACGTTCAAATGCGATTCAGAAATGTGCAAAGGTCGCTTCAGATAAAGGATACAAAGTCTTCTCAGTTCAGAATGGAGGATGGTAAAATTTAAAATTGGCTTTATTTTAGAAATGGCTTCTCGAATATATTTTAAAATACAAATAATTCTATTATCAATCTGAACTTTTCAATGTCAGAATAGATAATAATAATTTTTTATTGCGTTCTATTGAGTGTCTGTATTTTTGTGGTACTCTATACAAAGAGGGTAGAAAGGGATCATTATAAACATGAATGTATTTTTCAGGTGCGCTACTGGCCCTAACGCTCATACAACCTATAAGAAATACGGACCCTCAAACGCTTGCAAAGGTGATGGAAAAGGCGGACCTTGGGCAAACCAAGTTTATGGAGTGAATGGATGGAGGCCAGGTAAGATGTTGCACAGTTTATAAACATAGATATCGAGATATATAAAAGAGTAATTTAAATATTATATTTATATTGATGTCCCTTTATTTATAAAAAACGGGCACAAACAAACATGAAATTAATTATTCATATTCATTTACAGGCGGACAAATATCTTTTGAGACGGGTAAGCAAAGTTTCTATTCTTTTGAATTCTTAATATTCTGATTGTATCCCAAACATAACCGTATACACGTTCAATAATTTCCCTCCTACTTATATTTGTTGTTGCACTAACTTTTTGTGTACGAATTAGATCAAACTATACTATTATTTTCTCTTGTAATACAAAAAAAAAATAAATTAAAATTTAATAAATACATTACACAATGTGTAATTATATATATAACTACCCCGCTTATTTGTTGTATAATCATTATAAACAATTTTGAAATCATAGTCAATTCGCAAGAGTAAAGGTATTTTTCGAACAAATTTATACGATATGAACTCAATTTATGCCTGAATATGATTAACAATTCAAAGGTAGAACATACAGGAAAAGAACTAATCATACTCGAAAACATCAACCCTGTGTCATTTGGTTGATGTCAATTTAAAACCGTGGCACTGATAACACACCTGCAGACGTTATTTATCAAAAAGTCAATCCAAAATCCAAGGATTTCGTCGTTACTATGGTTAGAAGTCTTACAGCAAATAGCTTCATATAATCTGAAGTTTTTTATGTTGTGCGCGTATTTATTTGTATTTTAAACTTTATGTTTTCATTTTACAGGCTCTTCATTCAAGTATGCATCAATCGGCTGCTTCAAAGATACAGGACGCAGAGCAATACCACAGGCTGATGGTCGTTTTCCAACATTGAAAGGAAACTATCAAAGACGTTCAAATGCGATTCAGAAATGTGCAAAGGTCGCTTCAGATAAAGGATACAAAGTCTTCTCAGTTCAGAATGGTGGATGGTGAGATTTGAAGTTGGATTTATTTTAGAAATGGCTTCTCGTTTATATTTCAAAATGCACGTCGTTTTATTTTTAAAATTAACTTCTCAATATCGGAATAGATAAATAATCATATCGCACAAATTTTATTAAGTTTTATTGTCTGTCTGTACTTATGTAGTACTACTCTATACAAAGATGATAAAAAAGGATTATTATAATCATGAATGAATTTTGCAGGTGCGCCACTGGCCCTAACGCTCATACAACCTATAAGAAATACGGACCTTCAAACGCTTGCAAAGGTGATGGTAAAGGCGGACCTTGGGCGAATCAAGTCTACGGAGTGAATGGATGGAGGCCAGGTAAAATGTCACGTAGTTTATAAACATATATTCCGAAATATAAAAAACAATAACATAAATTATTATGTGTTGTTAAATTTTGTCAATCTATTTATAAAAGATAGACACGAATAAACATGTAATTAATTATTCATATTCATTCACAGGCGGACAGATATCTCTTGAAACGAGTAAGTAAAGCCTATATCTTTGTTATATTATATTATCTTATCTAATGAATGAAGAAGTATAATGAAGTTTATACATACATCACACAATGCCAAATTATTAATATAAGTACGCTTCATTATTATAATATTATATTACTTGCAATAACTTAAACTTTGAAGCGGTTTCAATATTTAATAATCATCAAACGTAAGTCAGCCGATAAATGCACCGTAAACAGTTTTATCTACATTTTATTAACAAAAGAAAAGTTTTTTTAAATGAAGTATTTCACAATGACCTTGAATTCAGTCGGATTATAATTGATAGGTATGAATAAGATAAGGATAAGATACTCAGTATCCACGAAGTATCTAGTTTATTTAGAATTGAAACAGAGTGGAAAAAAGTTATATTTAAGATCACGTGTGTGTTTTGGTGATGTCTGTTCAATATGAAGTATGATCATACATATCCAGATGTTATTCATTGCCAAGAATTAAATCAATAAAAATCTCTAAATTTCGATGATAACGTGTTTAAAAGTCTGATTGCAATTAGCTTAAGAGGACCATTGCAAATAACTTGAAGTTGAATAAAATTGTGTATTTAGTTGTTTTTCAAAATAAATCATTTCACAATGACTTTTTATTTAGTCGAATTATAATTGACAAGTATGACTGATATAAGGATAACATTTCCACGAAGTAGCTAGTTTATTTAGAATTGGAACAAACCGAAAAAATCATATTAAAGACAACATCTGTATTTCGGTGATGTCTGTTTGAAACGAAGTATAGTCATACATATCCTGCTGTTAATTATTTTCAAGAGAAAATCCCTACTAACTCAACATATCGATAATAATATATTTGAAAGTCCGATTGCAATTAATTTGATAAGGATGAATGAAAATACTTTGAAGCCGTTTTATGTTGTGCATGTACTCAATTGTTGTACTTTAAACATTTTTTTTGCATTTCACAGGCTCCTCATTCAAGTATGCATCGATCGGTTGCTTCAAAGATACAGGACGCAGAGCAATACCACAGGCTGATGGTCGTTTTCCAACATTGAAAGGAAACTATCAAAGACGTTCAAATGCGATTCAAAAATGTGCGAAGGTCGCTTCAGATAAAGGATACAAAGTCTTCTCCGTTCAGAATGGTGGATGGTGAGATTTATAGTTGATTTTAATAAAAAATAGATTTTTGCTTAAAATATTGTTGTATAACTGCTTTTTCCGGGGTGAATATCTCTTCACTCAAAAAGATATGTTCACATCGCACCAACTTTATTAGGTAGTGATCAGTGTAAATTTTATTCACTATTCTATATGCATACAACAGAAAGACCTTTCTATTCCTTCATTTATATCTTACTTTCAGGTGCGCTACTGGCCCGAACGCACATGAAACCTATAAGAAATACGGACCCTCAAACGCTTGCAAGGGTGATGGAAAAGGCGGACCTTGGGCAAACCAAGTTTATGGAGTGAATGGATGGAGGCCAGGTAGGATATAACATAGCTAATAAACATATAAACATAGATATCGAGATATATAGAAGAGTAATTTGAACAATTATTTTATATTGAGGTCCCTCTATTTATATAAAATGAACACAAACAAACATGAAATTATTCATTCATATTTATTCACAGGTGGACAAATATCTTTTGGAACAAGTAAGCGAAGTCTCTATTTGTTTAAACTCTTAATATTCTGATCGTAACCAAAACATAACCATATACACGTTTATTATATTTCATTTTACCTAATTTCGGACGCATTGCATTAATTTATTTTGTAGGTATCAAACTATACTGGTATCTCCTCTTGTGATAAAAGAAGAAATAAATTGAAATTTATAAATACATTACATCATAGCTAATTGCGCATACAACCTTGCCTATTTGTTGTATTATTTTAGTCGCAATAATTCCAACTTTGACACGCTATTAGCATACATTAACCATCCATATCAAATTAGCTGAACAAATTAATTATTAAGAACAACTTTGAATTCGCAGTCAACTCGCCAAAATAAAGTTGATTTTCGAACAAATTTATACAATATCAACTTAATTTCTGTCAGATTATGATCAACAATTCAAAATTATAACACGCGGGAAATAAACGAATCATACTCAAAACAAACATCATACTCATCTATATCAAATTAGCTGACCAAATTGAATATTATAAACAATTTTGAATTTGTAGTCGATTCGCCAAAGTGACGTTATTTTTCAAACAAATTTATACGATATCAACTTAATTTCTGAAAAAACAAATCATACTCAGAACATATCAAACTTGTGCAATTCGATTGGTGTATATTTGAAACCATGGCACTAATAATACGCCTACAGTCGTTCATTGGAAAAAGTCTATTCAAAGACCTAGTAGTTCGTCGTTACTATGACTAGAAGTCTGATAGCGAGTAGCTTCATAAGAGAACGGCAAACAGTTTGAAGGTATTTACGTTGTCCGCTTATTCATTTGTATGTTAAACTTAAATTTTCAATTTCACAGGCTCCCGTAACAAATATGCATCAATCGGCTGCTTCAAAGATACAGGAAATAGAGCAATACCACAGGCTGATGGTCGTTTTCCAACATTGAAAGGGAACTATCAAAGACGTTCAAATGCGATTCAGAAATGTGCAAAGGTCGCTTCAGATAAAGGATACAAAGTCTTTTCAGTTCAAAATGGAGGATGGTACGAGTTAAAGTCGACCTTTTTTAGAAATTGCTTTTTATCTATATTTCATAATACAAATAATCTTATTTCTAAAATCCGTCTTTTCGTATCAAAACGGATAGGTATTCATACTGCATCTGTTTTATCTAATTTTTTTGAGTCCTTGTATTTATCTAGTACTGCAATACTCCATAGTACAAAACAGAGGGTAAATATTTCACTTGCAAATGTATTTTTCAGGTGCGCCACTGGCCCTAACGCTCACAAAACCTATAAGAAATACGGAACTTCGAAAGCTTGCAAAGGTGATGGTAAAGGCGGACCTTGGGCGAATCAAGTTTACGGAGTGAATGGATGGAGGCCAGGTACGAACAAGATAATGAAAACATTTCTGAAATACTTGAAAATAGTATTTTTCTCTAGGTCGACTTCGTGGCAAACTTAATTATCAATGATTTAAATTTGACTGGGGGGTCGATTTCAATTGGCAGCGAAAGTGAAGGCAAGTAAATTTTCAATGAATTGTATATATTAGATGAAAAATTTTCACAACATAAAATAAGATGAAGTTCGCAAATCATGGTGCTTGACAAATAGGAGGCTAATTGTGACATTGATAAAGTGTCCCCATGTGTTTCAAAAAAGGCATAAAATATTTTGATAAAATATCGGGGACTCATAGCAGTAATGACTCAGCCTTCCCAGTATCATTAACAGAAAGTTTGAAATGGATTTATCCATTCGTATGTATAGAGTTTAAAAGTATTGTCATTTACAGATTTTGACATAAATGTATATTGATTTAATCGAAGGAAAATCTTTTCATTTAACAGGAGGAATGATTTCCATCGGCGGAGAAGGTGGAGGTAGGTGAAATTAATGACATTGTATTTAGTATTTCAATTTTTTTCATATAAAATAGGAGAGATGGGCGCGTTAGTCTTCAAGAAAGCAATATTTCCCCAGCAGCAGCACGAACAAAACAACAATCAAGCAAAACTATCAATAGATCTCCTTCCCGTAAAATATGTATTTACTTTATTTTACCATGGCTACATATGTATCTCGAACATATCTCACATACAATCACTACCTGAATCATTGTACAGCACCCTTGTCAGGTATAATCCCTACTATAGTATCTCGGATATTTACAGAACAATATTTATGGAGAGTTGTGAATTGTATTGAATCGTATAAATAATAAGAAAACTTTTAACCATACCACTCTCATTATAAATAACTGTAAAGAAATTGAGCATACAATGTTCATGTAACAGAGTCATATTATTATGATCTGATAAGAACAGGAAATGACTAATATATTTGCAATGTTATTTTCAGAGTTTGACGGACTTATGCGTGAGTACATTATAAAAAGAAAAGTTTTGTTACGTTTGATTTGATCTAAATCACACACATTAATTTGATCTCATTTATTTTTAGATATTTCTTCGGGTAAGCAAAATGTTTTAATATCAAATGGCACTGTAAACATTCTGTGATGCTAAAATAAAGTTTTTGTGCTTATCACACTTGAAAATCATGTTGTGGATAGTTTAGTTAGCAGAACCAATATATTTTTTTAAATTTTGAATGAAACGTCCATGTAAAATAGATGTTGTAATATAATCGTTACGTAGTTGCTATATAAATTGAAAATGCAATGTGAATTCAGAAGCTACAAAATGTAATTTTTTAAAACTTTAAATTACTTTTTAATATAGGAAATACTGTTGGCGAACCTACAGGCAAGCATTTAGTCATTTACCTTTTTATCTTAGTGAATATATTTATAAATTGACAATACATGTAGTTGTCGATACATCAAACCTACAATGCTTCGACGCGTTTGAATTGAACATTTACAAAGTTCAAAGAAAGCAAAGAGTTGTTCTGTGTCTCCATATTTATTCACGACTTAAAATATGTGCAAATTTCATAGGCTGGTAAAGGCCAAAATTCTAGAAACCTAATTTTGTAGATCGATTGAAAATCTGCTTCAAATATTGGTGAATCGTGCGAAATTTAGGAGGTTACCCTAATGGCGCGTTTAAGATTATTGTAAAGAGACAGATAAATAATTTTCGAGATGGTGACAGACATTTCAATTACTTTTATTTTTAGCCGTTTTTTTTTACATAATGATCAATAGGCTAATTGAATATAAATCCTTCCGAACTTTTTATTTGAATATATTAAAGAATCGGTTGCTACAAAGACACAGGAAACGGATCGCATGCAGATAGACATTTACAGATTTTGACAGAAATGGAATTTTCTTTAATCGACATTGTTAAAAATGTAACTAACAATCTTTTCATTTAACAGAGGGGAGATTTCAATCAACGGAGAAGGTGAAGTAAGCGAAATTTAATGACAATGTATTTATTGTAGAAAATATACGTGTAAAATAATAAGCTTGGTCCGTTAACTGCTGAGAAAAGCAATATCCTCTCAACAACGACATGAACAGCAGCAAAACTAATATAGCAACACTATCAATAGGGACAATTTGCGTACATCCATCTGCTTTATTTTACTATGGCTACACTACATATGTATTTGAAACATATCCTACATACAATTACTGCACAAACCCTTGTATTGAGTTATCAAGTATAATCTCAACTATAGTAACTTAGATATTATATTCACACCACATATGCAGACAGTCTCAACGCTACGATTAATTATGATACGTTGTCACTTTGTATGGAATCGTAATGCTAATAAAAAATCTTTCGATCGTATCACTCACATTATGAACAACTTTGAAGAAACTGTGCATACAATGTTCATGTTATAGGGTCATATATAAAAATAATATATTAACAATATCATTTTTAGAGTTCGACGGTCTTATGCGTGAGTATACTCATAAAATGAAGATTTTTTCTTTGTTTATTACAAACATCCACATATTAATTTGATCCAATGTATTTTCAGATATTTCATCCGGTAAGCAACACGCTCAATTCTAATAAATTGTCAAGATCATCTCTGTCGGGTATACTAGGAAACATTTTGCAATGTTAACGGCAAGCCTTACAAATGTTAAGTTCTTGCGCTCAAATAGTCGAAACTCGAAAGGCATATTGAAGATATTTCCTTAAATTCATCATTTTGATAATACAAATGTTGCATAATACTAGAACGCAGTTGCTACTTTAACTAATGTTAAGAATGCAATCGAAAATTGAGAAAATATGTAGTTTAATAAATTTTTAATTTCCCTTTCAAATAGGCAATACCGTTGGTGAAACTACAGGCAAGCATTTATCCTTTTTTACTCTTAGAATTTGATTAGTAAATATGCTAAACTAATTTGACCATACAAGCTCGATAAAACATAAAATATTCAATGATTTGACGCGGTTGAGTTCTATAGAAGAACGTAGCGATTGTAAATTAAAAAAAAGCAGTGAGTTTTGTCTCAATAGATTTCTATGTATTACAAAGGGTGCCAAGACCAAGAGGGGTATTGTCTAGAGCACTTGACCCTTTAGGTTTATTGTAAATCTGCTTCAAATAATAGTTTAAGTAAATTGTGTAAAATTTAAGGGTACTTCGAAAGCACGTTTAACATTAATTAAACGGAACAGACGCCCAATAAATGGTTTCCTAGGTTGGGACAGACGCTTCAGATAAAGTACTTGTATTTCTACCTGGTTAGTGTTGATTGACATTCCTTGCCTTAATATTAAAAAGCTCATTGAACATATATCATTCCGAACTTTTTATTTGATTATACAGTATTGAAATATGAAACAATCGGTTGCTACAAAGACACAGGGAACAGAGCCATACCTCAGGCAGATGGTCGCTTTCCCACGTTGAAAGGAAATTACCAAAGACGTAAAAATGCGATTGAGAAATGTTCCCAAGTTGCTTTGGACAAGGGATACAAAGTATTTGCTGTTCAAAATGGCGGATGGTGAGATTGCTTTACAGATATTTATGAATATTATATTATTTTTACCACATGAAATTCAAATATTTATTGTTAATTTAGCTAGAAGGGAAGTATTGTGTATGACAGCTCTGTAATAATTCGTGCTCTATAGTCTCGGATGAGGGTTAGACAGGCTGTCTCCATTCGTGCCTTATGTCAGTAAGTTTATCTCTCTCAGCAGTGTCAGCTATTTTAGTGATGTCAGCTCTGCTGCATGTCTCTGATGAAGTTATATTTATTTCATGGGGCAAATTAACAGGGAAACTGATGGTGACTGAGTTATAAGTTGAATTGTATGACAAACCCAGCACCATTAAAATAATTAAAAAAGTCATAGCTGACATTTATGATTAGTTGCAATCAGGTACATCACATTTTGATAATGTAGTGAATGGATGACGCAACTACAAACTACTACAAATGTGTACTGTACGCTATTCAAGAAAGAATCATCTTGTTTTTATTATTGGGCCATTTCGTGTGCTGACAAGATTCAAAACTAATATTTTTGGCGCACCATATTTACTTGTTCACTTCCTTGTATTTTATAGCATTTTTCCACTAATTTTACCAGGTGTGCTACAGGACCAAATGCTCATAAAACCTATAACAAATACGGATCTTCCAACGCATGCAAAGGTGATGGTAAAGGTGGACCTTGGGCAAATGCAGTCTACGGCGTCACAGGCTGGAGACAAGGTAACTGAAAGTTTCAGTGCATGATGTTTATTGTTCTATCGGTGCTTTTATCTAAATTCTACATTTGCTTTTACAGAATCTAAACCAGAATGTAAGTATTCAAATCACCAAATTACATCTTCTTCTGCGGAAAACAGAGAAATTAAAATAAAATATAATATACCAATAAATTGAAGCAGTATTCAGGTTCAATTAGATTAGATCAAATGTATCATATACATGTCAAAACATACTGTATGAGTTAAAGTTTAGAAATGCCATAAATTGGTACATTATTCAAACTGGAAGAAAACTTCGATCACCTGACCTAATTATTATACTTATTATACCAATCCCAATGGCTGAAATAACGATAAAAACAAAAACTGACAGCAACACTCGAAGTTGTTGACAAATTAGTTCGTGCCATGGCGACAAAAATGGCTGTAGCGAATTGGTAATTGTATGCAATTTTACTGCAATCGAATAGTTTAATAGTTTTTTTTAGAGCTCTATCACACGCTAACAAAAAGCCATGAGTGAAGCTTTAGGGCCTAATGATTGACAAAAAAATAACCAAAGTAAAATGCCACCAGAACGACCTGCTGGGGAGGGTATTAAAACTTTTGTATACAAACACTAGTTGTGCGAAACATACAACAGGGTAGATTTATATTACCATACCCCTGGGACTTCAATCACTAAAACTAGGAACGGACATAACGGATTTATAATTCAATATAGTCATGCATCACACGTAATGATTCACGTCTAAAATGCTTCTAGCATTTGCAAGCGTTAAGAGTCGTTCTATGTATAAGCCGTGTTATGACCATCAGTGCATTTCTATTTTTGTAATTTTATGAATTCTAATATTTCGTTTAGTTGAAATCGAGAGCGAAATTGCAGGTAACTTGGACTATTTAATGTATTGTATATATTACAAAGATTTTTTTTATGTATTTTAAAGTAATATTAACCGGTTGGTGACACTACGGACCTGAAACGCTTATCGTGACCTATTGAATAACGATGCCTGAATACACACACAATGGATTGTATGTGCTTGAAAAATCTGTCAAATTTTCTCATGTTTTTGAAAATGAATATAATGGCTGGCCTATTTGAGCTACTGCTATAGATCACAACGCATCATGTAGTTTAGTTTGCAAAGGCGTGATAAAAATGAATTGAAATGTGTTTTTACAACAGTACGATACACGTCCATCGGCTGCTTTAGAGACACTGGAAACAGAGCCATTCCTCAAGCAGATGGTAGATTTCCTACTCTGAAAGGAAATTACCAAAGACGAGATAATGCTATTGGAAAATGTGCAAAGGTTGCAGCAGATAAAGGATACAAAGTCTTTTCAGTTCAAAACGGTGGATGGTATGATTGATTTGTGTGCATAAGAATGCCGATAGTTTTCATAAAACAATTTTAAACATAAATCGATATTTCACAAAGTTGTACCGAGGCAGAATGAAGTTTTGCCAAAGTCAGTATTTTGTAAACCACAATTTTTTTTTATGGAACTAGGGCTGCACAACTTCAATCGTATTTGCAAACGACTATAGTGAGTCTATTGTGAAAAGTGAAATAAACTCAAACCGGGGCAACAGAAATTTGACTCAACCTAACTTGTTTCCTAAATTGTATTGTTGGGATCTCTCTTTCCATTAGAATGACCAATGACACTTGTGATTTAAGTGCTAATTTAACTTAACTTATTTTTCAACTTGAAAGGTGTGCCACTGGCCCAGATGCTCATCTTACCTATCAGAAATATGGGCCTTCAAGTGCGTGTAAAGGTGATGGCAAAGGTGGTCCATGGGCAAATGCTGTATATGGTGTGAATGGATGGAAACCTAGTAAGTACTATTTGACGAAAAAAATTTTCTTTCTTTTTTGAATACTTTATTCGTTTCTGTTTTTTTTTTCAATAATTTATTGACGGTTGGCGAGAGCTCAGAACATGATTAAATAGGAGAGTTTCAATAAAGATCATATCATACCTGATCGAAATAATTCATTAATAAGGTGATAAGAATTAAATGCTATCATTAGATTTTTTTACAACACAGTGTATATATAAGTTTGTATAGATTTCGATGGAAACAAAATCGTACGAATAAGGACAAGAAGCCGTATACAAGCTTCGTTTATTAAGCACATTGTGTTGTCACCAAGTTGCATTGCATTTACCTAAGAATAAACATATTGTAATCTTATATTTCAGAACCCCTCGAGAAACGTGAGTAATAAAATTAAGACATAATCAAATTATGAATTAATAAATTAAATTAGCTATGGTCCAACTTTCTAAGAATGTTTTCAATAATCAGGTGAAATATCTGATTGAAATGATAAATGATGAATTTGAATTCTACAAGGAGAGCATATATTACATACATTGAAAATCGTTAATAGATTTAATAATTCTTAATCTAAAGGTTCTAACTCATGCGATATTATAACAATACGGCCCCCACAAGAAAGAAAAAATTGTAAACTTATATGGATTTTGATATCAAATCCATTACACCACGTACTTTAAAATTATCCTGAGTGAATAATGGGCAGTTTTATATACCCTTTCTTATACTGTGGTCTTACACCATGTTTACGAGATCAAAATATTATTTGACATTATGTTTATGCAGTCTCATTTATCGATCTCGGCTGTTGGAGAGACAAAGGTAACAGGGCGATTACTGGAGTTGATACCATACTTACAAAACGATATGGACCTTATACTGCAAGAAAGGAAGCCATACAGAAATGTGGTAATTATGCAAAGAGCAAAGGATATTCAGTATTTGCTGTACAAAACGGAGGTTGGTGTGCGACAAGTATAAACGCAGAAGATACTTTTGACAAGTATGGACCATATTCAACATGTCGAAAAGACGGTGAAGGAGGACCGTGGGGAAACCAAGTTTACAAAATTGTGGAGGAAAACTACCGCGTCAAAAGTGAGCAGATTTACAATTTCTAATAATAATTTATTTAGAAATTAACTTCAATCTGATGTTACAAAAAAAATAAAAATGAAATAATGTTATTTTAGTGCATTTTCGATATATTGGATGTTACAAAGATACTGGCAACAGAGCAATTCCACAAGCTGATGGAAGATTTCAGACTCTGAGAGATAGTTATCAGCAGAGAAATAACGCCGTCAAAAAATGTGCGATGGTAGCTGCATCTCTTGGATATAAAGCGTTTGCGGTTCAGAATGGTGGATGGTATGTGATTGATTTTTATAGAATCTGTGTCAATCGGGTGTTTTATTTAATGTCAAAACACACTGTTTCTGATCAATGTAGGTTCATTGTTTCTAAACCTCGGGGTCAAAGATCATCCTATAACTCGAGTCCAAAGTAAAGTCAATCAATGAGTGAAGTCTCAATAGTGGTTAGATTCATGACCAGCCATTCTATTAGGATGGTTCGAACCACTTATTATAATTGGTTACATAAATGCCACTTCAACTCGAGCCTCCCAACATTGGTTTTGATACTAGCCACGTTGACGATTATTATCACTATGTTTGGCTTTACATGATTATCACATGACCTATATTACATATGGTACGATAAACCTTTGCAGGTGCGCTACTGGCAAGGATGCTCATCTAACATACGGCAAGTACGGGCTTTCATCTAATTGTAAGGAGGGTGGAAAAGGTGGAGTCTGGGCAAATGCAGTATATGCTGTTAATGGATGGATGCCAAGTAAGTGCTGGTAGATGGAAAGATAGGTAAATTAAATTTCCTTTTTCATAGAAATAGAAAAAACTCAGTTTTAATAATCAGTGTGTGTCGTATACAGACATGTATAATTCCTTTAATACGCTGCAGAATGCGCTTGTCTTACATTCTAGCGTAGACGAATAAATAAAGCAATAAGAAAGAGACTGCATCGTTTGTGAAAACCCCCGAAATAGGAAGATACCTTTTATCTTGTTGAAAAACCTGGGGTAAAACTCAATGAATGTATGTGATTTTATTGACTTTACAGTCTCTTTGGTTGATCTTGGTTGTTGGAAAGACACAGGGAATCGAGCAATACCAAGTGCTGATCACATACTGGCCAAAAAGTTCGGTCCATACCAATCAAGAGTCGGTTCCATACAAAAATGTGCTCAATATGCCAAGAGCAAAGGATATTCAGTATTTGGTGTACAAAACGGAGGTTGGTGTGCGACAAGTAAGAACGCAGAAGATACTTTTGACAAGTATGGACCTTATTCAACATGTAGACCTGATGGAGAAGGAGGACCATGGGGAAACCAAGTTTACAGAATTGCAGGAAAATCGACTAAAATTGGTGAGATGTTTTGGTTAATTTAAATTTTATCAAGTGATTCAAGTGTCTAGTACGACCAAGAGAATACAGATTCATCAGCACAAAAGCAGAGTAAAAGAGCAGCAGTTGGGAACACGTTACTTTAATTGCTGTTTTTTTGGAAGTTTATATTTTGAAGGACAATTCCGATCTCCGAGTAGCAGAGTGGCGCAGAGGAAGCGTTCTTGGGTCACAATCCAGAGGTCGATGGATCAAAACCATCCTCTGCTAAGACGCTGTGATCGTATAGTGCAGATCGTATAGTCCTTTAGTGCAGGGGATCGTATAGGCAACCTTTTTCGGCTCGCGTGCCAAATCGGCTAAATTTAACGACAAAATTCTCCCGCGTGCCAAAATTAAAAACAGTGTTTTGCTACTTTCAAAGCAAAAATTCACAATTATAAACCGTCTAAATAAGCACAGACAGATTCACTATTCAGGAATATATCAGTCCAACAAATAGATTTGATTACTTTTCTTATTCTATATCAGTGGGATTGGATTACCGCTGATGGAGATTTTACATTGGATTTATATTTTGTATCTTTCAAAGAAATACACAAACTACTGGTTTCAACTTTCAGGCTACTCATATTACGAGACTTATCAAGGTTCATAACTGAGAACAGAGATTTATCAAGCATAATGTAGACGAAAACATGGAGAGTAATACAGTTGCAAAGTTATTAAATAATCAATCATCTGATTATACTATTTTAGCTCTCTTCGCCAATTTTTGTAGCTATGAATCTAAGTTTGATGTGTTTCATATGTGCAAAACAATGTACACACCACAGTTTCGCCCTCAATAAGTATGATGCTTGGCCCGACTATACTGCATGATACAAATGTGAAAAAAATGTCTATTTATATAAACTGCAAGAAGAACATAGTTATGTCGACATTCTAACGCAGATGCTCATTTCTTAAATACACGTCTTTCATAACAGGCTTAAGATATACTTCGATCGGATGCTTCAGAGATACAGGAAATAGAGCGATTCCTCAGGCAGATGGCCGTTTTCAAACCCTGCGAGATAGTTACCCACAACGTAAGGATGCTATTGCAAAATGTGCAAAAGTTGCAACTGATCTAGGATACAAAGTCTTTGCTGTTCAAAACGGCGGATGGTATGTTGATTCATTGTTTTATATGCTTCACATTATAAGAATATTTATATTGTAGTGTTGTTAATAATTTTGATAACTCCTAATATTCCTTCAGGTGTGCGACTGGTTCTGAAGCTCACATGACTTATCAGAAATATGGACCTTCAAAAGGTTGTAGAAATGATGGTGAAGGTGGACCATGGGCTAATCATGTGTACGGTGTGAATGGATGGAAACCTGGTAAGCATTCACTATATCAAATATACAAACGCTAAACCCTTCTGATGTACTCATTTTTAAATATGTATTTTATTTTGAATTACAGAGGCTCTCAGTAAACGTGAGTAAAACGGTTTTTAAAAATAATATCTTTTGTTTTATTTCAAAATAAACTTCAACATTTGTATGGGATTATTTTAGTTTCACTACTTGATCTCGGTTGTTGGAGAGACAACGGAAACAGGGCGATTCCTGGAGTTGATACCATACTTACAAAACGATATGGACCTTATACTGCAAGAAAGGAAGCCATACAGAAATGCGGTAATTATGCAAAGAGCAAAGGATATTCAGTATTTGCTGTACAAAACGGAGGTTGGTGTGCGACAAGTAAAAACGCAGAAGATACTTTTGACAAGTATGGACCATATTCAACATGTCGAAAAGACGGCGAAGGAGGACCGTGGGGAAACCAAGTTTACAAAATTGTGGGGGAAAACTACCGCGTCAAAAGTGAGCAGATTTACAATTTCTAACAATAATTTTTTTAAAAATTAACTTCAATCTGATGTTACTAAAAAATAAAAATAAATATGTTATTTTAGTGCATTTTCGATATATTGGATGTTACAAAGATACTGGTAACCGAGCAATTCCACAAGCTGATGGAAGATTTCAGACTCTCAGAGATAGTTATCAGCAGAGAAATAACGCCGTCAAAAAATGTGCGATGGTATCTGCATCTCTTGGATATAAAGCGTTTGCGGTTCAGAATGGTGGATGGTATGTGAATGCTTTTATCGAATCTGTGTCAATCGGGTGTTACATTTAATGTCAAAACACACTGTTTCTGATCAATGTAGGTTCGTTGTTTCTGAACCTCGGGGTCAAAGATCATCCTATAACTTGAGTCCAAAGTAGAGTCAATCAATGAGTGAAGTCTCAATAGTGGTTAGATTCATGACCATCCATTCTATTAAGATGGTTCGAGTCACTAATTATAATTGGTTACATAAATGCCACGTCAACTCCAGCCTCCCAACATTGGTTTTGATACTAGCCACGTTGACGATTATTTTCACTAAGTTTGGCTTTACATGATTATCACATGACCTAAATTACATATCACATATGGTACGATAAATGTTTGCAGGTGCGCTACTGGAAAGGATGCTCATTTAACATACGGCAAGTACGGGCTTTCATCTAATTGCAAGGAAGGTGGAAAAGGTGGAGCTTGGGCAAATGCAGTATATGCTGTTAATGGATGGATGCCAAGTAAGTGCTGGTAGATGGAAAGATAGGTAAATTTCCTTTTTCATAGAAATAGAAAAAACTCAGTTTTAAAAATTAGTTCCTGTCGTATACAGACATGTATAATACATTTAATACGCTGCAGAATGCGCCTGTCTTACATTCTAGCGTAGACGAATTAATATAGCAATAGGAAAGAGTCTGCATCGTTTGTGAAAACCCCGAAAAAAGATAATATATTTTTTATTTTGTTGTAAAACCTGGGGTAAAACTCAATGAATGTATGTGATATTATTGACTTTACAGTCTCTTTGATTGATCTTGGTTGTTGGAAAGACACAGGGAATCGAGCAATACCAAGTGCTGATCACATACTGGCCAAAAAGTTCGGTCCATACCAATCAAGAGTCGGTTCCATACAAAAATGTGCTCAATATGCCAAGAGCAAAGGATATTCAGTATTTGCTGTACAAAACGGAGGTTGGTGTGCGACAAGTAAGAACGCAGAAGATACTTTTGACAAGTATGGACCATATTCAACATGTAGACCTGATGGTGAAGGAGGACCATGGGGAAGCCAAGTTTACAGAATTAAAGGAAAATCGACTAAAATTGGTGAGATGTTTTGGTTAATTTAAATTTTATCAAGCGATTCAAGTGTCTAGTACGACCAAGAGAATACAGATTCATCAGCACAAAAGCAGAGTAAAAGAGCAGCAGTTAGGAACACGTTACTTTAATCAATCATCTGATTATATTATTTTAGCCCTCTTTGCCAATTTTTGTAACCATGAATCTGAGTTTGATGTGTTTCTTATGTACAAAACAATGCACACATCACAGTTTCGCCGTGAATGAGTATCATACTTGGCCCGACTATACTGCATGATACAAATGTGAAAAAAATATCTATCTATATAGACTGCAAGAACAACATAGTTATGTCGACATTCTAACGCAGATGCTCATTTCCTAATACATGTCTTTCATAACAGGCATAAGATATACTTCGATCGGATGCTTCAAAGATACAGGAAATAGAGCGATTCCTCAGGCAGATGGCCGTTTCCAAACCCTGCGAGATAGTTACCCACAACGTAAGGATGCTATTGCAAAATGCGCGAAAGTTGCAACTGATCTAGGATACAAAGTCTTTGCTGTTCAAAACGGTGGATGGTATGTTGATTCATTGTCTTATATGCTTCACATTATAAGGAAATTTATCTTGTAGTGTTGTTAATAATTCTGATATCTCCTAATATTCCTTCAGGTGCGCTACTGGTTCTGAAGCTCACATGACTTATCAGAAATATGGACCTTCAAATGGTTGTAGAAAAGATGGTGAAGGTGGACCATGGGCTAATCATGTGTACGGTGTGAATGGATGGAAACCTGGTAAGCATTCACTATATCAAATATACAAACGTCAAAACCTTTTATATGTACTCATTTCTAAATATGTATTTCATTTTGAATTACAGAGGCTCTCAGTGAACGTGAGTAAAACGGTTTTTAAAAATAATAACTTTTGTTTTATTTCAAAATAAACTTCAACATTTGTATGCGATTATTTTAGTTTCACTACTTGATCTCGGTTGTTGGAGAGACAACGGAAACAGGGCGATTCCTGGAGTTGATACCATACTTACAAAACGATATGGACCTTATACTGCAAGAAAGGAAGCCATACAGAAATGCGGTAATTATGCAAAGAGCAAAGGATATTCAGTATTTGCTGTACAAAACGGAGGTTTGTGTGCAACAAGTATAAACGCAGAAGATACTTTTGACAAGTATGGACCATATTCAACATGTCGAAAAGACGGCGAAGGAGGACCGTGGGGAAACCAAGTTTACAAAATTGTGGGGCAAAACTACCGCGTCAAAAGTGAGCAGCTTAACAATTTCTTATAATAATTTATTTAGGAATTAAACTTCAATCTGACGTTACTAAAAAATAAAATTAAATATGTGTTATTTTAGTGCATTTTCGATATATTGGATGTTACAAAGATACTGGTAACCGAGCAATTCCACAAGCTGATGGAAGATTTCAGACTCTGAGAGATAGTTATCAGCAGAGAAATAACGCCGTTAAAAAATGTGCGATGGTAGCTGCATCTCTTGGATATAAAGCGTTTGCGGTTCAGAATGGTGGATGGTATGTGATTGCTTTTATCGAATCTGTGTCAATCGGGTGTTACATTTAATGTCAAAACACACTGTTTCTGATCAATGTAGGTTCGTTGTTTCTGAACCTCGGGGTCAAAGATCATCCTATAACTTGAGTCCAAAGTAGAGTCAATCAATGAGTGAAGTCTCAATAGTGGTTAGATTCATGACCATCCATTCTATTAAGATGGTTCGAGTCACTAATTATAATTGGTTACATAAATGCCACGTCAACTCGAGCCTCCCAACATTGGTTTTGATACTAGCCACGTTGACGATTATTATCACTAAGTTTGGCTTCGCCTGATTATCACATGACCTAAATTACATATGGTACGATAAACCTTTGCAGGTGCGCTACTGGAAAGGATGCTCATTTAACATACGGCAAGTACGGGCTTTCATCTAATTGCAAGGAAGGTGGAAAAGGTGGAGCTTGGGCAAATGCAGTATATGCTGTTAATGGATGGATGCCAAGTAAGTGCCGGTAGATGGAAAGATAGGTAAATTTCCTTTTTCATAGAAATAAAAAAACCTCGGTTTTAATAATCAGTGCGTGTCGTATACAGACATGTATAATACATTTAATACGCTGCAGAATGCGCCTGTCTTACATTCTAGCGTAGACGAATAAATAAAGCAATAGGAAAAACACTGCATCGTTTGTGAAAACCCCGAAATAAGAAGATATTTTTTATTTTGTTGTAAAACCTGGGGTAAAACTCAATGAATGTATGTGATATTATTGACTTTACAGTCTCTTTGATTGATCTTGGTTGTTGGAAAGACACAGGGAATCGAGCAATACCAAGTGCTGATCACATACTGTCCAAAAAGTTTGGTCCATACCTATCAAGAGTCGGTTCCATACAAAAATGTGCTCAATATGCCAAGAGCAAAAGATATTCAGTATTTGCTGTACAAAACGGAGGTTGGTGTGCGACAAGTAAGAACGCAGAAGATACTTTTGACAAGTATGGACCATATTCAACATGTAGACCTGATGGTGAAGGAGGACCATGGGGAAACCAAGTTTACAGAATTGCAGGAAAATCGACTAAAATTGGTGAGATGTTTTGGTTAATTTAAATTTGATCAATTGATTCAAGTGTCTAGTACGACCAAGATAATACAGATTCACCAGCACAAAAGCAGAGTAAAAGAGCAGCAGTTAGGAACACGTTACTTTAATAAATTATCCCATTAAAATATTTTAGCTCACTTTACCAATTTTTGTAATTATCAATCTAAGTTTGATGTGTATCATATGTGCATAACAATGTACACACCCCAGCTTCGTTCTCGTTAAGTATGATACTTGGCCCGACAAAAGTCAACAAAATGTCTATCCATGTACACTTCAAGAAAAACATAGTTATGACGACATTCTAAATTACAGTAAGTGCAGATGCTCATTTCTTAATACATGACTTTCATACCAGGCATAAGATATACTTCGATCGGATGCTTCAGAGATACAGGAAATAGAGCGATTCCTCAGGCAGATGGCCGTTTTCAATCCCTTCGAGATAGTTATCCACAACGAAAGGATGCCATTGCAAAATGCGCGAGAGTTGCAACTGATCTAGGATACAAAGTCTTTGCTGTTCAAAACGGTGGATGGTATGTTAATTTACTGTCTTATGTGCATCATCAGAAATTTTCTATTGTAGCGTTGCAAAAAATTAAATTTTGATATCTCAATATTCCTTCAGGTGTGCGACTGGTTCTGAGGCTCACATGACTTATCAAAAGTATGGACCTTCAAATGGTTGTAGAAATGATGGTGAAGGTGGACCATGGGCTAATCATGTTTACGGTGTGAATGGATGGAAACCTGGTAAGCATTCACTATGTAAAATAAGTACACGTTAAAACTCTATATATATACAGATTGTAAAACTTGTACATTCTTTTTACTTACAGAGCCTCTCAGTGAACGTGAGTGAAATTTTTTATAAAAATGATTCAATTAACAAACAATTTATTTTGAAGAAACATCTAATATTTGTATTTGATTATTTAAGTTTCACTTCTGGATCTCGGTTGTTGGAGAGACAACGGAAAAAGGGCGATTCCTGGAGTTGATACCATACTTACAAAACGATATGGACCTTATACCGCAAGGAAGGAAGCCATACAGACATGTGGTAACTTTGCAAAGAGCAAAGGATATTCAATATTTGCTGTACAAAACGGAGGTTGGTGTGCGACAAGTAAGAATGCAGGAAGTACTTTTGACAAGTATGGACCTTATTCAACATGTCGAAAAGATGGCGAAGGAGGACCATGGGGAAATCAAGTTTACAAGATTGTTGGCAACAATTTCAAAATACGAAGTAGGCGTTAAACAAACTGTTTAAATAATTGATTTTTATTTTTGTGCACTGGTTTTGTTACTTTTCATTCCGGAAAATTTGTCGTTTTTCTATACAATATTTTTATCACAATGATTTAATATTTACATTTGCACAAATAAATTTTAACCTAGCAAAAATCAATAAATTCGTCGTCAAAAATAATACTTCAAAATTTAAAAAGTGCGCTAACAACATAATAGCTCCTATAAATTCCCAACTTTGATTTGAGTAACTTGACCCCATGTAATTTTTTCGACAAAAATGTTCATTTCCAGCTCGCTTCAACTACATTGGGTGTTACAAGGATACTGGGAATAGAGCAATTTCACAGGCAGACGGAAGATTTCAAACATTGAGAGACAATTATAAACAAAGAAGAAACGCAATTAGAAAATGTGCGATGGTGGCTTCATCTCTTGGATATAAAGTGTTTGCTGTTCAAAATGGTGGATGGTAAGAACATCGACATTTAAAACACTGGTATATTTATTTACATTTAATTTCACTATAATGTTCTCTTATAAATAATAGGTGCGCTACTGGCAAGCATGCTCATCTAACATACGGAAAGTATGGACTTTCATCAAATTGTAAGGAGGGTGGAAAAGGTGGAGTCTGGGCAAATGCAGTATATGCTGTTAATGGATGGAAACCAAGTATGTAATTTGTTTGTGAAATACTATTTAAGTGTCTGTTGTTAACTAATTATAATATCGACGTGTGCAAAGTACAAATAATGATTTGATACCTACTAGGTAAAGATGTTCACATATTAATGGTTTTATGTAATTGTCCAAGGTCCACAAACTACGCGATTTTCTGAAGTTGTGGTAATTGCCGAAATATTATCACCCGCAAGTTATAAGTAAATATTCAACTTTTCATGACGTGAAATATTATTCTGATTATGCCGAATTAATCAAATTGTTCATCATCGTGAGCAATTGAGTATATGATTTCATTTTATGCAGTTCAACTAATTGATCTTGGATGTTGGAAAGACACTGCGAACCGAGCAATTTCAAGCGTTGATAAAATATTAGCTAAGAAATTTGGAGCGTATCAGTCTAGAATCGGTTCAATACAAAGATGTGCTCAATATGCTAAGAGCAAAGGATATTCAGTATTTGCTGTACAAAACGGAGGTTGGTGTGCGACAAGTAAGAACGCAGAAGACACTTTTGACAAGTATGGACCCTATTCAACATGTCGAAAGGATGGCGAAGGAGGACCATGGGGAAATCAAGTATACAAGATTGGAAACCCAACAAAGCAAGGTATTAGATCATGTTTCAACAACAATATGCTAATTCCGATTTCACGATTTGATTTTTCGTTTTATTTGTTCAACAGTGTCATATGCTTCGATTGGATGCTTCAGAGATACAGGAAATCGAGCGATTCCTCAGGCAGATGGCCGCTTCCAAACCCTGCGAGATAGTTACACACAACGAAAGGATGCTATTGCAAAATGTGCGCGAGTTGCAACTGATCTAGGATACAAAGTCTTTGCTGTTCAAAACGGCGGATGGTATGTTAATTTACTGTCTTATATGCTTCACATTATCAGAAATTTTCTTTTGCAGCGTTGTAAAATATTGTGATATCTTAATATTCCTTCAGGTGTGCGACTGGTTCTGAGGCTCACATGACTTATCAGAAGTATGGACCTTCAAATGGTTGTAGAAAAGATGGTGAAGGTGGACCATGGGCTAATCAGGTTTACGGAGTGAATGGATGGAAACCGGGTAAGCAGTCACTATGTAAAATAAGTACAAGTTAAAACTATATATATACAGATTGTAAAACTTGTACATTCTTTTTACTTACAGAGCCTCTCAGTGAACGTGAGTGAAATTTTTTATAAAAATAATTCAATTAACAAACAATTTTTTTTTAAAGAAACATCTAATATTTGTATTTGATTATTTGAGTTTCACTTCTGGATCTCGGTTGTTGGAGAGACAACGGAAAAAGGGCGATTCCTGGAGTTGATACCATACTTACAAAACGATATGGACCTTATACCGCAAGGAAGGAAGCCATACAGAAATGTGGTAACTTTGCAAAGAGCAAAGGATATTCAGTATTTGCTGTACAAAACGGAGGTTGGTGTGCGACGAGTAAGAATGCAGGAGGTACTTTTGACAAGTATGGACCTTATTCAACATGTCGAAAAGATGGCGAAGGAGGACCATGGGGAAATCAAGTTTACAAGATTGTTGGCAACAATTTCAAAATACGAAGTAGGCGTTAAACAAACTGTTTAAATTATTGATTTTTATTTTTGTGAAAGTGTGCACTGGTTTTGTCACTATTCATTCCGGAAAATTTGTCGTTTTTCTATACAATATTTTTATTACAATGATTTAATATTTACATTTGCACAAATAAATTTTAACCTAGCAAAAATCAATAAATTCGTCGTCAAAAATAATACTTCAAAATTTTAAAAAGTGCTCTAACAACATAATAGCTCCTATAAATTCCGAACTTTGATTTGAGTAAATTGACCCCATGTAATTTTTTCGACAAAAATGTTCATTTCCAGCTCGCTTCAACTACATTGGGTGTTACAAGGATACTGGAAATAGAGCAATTCCACAGGCAGACGGAAGATTTCAAACATTGAGAGACAATTATAAACAAAGAAGAAACGCAATTAGAAAATGTGCGATGGTGGCTTCATCTCTCGGATATGAAGTGTTTGCTGTTCAAAATGGTGGATGGTAAGAACATTGACATTCAGAGTACTGGTATATTTGTTAGATTTGATTTTACGATATTGGGTTTTCATGAAAATAGGTGCGCCACTGGAAAGGATGCTCATCTAACATACGGAAAGTATGGACTTTCATCAAATTGTAAGGAGGGTGGAAAAGGTGGAGTCTGGGCAAATGCAGTATATGCTGTTAATGGATGGATGCCAAGTGAGTTGGTGATGTTGATGAAAAATTGGAATATCTCGTTAAGTTTTTTTTATTCAGTGCATGGTGTGTATGGTAACAGACGTTTTGTACGTTGTAAGGTTCGACAGTCTCACATCTTGCTCAAGAGAATAAATATAACAATACTGAGAATGCATCCTTTGTAAAAACGCGAGATAGAAACAAGAATATGAAATACAAAATTATTGGTAAATATATTTAATGTTGTTGATCTTACAGTTTCTTTGATTGATCTGGGATGTTGGAAAGACACCGGCAATCGAGCGATACCAAGTGCTGATCACATACTGGCCAAAAAGTTTGGTCCATACCAATCGAGAGTCGGTTCCATACAAAAATGTGCTCAATATGCCAAGAGCAAAGAATATTCAGTATTTGCTGTACAAAACGGAGGTTGGTGTGCGACAAGTAAGAACGCAGAAGATACTTTTGACAAGTATGGACCATATTCAACATGTAGACCTGATGGAGAAGGAGGACCATGGGGAAATCAAGTTTACAGAATTGCAGGAAAATCGACTAAAATTGGTGAGATGTTTTGGTTAATTTAAATTTTATCAAGTGATTCAAGTGTCTAATACGGCCAAAAGAAAATAGATTCACCAGCCCAAAAGCAGAGTGAAAGATCAGCGGTTAAGAACACGTTACTCTAATCAATCCTCTGATTATATCATTTTAGCCCTCTTTGCCAATTTTTGTTATCATTAATATAAGTTTGATATGTGCATAACAATGTACACACCACAGCTTCGTTCTCGTTAAGTATGATACTGTCAACAAAATGTCTATTCATGTACACTTCAAAAAGAACATAGGTATGTCGACATTCTAAATGACAGTAAGTGCAGATGCTCATTTCTTAATACATGTCTTTCATACCAGGCATAAGATATACTTCGATCGGATGCTTCAGAGATACAGGAAATAGAGCGATTCCTCAGGCAGATGGCCGTTTTCAATCCCTTCGAGATAGTTATCCACAACGAAAGGATGCCATTGCAAAATGCGCGAGAGTTGCAACTGATCTAGGATACAAAGTCTTTGCTGTTCAAAACGGTGGATGGTATGTTAATTTACTGTCTTATGTGCCTCACATCATCAGAAACTTTCTACTGTAGCGTTGCAAAAAATTTTGATATCTTGATATTCCTTCAGGTGTGCGACTGGTACTGAGGCTCACATGACTTATCAAAAGTATGGACCTTCAAATGGTTGCAGAAAAGATGGTGAAGGTGGACCATGGGCTAATCATGTTTACGGTGTGAATGGATGGAAACCTGGTAAGCATTAACTAAATAAAATAGGTACACGTTAAAACTCTATATATATATACAGATTGTAAAAATTGTACAATCTTTTTACTTACAGAGCCTCTCAGTGAACGTGAGTGAAATTTTTTATAAAAATAATTCAATTAACAAACAAATTATTTTGAAGAAACATCTAATATTTGTATTTGATTATTTAAGTTTCACTTCTGGATCTCGGTTGTTGGAGAGACAACGGAAAAAGAGCGATTCCTGGAGTTGATACCATACTTACAAAACGATATGGACCTTATACCGCAAGGAAGGAAGCCATACAGAAATGTGGTAACTTTGCAAAGAGCAAAGGATATTCAGTATTTGCTGTACAAAACGGAGGTTGGTGTGCGACGAGTAAGAATGCAGGAGGTACTTTTGACAAGTATGGACCTTATTCAACATGTCGAAAAGATGGCGAAGGAGGACCATGGGGAAATCAAGTTTACAAGATTGTTGGCAACAATTTCAAAATACGAAGTAGGCGTTAAACGGACTGTTTAAATAATTGATTTTTATTTTTGTAAAAGTGTGCACTGGTTTTGTCACCATTCATTCCGGAAAAATTGTCGTTTTTCTATACAATATTTTTATTACAATGATTTAATATTTACATTTGCACAAATAAATTTTAACCTAGCAAAAATCAATAAATTCGTCGTCAAAAATAATACTTCAAAATTTTAAAAAGTGCGCTAACAACATAATAGCTCCTATAAATTCCGAACTTTGATATGAGTAACTTGACCTCATGTAATTTTTTCGACAAAAATGTTCATTTCCAGCTCGCTTCAACTACATTGGGTGTTACAAGGATACTGGAAATAGAGCAATTCCACAGGCAGACGGAAGATTTCAAACATTGAGAGACAATTATAAACAAAGAAGAAACGCAATTAGAAAATGTGCGATGGTGGCTTCATCTCTCGGATATAAATTGTTTGCTGTTCAAAATGGTGGATGGTAAGAACATTGACATTCAGAGTACTGGTATATTTGTTAGATTTGATTTTACGATATCGGGTTTTCATAAAAATAGGTGCGCCACTGGAAGGATGCTCATCTAACATACGGAAAGTATGGACTTTCATCAAATTGTAAGGAGGGTGGAAAAGGTGGAGTCTGGGCAAATGCAAGTATATGCTGTTAATGGATGGATGCCAAGTGAGTTGGTGTTGTTGATTGAAAAATTAGAAATATCTCGTTGAGTTTTTTTATTCAGTGCATGGTGTGTATGGTAACAGACGTTTTGTTACGTTGTAAGGTTCGACAGTCTCACATCTTGCTCAAGAGAATAAATATAACAATACTGAGAATGCATCCTTTGTAAAAACGCGAGATAAGAAACAGAATATGAAATACAAAATTATTGTTAAATATATTTAATGTTGTTGATCTTACAGTTTCTTTGATTGATCTGGGATGTTGGAAAGACACCGGCAATCGGAGCGATACCAAGTGCTGATCACATACTGGCCAAAAAGTTTGGTCCATACCATCAAGAGTCGTTCCATACAAAAATGTGCTCAATATGCCAAGAGCAAAGAATATTCAGTATTTGCTGTACAAAACGGAGGTTGCGTGCGACAAGTAAGAACGCAGAAGATACTTTTGACAAGTATGGACCATATTCAACATGTAGACCTGATGGAGAAGGAGGACCATGGGGAAATCAAGTTTACAGAATCGCAGGAAAATCGACTAAAATTGGTGAGATGTTTTGGTTAATTTAAATTTTATCAAATGATTCAAGTGTCTAATACGGCCAAGAGAAAATAGATTCACCAGCCCAAAAGCAGAATGAAAGATCAGCGGTTAAGAACACGTTACTCTAATCAATCCTCTGATTATATCATTTTAGCCCTCTTTGCCAATTTTTGTTATCATTAATATAAGTTTGATATGTGCATAACAATGTACACACCACAGCTTCGTTCTCGTTAAGTATGATACTGTCAACAAAATGTCTATTCATGTACACTTCAAGAAGAACATAGTTATGTCGACATTCTAAATGACAGTAAGTGCAGATGCTCATTTCTTAATACATGTCTTTCATACCAGGCATAAGATATACTTCGATCGGATGCTTCAGAGATACAGGAAATAGAGCGATTCCTCAGGCAGATGGCCGTTTTCAATCCCTTCGAGATAGTTATCCACAACGAAAGGATGCCATTGCAAAATGCGCGAGAGTTGCAACTGATCTAGAATACAAAGTCTTTGCTGTTCAAAACGGTGGATGGTATGTTAATTTACTGTCCTATGTGCCTCACATCATCAGAAATTTTCTATTGTAGCGTTGCAAAAAATTTTGATATCTTGATATTCCTTCAGGTGTGCGACTGGTTCTGAGGCTCACATGACTTATCAAAAGTATGGACCTTCAAATGGTTGTAGAAAAGATGGTGAAGGTGGACCATGGGCTAATCATGTTTACGGTGTGAATGGATGGAAACCTGGTAAGCATTCACTATGTAAAATGAGTACACGTTAAAACTCTATATATATACAGATTGTAAAACTTGTACATTCTTTTTACTTACAGAGCCACTCAGTGAACGTGAGTAAAATTTTTCATAAGAATAATTCAATTAATAAACAATTTATTTTGAAGAAACATCTAATATTTGTATTTGATTAATTAAGTTTCACTTCTGGATCTCGGTTGTTGGAGAGACAACGGAAAAAGGGCGATTCCTGGAGTTGATACCATACTTACAAAACGATATGGACCTTATACCGCAAGGAAGGAAGCCATACAGAAATGTGGTATTTTTGCAAAGAGCAAAGGGTATTCAGTATTTGCTGTACAAAACGGAGGTTGGTGTGCGACAGTAAGAATGCAGGAGGTACTTTTGACAAGTATGGACCTTATTCAACATGTCGAAAAGATGGCGAAGGAGGACCATGGGGAAATCAAGTTTACAAGATTGTTGGCAACAATTTCAAAATACGAAGTAGGCGTTAAACAAACTGTTTAAATAATTGATTTTTATTTTTGTGAAAGTGTGCACTGGTTTTGTCACTATTCATTCCGGAAAATTTGTCGTTTTTCTATACAATATTTTTATTACAATGATTTAATATTTACATTTGCACAAATAAATTTTAACCTAGCAAAAATCAATAAATTTCGTCGTCAAAAATAATACTTCAAAATTTTAAAAAGTGCTCTAACAACATAATAGCTCCTATAAATTCCGAACTTTGATTGAGAAACTTGACCCCATGTAATGTTTTTCGACAAAAATGTTCATTCCAGCTCGCTTCAACTACATTGGGGTGTTACAAGGATACTGGAAATAGAGCAATTCCACAGGCAGACGGAAAGATTTCAAACATTGAGGGACAATTATAAACAAAGAAGAAACGCAATAGAAAAATGTGCGATGGTGGCTTCATCTCTCGGATATAAATTGTTTGCTGTTCAAAATGGTGGATGGTAAGAACATTGACATTCAGAGTACTGGTATATTTATTAGATTTGATTTTACGATATCGGGTTTTCATAAAAATAGTGCGCCACTGGAAAAGGATGCTCATCTAACATACGGAAAGTATGGACTTTCATCAAATTGTGAGGAGGGTGGAAAAGGTGAGTCTGGGCAAATGCAGTATATGCTGTTAATGGATGGATGCCAAGTGAGTTGGTGATGTTGATGAAAAATTAGAATATCTCGTTAAGTTTTTTTTATTCAGTGCATGGTGTGTATGGTAACAGACGTTTTGTACGTTGTAAGGTTCGACAGTCTACATCTTGCTCAAGAGAATAAATATAACATACTGAGAATGCATCCTTTGTAAAAACGCGAGATTAGAAACAAGAATATGAAATACAAAATTATGGTAAATATATTAATGTTGTTGATCTTACAGTTTCTTTGATTGATCTGGGATGTTGGAAAGACACCGGCAATCGAGCGATACCCAAGTGCTGATCACATACTGGCCAAAAAGTTTGGTCCATACCAATCGAGAGTCGGTTCCATACAAAAATGTGCTCAATATGCCAAGAGCAAAAGAATATTCAGTATTTGCTGTACAAAACGGAGGTTGGTGTGCGACAAGTAAGAACGCAGAAGATACTTTTGACAAGTATGGACCATATTCAACATGTAGACCTGATGGAGAAGGAGGACCATGGGGAAATCAAGTTTACAGAATTGCAGGAAAATCGACTAAAATTGGTGAGATGTTTTGGTTAATTTAAATTTTATCAAGTGATTCAAGTGTCTAATACGGTCAAGGGAAAATAGATTCACCAGCCCAAAAGCAGAGTGAAAGATCAGCGGTTAAGAACACGTTACTCTAATCAATCCTCTGATTATATCATTTTAGCCCTCTTTGCCAATTTTTGTTATCATCAATATAAGTTTGATATGTGCATAACAATGTACACACCACAGCTTCGTTCTCGAAAAGTATGATACTGTTAACAAAATGTCTATTCATGTACACTTCAAGAAGAACTTAGTTATGTCGACATTCTAAATGACAGTAAGTGCAGATGCTCATTTCTTAATACATGTCTTTCATACCAGGCATAAGATATACTTCGATCGGATGCTTCAGAGATACAGGAAATAGAGCGATTCCTCAGGCAGATGGCCGTTTTCAATCCCTTCGAGATAGTTATCCACAACGAAGGGATGCCATTGCAAAATGCGCGAGAGTTGCAACTGATCTAGGATATAAAGTCTTTGCTGTTCAAAACGGTGGATGGTATGTCAATTTACTGTCTTATATGCTTCACATCATCAGAAATTTTCTATGGTAGCGTTGCAAAAAATTTTTAATATCTTAAAATTCCTTCAGGTGTGCGACTGGTTCTGAAGCTCACATGACTTATCAAAAGTATGGACCTTCAAATGGTTGTAGAAAAGATGGTGAAGGTGGACCATGGGCTAATCATGTTTACGGTGTGAATGGATGGAAACCTGGTAAGCATTCACTATGTAAAATAAGTACACGTTAAAACTCTATATATATACAGATTGTAAAACTTGTACATTCTTTTTACTTACAGAGCCTCTCAGTGAACGTGAGTGAAATTTTTCATAAAAATAATACAATTAACAAACAATTTATTTTGAAGAAACATCTAATATTTGTATTTGATTATTTAAGTTTCACTTCTGGATCTCGGTTGTTGGAGAGACAACGGAAAAAGGGCGATTCCTGGAGTTGATACCATACTTACAAAACGATATGGACCTTATACCGCAAGGAAGGAAGCCATACAGAAATGTGGTAACTTTGCAAAGAGCAAAGGATATTCAGTATTTGCTGTACAAAACGGAGGTTGGTGTGCGACAAGTAAGAATGCAGGAGGTACTTTTGACAAGTATGGACCTTATTCAACATGTCGAAAAGATGGCGAAGGAGGACCATGGGGAAATCAAGTTTACAAGATTGTTGGCAACAATTTCAAAATACGGAGTAAGCGTCAAAATACTGGTTAAACCATTTATTTCGTTTTTTTTTTGTGATTGTAAGTTCTGGATTTTATTTTTCATTAACTGAGAATTCGTCTTTTTATTTTCTAAAATATACATTCATTTCATTGGCATCAGATTTGAAATAAGAAATCGACCAAAATAAAAATTCCTAACAACATACAACTCAAATTTAAAAAGTGAATTTGCAAAGTAGCATGTACTGTATACTTCACATCATAACTAAATATTCATTTGCATGACTTAAGTAATATTCTAATTCTTGACGAAAATACCAAAACTGATTTTTTCCAGCACGCTTCAGCTACATCGGGTGTTACAAAGATACTGGAAATCGAGCAATTCCACAGGCAGATGGAAGATTTCAAACGTTGAGAGACAATTATAAACAAAGAAAAAACGCAATAAGAAAATGTGCGATGGTGGCTTCATCTCTCGGATATAAATTGTTTGCTGTTCAAAATGGTGGATGGTAAGAACATAGACATTCAGAGTACTGGTATATTTATTAGATTTGATTTTACAATATCAGTTTTTCATAAATATCAGGTGCACTACTGGCAAGGATGCTCATCTAACATACGGAAAGTACGGACTTTCATCAAATTGTAAGGAGGGTGGAAAAGGTGGAGTCTGGGCAAATGCAGTATATGCTGTTAATGGATGGAAACCAAGTATGCAATTTAATTAGTGGAATATGAATTGAACCTCGATTGTTGTATATGGAATACCCAATCATATTATGACATCTGCAATATACAAATACTGACTTGATAACTACTAAGTAAAGATATTTACCTATTAATGATCTTATATAGTTTTTATCTAATTTCCCACAATCTACGCGATTTTCTGAAGTTTGGGTACTTGCCGAAATATCAATCGCTCGCACTTTATAAGTAAATATTCAACTTTTCATGACATAAAATATTATTCCGATTATGCCGAATTAATCAAATTGTTCCAACATTTCATCATTGTGAGTGATTGAGTATATGATTTTCTTTCATGCAGTTCAACTAATTGATCTTGGATGTTGGAAAGACACTGCAAACCGAGCAATTTCAAGCGTTGATAAAAAATTAGCTAAGAAATTTGGAGCGTATCAATCTAGAATCGGTGCAATACAAAGATGTGCTCAATATGCCAAGAGCAAAGGATATTCAGTATTTGCTGTACAAAACGGAGGTTGGTGTGCGACAAGTAAGAACGCAGAAGATACTTTTGACAAGTATGGACCATATTCAACATGTCGAAAGGATGGCGAAGGAGGACCATGGGGAAATCAAGTATACAAGATTGGAAATCCAACAAAGCAAGGTATTGAATCATGTTTCAACAACAATATGCAACTTCCGATTTCACGATCTGATTTTTTTTTCTTTCTCAACAGTGTCATATGCTTCGATTGGATGCTTCAGAGATACAGGAAATAGAGCAATTCCTCAAGCAGATGGCCGTTTCCAAAGCCTGCGAGATAGTTACCCACAACGTAAGGATGCTATTGCAAAATGTGCAAGAATTGCAACTGATCTAGGATACAAAGTCTTTGCTGTTCAGAACGGCGGGTGGTATGTCAATTTACTGTAAAATATTCTTTCATTATCAGAAATTTTTATCTTGTAGCCTTGCTAAGAATTTCCATCTCCTACTTTTTCGTCAGGTGTGCGACTGGTTCTGAAGCTCACATGACTTACCAAAAGTATGGACCTTCAAATGGTTGTAGAAAAGATGGTGAAGGTGGACCATGGGCTAATCATGTGTACGGTTTGAATGGATGGAAACCTGGTAAGCATTCACTATATGATATAAGCACACGTTAAAACTTTATTTATATACAGATTGTAAAATTTGTATACTGTAGTCCCTTGTAATTACATTTCTATTTTCTTTTCATTACAGAGCCTCTCAGTGAACGTGAGTAAAATTGCTTATAGAAATAATTAGATTTGCAATCATTTCATTATAAACCAACTTTTAATATTTGCAATTGATTATTCAAGTTTCACTTCTGGATCTCGGTTGTTGGAGAGACAACGGAAAGAGGGCGATTCCTGGAGTTGATGCCATACTTACAAAACGATATGGACCTTATACTGCAAGAAAGGATGCCATACAGAAATGCGGTAACTATGCCAAGAGCAAAGGATATTCAGTATTTGCTGTACAAAACGGAGGTTGGTGTGCGACAAGTAAGAACGCAGAAGATACTTTTGACAAGTATGGACCATATTCAACATGCGGAAAAGACGGCGAAGGTGGACCATGGGGAAGTCAAGTATACAAGATAACTAAAAAGAATTTTAATACTCATGGTAATTATTCATCGCTCAAAAGAATTCAAACAACATCGCAGGGAGGTCTCATATAAGGTATCAGACCCACATCCCTCAAAAATTACATTATTATACGAGTACCTCGTTGAGGACCCTTATAGGTTGGAAAGCACATATGCTGAAATCATAATTCTAGTTCATAAATCTAGTAAATGCATCTATATATATCTACGTAAATCCTTGATGCTAATATATTTTTTGCAACACAATGTTAGCGCTTTTTCAAGTTATTATGCCTTGGAACTATAGCTGAGTGGAATTTTCATTTTTGTCGTCAACTGCGACAATTTATTTGTAAATAATGATATATCACCAACTCCCCAAAACAAGTCGAAAATGTATCTTATCAAAAAAATTATTGTTATGACCTAATATAGTGACTTATACCTTGGCTGGAAGATAGCGATGATTCTCCATAATTTATATGTTACATGTACAATGTCATGTCCGATTTCGATTGTCAGCACTAAATGATTTTCTTGTTCAGACTGTCAATGTATTTTGTAAAAGTTGATATATATTTTTAACAGAAGTTATCAGTTAGGATATTTAAAGAAATTTTCATTTATTTTGTAGTGCGTTATCAATACATTGGATGCTTCAAAGATACTCGTAACAGAGCGATACCTCAGGCTGATGGAAGGTTTAATACGTTGCGGGATACATATAAACGAAGAAAAGATGCTGTTCAGAAGTGTGCTATGGTGGCATCATCATTGGGATTTAAAGCATTTGCTGTACAAAATGGTGGATGGTACGTAGAAAATAATACTTGAAATTGAGTAATTAAGCAAATCTTCGTCGTCGAAATAAGACTTGCGACACAAAGATTGACCTCAATCATTGATGTAAATATTTCATAGTTGTAATATTTTGGCAGCTGCACGATGTCGTTTCGAACAAAGAAACAATGAACATTTTAAACAAATACTCCATTACAGGTGCGCTACTGGAAAAAACGCTCATCTCACATATTCCAAGTACGGACCTTCATCCAACTGCCAAAAAGACGGAAGAGGTGGAAGTTGGGCCAATGCAGTGTATTCTATTAATGGTTGGAAACCAAGTACGTACTGAAAAGGCACTTTGAAACTGGGGATTGAACTGAACACCCGCCAAAATCATGTTACGCAAAATGTTAATGCGGTTTCACGTATGTACGTTAAACGCCGCTTAAAATTCTATATAAAATCAACAAACCATCTTCACAATACACCGTCAGAGTTTTATTTACACGATGTCATTTCATATCGTAATCCTTATTTAATGTAAAGCAAAATCAGCGGTTTTGAATAGTACGAGGACATGCGTGGACAAAATTTTTGCATGGGCCGCACTCGGAAAATTTTCTTCGCAATGGCCGTGCTAAGTAAAAGACTCAAGTTTTCATATCATAAAATTATCTTCAGTTAAAATTTATTAGGTAAAATATCCCTAATTAAAGACTTTTAATAGATGACAAAGACAACATCAACCGACACAAATATCACCGAATCTTTCTTCCGGACATTGAATTTATACCATAATTTTATTTCAGTACGACTGACTGACCTTGGATGTTGGAAAGACACTAGAAATCGTGCCATTCCTGGTGTAGATCGAATTCTGGCCAAAAAGTTCGGTGCATACAAATCAAGAAGAGGTTCCGTACAAAGATGTGCTCAATATGCCAAGAGCAAAGGATATTCAGTATTTGCTGTACAAAACGGAGGTTGGTGTGCGACAAGTAAGAACGCAGAAGAAACTTTTGACAAGTATGGACCATCTTCAACTTGTAGAAATGACGGTGAAGGAGGACCATGGGGAAACCAAGTTTACAAAATAACAACATCAACATCAATTTCACAAAGTGAGAGTCTGCATCACTATTTTTTTTTTATCCTGTTATGAACTATAATCTAATAAAAATTTTGCTTATTCCATAGGATTAAGCTATACTTCTCTTGGATGCTTCAAAGATACAAGAAATAGAGCAATTCCTCAAGCCGATGGCCGATTTCAAACGCTACGAGACACGTACACTCAACGAAAGCATGCGATTGCGAAATGTGCAAAGGTTGCGACTGATTTAGGATATAAAATATTCGCTGTACAGAACGGAGGCTGGTAAGTTTGTTAAAGGAATGTCCAGAGTTATTCTTATATCCATGATGCTTGTGACAATTTAAGTTTTATTTTAAATTTTTCATTAAAGCTTGCATCGTTTATTCATACACTCGCGAAATTTCCATTCAAAATGAATGTTATAGAATTGGTCAAACAAGAATAGAAAAACTAGCTTGAATTACTAATGCACGATGCAGTTATCAGATTTGCCATTTTTTGTAATTCGGGAATTTTGGATTAATGCCGATTACTAAATTCTATAGGTGTGCTACTGGACCCGATGCTGATGAAACTTACCAAAAGTATGGACCCTCGAACAGTTGCCGGAAAGATGGTAAAGGGGGTCCGTGGGAAAATGAAGTATATGGCGTCAATGGGTGGAGACCAAGTATGTAAATGAATTTATCTAATTAACTATATAATTGAAGCGTGTTGAGTAAATTACTAACAATAATTTTTTCTATTCTTATAGAACCGGTACAGACAAGTGAGTACAAATTTCTGTTAATCTAACTTTTTTTCACATTTTGTTATGATATATTATAATTATCAGTTGAAATTAAAATATTTTTCTGCAAATAGATAACTCGAGAAACTTTGAATATTATTTCAAATCTTTATTTAGTGACTTTCGTGGATTTGGGATGCTGGAAAGATACTGGCAACAGAGCCATACCTGGTGCTGATAAGATTCTTACCAAGAGATTCGGACCTTATTCTGCGAGACATAACGCCATACAAAGATGTGCCCAATATGCCAAGAGCAAAGGATATTCAGTATTTGCTGTACAAAACGGAGGTTGGTGTGCGACAAGTAAGAACGCAGAAGACACTTTTGACAAGTATGGACCATCTTCCTCATGTCGAAAAAACGGCGAGGGTGGACCTTGGGCAAACCAAGTTTACAAACTTATGGAAAGAAACTATGGCTTCCCAGGTGTGATTCTTTTTTGTCCTTCTTTGTATTTTGTTAGTTATGATTCTGTCGTGCAACAGCCCATGGTTACTCAGAATATAGTTTTTTTTAGATTAGGAAGATAATTCATAGACTGACCAAAATTTATTTCGCACCAAAGAATAAATCATCTGCGTCTTACCATAGTTGGGTTGGTTAGACGAAACAGGCATGGGTTTGATAAATTTTAATTTTCTAACCACCCAAAACTGACTATATTCATTTCGAGTAGGTAAGTCAAAGTCAGGATCGGATAAATGACAGAAGAAATGAATTTTTACTCGCCTTACAATAATGATTCTTTTCAAACAGCACGTTTCCAATATGTGGGATGTTACAAAGACAATCGCAAACGAGCTATTCCTCAAGCAGAGGGAAGATTCCAAACTTTGAGAGATAACTATAAACGCAGGGAAAATGCCGTTCGAAAATGTGCAATGGTTGCTGCATCTCTTGGGTATAAAGCATTTGGCATTCAAAACGGTGGTTGGTAAGTTTACTATGCATTTATTCCAACCTTCGGTAAATTTCGTTTCATATGTCATAATATAATTTGCTCTGCATTTTTGTTCCATTTCACCTAAGAGAAGTCTTTCAGGCGTTTCTATTGCCGGTAAAACACGAAGGCATGAAAATACTCCCATACTAAAAAGGCTCGTAGTGTCGTGTTATAATGGGTGGTACCATAGCAACCGGAGCTTGCAAAATCTCATTAATACTATATCTGTGTACTGTACTACAGGTGTGCGACTGGCAAGGATGCCCATCTCACATTTGGCAGGTACGGATATTCATCTAATTGTGCGAAGGAAGGAAAAGGAGGAAGTTGGGCAAATGCGGTATATGCTCTTAACGGATGGAAACCAGGTAAAACTTATTTCACGAATATTGCAAGCTTATAAGAATATTGCTTTGTGAAAAAAAATTATAAAAATTGGTTTATGTGCAATGGGTTGTTCACAATATTGTTTTTCTGCAGAGCAATACTTTGAACTTGGATGCTGGAAAGACACGCGTAATAGAGCAATACCAGGAGCTGACAAAAATCTGAAGGCGTTGTATGGGCCATACCGAACGAGAATCGGCGCTATACAAAGATGTGCTCAATATGCTAAGAGCAAACGATATTCAGTATTTGCTGTACAAAACGGAGGTTGGTGTGCGACAAGTACGACAGCAGAAGACACTTTTGACAAATTCGGACCATCATCATCGTGCAAACCCAACGGCAAAGGAGGAAAATGGGCAAATCAAGTTTATAAACTTGGAAGACCCAAAACAAAAGGTTAGTATGATAACTTAACTTTGTACTGTATAAAGCTGTCTAAAGCATACATATAAAGTTATTTTTATGGGGAACCGAAATATATCCGATTCGGCAAAGCGACTTGAAGAGAAACGTTGATAAACCAACCGTTTTTATTTATACAGAATTCATACCTTGTATTTTTTCGTTCAGAAATAACATACGCTGCAATTGGGTGCTATAAAGATACCAAGAAACGAGCAATCCCGAGAGCAGATGGTCGATTCCAAATACTTCGAGATAATTACAAGCAACGTAAAGACGCGATCGCAAAATGTGCGAGAATATCTGCTGATCTGGGATACAAAGTGTTTGCTATACAGAATGGCGGCTGGTAAGCGTATTCGTTTAATCAACTCACTCCAATGATTAATTAATTATGATAATGTGAATACCATTACAACGCACCATGTTTCTATACAATATAGTAGCTCCTATTTATCAATGCTGCTTTTTAGAACATTGACTGGAGTGAACTACGTGAAAAGACGCCGCTCAACAAAATAAATAAAATTTTAGTTTGAAGATTAATGTGCCTCATATATACATGCGTATAATATAAACACCGTAAATAGATATTTAATTTCTTCTTCTGTCGTAGGTGTGCAACAGGACCAAAGGCGAACAAATCTTACATGAAATACGGAAAATCTATGAAATGCAAAAACGACGGAAAAGGCGGGCCTTGGGCTAACGCTGTGTATGCTCTGAATGGATGGGAACCTGGTAAGAAACGCGAAGAAAATTTTCATCAATCTCATCAACTTTTTACTTTATAACTTATATTTCATTAGTTTCAGAAATCATCACGACTCCACCGCCAGGTATGACATATATTATATGCACAGATGAATACTGTAACACGTCTATAAACCGAATTGTTATTGATTAAATATATTAATATTTACAATATCGAAATTTTAATGACCATGTCTCAGCAGTATTCATCAATGTAATAGTCATTTATTGAATTATGAATGGTAATTTCCTATTTATTCCAATCATGTTGTGTAGGTATACGTATAGACTTATATATCTATACGCTTTAAACCTGGTTATTTAAAATGTTTACATTTTCACATTATATTAAATATTCAAAAATTTTCGCAGCCGTAGTAAAAGAACAGATGACGATGGTAGATCTTGGATGTTGGAAAGACACAAGAATCAGATCCATACCAAGTGTTGACAAATATCTAATTGAGAAATACGGTGCATACGAGTCTCGCAAGAACGCAGTTGAGAAATGCGCACAATACGCCAAGAGTAAAGGCTATACAGTATTTGCGGTACAGAATGGTGGTAATTGTAGGACAAGTTCCAGAGCTGAAGATACCTTTGACAAATACGGACCTTCTTCTTCCTGCGGCGCAAACGGCAACGGCGGATCATGGAGTAACCAAGTTTATCAGTTTAAACCAACAATGGAAGTCGCAAACAGTAAGTTGCTACATGAAATTCTTGTCAATCTCTCTCTATATATATAAACTCACTTCGTTCCTCATTCATTTTCGTCAGTTCGATACGTGCCTATCGGGTGTTATAAAGATACCAAAAGCCATGCGTTACCGATCGCGGAAGGCAGATTCAAGAGTCTTCGTGGAAACTACAAACAACGTAAAAATGCTGTCAGGAAATGCGCTTTGGCAGCGTCAGCTTTGGGTTACAAAGTATTTGCACTTCAGAATGGCGGATCGTAAGTTGAACATAGATGACAAATGTTTTTTCTTCGCACAAATTCAGTAGTTACATGAGCAATATTGCAAAAATGGGAAACTTTCCAAAGATCGCAAAGAATTAATAACAAAATTTAATTGTTTCACATTAAAAAATTTAAATTCAAACAAGCCCTTTTTTGCATTTTTGAGGTTTAGTTCTAGCGTACTGTTCGTACCGTCGTTTTTATTTTAACCGTCAGTAAATGCACCTTTTTGATCATGGCATTTATATTTTTATAGATGTTCGACCGGACCGAATGCCCATCATACATTTTCAAAGTACGGCCCGTCATCTAACTGTGGCATTGACGGAAAAGGCGGTCCATGGGCAAATTACGCTTATATTATTTTAGGATCCGGGTGGATTCCGAGTAAGTATTCGCATAGTATAGAGAAAGTTAGAAGGTTAATAATAGCAAAAGAAACTTAGAAAAAAATCACAAACTATTTCAACATTTTCCGATTAATGAAAATTTATTTGTTGAATTTGATTTTATTTAAAATTTTTATATTTTGTACAAATGTAATAAAACACCAAAACAGTTGATAGTTCACGGTACCTTGGCCATCTTTGAAATGCACAGTTGGTGCCGCCAGTGGGCGTATCTCGCCTGTACTTCCACCATTACTATATTGTGGTAAAGTAGGTTTTCTCAAATATGAGTCAGTCAGTAGTCAGTCAGTCAGTCAGTAGTTTATTTTATCACAAACCGAATGTAAACATTGACGAACAAAATTGAAAAAATGAAAAATTACATTTCAGTGTGAAGGGAGACGCGATAAACCAGAGAAGGTTATCGAGCAGCGTCCCCTTTGCTGGTCGTACTTAATTAAGACTGATTTGTGAATGTTTATTTTCAGAGCCGCAATTCCCTGCTGTTACAAGACCGAGAGATCGTAAGTATCGGATTAATAAAAAATGTTGTTGAATATTGTTATCTGTAACTTATTCAATACTATTCATATTTTTTCAAAACCAGTGGTTCTCACCGATTTGGGTTGTTGGAGAGATACTGCTGAGAGAGCCATTTCTGGAGTAGACAATGTTCTTCTGAGAAGACATGGACATTATAAAAACAGAGAAAACGCGGTACAGAAATGTGCACATTTTGCGAAGAAACGTGGCTTCTCCGTCTTCGCTGTACAAGATGGTGGCTGGTGCTCAGCATCAGAGACAGCCTACAAAACATATAACAAGTATGGATCATCTAATAGATGCAGGAACGATGGTGCTGGCGGAAAATGGGCTAATCGAGTTTATATGGTTAGCGCTGCTGTTGATGGTAAGTGGTTTTCTCAATGAACATGACGTGCAAAGTATTTTTATACGATTTTTTTCGTTCTGTTCATGTCGTACACGGTTCTGTTTAAGCATCCAATGATGTGTAAAGAGTGGCTATATTCGGGGAGGACCGAAATCTTTCCGTTTCGACTTTGCCCACACAAATCAATGCAACTAGGGTGAGATAGCGTGCAATCGATTTGACTCGAGGTTTTTCACTTGTGAAACTAATTAAATTTAGTCCGTCAGTTTGGTCCCGACCCTTTTTCGAAGTACAAGTAGGTACAGTCAGCTGAAAATTTCAACTGAATACACACACGGTCAATTTACAAATGTGATAATACGCTTAAACATCTTGACGCTTTAATCTCCAATTGCATCGACTGCAGTTGAATAACGTCGTTCTGACAAAGACCAGTGCATCGTTGAGAGTTGCAAAATATCGCGCGGTAAAATAACACATTGTGAGTGATAATCAGAAAAATTGATATGGTGATTTTAAAATTCTTGTGCTATTTAATGTTCTTCTCATCCTCTATTGTCTTGCAGTTCGATATCGTCATGTGGGCTGCTTTAGAGACACCTCGGAACATGCGGTACCAATTGTAGAAGACCGTTTCCTTGTCTTGCAAGATGATTTTGCAACGAGGTATGAAGCTATACGGAAATGTGCGAGGATTGCTGCGGCTTCTGAATATAAAGCATTCGCTATACGAGACGGCGGGAGATGTGCTACAGGACCGGTTGCTCACTTTACTTACGGAAACTACGGTAAATCTAAGAAGTGTGGAATTCATGGAAAGGCGGCCACAATGCAATGGACGTTTATTCTTGACGTCAGGAAAATTGAGTAAGCATTCCTTGTTTCAGCTTTTTGTTTTTTCAAATAATTAGAATGGCGAAGTCACCGTCACAAACTGAAAAAAAATCTTTCGTCCCACCGATATCGTACCGAACCCCTTAAGCAGCGCCAAGATAGGAATATTATTACCTCCCTTGGAACGCTACGGCGATATGTAATATCACGATAACGATATAATAATCTATCAATACTCAGTGTACTATTTATCTCAGAATATTCACAAATAGATGGATTCATCATACGTAGAAAAACTACTTTTGGGGACGGCCTAACCCCCAGTACTATACTTGTTCCTTAGCAATCAATATTTCACACCTCCATTTATCCTAATTCCCTTTTTCCTAAAATAATTTCGTTTCCTATAATCCCTATAACAACAACGTAAAATCAGTCCGAGTTACTTGAGTACGAAGAATGAATAACTTTCTTCAATAATAGTTATATTATTATATATGTTTTATTCAGTGTCACTGAAAAGACTAGGCTGCTACCAAGATCAAAGGGTTCGTGCGATTCCAACACTTGAAAGAGGTTCTCATCTTCTTACCCACGAGTTATACGGGGAACGCCCGGGTGCAATCAAAACGTGCCTGAGACGAGCTTCAAGGCTTGGATATAAAGTGATTGGAATGCAGAACGGGGGATCGTGTATGAGTTCCGGAAATGCTCTACAGACTTATAATAAATATGGACCATCTGATAAATGCTTGCCAGATTCTAGAGGTGGATATTGGGCAAACGAAGTGTTCCAGATGAAAATTAGCAATATTGGTAAGTAAGGGATCAAGCATATTAACGTTATTTTAACAAAATTTAGCTGTTTTGACAATATCCGTGCTTGTCTTTTTAAGAAAATATTTCGAATTCATCGAACATCCGATTTAGAATAATTAATGCCAATCGTATTTCAATTATATTAAATAATTCACAATTTGTCCAGGTATAGTCGGGGAATGACAGTGATTCTGTATATTTTGTTTCCCCAACTCAAGTTCTTCAAATGTACAATTTACACGACTTGTTTTGGCTTTTACAGTAGGGAGGTAGATCATCAAATAATTCACACGTTTGACTCAGTAGCAATCAACAGTATGGCAATGATTTTGTATATTTCGATTTTTCGAGCTCGCGTTTTGAAAATATTTGAAATCTATCAATCTCCATTCACCGTCCCAACGTTATAAAACTTTTCTGGTCGTTTAGGATTTTGGGTTGAGCGGTAGTGGGTATCACATAATGTACGCGCTTGAATCCGAACTCAAAGAAAAATTTTAAAAAACGAGAAAAAGCACAAAGAATACTAATTCATAGTGAAATGCTCCTTGTTAAAGTCATAAAAGAGACAGATAATTAAGACGTATTCATTGCAGTGTCATTCAAACCTTATTGTGTATATTCTTTCAATTCATTCAGATCTCTCGAAGAAGATCCAGAAAAGAAGATATTGTAAGTATTTGAAATAACCGCATAAACGTAGTTCGAAGCAAAATACTAATCAAGTAAAACTTAAAATATTTAGATGTTCTAACTGATCTTGGATGTTGGCAAGACACTCATAATCACGCAATCGATTCGGTCGACGAAGAACTCAAGAAAATAACTGGTCCATACAAAATAAGATTCAATGCAATACAGGAATGCGCAAAATACGCTGGCTCTCTAGGACACTCAATTTTCGCAATACAAAATGGCGGAATGTGTTTTACAAGCAAGAACGCAAGAGAAACATTCAATAAATTTGGTCCTTCCACGCGATGTTCTTCAAATGGTAAAGGCGGTTACAGAGCAAATCAAGTGTACTATATAGGAACGGTTTACACAGGTGAGTGTAGTGGAAATTATATTTATTTGCATAAAATGTTCACAATGAAATACTGAATTAAATACAAATGAAGAAAGAGTGAGTCACACGTTTGCCAATGCGAGAAAACCTTTTATCAAAAAGGTTTAAAAGTTATTCAGTTGATAATTGTTGCGACAGCCCCTCAATTATATAAATTATAAATACACATTTTTATTGGGGTTGGCATATGGTAGTAATCACGTTATTCATACGGCCTACAGTAAATATATTATGATTTCCATATTAGAGGAATGAGAGAAAAAGGCTTAATCATATAGCGAAGCAAGGCCTTTTGGCCGGTCATCAGTCCATGTATGGTTCGGCAATAATTACCCAGTTATTGCTTTCAGATGAATGAACATGAAATTTCAATATTATATCTCACATCCTTTCCGTAACAACAAAACAAAATTAATAGTGTTTTTACGTGCAACTATCTGAATATTCTGTCTGCAAAATTAACAACTAACTGACTTTAAATCTTTTTTCAGCCAATTACCGATATGTTGGATGCTACAGAGACCGCAAGAGTCACACTATCCCATCAGTCGAAAAACGGTTCCGAACAATTCGAGACGATCCGAAAAAACGTTTGAATCCAATTGCAAAATGTGCCAGAATAGCAGCAGCTCTGGGATACAAAGCATTCGCTTTACAAAATGGTGGAATATGTTCTACAGGACCACATGCTCATAAATCGTTCAAGAAATATGGGCCTTCTTTAGATTGTCATGACCACGGAAAAGGAGCACATATGGCAAACGCAGTGTACGAGTTAACAGACGGGCTTGAAAGTAAGTGGAAATCTAGGGCAACAGAGTAAATACCAACCAATACTAACACAGTAAAATACCAGTATACAGTTTACATGAAAATGAACGTTGTTTTGATAATATGGTATCCATGTAAATTTTCCGAGGTGAAATGAAGTTTTTCATCTACTTAAAAGTATTTTTGAGATAACTGTCATTAAACAATAATATTATACCCAATATAAACATTATTATTTTAAATAAAGATATTGCACAGGTATAACTAGCGCATGATTGCCACCATATAATTTAAATAATATATTGATACATAGCGCGCAAATGCTGTAAGAAAACTACGTCATTCACCAAATAGAAATTGCAACGTCGGCAAATATATCGTCTTGTTTTTAACATCAACTTATTTAAGTCAATAACAAAAACAAATAGAATGTTACAAGTAATCGTCGACAGGTAATTTTGTATTGTGCGCTTTCGACTTTAACCGATTACCCGAATTAACCGATATTACCCGGATAATTTACTCATGACAGATAAATAGTATATAATATATGATTGCAACGGTCGGCCAGCGAGCGTTTCGCATAAACCTTTGTCTTAGAGAGCTAAATATTATTGAAAAAAAAAAAACACTGGTACACACTAGCAAACATCTTTTTCTAATAACACAACACAAGCAGTACTTTTGAAGCCGAAAACCTAAATGCACTCGTGTTCAGCGCTTTTCTGCAATCGGAATCATTTATTGAGAATTGAACCGAGCAAGTATCCGGCACAAAAATCACTTATTCGAAACTATCAAGTAGAACTGAAATATTGTACCGAAAGAGTAGTTGAATGTCCTTGACATAATCGCTCAAATAAGTTTACTAGAATGCTACTACTGAACACAGTTACAAAGTAGGTTGTGTTTTCTTCAAGATTAAAACCTGGTTATTAGGCTTATTCGATCAAACAAACAAATGAAGCAAATTAATTACGATAAAAAGACCATACAGTCTTGCGTCAATCGGTATTTACTTACGCACAACCCCACGCTTTTTATAGTATCAGTTGCTCTTGGCTTTTTAGTGGTGGTCCGTAATTTTGCTCAGAGATTATTTTCATTAATTTCTGATTGAGTTCCCGTAACCTTGCTTTGAACAAATATTATTATAAAAACTAAACGGAAAGCAGAATGAACGAATTTTACCTTTACAGTTACCATCAAGAACGTCGGATGCTATAAAGATCGAAAACAGCATACCATCCCATCTCTGGAAACCAGCGGAGCATTCCATGGAAAATTCACAACCAGGAAATATGCAATTGCAAAATGTGCCAGATATTCCGCTACTCTCAAGTATTCTCATATTGCAATACAAAACAACGGAGCTTGCATGAGTTCAAAGATAGCTGAGTCTACGTATGACAGATACGGATTTTCCGATGACTGCGGTCTGAATTTGAGAGGAGGACAACTTGCAAATCAAGTTTTCAGACTAATTGTTAAATACACGGGTAAGTTACTGTTTAAGATAAAACTTCGATCATTCATCACAGCAATAATATAAAATCGTTGTATCTTAACATTCGAATTCGTGTGAGATATATATATTGCCTGTTATTTCTTATCTGGTTACCACTTAGTTTTTTTGTATAAGTAATTCATACCGGCTTTTCAAACTCCGACTGGCCATTTTCAATTCCATGCTATTTATATTACTCGCATTTTCTTACGACCAAACTTAACGTTTTCGCCACGTATGGTCTCTCGAAATCGTCATTTTAACGGCCATGCACGAAATGGATAAAAACATGCCATCTGGCATACATAGTTTAAAATCTGGGTAATGTATTTTAAATACTTTATTTATTTCGTTTGACGTTTCTAAATTTACGAAACGGCGTGGGCTCGCTTTTCGCAAAATAGGGAATTGAAACCATACGTGAGGCCGATGAAAAAATCGGAAAACTCCTGTAGCAATTTTATTTACACCGTTATCAAATCTGCATACTAATTCATGTCCTACTTCCTAACTAAATCCGACCTTTCTTTACAGATTTCAAGCCATACTTGGAATACACACCTGGCTATCGACGTAAGTACGCTATATTGAACTTGCTAATACATATGTCAGATGCACAACGCATCTAATTTATATTATGAAATAAAATAAAATGCTCTAGTTGCATTTGCTTTGATATAAAATTTAAATGCTAAGTTCCTGAGTATATTTGTAGAATGCACCGTACTTTGAACGATTTTAGATAAAAGAAATTACAAACAAACAAAAAAGGTTATGTCCGAATGCGTATCATCTGGCATCTAAGCCTTCGCTTCATCAAAGCATGTCATAATAGCGCGTATGATGTATTAATTGTATTTATTCACAGCTTATTATTTGAACCAACTTGGCTGCTGGAAGGAAAATGTCGCTGACAGAACGATAAGGAAAACTTTAGAAGGCGGAATATTGGGAGGAGATTTCAAGAAACGAAAACACGCTGTGCAAAAGTAAGATAAAACAAAATAAATTCAAAACGCAAACTATAACTATTCTGTTATCTAAGTTACATTACAAAAATAAGATCCGGATCATGTCTGTTTTTATCATAAGCCTGCCAAAAGTTTTTCTCCCCACCCCAACTCATTATTACTTTACCTGTGTTAAATTGGTGGTTATTCAAACTTCTGTTTTCATGTAGTAATAACGCTAGCAACTCGTGTAGTGCTTCGCAAAACTGTTTATCCAGTTTGGTCTCACTCAAATTAAACATTCCTTTTTGTAGACAACTATCTCAGTCCGTCTGATTGATTGCTTTTGTCGGGCTTTGTTTCAAGCTAACAGCATCCAAAAATATTAGCATTAATGTCTTGAATCACCATAATACATTGAAGAAATTATTATTGTAGATGTGCGGAAGCATCGACTCTCAATGGCTTCAGGTTCTTTGGAATCCAGAATGGAGGTGAATGTTGGACTGGACCAAATATTATCAATAGATACATGAAATACGGTCCTTCTAGGAAATGCATCGGAGGGAAGGGATCCGTTCTTGTTAATTCAGTATATGAAATCAATACGATTTATTCCCGTAAGTTGATCAACATTTATTTCACTTTTTTCACAATTCACATATATTCCACAATTTTTAGGCTTAGTGGTTATGAAAACGTGGCTTAAAACCCATGTCCACTACTACCCATTCGCTAAAGTAACTTTGTTGTCATTGGTCAACGGCCTCCCTAGTTTTGAAATGTCTGCAAGCTTTTATTTTCTTTTATATGATTGTTATCAGACCTTTATTCCTCAATACAATATATACCGAGACATGTTTTTACATTTTAGCGCAAGTCATCTCCATGGGTTGCTTTAAAGACAGCGAAGTACTTGCTATATCCACACTTGATGGGACGTCACCCCAACTAATCTACGGTACCAGAAACCCAGATATCGTCCGATCATGCGCTCGTGTAGCTGCTGGAAGAGGATTTAACGTATTCGGAGTACAAAACGGCGTTCAATGCATGAGTTCAAGGAATGCTGAGAAACGTTATGACATGTATGGAAGGTCTGGTGATTGCGATAGTGACGGACGCGGTGGATTATTAGCAAATTCAATATATAAGATTACCAGACCTGGAAAATGTGAGTTACATTGCCAAACTGTTACGTTAGTAATGCTTGTGACATAATCGTGCTTACCGAGCAGGTTAAATATCTCGGGTTCAGCCCCGCGCCGACAACCACACGTATGTGAATTACATAAGTTATGCCGCTAATCTCTCGTTCCTTTTCTTAGTTTAAAGAGACGTAGAAGATTTAACACACATTGCCTACTTGTCAAGAGTCTTTTAATGAAAAGAGCGCACCTTCTAAATACTGATTTGGCATTTTTTTCTTCAAAACTATTCGCTATTAACGTAGCATTTTAACTGTTTCGATTGCTTTTGATTCGGCATTTCGAAAACGACTTAAATGTTTTCAGATTTCAAAGCCAATTGGTATGTTAACCGATAATGGAAACAAAATGATATCTCTCGATACATAAAAATATGTGTGAACTGCAGAGCCTAATTACGATTTCACGTATGATTCAAGACTTCATAATTATTTTTGGAAAAGGCGTTTTGGCGTATCCCGAACGTGCTTACAGTCGATTACATGGTGTGCTTCGCCCCGTGTTGGTTAATTATGTGCGAGAGGATTGTTGTACTTCTCGCTGTCGTATGGTAGTTAACGTAACTGCAAGCCGCTTATGCTTCCTTTACCGCCATAGTTCATTAAACGGAACAATTGACTGGTTAACTATTCCTAAATGACATGGACTGAACTGAAACTGAACGAGAGACCGATTGTGCACCATATAATTAACCCGATAAATATGACTTTCCGACTTATGAAAACTTACAGAACCTTGTCACACCACGGTTGCATGTGAAAAGCGGAAATGCAATTACTCACAAAGTACGGTCCGGACTTGTATTATCAGCTTCTCTGTTGATCCTCTCCATTCACATTCATTTCAATTATACCACTTATTTGACAGTTTACATTCAAAACATTGGATGCTGGTCTGACGATGTTTTCCATACGATACCAACTGCAGAAGGATTGAACTTGGAACTGAGATGCGAAGCTCATTACAGGCGACGATACGATCCCGTTGCAAGTTGCGCGCGATACGCTGATGAGATGGGATATAAAGTGTTTGCTATCCAAGATGGAGGAATGTGTATGACTTCACCCACTGCTCATATAACGTACAAGACGATTGGGCCGTCTTACGCTTGCTCAATGGACGGAAAAGGCGGACACATGGCTAATCAAGTGTATAGAATAAAGTGAGTATTGAGCCCAGAAAGATTACCTAGTTTTATTTAAGCTTGGAGGTTTGATAATTCTACTAAATTTCAAACTTAAACAGAAGCGTAGAAAGTTCATGGTAATATTTAACAGACAAATAATATTTTCAAGACACCCGATAAAGTGAAGTCGCTTCAACCTGTGTCTTGAAAATGTCGTGTTCCGCTTTTCTTTCGCTCATAACAAGACACAGATACATATAAGGATCCTACATTTGATAATGTCATCAACTTTTTGGTTCGGCATCGCCTATGCAATTTATTGTACCCTGGGCGAGGAGATGGGTCACGTATTTTTAACCCTAACTGTTTACCTTGCTTAGTTTTTGTCAGAAATTTGGAGTAAATGTATGAAGTGATATTAAGAAACAACATATTCCAAGCACCCTGTAGCCTGTTATGGTGCTTACACTTGATAGCGATATATAACTCCTATATATAATAAAGATTCATATTATTCTATCTGCTTTATCAGATATCATGGGCGTCCCAGATGTCAAAACCCAATTTCTAGAGCCGGAAAAATACTCCTAAGAAGAAGGAAATCCAATGAGTAGAAAAAAGGCGATGACGATGGACTGACTGAAAGAAAAGCACGGCAGTCATCAACCTTTCTGTCGTATTTTATTAGAGCCACTATAGTTCTAGTACATTTAATCTCGCTACTTAATATATTGTTGCATGCTATCACTTGACTGTATCGTTTCATCTCGGCCTATAAAGTTTCTTATAATACTTTTATCTATTGTTGACATTTACTCACATATTTGTTTTGGAAAATAAATAAGTAGATCATTACAATTTATTGTGTGTATCATAATCTCAGGTTATTATAAGATTGGGTAGGAGTTACATCTTCAATTCGGATGAGAGGAAAGTTGATAAGATGACTTTATCATAAGGCAACCCAATGCCCCCTTGTCCAGTTCCCAGTCCATGTTGCTACGACAATCGCAGAATGTCGGTGCATACACATAGTTGAATAGGCTAGAACAGGGGTGAGCAAGGTTTTCGGACCAGAGGCCAATAATTTAGCTATCAATCTTCACGAATTCGCGTGCAGAAATAGATTATTAAAAACCATCGGGGAAGATAGACTTAATTACATTGCAAGAATGCGTAAGCTATGAACAAATATTAACGCCAAGAGAGCGTTGTGGGGGCGTTAACAAAACTTTGTCGACAGCCGACACTATATTAAAACTCCAGGCTGCGCGGGACCGCACACAACAAGTGGGCGAGGAAAGAGGTCAGGGAAAGCACGCCTTCAAATCGTCGAGAAGACGTGAAATTTTGTTAACGTCACCATAACATGAACGTCGGTGGCAACATGAAATACAGTTCACACAAACGACTATCATAATCTAACAAGCCCATTGCACCACTTGGTTAGTAGAAAATTTAGGGCAGCATCAGGCGGGACAGATTGAATCATCCAACGGGCCGGATTTGTTCCGCGGGCCGTAGTTTGCGTTGCCCTTGTCATGGTTAGATATTGGTGTAAGGTATTAAGTGGAAGAAATTGCCTGCAATAGCACAGTTGCTCAATCCTGCCCGGATTGACACGTAGTGGATTACAATATCGTGCGAAAGGATTGCAGAACTTGTAGCCGTCGCAGGGTTATGTACTTAATTTATTTACACATATACGGTACCCCGAGGGAAGGAAAAAACAATAAGACGGCTTAATGATAGCATAAAAATTAAGAGAAATAAGTAAGCAAATTATCAAGCACCTATGGTTCTAATATTTTGTTCAATGGGTAAAAGGTATTGAAATCCAGAGTAACCTGGGCGTGCTTTCCGTTTCTGGTATTACTACAAATTATCATTCTGCACTTTTATTTACAAAGTTTTACAATATGAAAGCAATATACAAAAAGAGAAGCAAGCAGGATTACTATGACAGTAATTCATTGAACTTTTATTGATAGTATCAACATCGTTACAAAGTAGTGAACTACTCTGCTAATTGCACATACTACAGGGTGACTCAAAAAGTAAGTTTACATATATATACCGTACCATACACAGATCTTGAGGTGCGGTTGAACTCGCACTAGTAGGGGGACAAAAGTCCGGGCCTATTTTTTGATAATTGCTACTTTAATTGATCAAGTCTCCTGTCAATAACTGTTAACATACTTCAGATACATACCTGTATAACTCTACCATGTAGTTTAGAACTGATTGAAGAAGCAAAAAGAAGAAATAAGCACGCAAAAAAATATGGGTTTTGTTCATTTCTGTAAGTGACATTATCCAACTGAAGAGCGGGGCTGGCTGATGATACAAGATTTCGCATTCGTCATGACATTTAACTGGACAGTATTAAGTCGATTAGGCATTTGCAACAGACAATTACAGAAGGCTTGACTATGCCAAAGTTTTTGAAAAATTTACTTTTTTCACGCTCCTATCCATTCACCATGATATCAGAGCCAATTTATTTAAACTAACAGCCGAAGTCATCTTATAAATAAATTAGAGCTTGAGTAGTGTGTACACTTTCCTCGCCTCCACAGCCATTTGCCAAAGATTACAAATTCTAATGTTGAATCAATTAAACAGAAAATAAGCAAATTTCATTGCATATAAGCATCATATTATCACTGCAAACCTGACGGCTGATTGTTTACTAATTTACTCAGAGAAAATGAAGTGAACAATGGATAATTAAATCCTGGATCTTGGAGTGTAAATTCTGATTGTACAATGTAATCTCTGATATAAGACAAGAATAAATATAGAACTGAGAATAATCACATAACAATGAAATAATTAATTAATTAATTAATTAAGTATTGATCAGTTTGTACGGAGGAAGTAATTTAAAAATGTTGCGGAAGGATTTCAAACCACTATGAAACAAAATGATATTTCTTATGCAATAACTCCCTAGATCAGTTATTGCTTCTATTAATCCAATAACAGGATTGCAGCTTTTTCCCAGGGATAAAATAAAATTGTTTTATTATGGTGTCCAATCAATGAAGACTTGTTCGAATTATTACGTGAAACAAGGAAAAGTACTAGCGAGCATAGAACAAAGATAAGAAAAAAACTTGTACAGTAGAAGAAGCAAAATGATTACATAATGTGGCAAGTGATGAAGCGCAAGTTGATCTTGAGCTCTGCTTTTTATTTACTATTGTATCTTGTCAAGAATCTGCTGGGATCCATCTACAGCTTCTTTACTTATGCTTCCACATTTAAGATTAGCGGGAACGGATATATCTAAAAATGAAAAAACATATGAATGAAATGATGATTAATAAAACCGCGGTCATTGCAAACAGTCAGACAAAAAAGTTGTTTCTTAATCGTTGGCAACTTGTTTTTGCGAATAGACCATCATTTTTGTTGGAAGCTCTTATACCTGGGGACAAGGTTCCCTCTAAGGTGCGGGACTGCACCATTGCGCAGTACCACCAGACAGACCATTTGCGCGGTAAAACCTCATTGCGCACTTGCAACATCACATTTTTAAAGCGTGACTGTCATATTTTTTAACGCCTAGCTAGAATGTTCATTCCATGTTTTCAAGGTAAATGTGTACTTCGTTCGCATTCTGATAATATATTTCACATGGTTTGTAAATCATTTAGCACTCTGCTCAGACTTAAAATATTCATGCTCAGTAAAACATATATTTGCTCAGTGTAACATTTTCTTAGAGGGAACACTGCATGGGGGTATCGGAAAACAGATACAATTAACAACAAAACTCATTATTAAGTTACCATTGTCAAAGTTCAAATGTTCATAACAATTAATTCATTAAAGTTTTATGGCTGTGAATACAAATCTTTGACAAGATTGTCTGGTATTTTCGATTCCTTCTGCATATTCTACATAAATAACATTTCATATTGAAAACGTGAATTTTGAATTTTTTCAAACTTTTTTGATTTCTTCGTACAGAGCAAAGATATGAATGAACACTCCATTAAAATGGATAAATATCACTAAATGCTACTTACCAATCAGCTTTGGGTAGGCCAGATTCAACTCTCTCATGAATTCAATGAATTTATCTTTAGACAAAGTCAATCGTGGATTCAGAGTTTTCTCTTCTAGAATTGTTGAGCTCGTGAAACCTAGAAATAATTATTTAAAATTAGATAAAATTGCATATTCATCCTGAAGCGAGAGGAAAGATGGTACAGCTAAAACTAGTGTTGTGTGTTCACCAGGGGTGTGCAACATTTTTCGTCAGTGGATCATAAAACCAACTTCAGGTATCCAGATGGGCCACACATAAAATTCAGTTTTTCCATGTACACGACGAATTACAGTAATAAAGGCAAGAGGCAAAACAGGGAAAGATTTAACACTTCGACAAGAGCAGAAAATGTCATGTATTTGTACCCATGTTAGCGCCTTTTTAAACATAAATTGTCGGATTATGATTTTATGCTTGATTGGGAAAATTCCACAGGGCCACAGAAAACAGCTTGTCGGGCCCGGCTGTGGTCTTTTTGTTGCACCCTCCCATGTTAAGAGGGTTGAGTCTGACTATGTCGGCATTGCAGGTTGGATTCAACATGGTTGCTAAGAGTGAAATCAGCTGAGTTGACAATGTCAAGGCGAAAAGAGTACAGCCTTTTTATATATGGCTTTTATCTCTTGCTATTTGAATGTAAAAAAACCTCATAGGAACTAGACATATAGCTACTTATTACATTGATAACAAGTCTTGATAATATTAGCTTCTACAATAACAGATATATCTTTTTTGACAGTGAATCAAAAAATAAATATTCATTTACCTTTGTAGTCGTGGCCTGGAAACAGTTGATAAAGATCTGGAAGTGTGAAGATCTGCTTGTGGATGGAATCGTAAAGTTGAGATGGGTTTCCTGAAACATAAAAAATATTCAAAATGATTTATTTTGTATAAAATATTGCAAGTTGAACTTTGTTGAATTTTCTACAACAGAGTATCCATGAAATTACAACTAAATGCACTATTTGATTCAAGAGTCTTGCTGCACACTAACACAAATGTATTTCTGGCATCTTTATTCTTGCAGCAGCATCCTTGCGTTACACGCATACTAACCCACTTTCACAATAGCATAGAGCAAGGTCAGTTAGTCTTACATAACCCCAACTGATAGCAACTAAATGTACAGTCATGAATTCCCCCAAATATACCATAAAATATTCAAAATATACCTTGCTGGAAGTCAGTTCTCCCACAAGCTCTTATAAGTATCGCATCTCCTGTGAAAACCATCTTATGGTCATGTGATACAAAGGAGGTGCAACCACCAGTATGTCCAGGTGTTTCACGGCACTCTAAATACTGCAAAACATTTCGAAGCTTTATTACAAAATATTGTTCAACAAATTTCAAATGATATAATATTTAAATTGTGCAAAATAAAGTATTGGATCGTTTTAGCCACAATACACAGCAATTTGCTCGAGATCTTGTTATTGCTATTTTGTTGTTTATTATCGCTTTTAAAGAATCTGTTGACTAACATTCTAATAACATAAGTATTTTCAATACAAATAAAAGTCTGGATAAGTTTTATATTACTCAAGATTTTGACAGAGCGCACTGGAGTCGGTTATTTAAACAAAAGAGCTATGCTCGAATATATGGACACGTCACAGGGTGTCGCTGTTTTTTATTCTGACACATAAAAAACGAATCTCTTGAAGTCCACAGACATTTTTGAAATAAGTAAAAGTAAAATGAAAAAAGTAACATCCTTCTGGCAAAAAAATCAATCTTTAACCACTGAACATTTCGAAGCAATTGGTCCAGTATTCGAAAAAAAAGCGATTTCATCATGACGAAGGAGAAGAATAACAAGAACAACACATAATATTGAAATGATCGTTATGTACATCCAATAATGCAACAGTGGTGGTTCACCAGTCCATCAGAAATTGATTCAACTGGTCTTGTGCTCAACAAATGTTGCAAATTTACAGTGACCTCACCACCTTGGTGCCCTTATACTCGAGCATTGCACTCTTATAAATTAAATTTTACCTACTTTTTATATAATTTATATATACCTCCAATTAAACCTTACCAGTTATGCTCCCCCCCATGCCATTGAACTAAAGCAGAAGTGGGCAAGGTTTCTGGACTTGTGGACGCAAATTTGCCCCCCTAGACTAGCGGGACATGTAAGTGTGACATAGAGAGTTACATTTTATGAACAGAAACCAAATCATTAGCACAAATATTTACAGTATTACAAAAGCAAAAGTTGAAAACAATAAGACTCAACAAATTCAACAATTTCCTTTTTTTAGCTAAAACATCAAAATTTGGCTTTATTTTGGTTGTGGTAGCATTAGGCAGGCCAGATTGAAGTACGCAACAGGCCGGCTTTTGCACATGTCACCACTAAAAGATCTATATGAGTATAATACAAGGAGACCGTACCAAGAATAACTGTTGGGTGTCAATCATCATTTTTGTAACATTTTGTCATACCACTCACCTCTGTACCAAATCTAATGATGTTCCCATTCTCCACATATTTATCGGCCGTTGCTCCAGACTTTGCTGAAATGACTGATTTGAGATTAGGTAAAGCTGATTTCAGCTTTCCTGTTCCTGTTACATGATCTGCATGGACGTGTGTGTTTACTGGAAGAAAAGGAAGAATTTATCATTGTATACAAAGTTGATATGCTTAATCTTAGATGTGCAACCTTTAATACAGGAGGACCAGATGCAACCGCGGGCCACACCTTTTATAACATACGCTTTAATTGCAGACACAAAAAAGCATTGTAATGTCATAGACATAGATAATAAATTGGACGGAGGTATAGGTTTTGTAACACAAAAGGATTAGAATTACTCGCACCAAATTAAACTATCAATCATTCATCATCATTCAAAATTGGCATTTCCCTGAGGGTCTCACTCAAATTCCTGTGGAGACATCCTCAGAGTCAAGGAATTTATATTGAGCTAGATTAAAAAATTCAAATTGGATGCTTGTTTTGTTTTTCCTTTTTTCCCTTTCTCCGAGCAAAAATCTGTACAAGCAGGAGGGAACTAGTATTTTGAAGGGGCAAGATTTTTTTCCAGTTCAGAATTACCCTAATATGTAATAACTCGGGTGTGGAGGCAGGTATGAAGTTTTGTATAAAAAATATTGTATAATACTTACTGCCATAAATAAGATCCAAACCCAGCTCCTTCACATAGTTTAGATCTCTTTCAATCTAAAAATAAATACCATATATTGTTATTATTGAATATTTTCAAAACAAGAAATGATAAAGATCTTTTAGCCAAATAAGGTATTGGTCCTAATAGGGCTTTATACCAGAACCAAAAGCCACTTAAAAATGGAAAATTATAATATTGAGTTTTTTGGCTTGACCAATCGATAAATCTCTGTTTTAGCAACGTATTAGGAGAGTTAGTTGGTGGGCCTAAAACAGAGACCTTTAAGTCTGACACAGACATTTTATATATTCGTATTTGATGAGTGTGCCCAAAGCAGAGTCCTGAACAACCTACTAAGATGTGGAAATAACTGTACAGAGTGGAAATTTTAGCATACGATTACCCACCAGAACGTCTTCCCCACAAAAAGTAAACCAAGGTTGCAAATTTGCTGTGCAATCAGAACATATTAAAAATTATAGAGAATTGAAAGCAGCATGGTACTGGTTCTAGTAATTCTATAGTATTTAGGCATCGGCATCTCCATGCCAAGCATGATTCATACAATTGTATATTATCCATATCCTGTTATTTCTGATCCTGTTAGTCCTGAATTTCCTGTTATTATACCACGTCCACATTTGCTATATTAAATGAACTTCACTCGGTAATTATGATAATGAAATATTCCGAGACACATATAGGCACTGTATATTATATATATCACTCTCATAATTATTTCCTGTCATTATATTATATCCCGTTTCCTGTATTAAAAGAACTTCCCCCCCAAATCAAAACCAATATACGATATAAAATGAATAAAAGACATGACAAATGACAAAAACGAATATCGAATATCGGTTCCCCTCGTCAACTGCAACAAGCCAATATTCGTTTGCCTCTTATTTATTTCATCTTGTATACTGATTTTTGCACGATGAAAATAAATATCTAAATCTAAAATATTCCAATGCGCAGGTAGGGTCACTGGCCAATGCCATTCACCTCACCAGAAATACTGCTATTTACCATATCATCAACTGGATCAATTATGATGGCTTCTCTTGTTTTTGAACAGGCAAGTAGGTAGGTATAGGTGTATGTGTCGTAGTGGAACAACTGAAAATATAGGCAAGTGTGAATGTCATATTAGTGCTATAAAAATGAGTTTCACCACAATTGTTTGTACTTCCGTAGTCTGACTCTGTACCAGGTTAGGGTTAGGCCATAATTTTATTCCAATTTTCCTCATTTTAGTTCTATTACGAGTTAGTGGACTGTCTGTGTTAGCCAATGAATATACCCCCTTCCCATAGGTTTCAGTCCCTTTACACAACTTGATGTAAAGTAGGCGAACAAAATTAGTTACCTCCATATTAGTACACACACTTCTGAAGCGCCCAAATGTTAACATGAAAACAGGACCGACTCACATTGAGATGATTTTCTATTAATTTCGAGCTCCTTTGATTATTCTGTGAGACTCCAATAGCTCATATCATGATAATTTTAAATCATTGAATATAAGATTGCAATTTTTGTTTTTGCACATCCCTGATTCAACCCTTTATATAACTAAAACACCCAATAATGATTTTAAGATTTTGGTCTTATTTTTAAATATAATACCTCTGTGCAAGAGTGCTTGTCTGGACACTATTTAGGAGAAAATATGCTTTTAAAACATGGTTCATAGATGTTATTTAATTACAACATACCTGTCTGAATATCATGCCGGCTTCCTCAGGAATCAAACTCGTAGATGCATTTCGAACAGGTGACCATTTGAAAACTTTGAACTCTTTCTGAGAAACTGAAGTTGAATTGTTTCTGTGAATATTGAATAGAAAATCAATATTTGAACTAAATAATGGCGTTAAATGAAAGGGCTGAGTTGTATGTCTGAAAGGCAATAATAAACTATTTGCCAGAAATGGAATACTAACAAAATAGTCATGTGACTATCAGTTAGAGTTACACATGACTAACTATAACCACGCATGCTGTATGAGTATAATGCAAGAATGATGCAGCGGGGAAAAGATGTTATTACTGTTATTCAAAAGTCTTGCTAATATACATTTGTGTTAGTGCACAGCAAGTTATGAATGACATAAAATTATCATAATGTAAAAGTGATAAAAGTTAGCTATAAACCTCAGGTAGTCGCAATATTATGTCAGAACAAGATTTCTTATTGCTGATAGGAACAAAGTTTATGAAAACCTAACTTACTTTTTGTGTCTGGAAGCAAATGCAGAGAAACTTCGACAACTTCGCAGTGAGATGCCAGAATTTGTAAGTAATCTCGTAACAAGAGATGATGCCGCCATGATGCAAGAAATCGATTTCAATTTAAGATTTTATAACTATCAACTCTAGAATATAAGCGAAATATAAATCAGCACAGATTTTCGAAAATTCAATTTAATTTAGAATTAGGAATGTCAAAAAAAATTTATATAGGAGGAAGAGTAAGTTTTTGAAGTATCGGTTCCAGATTGGTCAAAATATCTCAGCATTATTTGCCTAAGCCATTTATGTAGATAAGCTTGCAGATTTTTTCAGACCCAAAAGCAAACAATATTACCAACAAGTCAAGCACGAGATTTGGAACTGAAGATATTTCTGAATATAGGCTTCCAAATTTACATTCAAATAAAACCTTTTTCTCAGGCAAGAAATTTGAAGCATATAGAAAGCACATACTAAATTAATCACTGGATATACACTCAAGAATTGATAGATCAAATTATTAATGAACACACATTCAAGAAATATTTTTAATCGATAGTTTGACATAAAATCAAGACTATAAAAAATGTATCTTCTGCATAACTAGGAGTCTAATAAACCTATTGAAGTATATTAACATGATGAAAATTTGCAAAAAATCATGCAAAGTAGAATAGAATCCGGGAATAATAGAATCATTAACTTTGCAGACTGAATTATAAAATTTGACAATCTAATAATACTGGAAATCCTAAAACCATCTAGGTATATGTATGTATACACTCTGCATAACTATGAGTCTTGAATACTTAGGATATACATCGAAAGTTGCAGCAAACACAAGAAATCACAAAATATGACAAGAATCAGTAACTAGACAGAATAGCATTGTAATTTAAAAATTTTTCGACAATTTACTAATATTTCAAAATCACAAGAATAACATGAAAAAATTCACACAGCTATATAAATGCTAAATTTTACATTCCAAAAAAATTCTATATCCTCAGTAACCTTGGTAAACAGTGATTGTTTCTATTATTCAAAATACAGCAATGAATAAATATCTGAATATATATCTCAGTTTACAGCTTTTATTTAAATAAACTTCACCTTTGCTAAAGCAACACATTTAAAGCATTCTGCATTCTGCACCTAGGTAAATCAGATTCTGCAATTTGTTCTTGGATTTTAAGTTTGGCATGGAAACAAAGGTACAGGTAAAAGTATCAATGAGGAAACTGATTTCTAATTGAAAGGACTCCCAAACACAAACCCAATTTGAACATCCCCTGATAAAATGCAACAGAAACGGTTTGGTTAAATAGGTTTCCGAAAAAAAAGGGCAATTTATTCAAAAGATTTCTCTTAACAGTAACTTCTTTGAGTATGCCAAATTACGAATGGTATTCATATGCATTTGCAAGCAATCTTTATAGCAATTACAATACAACTGCAGAATCAATAACGCTCATTCATCATTAAACACCAATAACATTAAATCATTGAATATATTACCAATACATTAAATCACCAATCACTTAAAAATAATCAATATTGTGAACTTATAAATTGTAAAATTATTGATCTGCTGATTAATATCTGATTGTAATTTGACAGCCTAGGTATTAAAGTTTTAGATTCAACTATGACGGCATCGCAGGTAACACATTTCAGGTTTAAATCCCACGCCCTTTCCCTATTCTGCATTTGAAATATGGCTTTATAAAAATAAATTTTTATCAACCTCAAGCAAAAAGTATTTATACATCACAGATTTTTAAATTTAATTTACATGTTTTGAAAACACTGTAAATATTGCAGTCACACGAACACAAAATTATACTATTTTTATGGCTAATACATTAAAAAAGGTACACAGCTTTGTTAACTTTGAAACAGTACGTACACAGAGAACTGAAAACACTTGATAACAGAAAAGATGAACACTCAAATTATATTAAATTTTCATTTTATATCGAAATCAAAGTGCAGAAGGAATTTCACAATTTTCTGATTAATATGAGAAAGATAAATAAAAGATAGTCTGAACATGATTTCTAAAAGAAAATCAACAACATTTTTTTAAAAAAGATGACAATTTTGTATACTTTTTTGAGAATCACAACTTATCTGTTTTTCTCAATCTTGGTCCATTGCAACACTGCGGAAAATGTGTGGGTAAGATACAGGATAGAACAGGGGTTCCCAAGCTTTTTTCAGGACGACCCCAAAGACAACTTCCAAGTATCCAGTGCGACCCCAGGTCAATATATATATTTTCCATGAAACTTTAGAGCTTCTTTCACTGGACTTTTGAGTTTGGTCATGTGGTGGTATTAAGTAAAATAAGCTGAAAACCAACAGTGATGTCACAATAAACACCTACATTTTCAATAACAAAAGCATAGAGTGATGCCTATGGGCCTGTTTTACATTAATTAAGCCATGGTACAAACTGCTAAATTTAACATGGTTTGTCAAATCTTAGATGAGTTGTACATCCACCCTCTACCATACCTCAGCGACCCCACCGACCCCGAGACCTGGTTGCGACCCTACCTATTTATCACTCCGACCCAATTTGGGGTCGCGACCCCTGGTTTGGGAACCCCTGGGATAGAACATAAACTTTCAGAATATCAAAGTGGTATTGCAAGCCCACAGTTTTATTATTCGGAATTATTCCTAAATCAACAGTGAATGTACAAATAGACAACGCTGCTAAACACAGTTACAAAATGATAAAAAATCTAATAATTGGCAACAAAATTAGGTGCTATAATTAAAAATGGAACTAAAGAAAGAAGCTACACTACACTGAATATTGAATTTTTATAAAATCATTGATCTCAGAATGATTAATTGGCAATAAAAATTTATTATGAATTACTAACAATGACATATCAAATTTTTTTTATCTAAATTACTGATCAAAATCCGTTATTTGCAACAATGCTTTTATAGACTTCCGCAGACTTCCTTGGCGTGCGTTTTCCGCTCTCAAAATCAACATGATAAAGTCCGAATCTTTCTGTATATCCGGCACTCCATTCAAAATTATCCATCAAGGACCAGACATAATATCCTTGGATATCAACACCATCTTCCTTGTAGGCTTTCAAAACTTCTTGGACGTGAGATTTTATATATTCAGCTCGTTGTGTGTCATCTTTCTGAAGTGTTTCATCTAATGGGGCTTCTGGAGCATGCTTAGTAGAACAACCATTCTCAGTGATCATAATTGTAGGGCTGTTGTAGCGATTTTTGATGAAGTTTAACAACTTTCTCAAACCCCATGGTACAATGTAAAGCCACTGAGATCCAGCTCTTTCCCATGTTGGATCAGTCTTCGCTTCTACCTCTAAATCAGGATGGAAGCGGTTTTCGGATTCTTCCGTTGCTGGATTGATAATTCTTGTTGTGTAATAATTCAGAGCGAAATAATCAAAGCTCCCTTTCAATAATTTTTTTTCTTCATCTGTGAAAGTCGGCAAACGACATGTATCACAGCCTTCTTCTTTCCATTTTTTTTCTAAAGCTTTTTTCATCAACGGGGGGTAATCCCCGGACAAGAATACGGGATCAGCAAACCAGCAATTTGTAAATTGCATATGCAAATTTGCTGCGTCAACATCTTTTTGATCTTTTCCGCCATTGGCTGGTTCACCCCAATCCGAGTTTATAGCGATAGATAATTTTCCTCCTTGTTTTGCTCGATATTTTTTATCGTAGACTCGATATGCTTTTGCATGAGATAAAAGTAACACTCTCGACACAAGATAGGGCTTATTTAGCGTATCTTTAACACCAGGGGCATGCAAACCGACGCAATATCCCAAGTACGCAACAATCTGAGGTTCGTTAATTGTAACCCATAGCTTTACCCTATCACCAAATTGCTCAAAACAGTAATCAGCGTAATCCGCAAACAGATCACTTATTTCCTCATTCAGCCAACCCCCGATGTCTTCAAGTGCTGAAGGGAGATCCCAATGATATAAAGTCGCCATTGGTTGGATATTGTTTTTGATAAGAAGATCAATTAATTTATTATAATAATCGACACCAGCTTTGTTGATTTCCGTACGCTTTCCAGATGGCATAATTCGAGGCCATGAGAATGAAAATCGATAATGAGAGACTCCGAGGTCTTTCAGCATTTTCACATCTTCTTCTACTTTATTGTACGAATCGCAAGCGACATCGCCATTTTTTGAATCCTCAACATGGCCCGATGTGTGAGTAAAATCATCCCAAATGCTTTTTCCTTTGCCATCATCCTCCCAAGCTCCTTCAATCTGATAAGCTGATGTTGAAACCCCCCATGCAAAATCTTTTGAAAATTTTCCACTGATGATTCCACTTTTTGCCATTTTAACTCAATCTATTACTAGTACTTGTACTGAATTAACACCAGATATAGAAACAACTTCAAATTAGGTATACCATTTTGGTTTTTCAAAAATTTATACAAGTTTAGGAGGCCGTTGGCTTTTTACCAAAGTGATAACTGGTCATCAGAAACACAAAAAAAGTAAACTAATTCGTTGTTCGAATAATTTCAAACTAATGCTGCCTGGGCAAGCTTTATTTAATTCTGATTTAAAGTGGACTCATTTTTCAGTTTATTGACTACTATAAACAGATAAATGGCTATTTTTTACTCTTCAACTCTGTCTCAAAATTTTTTTTTTCAAATTTTCATCATTTTATATGACCTGGCCCTAGACTACTCTTCAATAACTTACTTATGACTTTAAGGGGACAAAACACCTCCCTTTGCAACATCTAAAAGGCAATACTGTAATATTCCATCGATCAACCAATTTTATTTTGGTGCTCTCCCATTCCTGCATTCTAGGAGCATTAACAGGAATTCAGGTAAAGTCATTCAGTAAGCTATTTCAGTATTTAGAAATAGAGAAAAATAACATGTTATACCAATGTCAGAATGTGTTCAAGGTCACTTTTACATCATCAGGTCAACGTAATTTTTGTTTTTCGAGAATCTAAACACCAAATGACAATGCAAAAGCTTGGAATCTGTTCATACGAGTACGTGCCACTGGTCAACGGTTGCAAAAATCCCCTACTTTCACTCTTCTGATTGGTTTAAAAAGAGGGCTCGACTGCACACTTCAGTTGCTCGATGAAGGGGCGTTTTATTTACATTCATTGTGACCAATGCAAGCTACATGAAATTACGATGCAATAAACAGATTCAAATTTTTGATATTTGAATTATTTTGATTCATAAGTAGGAGAATTCAAAAAATTAACTAGCTTTAGCAAAAACATATTTAGGCTATAAGCATTCAAATTGCTGAAAATACCGTAAAACCGTTAAAGCAAGCAGGCGTTGTTGCTTCGACCGTTTATCAAAACATATGTTCTGAACATTGTCGGCACGTGGCGTAGTAAAAGTGATTAGTCATTCAATACAATTCACAACTTTCTGTTTGTTGTGCAAGTGTAGCAAGCAGTGCTTGGATGATAGCGGTTGACCATGTCTGCAAAAAGGTCTCTTCATTTTGTATTTAAGATCGGAAATAGAAAGGAAACCGCTAATTTTTACAGAGATGTACTGGGAATGAAGGTTTTGCGCCATGAGGAGTTTAAAGAAGGCTGTAAAGCGTCTTGCAATGGACCTTATGATGGTACATGGAGCAAAACAATGATTGGATATGGCGCAGAAGATTCGCACTTCGTTTGTGAATTAACTTACAATTATGGCATTGGGCAATATAAACATGGGAATGATTATTTAGGAATGACTATCAATTCCAGTCAAGCATTTGAAAAGTGCAAAAGTGTTGCAACATGCGAAGAAAAAGATGGTCAACGCATTGTGACATCACCGTGTGGTTATAAATTTATTGTATGTAACAATGCAGTTGAAAACGATCCAGTGCAGAAAGTTACCCTCGGCTGTGAAAGTTTAGAAAAAAGTCTTAAATATTGGCAGGAAGTGTGTGGAATGCAAGTTTTTGACAGAAAGGATAAGAACGCAATTCTTGGATATGACAAAGCCCAAGCAAAGCTTGAAATTGTGGAAGTGGGATCTGTTGATCACGCAACAGCATATGGGAGAATCGCGATCGGGTGTCCACGAGTTGAACTACCGGGAATTCAAAAGAAAGCAAAAGATAGCGGAAATAAAATTCTGACGGAACTTGTGAGCCTGGATACCCCAGGTAAAGCAACAGTTGAAGTTGTGATTCTTGCTGACCCAGATGGCCACGAGATCTGTTTTGTTGGAGATGAAGCCTTTAAAGAACTTTCTCAAGTTGATCCAGCAGGAGACAAACTATTGAACGATGCAATGGAGGCCGACAAAAGTGACGAGTGGTATGCAAAGCGTAACAAGCAGAAACCACAAGCTTAGAGATGTTGCATTGACCAATTTATAAACTTTGTAGCCAATGAAGTGAATTAGGCAACATTGAAACTTCAGGTGAATACTGACAAACTGACTATCCGTTTTGTTTAGGAAAGCCGGTTCTTCTATATAAAGCTGATTTAGTTTGTGTCTGCTATGGTAATAGATAAACACGCCCAGAAAATTTCTACATTATGTTCCGTCATTTTCCTCTTGTAACCGGACGAGTGGTCGTGGAATGAAAATAGTTCAGTAGAATGTTTCTCTTTTCTTTTTATACTGCTATCTCTACATTTGTCAGAAGGTTGCGAGATTTTTTAATTTGAATATGTGTGGTGCGCTCATTGGTGGTTTGTAACAAGTTCAAAACTTATTGCTTCAACTTTTTAGACCTGATTATTCAAGGATGTCTCATTAACAAATTTACTACTAAAGTCATTGTAAAACTATCATAAAATATACTAATATTTATGGCAATTTTTTTTGTAAAATTGACACATTTGAGAGAAAACATGGATTGATCTTTATCAACGATTACCAAGTAGTACCAAAAACTGGATAAGCCCAATATGAGCTTATCACAATCCACTATCATGTTTTACTAATGTCTCTAAGTGGCCGAAATGTAACTGTAGATTGCACTTTTATTAAGTAAATTGTTTATCAATTTATTATAGTAGGTTAATCTATTCATTTGAAATATTTTTTAATAACAAGTTCAATATCGAAAATGATATATTTAATATTCTAATGCCCATTAATTGGCGATATGTTATTATGTACATAATGATTTGTAATAAATTTTTTAATGAATTCTCACAGCATTTCTTGATTTCTATTCGATTAAAAGAGAGTGTTTTTGAGTGTGTATTTTTCAATAACCGAGAAAGTCAAATAAAGATTTTTTTTTTGAATATTTTAATCATGATAATCAACTAATGATCCATGGAACGTGAACAAAACATTTGAGTAAAGTTGTAAATTTATCTGAATGTTCTTCAAGTTGCACAAAGAAGAATTTCCTAAATAGTAAAACCAATGGTGCAAGTGTAATACTGGGAATTTTGCATTGGGTCGAAAATCGATGAAGCATGACTCGACAGCATGATATTGTTTCAACTAATAACCATTACATTACCATCAATAACAATTTCAACCATTTTCTCCCCTAGTATTTTCCGGACCTCCTTCATAGAATATACCTACGACTTCCAGCTTGTCTATCTAACCGAAACAAATGTATTATATAACGCAATAACAATTAAACCCAACATCTCAAATTTGCTTCAATAATTTGATATTATTCGGGGGAAAGTTCTATGTAGATAAATTCATGTGAGGCGAGCATGGGCGTTCACAGATTAACTTTTTACATTTCTAATCTTTGTTAATAGGTTTAATTTGAGTGCTTGTTATCTTTTTACTTTATTGGGTTCCAATTTCAAGTGATGAGTGAATTGTGTGGTGTGGTAAAATATTACTCAGTGGATGAAAGGTTATTTTTTTGCTGAAGACTGTAAATAAAAATTTGTAAATTTCACTAAATTTTTACTGTAATTATCAAGGCAAGAAAAGTGTGACAAAGAAATAAAGATGTTATTCTGTTGGAATTTTTTTTTTCTTTCAATTTTTTTAATATTTCTTCTGTAGTTCTTTTGAGTAGTTGGATAGCCTTAATACCAAATTATTGCACATGCCAGATTTAGGTCACCGAAGATATAGATTGTAATAATGAGTTTATTTTCTGATTTTTAAATTACACATCAGTTAAACATGCTTGGTTTGGGGGTGGCATAGTATATAATATAGTATAATTGGCAGAATAATCTCCACACAAATAATGGGTTGTAATTCTGCCAGTTCAGTCATAGTTTGGTTTCAAATGGCTTAATTATAATTCCATAATAATATATAGTTAGGAATAGAGATGGATATTTGGTCTCAATCATATTTTTAGTGGCCTCTTCCATATAAGCATATCTAGTGCCATATTGACAGTCGGTTAGAAATAGGGAAAGATAGATATATGGACAGAATCATGATTTGAATGGCCTATCTTTCAGAGGGATATTTTTCTGTCTGGATGGGGATGGGTCTATGGCCTTCTTAGTAGAATGTTATTGGGCTGTCATATAGACAGCAGAATAGGGATGGATATATATGATCCAAATTTGTCATTTTCGGAAGTGTCATATTCAAATCATTTACTTTACATTGTATCATTTTGATACTACGAGACAAGAATGCAGTATCTATATTGTTTAAGTTCCACTATGAAATTTAGAGTGCCATTTATTTGAAGCAGGATTAATTGCAATAGTGGGTTTGTTTTATCAGATATTGGAAATAAAATTTATGGAAATAGAATCGTTTGAATATTTTACATCAGTACAGGAATTTTGTCGCGGGAATGCCAATAGAGGGTTTGGGGGAAATCTGTTGGTTAGACACACTCCACAGAGTATGGGATATCAGTAAGTGAGCATTTGATGACAAATATTTTCTTAAGCTCTATTACGTTTCACCATTTCATATTTGAAAGCAAATGATGGAAATTCATGGAAGAGTAGAGAGTGTCTTCTAGAATTTTATGTATGGTATCACAAATATCTTATAAGATTCATAGGAAAATTACGATATATGCCAAATTCTACCAGAATAGTCATTATATTTATTAAGATTCATATGTACTCCTGAAGTATGTGAACCAAGATGGCGAACACCAAAACGTAGTATGTGTATCAGGTTAAAATTATTCCATAATTTTATTCCTATTTTCCTTATTTTAGTTCTATTACGAGTTCGGGAACCGAGTGACTATCGTAGTATTTGTACCTGAAATTATGGCTCAATCCTAACCTGGTACACATACCACGTTCCAGTGCCCGTCATCTTGGTTCACATACTTTGAGAGTACCGATTTATATTCAATCTTAAGTCTCTCCCCTGTGGTATGAGCACACATTTCTTGGCCTCTAATTACCCAGTTCAGACAAAGCATGATTATTTTTACTCTGTATAATAATTTGACATCATAAAGGTAATTGGGATTTGATGATAAACAACAGCATTTTTTAAAATAGTAGGTATACCTCACTGACTTACCGGTACTTGTTAGTAAGATAAGAGAGGCAGAAAAGTCATAAAACACTCCACCTCATACATTGTTACTCAAAATACACTCATACCACTCTTTGGGGGTACAATCCTTCTCTTTTACCTACCCCTGCCTTTATGTTTCAATAAATATAGGAACATTGACTGTAGTGTTAAAATTCACTTTTCTATAATTTAAGACACTTAGGATCAAGATGAATTTATTGCTTTCAAAAAGGAAACATATTTGATTTGATACATTCTTGATTGTAGGAATAATTTGAAGAGCTGTTATTTGAAAAATTAGCATTTTGAGAAATTGGAAGTGTCACACGATTACCAAAAACACTCTCATTCGGTATATAATAATCTCTAGATCGGGGGTAATATGGGCCTTGGTGATTTTCACATACAGTTTCCTCACAAAATACACTAACTTGAATTTCCTCACAAAATACACTAACTTGAATAGACGCATATACCTAATCTCAAATTTATTTATTTCAAGCTCAACAAAAATTAGGTAACAAGGTCTCCTGCAATATTTATAATCTGAACTGCAATCTTAGCCTTCAACTCATGTAGTACTGTTTGATTGTATTATGTAGGTCAGGTCATTGTATCACTCGGCGGTACACACAGAAATGTCCTTTTTCATCAGTAGATATGAACATCATGCATGGCCAGAAGACTTAGGCACTCATTTGTTGTTTGCCGTCGCCTTGACATTCTCTATTTATAGCCATAATTTAAAATATTGAAGCCTCTGCAGTCTGCACTTTAAGTGCATTGCAAATAAACGTTATAGGTTATTGTCATCTGCAAGCAAATAAACCTCTTATTTATGAAGGTCTTATTTTACTGTGTTTCATATAAGAGTACAAATCCAATCTTTTATAAGTATAATATTTAAATAATATTTTCATCATGAACCAATGGAAAATTGTGCATAGGGGATATTTTAACTTGCTAGAAGAATGTAAGGAGTTGTTAACTCTATTTGTTTGTCTCCATTTTAATCCAGATATTATACCACCACTTCTTAGTTGAAAAGAGACCTTTTGGTCTCTCATTAAAATAAGTGATTGAGCTAATAAATTTAAACTTTTATACGCTAACTAAATAAAAAGTCAATGGCTCATGCTGCAATGCTAGTGTCAGCAAATTTGTTATGTGGCATCAGATGTGGCATGCCAGACAACATGACAAATTTGAACAATGAGTTTGTAGGTTATAAAAAGTTGAAGAACAGACATGATGTCTGTTGATAATAAATGTGACTGATGAATAGGTGTCTGCAACTATAAGTACTTGACCCTTTTCTCTGCCACGTCGACAAATTTAATCCCATGATGAGTTGATCTCTGACCTTTGAACTTTTAAATATAAAGGTCAACATGAATTGTAATAGAACTAATCAGTCTATTGAATGATTCCAACCAAATAGCATTTTGCGCGGACACTAACATTCGGCAGGATTCAAACCCCATATTTTGATTACCATGAATGATTCATTCACCTTTAGATTTAGATGATATGGGAATACTATACTTCAAAAGTTGTAGCTAAATCAGGTATGTAATTGATTATTCAATTTTCAATTGTGCCTCACTTAACTGCTCCATATTCAGTGATTGACACTTTAACTTCCCCATAATTTTATTTTATCTCCATTGAAAACAAACTCAACAATTCAGTATTTATGTACATGCCATCAACTTTTTACATAGTTTATTAACTTTTCTGACCCTGGTCATATGATATAATACAGAAATACCCATGTCTTAGTGTGCAAGACTCTCAAATCACATAAAATAATGTTCATCTTAAATACACTTTAAACAGATAATTTGATAAAAATATTTGTTTTTTCTTCTGTACAGGCGTAAGGCATCGCCTATGCCAAATTTTAGTTTGTTGGCAAACCTCCAAAGTGTGATAATTTCTCATTGTTATCTGTCTGCCATGCCTCCCAAGATTTGTAGTCAAAAGTTCATACAAAGTAAATTTGCATCTGTTGAATGCAGCCATAATTAAATGTCAATACAGACACACTTAACGTGCCGTTTGTGAATGCATTTGCTGCGAAAAAAAAACCTTGTAGCAACCTTACGTGGGATGAGATTTGTTTTTTGTTTTGAATAGTATTTTTTCAGCGAGCCTATGTGCTAGGAAGTTTCATTTCTTAAGATTAATGTTTGAAACGTCAAACTTTGGAAAAAAAAAGGAACTTTGATTGTATCAACTTTGAAATGTGTTTAAACTATATTATTTGAAGTGGGTGCCATTGCCAGCATTACACTTGACTCTGTTTGCCATTGCATGGGATACCTTCCAGATTGAAATCGGGCAGGAAATGCAATGCTTGACCTACAATAGTAGCTTTTTAAATATTGTAACATATCAGTAGATTCTTGTATAGTCTTGTTCATTGCAAAAGGATTAGATAAGTGTCAGATAAAAAGTCTATCCTGATATTTGAGTGACTTTATACAATTATGAAATATATGGATAATCAAATTGCAGTTAAGCACCTTTACTTAGCCAATGTGTGTTAAATTTTGTAGTATAGAATAGGATTTACATATTTATCCCGGGGGAGAGGAAAGTCGATAGAACGGCTCAATCATAGGGCGAACTCTCGTCCGATAACCATTCCATGTCGGGTATGGGATTAGTTATCGTAGGCATTTGTTTTCAGAATCATGGACTTCATGGTGGAGGAAGCTGTAACCGACCTGCAGTTACATGAACCACCCTACATCAGCGAGGAGTCAGGAGGAGCAATCCTCTTGCACATAACTATCCCCACATGGGATTGGAACCTGTGAACCTATGCAGAGTAATTAAAGGTGCGGTGGCGAGCGTATTCCTAACGCTTAGCACGATGAGCCACATCGTCTAATAGACTGTAGACTGTTCCAAAGCAAATAAGATTTGGTCTTTACAGTTAAAATAGCATTTTACACTCCTCATGCATAAGCCATGTTTGAGTTGAATATATAAGGTGTCCATGAAGTCTTTGAAATTTTTTAAAATTGCAAAGGTAATTTAAATGCCATATAATGTTCTGGTCTTTATTAAATGGAGTGAAAATACTTGAACAACTAACCTGGTTAAGATATATTGAGAACTGACTTCATAACAAAATTGAAATTTTAAGGGACGTTATGGACACACCCTCTATGATAAAATAAAATTATAATCTTATTCAAAATTCAATTATTCTTTTCTTATTAAGCAAGTGTTACTTTGATTGATAAACCAATTTTCCTTATAATCAAATCAAACAAACATGAAATAAGAGTTATTTGACAGATGGTATGAGTTCGTTATTCATAGAAGCATCTGCAAACATAGCCATAGTACTTGACAAAATGATATGGGCGGAAGGAAATCCTATTCAATACAGGAAATATGCCATCTGCAAATATAATTATGGGATAGGTTTATGTGCTTTAGGTCGTTTTGTTGAATTTTTATATTTTTGCAGGAAATGAGTATGTTGTTCCATAGATATTAAATTGGTATGAAGCTGCATAAGCCTAGCATGAATTACTTGTAGCCCAAAATTAGAACATGGTTTCGCACTATATAGCTTATCACTGGTTTAAACATAACATGTTTTGTGTAGTCACCGTTAAACCATGAATTTCATTATAAAAGTCATAATATATCCAGTGTTTGCCATTGAATAGTACTGATTGAAGTTGATAAGAATTCTAAATTCTTTAATAATACCACTTTTATATATAAGGCTATGAGGAGATATTTGAATAAATTTGTCAATTTCTAGTAAAAACAAAATAAAATGTACTTGCTAGTTAAACCTTTTTTTCTTTTGTCGTCTACTTTTGTTGCACAAAAATTTCTGTGGCTCATTGACTTTCTCATGCAAAGGAATAACTACAAAATTTTTTGCAAAGATAGACAATTCTACTTTGATTAATAAAATGAGAATTACCACCTCTGAGAGAATTACCGCCTTTGCGAGCCAAAATGCAGCATCATCATTCATTTCTACAACAATCAAAGTTTGAATAATTTATCAATAACTTTTTAATGCCCCCACTGAAAATGTTTCTGTGGCCCTGACATGGTCCATGGCCCACTAATTGAGAATCGATGTGCTAGGCACTTGTCCCTCCAATTTTCATACTACAGGATGGCCCAAAAGTAGGTATACAGGTATTTTTTTTATTTTTTTATTACCTTCCAAGAAGCTAGAAAACTAATGTAAAATCCACACTAGATTTATTATCTAAAAAATAAGCAATTTTTGTGGTACTTAACAAGTAACATAAAGTGAACTGCGAGTAGCTTCAAAGCATATAAAATAGTTTAATAACTGTATACCTACTTTTGGGCCACCACCTACTTTTGGGCCACCCTATATGTATATTCAATCATTTCAACTACTGCCATGTCCGAAACCATGCTACTAACAGAACGAGAACTATTGTTTACTAAACCCATCTTATAGGCTTTCTTCTCTTCACAATAACTAGAAAAAAAAAGCTTGGGTTTGATAAGCCTACCAATCATATTCCAAGTAGTTTCCATCGAGTAAATAATAGATAATGTCCTTAATTAATACCTTGGATATTTTATACAAATTATCATTCAATTTGCGTTTTATATACAGATATATGTTCTATTCAATTTTTTTTCAATGTCCAAAGTTATTAAAAACGCTATAATGGATGCCATGAAAGCGGTTGAGGTTCGACAACTAATCAGAAGGGGTAAAAACAAGCAAGTGCCAACAATGGGATGGTGTCGAGGTTTGTGATTGCAATTTAATGTATAGATGTTCTATTGACTTATTGCCAGAGCTCAGTGGTTCATGTAATTGCAGCCTGTTTTAGCTTTCTCTGCCATCCTAATTTTGCAACTGTTTTACAGTACATTAGGCTGTTCTTCACCAAATGCTTAGCTGTCTTATCGCATATCCTAATCCTAAATCTTGAAACAAGTTGAAAGTAAGTAGCACCCCAATGTTGCAAAATTTTTTTTGAACGAAAGGTGAGAAGCAAGCAAACATTGCAATTCTACAAAAAGATGCCGCAGATGACTTCGCAAAGTTTGCTGCTTACAACGAGGGTTGCTTGCCGATACTTCATCAGAGTAAACCTGGAGAAAAAGAAACAATCTTGGCGAAAAATTCTGATATAACAACTGATCTTCCAGGTTATAAGATTTACAAGAATGGAGAAATGGAAAAAATTATTGATTCTGCAGAAGGTATGGGCTGAATTGTATGGAATTTAATATTTACGCTATTGCCTAGAGCCCCAGTGGTTACAATTTTGGCTTCGACTAAGTTAACATCGCAAGTTAAAAATCCTAGGTTAAAATCGCATACCCAACTAAGATGTAATAAATTGGGTTGTTAATGGCAAATCAGAAAGATTCCCCTCCCCCCAAAATACTAGCTCCTTTCATATCAGTAGATGCTTGTACAGGGCCTTCTTCGAAGTGAAGGGTGAGAAAACCAGCTAGAAATGTTAGCAATTGCGATTTCCAAAAGTTTTGGCATGCTTTGTTGGACGACGTTCCGAAAGCGTCCCACACAAAGATTGTTGAATTACCTTAGTTTTAAAATAGCCAGTCACCTTAAATGACAAAATCAGTTCAATCAAACAGCAGAAATAGATCATTTGGTGATATTAGGTTTTATATGTTTGCTTAAACAGCCATTCAACTTTATTTTAACATTATTATCCTAATATTCAGTCTTTCTTGAAGAAAAAAACTTTCTTGAAGAAAAAAACTAAAGCTAGATCCGGGTGGTCCAAACCCAGGCCCGCGGGCCACATGTGGCCGCTGCTCCATTATTTGTGACCCGCGTCACATTCGGAGAGTAATCAAAAAATTGCATTTTGTGTTGTTTCGTAATAAAATTAATCAGAAAAATCTTTTGACATATTGTTACATCACTAATGTCACTAAATTGACTAGTGTTACGGCTAGCTGAGGCAACATGCAAAGTTGAATAATGTGCTTGGCAGTCTAAATTTTTATCTGGCTTTCTATCTTTTTGGTCGGGAATATAAGCTTACAATATAGGCATCATAGAAAACTAAAAATAAAATGCAGATTCTAATAGCCTGAGATGGCTATGTCTGATAACTATGTGTTTGCACAATAAAAGTGCTTGTTTTGTATTGCACTGTTTACCTATTCTTGGCACTATTGTGTCCCGCGAACGATGCAAAAATAATTTTGTGGCTCGCGGAGCCGGCAACCTTGGACCACCCTGAGCTGGATCATCTCAGTGCTCTCAATCCTCTTCAGGGTCAAATGTTCTTTCTAGTTTGGTTCAATATACTGTATAGTTGGCACCACAAATTACGACTCTTGGGTTCAAATATCATATCCCATTTTGGTGTTACCCAAAGTGTAATAAATTGTATATATGTTACCGAACTGAGCACTGTCTTTACACAAATAAAAGCTTCTCGCATGAATAGCATTGATTAGCACTGATATATATATATTTATATATAAATATGAACCAAAATTGTTTGCTTCTCACCAGTTGTGCATGCCTAGCTACAATGGTCAGCCCATTATCACTTGTTTTCAGAATATGATTGGAAAGAAATGGTTACTTTTTACATCGGTTGCAGTTTTTCATTTGATGATATTTTAATGGAGTACAAAATTCCTGTCAGAAATATTGAACAAAACACCAATGTATCAATGTATAAAGTGAGTCTGAAATAAATGCAACTTTGTTTTACTCTTTTCATACCCCTTTCTCCCTTTTTTTACTCTTTACAGTATGTATATATAATACTTGAACAGCGGACATGTAGGCTATATAAAAATTACGGTAACCACTCGATGAACATGTGGAAAGCATGTATAAGGGGGATTAAACTTCCAAGTGTTAGAGTAAACACAGATATTGTACAGTGTAGAGTAATATTAAAATTCATCTTTTCAGTATGGAAAGTTCAAGATATATTTTTGTAAATAATAATCGAGTTTTATTCAATTTCTGTGCAATATATAGATTAAGGCTGCAAGTTGAAGCTGATGTTTTTCACTGGTATTAGAGTCAGAAATGAAATTGCGTTTGAGTAAAACTAGGTAGAACTCCCCACCCCCCATTGCATTAAAATATGAATGGTTCAGCATATGTAAAGCTGTCCAACATTGTGGGATTGGTATATGACTAGAAGTCATGAACTGTAACCAAAGTGATGTCCAACACAACAGACTATGCAATTCTCCATTGTACCTTTACCAGTTTTCTTTTGTGTAATAATTTAACATTTTATTAGCAATTTTCTCTTAATTTAGACAAATATTAAATGTCACTCAGTTGGTCCTTTCCAATGCAACATGATTGTATCGATGAGACCAATCCCAGAACATCAGTTATCTTTGGTTGTTGACATCACATCACAGATGCCAGACGTGCATGGTGCACCAGTGCATATTGGAGATCCTGGTTAGTTAAAACTGGCTATTAGTTTTTATGTTATTTAATAATTGTAGCTTTTTTATATGATGCTTATTCACTCCAAACAAATCTTTATACAAGCGGCCGTCATATTGAACAATATTACGTATGGGGTTGCCATAGTGACGCTCCATAGGCGGAAGCCTATGGGCAGGGGGTATATTCACTTGGCTAACACAGACAGTCCCCGAACTCGTAATAGTACTAAAATAAGGAAAATTGGAAATATGGCCTAACCCTAACCTGGTACACACACTGCGGGATTACTGTTTGGAAGGACCAGAAACTTCCGGTTCGGTACCAATTTATTATACCTTGGTTAGGTGAACCCAAGATGTGTAATCTGTGATGCCAACACAGTTAAGTCCAACGCTTTAACTGCTTGACCAACGCACTGCACAACTAGTGGCTTGGTGGTTGGTGAATAAGAACATTCTTGCCTGAGCACCGGTCGAATTCTGTTTCCTAGTTAAATCAAGATTTGAGAATAATAAAAACAAAATATTTACAAACATCGAAATGATTGAAATCACAGCTTTTTCGGTATTAAGTTGGGATTGTTTAGACAGATATGACACATTAAAATATTTAAAACAAATCTACGATAACGACTACGATTCCTATGACAACAAAACTAATATGAACACCCAACCTGAAGTGGATTTAAAGTGCTTCAAGTCTGGCTTCAGCTAACATAACAAGTGCAGCGATTTTTCTACATGTAAATAGTGTATATCCATTATAGTGTTTTTAATTTCTCCTATATTAATCAAATTTTATCTGCTACTTTTTAAATTTATCTACCGGTATATTTTGGTTACTTGCGAGATCTCTGTTACTTATGAAATCTCTCTTCCTTATTCTTTCTGTTAAACATTTTTCTACTATGCAGAATGAAATTGAAATCTTTCTCATATTGAATAATAGTTGCTCCTTTATATGATACAGGTTGTCCATAAAGTCCTTTTACTAATTTCAATTATGTTATGAAGTCAGTTCTCAATATATCTTAAAAAGATTTGTTGTTTTTTAATCAGTAATTGTTTACCGGTAAGTAATTTTAATACATTTAATGCATTCTGTGAGGGCCAAAACAATATATGGTATCGATAAATTCCCTTTGCAATTTAAAAAAAATTGAAGACATCATGGACACCTATATATTTATTTATAACTTTGACATGCTGAATTTGATTTTGTGTCTTAGCTTTAAATGTATTCCAAGTAGAAGTAAGCCTATAAAACTGCCTAATCATATGGTCAGTCAGAATATGGAGATAACCAGTTGGTTGTTCCAGATTCAAGAAATTGTTTTTTTTTATGCAGCACATAAGTAGCACATAAATCTAGGGATTTATAAGGGCCTTTACCTATCTTTTTTGCATAGATAACTTTCTATTTTTTTTTGTGGGGCTTAATATATTCGAAATATGTTAACCCTTTCCATGCGATTTTTATTTTTTATTAGATAATCGTATTTGCTACGCCGACTTTATGCATTCGTACCCCCACAACTAATCGATCGACTAACGAAAAAGTAATGATCCTCTGCTGCCCACGGACGGCTCGTTGGAAAGCTTATTTAAAGAGCTTGTAATTGGCGATTAAAAAAACTTTTTATTTTAAAAGGGATGGTCTGAGTCACAAACCGGATAGAAAAAAGGCATTTTTTTTTCTTGTATGTTGAAACTTCAAACCGTGATAAAAAATAGAAATATTCGCTAAATCCTTTACTGTTACCGCTTCTTGGTTGGCAAACAATAGCATAATATTGCTGTAGCAATTTCGTTATCTAACTCAAAATACTGGAAGGAATAATATGTCTTCTATCACCACCCAAAAAACACCGAAATTTGCATAAATTTCAAAAACACTCCCTCGTTCCGCCACAAATAAAATTCCCATGGTAAACGAAAGCGAGATTTACCGTCGCTTATGTTAATCTCGAAGAAGATCTCTTATCAATAAACTAAAACCCGGAAAAACTAGACCAACAGTTTGCAACCGATTGCTAAATAAAACAATGGAGTGCATCAACGTACCCGCCGCAATCTAGCGAGTTTTGTTGTGGGTACGTATACGTGCCACCGCACAGAAAGGGTTAATGACACCTATGAGCATGACTTGTGCAACGCTGAGCGGTTGCATGTGCGTGTGCGCTCATGAAACCGTCTCGCATTGGTATGCGCATGCACCCTGTATGTCGAGCTGATAGGTCGCATCTATATTTTTTTGGAAAAATATAAGGAAAATTGTTGCGACCTATAGGCGAGTATATACGGTAAGTTTAACACTTTACCACAAGGCAATTCTGCCTAGAAACACTATGGAGTACTCTCTGTATCCTGATGATAATAGTTCCACTAAAATAATATATTTATTTATTCAGACGTAATTATTTCAAATACAAAATTTGAAGACCCACACTTTGGTTCTTTTGTCGCTTTGCAAGATGGAGATGTCCCTGTGTTCTGGGCATGTGGAGTCACAAATAGTGAAGCAATCAGAGCTGCAAGTAAGAATCAATTGTGTTAGATGATTTTGTGTATTTTATTCTTCAGTGTTTTATCCGACTATCTTTGACCTACCAGTTCGATATAGTTAAGTCGAAATTCGCTATATGCACTGTGAGGTAGGTACTTGTACTAGTGCGTTCAGTGTTTTTAACAAGAAAACCTTATGTGCGAACCACCAATTTTCCTATGAATCTGATTTTCAAAGCTTTTTCTAACCTTTAGCCTGAAGCTTTATATCTACTTTTACCCAGGTAATACCAAATTCATGTCAGTTATAGTCAGTCACAAAGCTTCAAATACGAGTAAGGTTTTTGTGCAAAGCGAGACACCCAATTAAAGAAGTGCCATTTGACCATGACTGGTGTCATTTCTAAAAGATAAACTAACGGCCATATGGATAGGATAGGATTTACATATTTATCCCGGGGGAGAGGAAAGTCGATAAGACGGCTTATCCATATGGCAAACCACGGCCTCTCGTCCGGTTATCATTCCAAGTCGGGTATGGGATTAGTTTTACTGTATTGTTTGTTTTTCGGAAGCATGGACTTGGTGGTGGAGGAAGCCGTATATGCTTTCAGCTATTCTATATCTAACTAAATAATTGTAAATCAGAAAGCAACTCTGAATTAAATGTTTGTGAAAATATCATCGCTGAAAAGGGATCAGAATAGCTATTTCCTTTGAATTTGCACAGGAATAAGGACGTTTTTGTGGAACTTTTTCAAAGCTATATTACTCACTAAATTTAAAATAAAGAAATCTATTTTCGTAGCACTGTTAGGGCCAATCACTCAAATGGCTAGTTTTGTTTACAACAGTTTTATGGTGATGATTTATGCGCTAGTAAATGCGACACTGGAAACCGGGACAGTGGGAATAGGATATCTTTTGAGTGGAGCTCTAATCAAAACTAAACATTTTTTGTTCAGAAAGGCCATTTGCTATCACTCATTGCCCCGGAATGATGTTTCTAACTGATGTACCTCAAGAACGATATGACGAATCAAAACCAGACAATGAGAAATGTAAAGTTATCAAGTATTCAAATAAAGATCAAAGGTTCAGCATTGTCTCAGTTCAAGCTGAAAAATGTTTGGCTGAATTGGAGGAAGCAACAGTTGATGATCCAGGTAGATTTGTTTACTGAAATTTATAAGATGCATGATCTAAAATTATCATAACTCTTTCATAATTCTAGTTTTTAGAAAATTTCACTTTGACTCACCCCTCTGGATTGCAGAAAAGTTCTAATTTCGTTCCACCATTTCATCATAATTTAAAAAAATGTGAAATTGTTGTGTGGTTTATCATAATACAATTTTTTCATTATGTGGGCTCATGGAATTTTTTTTTTACCAACCAACACATTTCCCCCTTTCTACTGAAGAGAAGATGTATATAGGGCGTGTATATAATTATGGGACCTCCTGAAGTATGCGCACCAAAATGGCGCACAACCTGAACGCAGGTTGTGTACCAGTTAGGGTTCAGGTTATGCGACATCTTGGTGCGCATACTTCAGGAGCACCTAATTATGTATCTCGAAAGTTTAGTCATTACTCTATTCTTTTTCACTCTACTCAAATTGAAAGATTAAATAAGCGCTGCCAAGCAAGTGCTTTGATCAAAATGTATTTGATCCCAGTTCTATCTTTTAACTATTTGAAAACATTGAAAACATCTAGAAAATAGAAATAATAAGATTGTAAAAAGTGTGTAATAAATGTTAGGAAATGAATGCTCCTTTTTCAGTACTAGCTGTCACTTCCGGTCAACTCCCATTTTATTTGGATTCCTCCTTTCTCTTTACTTTACATCCACACTCAAATTTTAACAGAGTTTGCTATTCTTTGCTATGAACAGGGAAACGCGGAAGTAAAAATCTCCTTGTACCTGGTGATTTCATGAAATCATCTCTTGCATTATCTCATGCATCATCGATTGCCATAACAACCGGTTTTCCATGTCATGATCATGAACCACCTGATGAAACTGATGGCTTACCTGGTAAGTAAGATTATTTAATGAAATCTGTATTAACTGTCCTTCACGAATTAAAGTCAGTCGTCTTCTCAATCAAAATATAAAAATGTAGGTACTCCTGAAGTATGACCACCAAGATGTCGCATAACCTGAACCCTAACCTGGTACACAACCTGAGTTCAGGTTGTGCGCCATCTTGGTGCGCATACTTCGGGAGGTCCAAAATGTATTTGCTAATACTATGACTAATTGGCTATTCATGTAGTTCTGGGGGTAGCAGATTATGGACGGTTTTATAATGATATACTACATGACTAAGATCTTGCGAAACACGGGGACAAGTGTGGAACAGGTAGACATGTGGGACAAGTGTAGAACAGGCATATAACTGTGGAACAGGTTGGAAAAGTGTGGAACAGGCATATAACTGTGTAACAGGTGGAAAAAGTGTGGAACAGGTGGGACAAATGTGGAACAGGTATGACAAGTGAGGAACATTTGGGACAAGTGTGGAACGGGCATATAAATGTGGAACAGGTGGAACAAGTGTGGATAAGGTGGGAAAAGTGTGGAACAGGTAAGACAAGTGAGGAACAAGCATATAAATGTGTAACAGGTAGAAAAAGTGTGGAACAGGTGGGACAACAGGCAGATAAATATGGGACAAGTGTGGAGCAGATGGAATAAGTGGACAGGTGTGAATAGGTGAGTCAAGTGTGGTACAGGGGGGCAAGTGTGAAAAAGGGGGACAACTCTGGAACACGTGTGAAATCGGTGGGACAAGTGTGGAATGGGTTGGACAAGTGTGAAATAAGTGGAACAATTATAGAACAGGTGCGACAAGTGAGGAACATGTGTGGAACAGATAGGACAAGTGTGGAACAGGTGGACAGGCGTGGAACAGTTCGGACATGTGTGAAACAGGTTGGGCAAGTGTGGAACAGGCAGATAAATGTGGAACAGGTGGGACAAGTGTGGAACAGGACAAGTGTGGAACAGGTGGATAAGTGGGAAACAGGCGGAACAAGTGTGGAACAGATAGTACAAGTGTGAAACAGTTCGGACAACTGTGGAACAGGTAGACAAGTGTGAAACAGGTGGGACAAGTAAGGAACAGGTGGGACAAGTGAGGAACAGGTGGGACAAGTGTGGAATAAGTGGGACAAGTGTGGAACAGGAGGAGACAAGTGTGGAGCAGGTGGAATAAGTGTGGGACAGGTGTGAAACAGGTTGGGCATGTGTGAAACAGGTTGGGCAAGTGTGGAACAGGCAGATAAATGTAGAACAGGTGGGACAAGTGTGGAACAGGTGGATAAGTGGGAAACAGGCGGAACAAGCGTGGAACAGATAGTACAAGTGTGAAACAGGGGGAATAAGTGTGGGACAGGTGTGAATAGGTGAGACGAGTGTGGTAAAAGGGGGAAAGTGTGGAAAAGGGGGACAACTTTGGAACAGGTGTGAAATATGGGGGAAAAGTGTGGAATGGGTGGGACAAGAGTGGGATATGAGAAGACAAGTGTTGGGCAGGTAGACAAGTTTGTGACAGATGAAACAAGTGTGGAATAAGTGGGACAAGTGTGGAATAAGTAGGACAATTGTGGAATAAGTAGGACAATTGTTAAATAAGTGGGACTAATGTGTAATAGGTTTAGAAAACGTGGAATACAATAAACAAGTGTGGGGCCATCACGGCATGACATTTTTAGGTTATCATTCATCACCCAAACTTCACAAAGATTAATTAACATGAAACCGGAATCTTTATGTTTTGCCTAAACCTTTCAATTTTTAGCCATTTAGGTGGTAGTATTTGGATAACAGGAGTGTGTTTTTATATTTATCCCAGAGTATCTGGGCATACATAAACTATAATCTAATGACAAGCATGTTTCCAACACAATATTTTGTAAGGAAGCGTGCTTTAGAATCTTAATCTGTAAAAGATTTTCCTGCAACAAGATGGATGCATTGTCAAGTACTACATTTTGTTTGAAAAATTGTTTGATATTATACTTCTATTTATCCAGGTGTGTACAGTTTAGCAGGAATGCTCCAAGCACTTGGGAAAGAAATCACTTTGATTGTCGATAAAGCCGGGCTTAAAATGAACATTGAAATTATGAAGAAACAAGTTGATGCAGGTACAGCAATTACATTTCTTCATAAGTATATATACTTGATTGATAAGCTGACTACATGAGTCTTGAGATTATAACAAGACTTAGGTACTTATTTAGACTAAATGGATCATTTATGACCATGCCCATGGGTTTGGGATCCAATTCTGTGTGAAATTCATCATATAGGTAGATTGTCGAAGTTTATTTCCACAAAAAATGGCTCACAGTACACTTCATCACAGTAGTGTTAACAGCATATATATAGCATATGCATTGCATAGTGGTATTTTATGAATCAATGTTCGAATACTGGCACATAATACATCGTCAAACTTATATTTTCATAGATCTTGATATTTTAGTGGAAGTCCGTAACTTTGCTCAGTGATGAGTCTCTTCCAGCTCTAATTCTGTGCGACCTTGCACTTTATCAAAAATAAATAAATCTGTTTAAATAAACCCAATGATGTATATATTCAGAACTATTTACTTTATTAAAATGTCATTCCAATCATGTTCTATTAATTAGCATGGCTGTTAGCTGCATAATGCTTTTTGTTCACATTATACTTATGTCATCTTATTAGTTTTGGTCTCCAACCTTCTACTATGTGCATACCATTCCCTTTTTGTCATATTTAAAATGTTCCGGTATCTATTTAGTTTCAGTAGCTTTTGCTACTACAGTGGCCACTTGTAATTTAGCTTAAGAGATGACTGACCTGACAGATGCATTAAAATTCTTGCATCACATTAGATGATTTTTATTATTTCTGACTTTGTCTTACAATGTATCTTTTGATTCAGGAATCTTGCAAAAAGAAATAAAAGTCATTTCGTATATTGGCAGCGACGGTGAGTTCTAAAATTCATATGATTTTCAATCTGGTTTGACAGTTGCTGCAATCGGCATCGGTTAGGCATTGTGGACATGCTTGCTATTAAGATTAGAATCAGTTTTCTGAGACAAAGTATGTCGAAGGATCTGATTTTTTTTTTGTTATGATAAAATGTTACACCAGAAGCGAATGTTGGTGTTGGGAAATTTTTTTTAAAATACAACTTTTTTGAAATTGTCTTTAAAGTTTCCTATTTTTACTTTTTTCGCTCAATCAGCTCAATTAATTAATATCACAGGAAAAAAGGTGAAAACAGGGGTACAACCCCATTTTTTTTAAATCTGCAACGCTAACATAGCTAGGTCCAATGCTCTAACCATTATCTCATTGCCTACACTGTTAATAATATTCATTCAATATTCTAGGCACTGAACATGCACTCACCAATGACGATGGAAGACCAATATATGATGTTATTCTAGCTACTGAAAGATGTGGGTCGACAGAAAATGGCAAGTAGGTGCATTTTGAATATCGTTTTTAAAATAAAGTTAGTCTTAGCAATGCATATGCCAGATTCTGATCCTGATGAACATATACAGTTGCATCGTCATCATGCAGTTTTTTATTTATATGCATGCACACATATAATAATATAATTATACTCCCGAAGTATGTGTACCAGGTTAGGGTTGGGCCATAATTTGTATTCCGATTTTCCTTATTTTAGTTTGATTACAAGTTCAGGAACTGTCTGTATCCCCCTGCCCATAGGTTTCAGTCCCTTCATACAACTTGATGTAAAATGGGCGAACAAAATTAGTTACCTCCATATTGGTACACATACTCCTGGAGCGCCAATATGATACATTTATATGCATTTCATTCCAAACAATGCTTTGTACAAGCTGTTATGGCCAGGTAAAGAGCTAATATAGTTTGAGTAAAAGGAATTTGTCTGGTTTGTCACTGCCTGTCCACGTTGTTACACGCTGGGGATTTGAACTCTATATTTTTAAACTACGATGACATCACAGTTACGTATAATGCTTTAACCACTGAGCAATTGCTCCCAATATATTATATTTTCTAGTATTGAATCAAATAGTCTGTATCTAGGTATTAACTAGCACTTAATTCACAGCTATCATTTATAATAGTCTTATAGCTCTTCAGGGGTTGCCCATAACTCAGATCAGTCTCCTTATCTCATATGTGAGTGAGCATGACCATGAGTAATTTCCTAGGCAAGTTATTTTTGTTTTGACTGGATAAATTTAAAACATCACAATTTCAACCCCAAAATCTTGAATGACTAATGGGTAAAATAAACTTATTTTCATAGGAGTACTGCTAGTCCGAAACGAGAGACTGTATGTAGTTTGCCTGTGATCAAGCCTTCCTATCGACTTTTTTTCCCTGGAATAATACATGAAAATCCTCATGAAAAAAAACTCCAAAACTATTTATACAAAATTATATTCTAACAGGTACTACACAATGAAAGGCAAAGATATTTCAGCCCAAGTTGGGATCCAATTGGATCAACATGGTTTAAGAGGCAACGAAACGAAGGACGTTTTAAACAATTGGTAAGTCAATTCAAATCAGTCAGTCCAATAGTTTGATGTCTTATGCCGAAAGTACATATTGTACATACAGAATGGATAGATATAAAGAAAATAAACATTTCAGTGTGAAGTGACACCCCATAACCAATTAATAATATATAAAATAAAGAGTAAAAAATGTGACAGTTTTATTGGAGAAGAAATGATTATTTTTCCACTTCTATCTATTGTGACTGGCATGCTATCTTTCCTGACTCCCTTTCCAATTTCATTTTTATATTCTTTCACTTTACTTACCTTTTTGTCGACACTGTTAGAATAAGAATAGGTTATTTTATTCCAGAGAGATAAAAGACTGTAGGACGGCTTAATCATGGCCTCTAATTTGGCTTCCAGTCCATGTTGGGTATGGAAATATCTAGCTACCGGTAGTTATTTTTTTAATGTTTTTGCATTCTAACACTCCCTGATACTTTTACCATTGTGCACTTACTTGTTTTCAGAATTATTATACTAAATTTACAGTCTGACAATCTGGAAATGTTAAAATAGACAAGAGGCCATAGTGTGCCATATGATAAGGTTTCTTCTTCTTAAGATAAATATTATATTTTCTAAACTTGAAATTCATTTTCCAGGTGTTGGTGATGGAGGAAATGAGCTAGGAATGGGTAAAGTTATCGACAAAGTAAAGAAATTCATTCCAAATGGTGAAACTATCGCTTGTGATGTGCAGCTGATCTTGTATAGCGCTGGTAAGTGCAAAATCATTATTAATGGTAGGATAGGATTTACATATTTATCCAGGGGAGAGGAAAGCCGATAAGACGGCTTATCCATATGGCGAACCACGGCCTTTCGTCCGGTTACCATTCTAAGTCGGGTATGGGATTAGTTATATTGTTTGTTTTCGGAAGCATGGACTGGTGGTGGAGGCAGCCGTAACTGAACCAGCGGTTACGTGAACCACCCAACGACGGCGAGGAGTCCAGCAATCCTCTCGCAATAACCATCCCTGCATGGGATCGAACCAGCGAACCCACGCAGAGTAATTAGATTCCTAACGCTTAGCCCGTTGAGCCACACCGCCGCAATGAAAATATATATAGCAGTCTTGCTGCACATTAACGAAAATGCATTTCTGCGAGGTAAAACCAAGGTTCTCAGACTTCTTCAGACATGCATATAAGATTCACAGACATGGAGATATATAGGAGGCAGGTATCGGCATGTAGGGTAAACCAGTGGTTCTAATTTTCAAATCGCGCCCTCTTTTTGCAATTTGTTAAGTCTTGCGCTAAACCTTAAAAATAACTGCCAGTAACTAACAATGAGCTACAAATAACAGGTAGTAAGGCGAATATATTTCATTCAAAAAACATTTCCACAATAAAGAAATGTAAATATCCACAATAAGGCAGGCAAGACCCAATCTAGCAAATATTTCTATTTTTAATTAGCTTTACGCCCCCTCACAGAATGTTTTCACCCACATTGTGGGGCGCCTCCCACTGTTTGAGAAGGACTGGTGTAAACCGTACCCAGTATTTATGAATTTATTCTGTTTTATATTCAGTAAAGTAAATAATTTTATAGTTCTATTTTCAAAACCAACTTGACGTCCATGCTTTGTAGATAGTAGTTACAACTGACAAGTTCTGTAATCTTCCACTATTTTTTATCCACTGCATTTTAGTTAGATAGATTCGCTGAGAGAGAGAGAATTTATTATTTTGTTAACCATAAAACACATAATATAAAAAATAAGAATAACAAAATAAGTGAATTAAAAGTTTTTGATATGACTGGGATGTAACGATATAACCATTTACAGTCATCTAAGTCAGTTATCTTGTTTTTGCTACAAGATAAAAAAGCTCCAGAATCACACTTGCCATCTCGCTAGTAGAAGCTGTGTGTGGATTTTCAGACTCAAATCCATATGGAGCAAAGTTATGCAAAATTGTTGTAATATTTGGTATGAATTTTCAAATTAAAAAAAAAAAAATTTCTAGAATATTACCATTTTGAATGTGTGAGCATTTGACACTTGACAATCAGATAAAAAATTGACTTTATTAACTTAATAGTAAAAAATAAAAATGAACAACAATGTTTATCTCGTATTTCTGTAAATGTTAAATCACACATGGAAATTTCTCTGTTAGGCGCAGCCTCATTTCAAAGATATTTAATGGTTCCAAAATATTTTTTTAGAATGTATTCAGAACAGTTAATTATTTGGTTTTGGCTATCCCTTGCTGCCCTCATTGGGTGTGTGAGAGAACTGCCAGACGATTACAGCACCTTTTATTACACAAGTTGCAAGAGGTACTAACTATCCGTCATCATACCAGTATATTGTGCAATGCAAAATGAAAGTTCAGGAAAACTTTTAGCACATTAGTAGCGGATTTTGCATAGATAAAGTTTGAGTTTTTTGAAAATTTTCGAGTGCAAAACAAGACAGCGAAGTAGGACTTTCTTCATTTGTCAAAAAGATTTACCGCATACTTGGATAAAGCTTATAGCGCTTGATTAATGCTTCTGCTATTATTTTGTGCATTCTCAAGGCATAATTTTTCGTATTCGTGCTGTGTTTTGATGTGTCTGCTAAGAACTTCTGAACTATTGTTTACTCACTTGGTCTTCGGTTATACTAATCAGATTTCTGTTGAATTTTGAAAACTATCTTCCACAATGCAAAGTAAACGCAAAAATTTTGTATGGAAAAACTCTCAAAATAGTGTTAATAATAAGTCGTATCAATTAGTTATTGTTGGTGCAAAATGCAAAAAGTGTTCTGCAGTAATAGAGTGTATGTCGGTATAAATATTTGTGAAGCATATTGGTACAATTTTATGGATTTTTGTTGACTTGAGTGCTGTCTCAAGTTTGGTTGCATGTTTTTAATTTTTTTATATAAATAAACATAAGTTCTAATTATAAGCAAAAGTACTGAACAAATAGTTGTGGGCTATATTTGTGGGAAACATAGATGGCATTAATTGGCCATTATGAATTGTTAACAAATATTTTGCTTGCTTTAAACAATAAATATGCAGCCATTTTTAGCCAGGTTGTACTGTATGAAAATATTCTAAGCTTGGCATGTGCTGTCTAATTCTCAGCCAATGTTAAAAAAGTTGAAATAAATTGGCTCAGACATAAAACCTCCAACTTTGGCCAGAGCTTTAACCCTTAGGTTCTGAAAGTGTTTTATACGAAGCTCCCGGTCTCTGTGAGAGAAACCTAGGGGCTCCGCGAGCTACGGTATTTGCTTACTCAATAAATATAGCTAATTTCGCAACTTTTAAAGAAGCAAAACAGCATTAATAAAATTTGACAACGGTAGCGTCGAAATGTGGCAACAAGGCGGTAATTCAAATATCACATTACCCATAAGTTCCAATAGATCATTTTTATTTTTATATTTATTGTCGGGCTTCGTAAATAATAGTCAACCTTTTGAGAACCTCTGCTCTAACCTAAAAACTTCCTAAAACTGAAGTACTTGTTTTACTAACCATAAAAAAAAATGATTCATTATTCTCTGTCTATATATTTATATAACAATTAGAATCAAATGCATAATAATTGATCATGAATAGTAAAGTATAAAATCAGTGTTTATTACAATTTATTACTGTTATTACACATATATATATAAGGTAGGTAACTAACTCTAGCCTATAAACTATAGCCTTTGAAATATCAAAAGTCTAATATGAGCATAGCATTTGGGCGGCTGTACACAAACATATGGTAAATATGACTTTTGAAGCCATTGGAAAGTCTATAAAAAATTGTCTTCACCTAGATTTTATTTTATTTGTTTACAATTACAATTACAAATTAATGTTGTGCTTTTTCCAAAGAACCATAAGAATTGAGAAGCATTGAAATCAGTAATAATATCTGGAACATTGATATTTATGAGCGGTACATTTGTAAGGAACTCTCATGTACTAACAAGGGTCACAAAGCAAATGGCTTGTGAATGAATTGGATTTAATGATGTTTTTGAGTTATAATGGCATAAAACGAAAATTTGGAATAAGGATAGTCGTTTGAGCATAAGACCTATCTGCAAATACAAAAATACAAAAGAATCTAAATGCCTATATCAAAACATAGTCTATGAATTCATTTAAATGTTGATTATGGAAAATGTTATTTTTATGATTTATGCTTTTTAACAAACAAGACAAGGTCCCAAAGCAGTTACTATTTATCTTGCCTTTCAACCAGTGTTCACTCTACAAACGTGCCTCGTAGTTTTAAAGATTGAGTTTATAGTGAACACTGCTGTCAACACTGAGTACATTTATCTTATCGAAACCTGGGTTAGCTGTAAGGCAGGGAATTTGAGGTCAAGGTATCTGACTTGAAATATACTACTTGTAGATCATCTCTTCTTTGCAGCAGATTGGGCATAAGAAGCCCAGCTATATTTGGACAAAGTCGAGTAGGAATTCACGTATATACCGTGAGGAGATGAAAGACGAGTGGACAGCTTAAATCAATCATAGAACAACTATAGTTTCATGGGAAAATGTTGTCAGTTGTCTTGTACATTGATAGACTGTTTTATACCCATGTATGCTGCCCTATTTATAAACTCTCAATTGTTAAAAATGTATTTAATGTTCCATTCTGGTCTAGAAACCTTCATTTAGTGGTGACAAGAGCACACAAAGCTTCAATGACAAGTTTCAGGCAATCGTTGTCTGCAGCCACTAAGGGTTCATTCTGATGACCTTTTTTATGAAATCGAGACAAAAGTTTTCGATTTTTAGCAACTGGAATATTCTGCAAAACTTTTCTGTCTTGTTATGTCAACTTTTATCCAATGATGAGAGTGTTCCACATGATCTCTCAGTTTTTGGATTGACTGGATTGCCTTAATGAAAAAATCAATCATCCTTTCCATCTTGCAAAATTCCTTTGTTTGGGATATTTGATCAAAATTATTTACTGGCAAAGTCAGAACTTTGATTTCCAAATCTCTCATTCCGTGAGTTTTAAACAAACTTTTAAAAAATATCCAAATTTTAACGTTAAAATATTTAGGTCCCAAAGAATTCTTCGAAACATTTCGGTAGCAATTATCTCGACATTCTTTCGTGAACATTGACTAATTTATTTCCCATCATGTTCTCCAGCTCGTGAGATGGAAATTTTTGTCAAGTCCAAAGATGCAAGGAATTTCGGGAAAAATATCCTTTTCGATTGTCAAAATCGGATGATGCCCAAACTGTTATTGCTTTCCAAAATTTAAAGTTGTTTTTGAAGTTGATTGACATACATTATCAAATCTCTTTTTCTAATTTGTCTGAAATCTTTATCATTGACGACCAGTATCCAAACATTTCATGATGACGTTATCCACTTCCTCCATGACTTTTTCACAATCGTATTTTTCCAAAATAAATTTCCACAGAAAGACAATTTGCTGGCAGACAAATTAGCCAATAAAAAATCGTAATGTAAAGCGAATTATTTCATTCAATTGCAACAGTTTTGCAACTGCTAGAACGGCTTTCATTGTTCCAAAACAATATACTAATTTTTCCAGTATACATAAATCCCAATGCTTGTTCTACTGCAAACTTTTCTATATATTTTCATTTCGATCATCCCTGGGATGCTTAGGTTGTTCGAAATACTTTCCGAAGAACGGGGATCTTGTTGCCAAAACAGTTTTGTGAGCTTTGAATGTTTCCGAAACTCCAAGAAGTCTTATTTGGAAATCGCATAAGAAGCCGTTTGTGAGTCGATATTCATTCAGTTTCTCGAAAGCTTTGTATGCGAAATCATTCGATGCACAGACTTGATTTGAAGACGAAATTCTTCTCTTTTTTACATCCATTTTGGACTGTTAACAAGTTGCTATTCACTGTGATTAATAATCTGTGAGAAATAAATAATGTTATTAGTTTTTTTGAGGCATTTTTTCATGCCTTTGCTCTAGGCACATACTGAGACACATACTTGTACTCAATATATTTAAAATATGATGGCAATTTGGACCGGTTCAATGCTCTAACCCAGGGGTTATCAAAGTGGGGTACAATTTCCCTCGGGATAGACTTCGGCTTTTCAAGGGGTACATTAGATTAAGTATGAAGGTATTTTTTCATAATTTCTAATCTTTTTTAAACTATTTCATCACCTGATGTTAATAATTTAAAGACCTGAATTTAAGAATTCCTTAAGAAGTCACATTTTCACCCCAGTGTAGGCTTTAACTGCAACTACAGTAACTACCAAGTCTACGTACTTTGTCAAAAATGACTTGGTAATGGTTAGCAAATTGAGTCGTGAGCCAAGTCCAAGACAAGTTTTTTTAAAAGTATTGTATTTCATCATATGAGTTCCATTGGGTTGATTTTGCTATTAGTATACCGTACTTCATGCATCTGCCCAAATGGTTAACTATCAACACCAGTGTTAACTCTAAGCGAATTATGAGTGCGAAAGTGCTTCGCAGTCGAAAAAAAAAGTGCGAAAGTGCTTTTGCCGATTTTAGCAAGTTAGGTGCCCTAGCCTTTCATATAACCCATTTAAAACAGCATAGATACTCGAAAAAGCGCTCCACTGGTTAATATTATGAATTAAAGAGAAGCCTTTCCGTTAACCGAGTTCCCTTTAAGCGAATTCATGTTTAATTAAAACAAGCGAATTCATCGGCAACGAAAGGACATCTGCTAACACCTGCCGGGGACAAAACTTTCATGCAATGTATCACGATGTCAGTTGCTTACTTGCGTGAACAGCAAAGGCTTTCACATTTGTTACTCCTTACATCTAACAGACAACGATTGATACATGCAGGCTGGGAACCATATTAGTTACAGGGTGGATCATTTGTACAAAACCCGTGCAAAATAATTCCCCTCCCCCCTCAAATATAAATAGCAATCAACTAATTAGGGTTAGGTGCCCTGGAAATTCAACTTTTTAATTTATCACTAAACCTAATCTGATAATTATTAATTTGTGATTTTGAACCACTTTGAAAGTCGCCACCCGCTGTTGTAAAAGATAAGTTAACCTCGTTCCCTCGGAAATATTACGCAGGATACTCCCCTTTTAGGAGATGTGTTGACCTACTTTCCTTTCAAACTTTTTTCTTCGAAATATTACACAAGATCACTTTGAAAATCCTCTCGTTTCGTGAGCTAGCGTGACCTAGTTACTCATTTATATTTATATTATACTATTTCAGAGCTCAAAGACCAGTAATTCTTAAATGTCGACATGCCTTGGTTTGCGTGCGATTTCGGGCAGAAAACATCATATATTGGCAATAAATAATTTTTAATCGACCACATGAACGCTGATATCCTGAAAATTAATGTTGAAAGAGAAGTACGCATTCTCAGATATCGGACATCCAGTCGCGATATTCAATCGTTTGTATGCACAAATCTCACATTAATAGTAATTGCTACCCAAGTTTGTAAAGTTTAGAAACTAACAAACAGAAAATAACTTACGGTATTCTAAAACACAATTAAAATTCAGTCGGCAATAAATTGCGCCAAGACGATGCCATACAAAACGAAAAAGATTTAGTCGCGAGAGTTACGTTAGATGACTGCAAAACGACGTTGTTTTTTAAGCAGAATGTAAAACAATCAAATAAAAAACGGGAGTTACGGCGCCCTTAACACATCGTGTGTATTAAACTTCCCTGGTAAGTACTATTGTTATTGTACTTATACACCTGTTGGAGTATTTCGGACAGTTTCGAATTTAAAATAAATGAAAACCCGACATACAATAAAGACGCAAAAGTAAAATGAACATTTATTGAAAAAGTTATTATTTAAGAAAGACAACATGATCGTACAATTCCGCCGAAACCTCGATGTTCGCAAGTGAGAGGATAAATAAATACTTTCCTGTATTCGATCAATTAACTTTAGCGTATCGTTGTTCTGCCAACAAACAGCGGGGTGCAAAATATTTCCGTCTTGGGATATGCTCACAAATATTCTCGATATTAATATCATACCCTCGCGTATGTACTTTCTATTAGCTCTTTAGTGATCCCTTTCATCCTTGGCCAAGTCATGTTTCGAATATGTGAACATTTTATTCGACCATACATGGCCAGCGGGATGTTAAAATTGTAAACAAGAGAGAGGTAAAATCAATCGCGAATTTCGTTATAATGGCTCGTTCACGAATTGATGCGCTTGTTATTTTCGAAAATGATTACATTTGTTGTATTTTGAGGCATTTAAGCAGTAATAATTAGGGCATGACATCATTAAAATCGTCAAGTGAGATCTTGAAATTGCAAATTCCTTAAATAAAATTGTGAATTACTCGGGTAACGAATTCAGCTTTAATGACCGTCGGGGTATTGTTTTGTTGAAAATTATTATTAATGTGAGAGCGCCAAAAAGATACAGTCCATACCGATGCGACTGCAATTTATATGGCCGCACTTGGTGTGGCGCGTTTATTAATAGTGTAAAATAAATTAAACGGATATCAATTATAACCAAGCGTGTCAGCGTGTTTATTTTCTGTGGTCAAGAATCGTAAAATACCATCTTGAGACAAATTCACTTCTATTGCTAAATCTTAATTTTCAGTTATTATCGTTATACAAATAACGTGTGGCAACTTTTTGATTTATCGTCGACCAAAAAACCGCCCCACACTCGTCCAAACGTGTGTCGAGCTTGAACGACAGGAACAGATTCATCGACGACTTTAATTAGGGAAAATATGTATTTTATTGTGAATGCAAAATAAATGTAACAAAACGCTTTTTTTGTGATATAACTTTGTATTTTCGGAAACGGGTTGCTGTGAAAGGTAAAATTTGATCTAAATTAACCGCAAAAATGTTTTATTTTAAATGTAACAAAACACATTTTGCGATATAACCTTGTATTTTCGAAAACGAGTGTCCTGAAAAGTAAAATATGATCTAAATTAATCGCAAAAATGTTTTATTTTAAATGTTACAAAACACATTTTCGCGATATAACCTTGTATATTCGGAAACGGATGTCGTGAAAAGTAAAATATGATCTAAATTAATCGCAAAAATGTCTTATTTTAAATGTAACAAAACACATTTTTCGCGATACAACTGTATTTTCGGATACCGGGTGTCATGAAGAGTAAAATATGATCTGAATTAACCGTAAATAATGTTTCATTCCAAATGTATCAAAACGCATTTTTTGCGATATAACTCTGTATTTTCGAAAACGGGGCGTCATTATTAATCTAATGTTTTATCTATCGTCTGACTAACGTCTGGTACACATCATATTCGGGGAGAACTCTAGCCCGCGAAACGTCATTTAATTTAAAATAGAGAATGTTTCACCCATTCCAAAACGGAAAATCGCCAGTAAGTCGACAGGGATTCAACCCTCCGGATTCAGTATTCTATATCCCCCGTGTCAGAACTTTCTGAAGAATGGAACAAAGAACCCGTCAAACCGCCGCGGAAGAAGGGGAGTATTTTTTGCACTAATAATCAGGGCGTGACATTATCAAAATCGTCAAGAAACTGGTGAATTTGCAAATTCCATAAATAAAATTGTGAATTGCTCGGTAACATTTTAGCTATAATTATCGCCGGGGTATTGTTTTGTTGAAAACACGTTGAAACTTGAGGGAATTAGTTACAATTAGCGCCTGACCTCTATTAGGCACTCGAGCACTCGAAAAAAAAGCACTCGAGCCCAATCTTTTTAGCATTAAGTCGCATACGTAAAATATCCTGTAAAAGAAGTGCTGTTCATTAACGTCATCTCGTCTTATGACCACGCAGAAATGCCTTTATTGCCGAATTATTCAATCACTATTTTAAATCAACATTCAGGATTGGCACAATTTCGGATTTGCGAACTTTATCACCATAGAAAAACATGAGAAAGTTAATTATCGTCTTAATAAATATCTGCATCACGGTATCGACAATAATATTACCATTCGCATAAAATTGGGACGGTAAAATTACAAATCTTGATAGGTATTAAAGCCAACGCAAATGTTAATTTGATTCCTCAATGTCTTCAACAGCTGTTGCCGATGTGAACCAACGGGTAAACCCGAAATATAAAACTTCGATGTCCGCCCGACCCGCAAGAATTCATATTTGTATAAAAGAGAGGGCGGGAATATAGATTAACAAAACCTGGATGTCGCCGCCAAAACGATCGGTGACAAGAACAATTAGCGATTACAACGGAATTAACCTATAAAAAGGCTTTGTTGCCGACTTTTTACCGACGTTCCAAAAATATTTGTTATTGGGTACTGTTAAAAATATTCGATTCAAAAAAATATTGAATTTTGCCCACCCGTACTCGCATATCAATGAGAAATAGTTGTGTAAATATCGCAAAATTCCGGAAAATGCCACGTGCTCTCAACATTGTGATTACAATAAAATGGCACCTAATGGTATTTTGTGAATTTGGTGATTTTGCAAATCTGTGACATGCAGCTAAAAGTTTCGTCTGATTTGAAAATCGTGCACTTTGGTCACAATTCATCCAAAGTGACTATAATATTTTACTAACACTTTTATAGTCATTTTGAATTCATCGATATCACTGATAGTCACATGACTACTCTCGTTCAAAGAAACAACGCTTTGCGTAGTATTCCAACATCTGGTTTCAAAGACGCCGGAAGCGTTTATGCGGGAAAAGCGGGAATCGGTGTGCTTGTATAATAATCATTTTATAAACAAGAATTTTGCCGTTAATGCATAAGCTTTATCTCCTATGTCTGCATCTCATAGGTTAGAATTCTGGTAAATATCGTTATGATATGCAGAATTGATTTACAAAAGTATTAGTATGTTACTTATTTGTCAACTTAATACTCGAAAATATTTGTTAACTTTGAATTTTTATTCCATTCAAAATCGGAAAAAAGTGCTATTTCTCTTCAAATTCGGAAAAAAGTGCTATTTCGCAGTCCCTAAAAAAAGTTGCGAAAGTGCTTCGCAATTTTCGCAAAAAAGTGCGCTAATAGTGAACACTGATCAACACACCCCAGCTAGCATAACCTGGCAAGTACCATGGTTTACAAAATGATTACGGTAAGTCATCTTATTGACTCTTCTGTCTTTTGGAATAAGTTTAGATATTTCGTCCTATGCTTATAAGCAGTGGTTCTTAAACTTTGAGTCGCGCCCTCCTTTGAAAAATTTTACAAGCTTCGTGCCCCCCCTTTTTTCTTTGAAAATCTCCTTTTGTGATGGGCTGGTTGCTTTATATCAATATGACGCTGTAAGAGTGTTGGTCTCATAGCGTCATTGCTCAGATTGTTTAGGCATAAAACACATCGGAGTACAATTTCGCCATTCACTGTCATAGGCTATGCATAAAGCCATACTCAAATAGTGGTCATCATACATTCTTCGTTTTCCGCTCAGTTTTCAATACTGGTGAAGGTAAACTAAGTTTCAGGTGAAACTAAGCATGCAACAAACGTATGCATACGTACGTATGTATTTTCTGCTCAAACGTTCACTTAAGACACGTAAGATTTCAATCAAATGTTTACTTCATCACTATTGAGCAATGCAAAAACTATCTACTGTGTGTTAAAAACACACTATAATAACAGACTTCTTGGCTTGCCTAACATCTCCAAAATTCACTACCAATACCCTTGGACAACCACCATGTTCAAAAATACAGTTTACAAAATGGAGAAGTGTAAATGAATTTATGTACATTTTTAGCCAAAAGAAAAGAAGTCCTTTTTCTAAAAGTTATCATGCATGTGGACGATTCCCCGACCTTGACCACTGGAAAATAAAGTAGCTTGACGTTTGCGATTCATTTTGTTTAAATATCCGATTGTTTTTATTAAAAACACTTTCTTAGACATTGTAAACCTCATAAATTCATTGTGCCTGCGGTACACCTGTAATGTTCTAAAACTACCGACTTGAAATAAATTTTTTCCGTGGGATTTTATCACAAACTTGGGAATTTCTCTCACAATGATACCTGAAAATTAATCGAGTGGCAGCATTGCAATGGCGCGAAGTAAGAGTTGCAGCGAAAGCTCAAATTGGTCTAATTTGCAAGAATATGAATCAAAACCAAATGTAATCTGGCAGTTTACAACACATTTTTGTATTCGCGGATTGCCGTGGTATTTTGGGGTAGGGGTGCTTTTATTTTATCAAAGCAATCGCAAGTTAATTTACAAATGAATAAATAAAGCAACCATTTTAAAACGTA